TATTTTAATATATTATCTTAGCTCAAATAGCCCGGTTAAGCGTTCTATAAGAATATTAAAGGACGCACTCTCTAAGATAACTAATAGATATCTAATAGGAGACACTTCTACCTAAATAAATTAATAGAGACCTTATTTCTATATTATATTAATAGTAGACTAAGTAACTATTAATATTACTATTAGAATTAGCCTATACTATTTCCTAATTAGGGTATATATAGTCTTATTAATTAAACTAAAGATATCTATATAGAGTATACTACTATAGGAGACTATCTAGGATAGACAAAGTCTTATTATAATATATATATAATAGATTAAAAGATAAGAGAAGGATATTAAGGAAGCTATCCTACGAATAAATCGCCTTAAGGAGAATAATATAGAATACTTTAATACTCACTATCGCACTTATAATACTCCCCTTAAGAAAGATAACTATATCTTACTATATAATAGTTAAAGGTTTTTAGATATAATATCTATTCAGAAGCTCCGCTTTTAATAGCTTAGACTATATTAGATTAAGTCTATTAAAGAAAATAGATCTTACTCTATTAGGGAACTTAATAGTACTATCCTATACTATATCGGAGATAAGAATACGGATATAATTAATAGCGACAGACTTAAAAAATTCTACCCTCGTAGAATAGGAGATTCTGATAGGATATAGGATATTATATAGATTGGCAACCTTCGGAAGCGAAGACTAATTAGTCGACTAAGAGTAGTATAATAACTCTTTTATCCTACTATTTAAACGATTATTTTACCGATACTGCGAGATACTTTTTTGGCCGAAAAGATCCTTCGCCTAAGATACTAAAATACCTTATACCTTACACTTATTTATATCGCTAAGGGATAGCTCTCCTATTATAATAAGGAGGGGAAGGATACTTATTATTAGTTATTATTAATTAAACGCTTATTACTACGATTTTCCTTTATTTATTATGTTGGGATATAAGGGGAAAGCTACCACGAAGCAGATCGTGGCCCCTTAAGTCCGTAGGATCAACCTTAGTCCGGCTGGGTCAGTCGGTGCTAGACAAAGGTAGAAGGTCAAAGGTCATAGGATAGACTATAAGCAGATATAGCCTAAACGAAGGCAGAACCACAGTCCTAAGGATCAAAGGAAGAAGGTAGAGATGACTTTTGGAAAGTGGAAAATGACTTTAGGAAAGTAGAACTGACTTCATTCTTTCTGCTAGAAAAAGAAGGACATATTTATAGGCTAGAATAGCCTAGAAATGATGTCTAGAATGTCATACAAATACTAGGCAGCAACATACTAAAGGTGGCAAAGAAGGGAACCGAAGAAAAGCCAAAAGAATAATATTAAGGATCGATGGTTTCAGCCACCCCGAAAGCTTCCCCGCAGTATTAAGCTATGCATGCCAGGGAAAGTGGTCCGCCTATCCTTAAGGGGACCGAGGGTCGAAGTCTGTTCACCGAGGTTCGAAGACTATGGTCGAAGTCCGCAGGCAAGATATGCCCGAAGGCACCTCCGAAGGAACAGACTATTCATGCCTGAAGGCGGACCATTTACCTCTGAAGGAAAATGGTCCTGGCTATCATTTGGGAGAGGGCCGCGGACCAGAATCAGAAGTGGTCAAAATATCATTTTGATAGAAAGCCCCAAATTGGTCACGTGATCAATGCAATGCTGATCTTATATGTTGAATATAAGAATAGATCTTTCTATGTAGCATTGGTCTATATTCCAATATATTATAATTTTATTATTAGTTTAAAAAGACTATACAGTAAATCCCCTATAAAGTATTAGAATATAAAATGCTAAAAACCTTAAACTTCACTTTAAAAATCTCACTTTATAAAATCTCTCTTTCTAACCCCTTACTATACCCTTATATACCTCCGTATACCTTCGTATACAAATTTTAATCGATATAGATAATAATAACCTCCTAAGAGATATTAAGGTATATAGATAGCCTATTAATAGTATTAAGAATACCCTCTAGCTTCTTCGAAGCTATAAGTAGCTTTAGGCGTACGAGCTCGTATCTTAACTATTCGATAGGCTACTTATAAACTATAGTTATACGGAGCGTGCTATTAATTTACTATATTAGTACGTTAATAAGGAAGAACTATAGAGAGACTCAGAAGAGTATTAGGAGTTCCAGAGAAGGTAGTCTAAAGGCCAGAGGATATAAGCACGACACACTTAGAATAAGTAATATCTTATTATAAATAAGCTAAAAGCTATCGAAGTATAGGGAGAATAGTAAGCGAATACCTTCTTTAGTTACTTAATTACTTATTTAATAATAGAGCTAGCGAGTAGGTTTATTACTACCGGCCTTAGCTACGATTACGTCCGCCTCGCTATTAATAATAAAGTTCTCTCTCGCTTATTATCGCTAAGCAGAGGTATCCAAAATACTAAAGGAGTTAACTAAGGGGATCTTTTAAAGGCCCTCCTCCGGAAGTATACCTTAGCCCTTAGATAAGAGGATCTTATTTAGTATAGACTATAACTGAGACTAAGATAGGTATTATTATAAAGTAGGCTTTAGCTAAGATTTACTCACTATCGAACCGGGAGGCTAGATTACTCTTTTAGGATAGTTTATTTCTATTATTATAGTTAAGATAGAGGATAAGGCCGATACCGATACTAAAGCGATAGATAACTATAATCCTAAGAGTATTATACCTAATAATATATAGGATATAGCGATATAGCTTAAAAAGTTAGATAAGGAATATATAGCTAACCTAATATCTATTAGTGACTTATCTAATATAGTCTCTAATCTTTTTATAGCTTAGTTACTTCCTAATAATTACTTATTAGAAAATAATAAGGAATAAAACCCCTTATAAAAAAGAAAGGAGACTACTAAATATAATTATACCGCCTAAAGAGTAGCTATAAATAAGACTCTGGCCCTTCTTACGGACGCTATAAATAGATAAAAGTTAGTAGTATTTAGATATATTAGAAAGCTATCCCTTCCGGAGCTAGATTTAACCTTTACTAAGGATATAATTTATCTATCTTATATAAAGAGAGTATTTAAATTATTTAATATATATAATACTAATAAGAACTACGCGGCACTAACGGTATAAATTAATTTTATTTACTAATATACTAAGGACTAAGATATTATAGTAAAGGAGAACCGGACATAATTTCTATTAGATATCGATAAGTTATAGTTAGATTTCTATCGCTTTAAGTATTAGGCTAATCCTCCTATTATTGCCGACTATTATAGGGTAACCTAGTTATTCTTCGAAAGCCTCTACTATAGGGTATCTCTTACTCCCGACCCTACGACGCCTATATCTATTATATTAAAGTTATAAATATAAGAGTAAGGGAGTATAGTTATTCCGTAGTTATTTAGCTAGTTAAAGGAGGACTTTAATAGATATTACTTAGGTAGCCTTCTTACTCTTATATATAAGGAGATAGATATATATAATTATTACTATCTACCTTATATAGATAAGCCTCGCCTTAGGTAGTTAAGGAATATATAGTATAGTATTATTTAATAGCTTATCTATTAGGATCTAGCGTACTATATATACTATATTTTCTTTTAGCCAGATTACGCTTACCGACTGATCTCCTTCCTATATTATATAAAGAGTACTATACCTAAGGAATAGACTTATTTTAGGTATATTAATATAAATCTAAATAACCTAGTATAGACTAAACGAGGTAGTATAATCCTATAGGGTAGTCTAATATTAAATAATAAAGATAAACAGAACTATATTAAGATTTTACCTAATATATATCGCTATATTCAGAAGTGATAAGCTCTTATATAGGATAGGATAAATATTATAGATAGCTTTATATAAAAAATTAATAATTAGCTTTAGACCCTAAAAGATATTAAGCGATATAGTACTAACTAAGTAAAGAAGATCTATATAATTAGTAATATCCGAGTTAGTTTACCTAATATCCCCTATATATTAATAGGCCCCGTAACTAAGAGGCAAAGAAATATTTTACTATAATTTATATATATTAGAGATAATCACTTAACTCTAGATACTCTAGAGTCTAATATATAAAAAGAAGTATCTACGGCACACTAAGACCTTATATAAGCTCTAAGAACTCTATTAAGGCTTATAAATAATATATATAGCTATCTATAATATATATTCCTTATAGCGCCACGATTCCGCGGGGAAGGTTTAATCTCTAAATACTTAGTTAGTTATAGCCACTAGATAGACCCTAATATATTAGCTAAGTTAGATATTCTCTCTCGGACCGAATAAAGCTATAGTAACCGCCTATATTATTTTATAGAGGAGGAAGGCATAATAAATATACGCCTAATTATTTAGAGATATAATTAAGGCGGAGAAGTTAGTATTCGGGAAAGATTCCTTCTTCTACTATAAGGTATTAGGGCTATATATTAGTCCCCCCTAATCCAGAAGTTATACCTCCGGAGGATAATAATAATAAGAAAGAGATATAATATCCGCGGCGATAGGGAATAGGTATTCTAGTCCTATCTTTCTTTACTTTTATTAAAGTAGCTTAGGCATTCTAAATTAACTGCGCTTAATCACAGGACGGTTAATTTTGTAGGGAGAGGTAATATATAGTAAGAGAATTAGTAACATAATAAGCCTATATATAGCCTTAGGCATAATTTAATATCTGCAGTGTATAGTATATCTCTAGACACACTTAGAGGGAGATAAGTTATCTACCTAATTCATTTAGGATTCACCCAATTTCTTCTATCTATAATACAGTATTAAGATTATCCCGCACGGCCGCAACAGGGTATCAGTACGGCCTCATCCAGCATCCTCTACACCAGACAGGCAGTGTGTGTGTGTGTGTGTGTTGTCCAGTCTGCATCGCCAGACAGCCATCGAGCCGTTCCCATTTCAATACGTATTACTTGCAGGGCTAGAATCCTCACCCATTGGTCATGCAAGTAACATTGTAGTTGAGAAAGAATGAGTCAACGATGGCAATGGGTTTGGCTGACACCCCCTCGACATTATAGATATCGTCCGAGATACCAGTGCCGTAGACATACCTGTAGCATTCGCTGGGGCGTCAGTGTAAATATCATTAGCACAATTTGAAATGACGGAATCTCGAATTGTCGCAATCGAGCCCGAGCAGCCGGATGTGCCTAGTTCATCGAGGTCATTTTCTGTAAGACCGTACTCCAGGCTCTGTGCTCTGATTCCACTCGAGCACTCCAGCGTCGCAGCTAACTCATTGGCACAGTCGGTTGAAAACATCGTAAGATCAGAAATATTAAACAGTTGGGTCGTTCCAGTTACTTCCATAGTTGTCTCCACGAGGGATTCAGCATACCCAGTGGCCTTTGGCAGCCCTGTACCGGGCGAAGACGCAGGAGAAGCAAGAGCATTTCGGCGAGCATGAATGTGTTCATGAGCACTTGCCTTGTGATGAGAACTAGCAGTGACAAGGAGCGGCTCAAGGGCAAAGACGAAGAGAAGCGCCCGAATATAGTGAATGAGAGCCAAAGAATTGGCCATGTTGTAAAGAACGAATGAAAGATATAGAGATCGAATGGGCTTCACTCCGTCATCACCACAGAAGAAAAAGTGGGAGGGTCTTGAGAAGTTGACTGGACTATGCTTGACAACTAGCGTAAGAGACCAACTCCCTTCGCACGCATTCAGTCTTGAACTTCTCCTCAATTGGGACAATTAGCTAGACCCTGAACAGGGAACGGTATGCGTTCTCGGATTTCGCGGAAACTAAAGCGCGGAAATTAAAGATGAAACGATCTAAATGCGTTGGGGCAAGAGAATACGATGGTGATCTAGTAGATGCGGTAATTGACCGAGAGACTGAAGCAGCATAAAGTATGAAACAAGTGTCGGAAAACCCACCGACTAGTTCCACGACCTAGAGTAGATGTAGCGAACTAGATCGTTAGTCGATCTTGGCGTTAGAGCTGGCCCACGGTCATTAAAGGGCCTGAGCAAAACGTGAGAAGCTTGTAATGAACAATTGATTACATGGAAAACGGGCGCCACCCAAGCCATTATATTGGTTAGCTTCAGAATTCACCATAGGTTGACCAGACAAAGGATTAAATAGAATTCATTGAGTTATTGAGGCAACCGGTGGAGACCGGATCTTGTGGTTTCTTCATCAAGAGCATCCGAACTCCCGAGGATTCAGGGCACAATCGGCTCCACAACTCGCCTGTTGGAGCCCTAATCCCCTAGTGAATACGACCTTAAATGTGGGTCTTGGCCCCAAAAATATGCGTTGTGTACGGAATGTATCTTTGGAGCGGAAATTATACCTCAAGTGCTTCTACACTGCATTTCCGGTGTACTCCGCAGTCATTAGTCTGTGATGAGTAGTTAGTAAATAGTAAAGAACTAGTTCCTAAATAGCGAAACACTTACTTAGCTTGATGTCCGGGTCTAGATTTTTATATATTAGATTAAGGATCTCGCTAGCGATTATCCATAGAGCTTTCGTAGGTGGCGGTGGCGGATAAGAATGCGTTCCACGAGAGTAGAAGATTATATATAGGTATCTCTCAGGTATAAGCGGGATAAAGGTCTGGAATATCACGTTATAAGTGCCATAGCTCTGTATTTTACCCTAACCCTAAGGATAGATAACGCCTAGAACTAGTTAGTATCTAGATAATAACTAATTTAGAACTATTTCTTACCGTATAATAGCCTTCTTATACCGCCGGTTTAATCACTCCGTATATTAGTGGTCTAGACTAATAAGTAGAGGCTAGAAGCTTCTGTAGAAGTTCTATATTAAGGGATCTCTCTTTCGGAATAAGAGAAGTATAGAAGTATTCTTAATAGTTCTCTTATATTAAATTCGCGCAGCCTATATAATAGCTAGGCACTCTAGCTATATTTTAATAGCTAGTTAGTAACTAATTAGAAACTAATAGAAATAAGACTTACTTTATAGTTATACTAGCGAAATATAGGTCGATAACCTTAGCGAGCGGATTTATAAGCGATACCCCGAATAAATTTTTTTTTAATTACGTTATATAACCTATATAGAGATTATTTTATTAGTTTTAAATTAGTTTAGAATTAATTAGCTTACCTAATATTAGTACGTTATAGGTCTCTATAGCCCTCTATAAGCGAGGACTCCACTATCTCTCTACGTATATTTGTGATCAGAGTCTATAGATCTTTATTAGCCTTTATATAGACTAGATATAAGAGTCTAGGATTAAGAAACTCGTAGCACTTAACGCTATTACACTTAAAGCGTTTTCGCTCCGTTTAGCAGCCAAGGAATACGGAATATATAAAGTCTCTTAGCCTATACCTACCTATAGCGTACTGTGTCTAATAACTAGTTAGTAAGTAGTTTATTAATAGTTAATAACTACTTATTCACTTATAGATTTTATTATAGCTCGTAGCTTATTCGGTCTAGATTTCTCGATATTCACGATATAGGCAAACCCTTCCTTATGAGTTTCTGGATACTCTGGGAGTAAAAGCACGTATTCAATCACCGCAGCTAACACAGCGTAGGTTAGATAAAGGTTAATAGAGTTAGAATATAAATTGGCTATAAATAAATTAGTTAGTAATTAATTAGGAATTAGTTTGAAATTATTTATAGCAATTATATATTTACCTTATCTAGGTCGGGAATTACAGCTTGGAATTCTTGCCAGTCATCAAATTCATCGACATACTCGCCTACCTTATCCGTATCGGTTTCAGTATCAATCTGTAGAAGCTTAGAGAAGGTACGATCCTCAAAGGCCCTCCAGGTAGGATCCGTAGCGCGTTCTATGGTAATTGGGATGATGATTGAAAGAGACTAATAATTTGTGTGGGTAAATTACCGGTTACCAGGGCATACCCTACAATATTACATACTTGCGATGAGCACGGGCCAGAAGTGGAGCAAAATATCACGTGACCCTTGCAGCGACCTCTGCACGCACTTGCGATCACCTGGTTCCTCGTCACCGGTTCTCCCACTACAGTATCTATCATACAGCTAGGTGACTATATAATGAGGGCCAGATAATGAGCCTGACCTGGCGAAGCTCACCGCTTCCGTCATTGTTCATGAGACTCCTGATACAGTAAGTCGTAGCAAAGTGGTTGTGAGTAGGTACATTTATTAAGATGAACTAGCCGCAAAATGAGCAAGAAGACTTGGAGGGTAGAGATAGATCCGTGATTTGGGGGAAGTTCAGCCCTATTATGACTATGGAAAAGCCCTCTTTTGAGTGTCTCTCGATCTCTCTTGGCGCAAAACGAGAATATACAAGATGAAGGATGAAAGTCCCACTCCAAGTAGGCACCACTAAGAGCAAGTGTCAGTGTATGTTGGCGGTCTCCACAAGGTGTTTTCACCTGAATCATGACCCCACTGGCACGATTTATCCCTTTCAAGGCTTGTCCTATCAACCCTAACGCGGCTCCCTGTAAAGCCAGAGCAATCCAACTACCAATCCCTACAATCAATCTGGGACCATTGTGCCAAAGTACCCCTTTCTTTTTCGTCAAATGGCGTACAAAAAACTCGTCTGTTAGGAGAAGCTGTAGAACAAGCGTAATCATGAGCGAGAGCGAAGATACCGCTGCAGACCATGAAAGCCAGGTGGCAGAATCTACCGTTTGTTGGATAGCTGTCATCGTTGCCGTACCATTGTCGGTATTTAAAGCGATGCCGAAGAAATTTCCTCCCGTAGCAAAGCCTTGGCTGGCAGAGATGGACACTGAAACTGTGACCGTTGCAGTAAACGATACTATCTGGAGATATGCAGAGAACGGAGGAACATTCGAACTCGGGGCAACAGACGATGTAGTGCTATTTGGTGCTAGTTTGTCCTTCTCCTCCACCGCCTGCTGCTGTGTGGAAATGGTGGGCTGATCTTTCTGGGTAGTTGAGCCCGAAGGCCCAACTAAGATTTGTTTTGCGCACATTTTTGAATCTAAGTTATTGGAGCAAAACAAAAGCGAAGGGAAATAAAAGAAAGGTGCTGTTCGCGGAGATGCGGAAATTCTAGGTTAGGGGGGACATAATATAAAAGTTGACAAGCGGGTAATATACAAAGAAAGTACAGAGTAGTGCGCACCTCAGCTCTCGCTTATTTCCCAGACCTCAGGCCCTCGTCAATTCTTTCCTAATCAGGAATAGCTACGGGGAAAGCTGAGAAGGCTACAACACCATTGGCAGTGCGTTTTTCTTGAGAAATGGAAATATCCCAACGAATAGTTCCACAAGGTATCCCTATAACAGCCTTTGTGGTTTCGGTTTCGGCCAATCTGGCTCTTGATATTAAGGAAAGTCCCCGTGGTCTTTCAACAAATAGAGTATCGAGTTTACGTAATGCGATTGCCGGCCTTGGATGGGGCATCCAGACTTCAAGGTCCGAAGATGCCTGGGGTTGTCCCAGGTAAACTTGCAAGGCACCAAGCATCTGGATACTTTCAAGTTGAGATAATTCATTGGCTATGTGCTGCAAACCAGTTGGAATGTGATGGCACATGTTTCGACGATGGCCTGATTGATCATATCATCGATCCCGAACCGTCAGGATATATCACCGACCTAATCTGGCGATGTGAGCCTAGCACATTACAGCACGATTACATCTTGGGCTCTCTCGCCCTTCTAAGGGAGAGTCGTCATTCCTGGGTCCGACCTGAGCGAATGCGTGATATCTGCGACATCAAAAATGATGCAGAAAGAAATATCGTCGGCTTTCTAGTCACTCTTGCGTCTTACGAAGAGAGCCTCAGTAACTCAACGAATATGAATTTCAAGCGCGTGGAATTTGAGTCGATCGCCCCGAGGCTAGTCCATTAGCCTATTTCATCGTTATAATTCACGACGAGGTGTATGACAACACGCTCCTGACCCGCAACTGTTGGTGGTTCTCTCGGCAGCCTTTTAAGATTCTCGTATCGAAGTTAGAGCTAGCCAACAAGCAAAAGAAGAGCTTATCAACCTTTGCGCTGTACATGAGTTTCACCAAACTTCAGCGCCAGTAAAAGGAAGCTTGAATTATTCTAATCTCTGATGGAATACAGGACACTATAAGTCTAAGTGGAAACTAACTTGGTCTTTGTATATATGGGCAGAGAATAATTTCCGATGTTGCGGCTTCGTTCCTGAGCAGCAATTGCCTCATATCGCAACAGTAGCGCTTGTTGTTACATTCCTAGCCCTTCCTTTTGCCTGGTCAGTCATCATTGGAGCAATCGCAATTATTCCCTTTAGCGTGATGTATATTTTGGAAAAGACTGGGAAACGCGTAAATGCACGGGTCAAGAAGTATATGGGGAAAAAGGTCCGCCGTTCAGGTGAATTGCCGAACAAACAAAGCAGCATGCCGAGTAACGCGTCAAGCATTAGGGGATTGAGCAATTTATGTGCCTATAGGGGTCTGACGTCCTATATCCCACCCTTGATCTAGTACGTCAAAATGAACGGAGGAAAATATTCAGGAATTGATAGGTTAGAACATGGGCTTCCCATCCGCTTAACTATCCGTGGCTTACTTTCCACCCACACCGCTTCCCGCAAAGCAGTGTGGGTGGGCTGCCGAGGGTCGGATTTTTAAGCATTGAATATCGACCGAGTCAGCCATCGATATGTTCCAGTTTCCAAATCCAATGCACTTCAGTTAAGGGCTGTGTTGAGACCAAACAAAATTATGCAGCCCAGCTGGAAATATCAAGCTGAACTGGACCTGGAAAAGAAATTCCAGAACCTGTCCTAATGGAGATCGATCACAATGCCCAACGCTCAACGTCATATGTGTGGTGCGAATGAATAGGGTGGCCCCGAGTATTAGAACGCCGGCTCGTCCAAAGCAAAATGGGAGTCCATAAGCAGTTGAAGTGGCCCAAACTATTCTCCTGATTAAGTGGTTGATCTGGACGATACCCAGTACGGAACTTGACAGTCGAGATATCGTAGGAAAGCCTTTCGGACCACAGTCGTGGTAAATCCAGATAATTAGAGCTAAGCCATAAAAAATAGAGCGGTTGGGGTTTAGATAATCTCTGTTGAGTCGTATTTCGACTTCTCGATTAAGCTTTATTTGGCGGAAGAGGTTATATCGCATGGCTTGACAATTGTATACGATCGCATCGTATCCAGGTGACATCTCGATTAAATCCTTCGCTGTTCAACTAATCAGCCAATGCAAACAATTTTCCTGGAGTATATCTACCTTTTTGGCGAATCTCATCCGGCATGAAAAGGGTCATCCCTGCGTATGTGCGATGTAAAACCTTTCTTTGGTCGTCCGCTTTTGAGAGTACCGCAAGATCGATGGAGTCCACCAAAAATCCTGTCCTTTTGAGTTCGTATAACTCACCACCAACTTCAAGAGCCTGATGGCAGAAAAGGTCCCATGAAAACCATGTAATCGGCTTCCCCATGTCCCCAAGGAACAGGAGATACAAATTAAAAAGGATAACATTATTTACACTAACTTCTTTGTTGTTTGCTGATGCAGAGCCAGAGAATTCCCGCAGTTTTAGGCTCAGTTGCCAGACCTGAATGATCAGTTGGGTCGTTGTGTTTTGAATTTTGGAAATGTTGTCAGGCTGTGAGAGTAGGATGTCTATTTCACAGTCATCCATTTGCTTTCCAAACCACTGAGGGACAATTTGGACGGCTCTTTTGGCAACAACCATTGTAACTTGATCCATGAAACGTTGGAAGCTGACGATTAACCAGGGCGGTCCAAACGCTGGTGATGAAACAAAATATATGGGTCTGGCTTTCCTTTGATTTGAAGGTTGAGCCGGCATATTGTACTTTTGTCGATTTTTCCATTTCAAGCATCTCGAACACGAAGCATTCTCTATGAAGATGCCAATCCAAACGATCAGGCAAATTTGACCCAAGGCGAGATAGAACCAATAGCAGCGAAGCAATGCGAACAGCGAAAGATTGTGACATTGTACCGCCAACCAGTTAGCCTCGATTGTCATGGACACAAGCCATACTATGAAAGACAAGTCACGTCTTTTTCTCCTCAAAACAATATTCGTCATGATTATCGAGAAAATAATATTGCTTTCGATGAAATCGAGGGGCCGCAAAATGCTTTCGAGTAGCCTTTGTAGGAGAACTTCGCCTGGCGCTGTTTTGACGAACAAGAAAATTGAAAGCCATATCGTGACCTTGCCGTTTGGTAGATACGCCCGAATAGAGTGCCACCTAGGTACAAATAGGTGAGGCGACATAGTGACTTCGAAATGTGAGACTTAGTAGCCTAGCGACTAGGATTAGGACATTCTGGGCCGAGTTATGACGGGCATATCCTGGACATTTATTACTCCTTGGGAAGTTGGGCCGCTCGCGAGGCTGAGTGGGCTGACAGAGAAGCTAAAAATGCCCAGAAACCCCGCATTCCCTGCAAGAAACAGTAAAATTTCAATTTTTCTTAGTGGAAGCAGTCCCATAATTTGTTCCGACCATATGATGACAGATCTTACGCTGGTGAACTTTGGGTGCTTGGGCATAGCATTTCTATGCTGTTGTTTTCTGGCTGTGGGTCGCAAATTATATTTACTCCTTTCAAGCATGTCATCAATCTGGAACCTGGACGAGCGGCTGAAAGGTTGGTGTGACTCAAAACTCCGTAGAGTTGTCAAATACAGTGACACATCATAAATTTTAATAGTAAAAGCTGCTGTGTGTGTAACAATTCCCATATAATGCGAGCTGAACCCAGCTGAGGGCAGAAACAGACTTGTGTAATATGAGAGAGGGGTAACACGAGAGTGTGCATTCGGCCCGGCTTCCTACGGAAGCCCTGCGAGGGATCGCTGATCCGGCCCCGATAATCGTTTTATCACATCCAGACTCATCCACCTAGACTAGCCGATAAGACTAGAAGTCTAAGATATAGTGAAAGTATTCATCACAGAGCTTTGGGTTGCGCTCTCGGGCCTTGACGCAGGTAGTATTTTTCGCCCAACCTTCGGACCTAATGGCACGACTGGCTCCAAATTCCGCTGTGACGATGATTAGACAAAACCTCCCGTATGAAAAGCCTTTGTAATTATTTTACCGACAGATTCCCTCTCGGTGGGAAGCTTGCTAAGTGTTTGATCTGGGCCCGAGGACTGTGCAAAAGATGGATTTTTGACGGTAAAATCCCCAGCAAATATTTGCGTGATGCTGGGCTCGGATGGTAAGTGCCATTCGTTAGTCAGCCCTATACTGTTACTGAACATTTCCAAGCTTTCCAGAAACAGCGAATCTTGGGCATTGGGCCAGTGGTTTCCTGCATTGTATTAGCATGCGCATTAGACATTAGGAATAGAAAGACTAAGGTTTGAAGGTAAGAAAGCTCGAGGCTTTGACTATCGCATACCAAATTGATCATCAGTAGGTGGGTTGAGCTGATTAATCGATATGGTTGATGTATCCCCAAAGGCCGGAGGCTCCCAGGGGAATGTGCGCGGATCCGAATGAATCTGGCTGCTCTGTAAATGAGCATCATCACCACCGTCACCAATTACAGGCGAGGGCTGCTGCGTTGGCGAGCTAATTGGGGCATGGCCAATTTTTTTCGTGACGCTTAAGGAGATCACGTCGGCTAAAGAAAGAACCGCACGCGCACTTGTATGGTTTTTCTTTAGTGTCTACACAATTTTAGCTGTAATCCGCAATCTCCATTGTATGTCTGTAAGAGAGAACTGTAATAGGACGCTATACTCACGGATTCGAAGATGCCTTTCTAGGTGCTCGTATCGCCGGAAGAGGCGCTTGCAATACTGGCACACTCGCGGTTTTCTTTTGCTCATCTGAGAGACTTCGGGGGGCTCAGCGGCTGAATTTTCCTCCATCTCAAATCTATGTATGATGCGCTGATCTTGCTGTGCTAGTCTTGGAGAGGGCTGGCGGAGGTGGATGAAAAGCGATGTGTGGATGTGGAGGTGATTATTCATCGATACTTCACGTCAAAAGCAATTTCGTCATCGCCGCAGCGAATGTAGCAAAGGCGTGGAGACTGTGGAGAACCACCCCCAAATACCTCCAAACATGGACCTCTGCCATGGTATATTAAAGAACGTTTCTATCAAGCTGGGTCCCAATTTTTTGAACTATTTTGATCTTTCACTTCATTGACGTTTTAGTTGATCAACCGGTTTGATTATCGTCCGCAACAAAACATTCCGCCCCGCGATCACAATGTCTTCTCTGACTTACATCAACGAAGAGGGCGCCGGCCAGAAACACAGCGACCTTTGCCATTATTCCCAGGCAGTCATTTTGGGTGACGTTGTCAAATGTTCTGGACAAGGAGGCTGGGAGCAGACCGGCGCCTTGGATGCCGAAAATATTCCACGCCAGGTGGATCTAGCTTTCAGGAATGTAGACAGGGTGCTGCAAGCCTCGGGTCTCCGCGGCTGGGAAGACGTTTATTCAATCAGCTATCATGTCGATATTGGCTCCTCATATGATCTCACCGTCAAGAAGCTCAAGGAGCGCATTCCGGCTCATCGACCTATTTGGACCGCTATTGCTGTACCCCAGCTTGCATTCCCAGCGATGAAAATTGAAATTGAAGTGGAAGCGATCAAACAAGCCTGAGGAAACACCATGAAACGAAAGAGGTATTCGCTTACAGCCCCTACTAACTATGGTGTGAATAGTTCCTGCTGATGATTATGTTATGAATTAGCGCGTGCTTTGAGGCCGATGCACGACATGGGGTGTCATCCTAGGGTGACCAAATACTTTTGCTTATCCGGAGAAGAAACGACAGTCTTAAAGTTGGGGACATCGAGGTGTCCGGTATATCAATGGAATAAATAATATATGACCGGTTAGAAATTGGCTTACCATTTGCAATGCCCTAAAATGAACATAGTGCCAGAAATGGAAGTGATAAATTCGCAACGTGCACGTTCCATGAAACCTTTCGGATGATAAACTATGGATGGGATGTCCTGCCGCGTGGGCCGCTCATCCGTCCAGTAGTATTTGAAATCAGATTTACCTCTACATTCTTAGACTTCCATTTCTGAATCATGATTTGGAAAACACTAGTCCAGAATCGTTATTACGGGCGAATCTCTTATTGTTATATGCCTAGGAGACATCTTCCTCAAAGGTGCATCTTAAATGCGTTATGATAAAGTCAGAAACTCAACACCTCAGATGGCCGGCTTCAAATTCAATCTGCAGAGGCTCGTGGCAGTTCGGAGGCACAACCTCACATGGCGCCGATTGCCATCTAAAGATCTCGCCTATGCATTACGAACCATCCAACGCTCTGGGAAAGAAAAGATGGCTAAAATATTTGTTAGTCTACGAGAATATCTTAAGGCGCGCTACCTTAACATTCGTAAATCTTCACGTGCAGCCGTAGCTTCTTTTTGATCCACTTCTTTTTTATTATTGTACCGTAGGATGCTAACAAGTCTGTTCTCTTTTCAATCTGGTGTCATGCTTCTGACAAGATTTCTCAATATTGAGAGTCACCAAAGGTACGTTGCACAATATCGATATCTCAAGACCAAATGGCATGCCGAAACATGGAAAAGCCAGACCTACGATGTCTTTCTTGAACCCAGATATTTCTAGAAAATTATTTTGCCTTTGCGGATCTGGAAGGAATTGGGACTTCCTGTAGACAGAACTCGTCTCATGCTTAAATCTTAAGCCTGTGAATTTGTTCTCGGAGATGCAGGCAAGTCTACCCCGCTTCAGGCATCAGAATGTGGACCTGATACTCTACTCAATGCTCTTTGCCGATCTTCAGCGAACGTCGCAACAATCAAAGTGACCTTGCGAGGTTGAGGATTCGCTGACCCTCTCCACCCGTTATCAATATGGTACCCCTAACTTGCCCCTGGAACCTCGGGAAAGGGCCACTCAAAGAGGCCCAGATTTCTCGCTCAGGCGTGAAAACTTGGGTTGAACAAAAGTTAGAAGAAACGGACGTTGTTATTATCACGGTATGTGAAATTGACCCAAGATACGCGTGATAGTTTCACTATTAATGTGGTTCAGGGCGCTATCATAGCAGCCGTTGCAAGCGCAGCTCTCTCTTGGAACACTTTCCCCACTTGGCCATGGACTGCGACTGCAACAGTTTACTCAGCTTTGCTGCTTTCCCTTGTCTCAGTCTACACTGGATGCCAGCAGCACATTGCAATTCTGAGATACGGCAAATATGAAATAGGCGAGGCACGAATGCACCAATTTCTTAGCAACCATTCAATACAAGATATCGTCTGGTCGGTGCCGCTGATACTCCTCAATCTCAGCATTCTCCTCTTGATTGTCTCAATCTTAATAATTATCTTGGCGAGGGCCACACGAACTGCAGTATTTGATCAAGACGCAAAGGTTGGCGTTCGAGTGGCTCGAGTAAAGACTAAGATTCTAACGGCTAGACTGCAGATTGCGATTGTTTCTGGCATCGCAGGCTTATTCGGGATGGCCTGTGTGTTGACAAGCATGTTTCAGGGTGTTTATAGACTGCCGCAAGAGCCAGTCCCCGTCGAAACCCCATAGGAGGTTCAAGTCACCTAGCAAAGATAAGCTTGGGCCACGGGCTGTTCTGCTGGGATACCTACTGGATGTTGAAAGTTTGAACTGTGTGAACTTTTCGCAAGACCTCGTTCTCTTTGCGGTCCAAGGCTCCAAAAAGATTCACAATGCCTTTGTCCACCCACGTAATATTCACCCAAAGAACATGTTTTTGTCTTGTGGCAAGACGATATGGTTTGATTTTGATGTTGCGATAATGAGCTCGCAATATAATTCATCATGAGAAGGCTTATTGCGAATATGAGATCGAACTCGTGAAGAGTTTGGAAAACTTCTGATTTGTCCAATTTCATATTGTCTTATCATTTACTAAGAACAGAGACAAAGACTTACCCGTGATACCAAGTATTACTGATTCGGGAGCTTTCAAAACAACGTAATTTGGCATAGCTGAACTCATCAACGTATTGCATGCGCAATCCGGCAATCACTGCTTGTCACACATATGCTTTTTTTATGAGGTGATCACTAATGTTCTTCTACCGTTATATCGGTATCTCGGAAACGGCCTTCGCACTTTCCCCTTTCGCACCAACACGTTGAATACAGCGACGAAGGAAGTTCTGAAACCCCTGATCGAGATTCTCTTCGTATGCTAACCAAGCTTCCTTGATAAGCCTTAAGTTCGGCAAAGAACTCCTCGATAGGGTTAAGATTCGGCGAATGAGGCGGCAGATTTAATAATTTAACACCTGTTTAGGAACATAATTGCCTGATTCGGTCGGACCGATGAAAATGATACGTTATCCATCACGAGTACGGATCCACAGCAGCTTTCTCCCATTGCTCAAAATAAGTCCCTTTCCAGGCTAGCTACAATCCTCACTGCATTGAAATTCTGGCCTCACTATGCTCTGCATCAAAATTACAAACATTAGTTCCTCCATTTCTCTCATGCTTCTTAGACCCAGTTTTCTTACCGCGAAGTAAATCTGCCCAGACAAGCTGATTGATCGCTACAAATCCCGCACCTAGCAGTGAAGTCAGTATCATTCCCATTATATGTAAAGTATTTTTACTATCACATACCACCCAGCACTAGCTTATACGAGTCCCCTTCTGGCTCGGCGAGGGTGGGCTGAATAATCCCAGGATCCTGTTCTCCCACTTTAAACCAAAGAATTCGTTTCGGCATCAAAGATCTGTCTTCAATGACGTGCCGGCCAAGATACCAGCCGTCGCATTCTAGGACACTGTTTTTCAAGGTGAAAACAGCTGGTTCGGAGCCAACTGATGCGTGGGTTGGATACTCACTATCGTCCTCAACACGTGTCACATATTCATCGTCAATCTGGATTGTGAAGGGACGGTCGAGACTCTCCATTATGAATGATATCTGGAACAGAAAGGGAAAGTAAAATCGTTGTTGGTATGTGATGAGAGGGCACTGGCGACTAGTATTTATGTCCACTGAAAGTGGATAGGACCACGACTCAGCTAGCCACAGAAAATATCGGAGCTGAAACAGTCGACCTAGGTTTCTAGCTAGCTGCAGCATCACAAAAACGGAAGCCCCTGTTTCTCGCAGCGGGTTGCTGAAGCCTATGACATATCGAAAACATATTCTACCTAAACGCCTTTCTATGCTATCTGATGCACCTACCGACTTCTTTCCCCTTAAAGTAGAACCGATAAAGTAACCAAGATAGAAACTCGCGATACATTCGTTTTTCGTTGTATGCTGTGCTTTAATTCGGACGTAGTTATTATGGCATGGGTAGATGACGCAATTTATTCTAACCCCTCATATTTGAATAAATTAGAAACTAGGATTGACTTGACTCTAGTCTCCGCAACGGCAAGCAACGATACGAAACCCGGAGCGCTCCCCGATCTCGACAGTATTCTTATGAGAATTAGTAAATTATATTATATATGCTGAGCAACTGTATGTACACCCTCCATTTCCGGAGATCGGGTGCAACAAACCAGCGGGCCCTCAAATGTACGGTCGGCGGTTCATCCAAACCTCGAAGCGAATAATGTTCCATTTTTATGTCACTACAGCTTCAAAATGCATTGAGGGAAAGATGTACAAAGAGTCTTGAAAATTCGCCGCTCTCTCTGCTTGGCTAGCTGAAGCGTCGCACACCGCTTATCTTGAAACTGTTATGGGTAGTTTAGGCGTGGGTCAAGCCAGATCGTTAATCTCCTCTTCCCCCCTCCTTTCTAGATCCTGCCGAGAAAATTACAGGATAGTCTGCCCAACAGAAAGTCTTATTCGCCTAGGCGGAGGCGCAACGGATAGGTTCAGGAGTGACGACACATCAGCATCCCGTGCTTATGCCAGCTTTGTGTTTTGCAGCCCAGCAGTCTGTTCCCAGTCTAGGAAACTGAGACGTTCCAGTAGAATTGGGACTTCTCCCTACGACTTGATCATGAGAAGTGAAAATTGTTCTTGATAATGCGTAATGATAACCTCCGACGCGGGGGTACGGCTTCCATCTGAAGAAACACGAGATTGATCTTCAAATTAAGTGGGCCCGAACAGAATGCTCATCCGACTTGTACTTCAACCTATGGAACTACCCGCTTCACTTTCCCTTTCAGGATTCAACTATCTCGATTGCCCTTTTTGTGAAATTTCTCATCGAGACCTTGAACTTCTCCCGAACCTCTGTACTTCCTCGAGACATCAGTTTCACAATTGCTTCCTCAGCAAATTGCTGACAATTGTTTGTCTTATAGTCGTATAAGTTCTTCTCCTTTGATTTCATAACCTGGGCAGCTTCGACGGGTCAGTATCACCAAGCGAGAATGGTCAACTTGTGAGCACTTGCCTGCTTCCTTGAATCCTGAGACGCTTTGTGTGGATCGGGTAACCGTCTTGGCTCTATCGAATTGCATTTTCATATCGCCAACAACTTCTCGGAGAGAGACAGATCCATCGTCGCGATTTTTGTGCAAGTCAAGGAACACTCCTCCATATTCAATCGCCCAATGTCGGTAAGGAGTGCTTGGGCAGTTGAGTATTTTGCAAGCTATGGAAATTGCTTTTCCGTAGGTTCGAAGCCTCTTCGTCCATATACGTACCTTGATCTCGTGTCTGACAGCGAGAGGAGCGGCAGTTGTGGAACCGCCAACGTCTTTCGTCAAAGTTCCTGTATCGTCCGTGACTTCATCTGGATTGTCCTCCTTGAAACGTTCTTGATCCAGTTTCACTGCATCTAGCTCTCCAATATTAGCTAATGTCTCCTTTATCGTAGCAGTGTCATGCGTAGTCATATGCTCCGCAACAGCAGTGTTGTTCACGCCTGCGACGAGCGCTCCGATCAAAGTGGCATGGTCACCGCGGAGAAGTTTATTAGCAATATCTTTGTCGAAGTTCTTGTCTTTGATGTCAGAGGCGATTGCAAGAATGCCTTGCGCTATGACTTTCGTCTCCTCTGCGGATATGGATCTGTCTTCATAAACTCGATTGCTCCATGAGCATCAGCATTGCAGCAGGGCGAGCATTGGACAATTTGGTTCATACTTGAGAGACGATACAGAACTGGAATATATGTCGGTCAGGTCATTTCTTGACGAGCCTTCTCTTTCCGTCTTGACCTTACGGGATTTCAGCCTCCTCGATTGCCGGCTGTTCACGTAGCATCAACTCAGCGTCTATTGGGCCCATTTTTCCGGCGACGCTCTTCCGTACTGTACTTCTCGGGCCAACTCGTACGGTTTGTGCGTGTGGCTCCCGCCCTTCGTTCTGGCGGGGTATGCGCCGAGCGTTGTGCCTGCGTGGCCTATGTCCCATGCTTTCGTCAAGTTCGGGGCTCGATATGTCCAAGAGAAGAGATTGAAGATGGTCAAGAGATAGAAAAGTAACTTTGAGATAGAGATTCCTGGGCACGAGCTTGTAAGAAGACATACAAGTTTCCGAAGATTGTCTGGCGGGGTAGATGGTGAAATGTAAGCGCTAGGCTAATTACGTTGAAATACAAATGCAGGATACAGTAATGTAAGAGCTCTCGAGTCACGTATAGAAAAACTGAGTAGACCACTGGGCAGAGAGCTTGAAGGTCTGGTCACAACTGGCACCTCACGTACCCTACCACCTTCGCTCTACCGCTCCTGCTCCCTAGTGCTGGATGATACGACCGAGCGGAGGTTATATATATCTCAAAAACTGGTGGGATGGAAGTTTCTCCTTCGATGCCTTTATGGCGAGTAATGCACATGTTTTATCGCATTGGTAGAGTAGGCTGATGTTGTGCAACCGTATAGTCCCGCCACTAGCAGTCCGCCACGCATTGGTGCCCGCAACTGTCCAGCGGCCGCCAAACACTCACATTCCCGGATGATTTAGCATCTAATAGAGCTGAATAAATTTAGCCAGCATCCAATCAGGGCCCTAAAGACTTGACTGCTTTCTGCCTCGTCTCGATACGAAATCCGAAGTGCTAAATATTGTAGGTCGTGTCTACAAACATAGCCCATGTAGCTTCAAGAAAGATAATTCGGCCTCTCTGTTCGTAAAAAGAAAATGAATTAATTTGGTCAAAGATATGTAGCAAGGTCGTGGACATTCTTTTTATCTCTAATTGAGTCGATCTGAGGAATTTGAATCCGAGATAAATTAATTTAGAGAATGTATCCCATGGTTATGTCTGCGTTTTAGATTCGCTTTCCTATGAACTTGCCACGGACCCAGCAGAGAACCGAGAGAAGTGACTGTCCAGTGAATTTAAATCTTTCATTGTACCAGTCCATGCCACGTGTTGATCAGGTCGACAAAGAATCAGACACCCGCTGTGTTGATTTATCCCATAACATTTGTAAGCTCCGCCTGTGTCCCCACCGGAGGCACTGTCGTCCGCAAATATATTCGGTACCTGACAAGACGCACTGTCTGGTGTACGGAAAAGGCATGGGAGATCCACGCACTTGACCGAGCACCTTCGGGCTGAATGAATGAGCATCAACTCAAGAGCGGGTAGTCCTTTTCCAAAGTGAGCTGTTTTGTATAAAAGGTTTGATTGTCCCGCAAAAGTGTGAATGAACTGAGAAAGTTCGTCCATCTTGTTCGGTGTAGAAATATCTCCTGGGAAGACCAAAAGTTTCCAGGAACCGTCGCTAGTCAACAAATCTCCGAGGTGTACACAGGATTCGTCTCGTTGACTCATCACAGGAAACGAGGGAAGACGCATACCTAGCCGGACATGCTCTGCACAGGGATTGTTGCCGCCATTATCATCCCTTTGAATCAAGACGTTGGGATGGTATGTAATGTCGACACCGGTCATGAAACCAGCGAACTCACTGCGGACCTGTTCCACCAAATTTTGATTCTTGCTTCCTGCAACATACGCTTGAACCAGCTGTTGGTCCAGCTTCATGAGCTTCTCCGCCACTGGTCGTCGTTCTGATTCGTATGTATCGAGTATACAGGGGTGCGCGAATCCAGTAATTACAGAGCCCAACTTCCATGTCAGGTTGTATGTGTCTTGGATGGATACATTCATGCCCTGCCCTCCTTTGGGAGAATGTGTATGCGCTGCATCCCCAGCAAGAAATACTCTGCACTTTATCAGCACAAAGCTCACAACCAGTGTATCTCTCTTACCGCTCATGAGGCCGAAAACTTTTGACGAGACGTTGGCCTATCTTTTTCTGGTCAGCCACCAGAGGTGTAAGGATAGTGTAGCTTGACTTGCCGGATATATTGACCACCAGTCGCAATAGTTGCTGCTCAATTTGTATGGCTTCATGATCTTCTCCGCTATTTTGAAGAGGTCCTCGAGTGAGTATTTTGAGGATTTTCTAATCGTTTCCGTGTCTGCCCTATCGTGGAGCTCAATATAAAGGCGCACTAGTTTCCTTTCTCTCGGGACGGTCATGATGCTGCCATATCTGCCTGATCGGATCATACACGACTTGCGGATATTTGCTGTAACATTGGGTAAAATAAGGCTCCTCAAGGCGACAGATTGCTAGCTTACGAAAATCCGTGATCGGTTCAAAGTCGATGACCCCCCAAGTGGAACCACTTGATGTTGCCTCGCTTGGGACACCCAGTTGCTCTCGTGTCCAGCTATGGGCTCCGTCGCAGCCCACGAGATAGCGTGCACATATAGTCTCATCATGTATCGGTGAGTCTTCTGCGTGGCCTGAGCTGGTATCAAATCCGGCCACAACATGACATCAAAGGCGAGCATCAGGGCTCCCGTAACAGGTAGTAAGACTCACTGTGCTTTGTACAAGTGCCCGCCTTCACAGCAATTGGAAAATCTGGGACCTGCCCATTAACTGAAGGAAGTATCTCCAGTGCTATGGCCGCCTTGCTTCTCTCGATTTCAACCCGCCTGCCGCGACGCAGATGATCGATAAAGACTTGCTCAATCAGTCCTTGGCCGAGTAGAATCTGACCGTATCTAGAAAGATCTTTGCTTTGCATTTTTTTGGTATCCTGGAGCTCAATGTTCCCAGTGTGTTCGTTTACTCCCTTTTTGAGAGGTCAGCGCCGCTGAATACAATGCTTTGACTTGTGCTCCATACCCAGTAGCAAACGTCAGCAGCAGTCACGCCTTGTTGCAGAATTGGATCAACAAGACCAAAACTCTGAAGAATTTCAAGCGTACGACTTTGCAATCCATCTGCATGCCCTGCCTGGGTACGCTCTGGGTTTCTGTCGATAATTCTTGTTGACATATTATACTGTGATGCCCAGCAGGCAGCCATAAGACCAGCTGGTCCGGCGCCGACAATTAAGAGATCAGTATACGATAATTGCGGGGCCATGTCTATGGTAACATCTTCAGGATCTCGAGATAAGCAATGCTAAATCATGCAGTAAGGGTATCTGGGTCATATAATGGTATCACGAGTAGCGGGAATCCCAGCGCCTCGCCTTTCTTGTCGGCCATCAACTACTCCGGTATTTAATAACGTCATGATGATCTATCCTATCTACAAATCTTGAATTCGTCGCAAGAACTTCAGCCTTGATTTTATGAGTTGGGGACTGAGTTTGGAGTCTTCACCAAAACTTGACATCATAGTGAGCGACCATTCCGATCCTGAAACAAGCCGGGTCAGCGGTCGACAAGTACGTGGCAGTTAAAAGAACCCCACCGCGCACGGAAGCATTTAAGTAGTCCCAACTACATTTTAGAGCTAAGACTCTCTTTCTAACTCATACGACTTTTTCAAACTATTTTGATCCCGGCGATCAACACAATGATGAGCAAAGCGTTTTCATCTCTTCGCGCTGTGCAGCGCATGCAACTTCCAAATGCACCAAGTAAGTTACTTTGGTCATTAATCAATAAAAATCCCTGGTACTAACTTACATAGGAGTGGCTACCATGACGAGGGCTTATGGCAGTTCCGCTACGCCTGGGCAGTCATCTAACGTGAAGAACCCGATTTCCAGCTCACCTGAATCAAAAGACGTAAATGTGGGCCGTGGGTTGGAAGATCGGAGTTCCGACACAGCGGATACACGGTCCACACAGTCCCCAATTTCTGGGCGCAATCGATTGGAGAAAGGCAGCGAAGCCCACGAGGGGGAGGAACAAACATCGACAGATGCACAGATCAAGAACGACCCCAATATGTCCGCGGAAGCCAAACGAGAGAATGTTGAGAAGGCCGGTCAGAAGCCTTTGGGACCTGAGGACCATCAATAAATCATTTGGTCTTTTATCATGAGTCGTATTACTCATCTGATGTTGGTCTGAAGCCTTTCAATGTTGTGTATTATACTATGCGGAATACAAACCGGGTCACTTCAACACTTAAGACCTCAAAAATGTATCAAATATCAGGATGCTGTCCAATGAACCATAATTTATACGGTTTAGTTTGCAGTGCGTCGTTTCGGTCTTGTATCTTTCCAGTCCTCGTACGCATCAAGCCGACCTCGCATCTAGCGAACTGTTGCAAGGTAACGATTTTGAACAGCGCAAGTGTTCATTCAATCAAATTACAAAAATTGTTCATGCGAAAAGCATTCAAAATACAGACCTCAATCATAACGGGAGATCGTCTCAAATCCCGTCAATTTTCCTGCAATTGTAATCCTCAAAGGCATCAGTTATTCAAACATGCCCCAAACCTACATCCTCTCTGTCCGTATCTTCTTCAGTTGGACACAGATAGCACACAGAATACTGCTCTGCAGAAGACCACTTGTTGACGACTTGGAGCCCCGCGTCTCGGCACAACGCGGCAAGATCATCCCCATCGTATTTGTGGCTCCAAGTAGCGCGCAAGGTCTGATTCGCGACGATGGGAATACCATTCAGCTCGACTGTCGTGAGTGCGATATAGTTCTGTTCATGACGGCCTTTGTGCTCGTCCCAATAGCCAGCAACATCCCATTTGCTAAGGTCGAAGGCATTGGACCCGAGAAGCTCATTTGCTCTCTCTAGCCCATGTTTGATGAATTTTCGATTCAGGCCTTGAGGGTCATTGTAAGCTTCGTATACCTTCCTAGCGTCTTTACAACCATCCAAGCCAACAAGAAATGAAGGTTGTGTATGCTTGCCAGATGAGTGCGGCTGAAGGAAGCTTGATAGGAACTCCGCGCACCCACGTCTCGAAAAGCTACCAAGAGTGGAACCCAGGCTCAAGATTGTTTTCTGGCGTTCAAGAATGGCCGGCTGTTGTAGCCATCTGCGGCCATCGTCATACGTTCCCAAAAGACCGAAACATCGAACATGTTTGAATGACACAGTTGGTAACTGTCGCAGCGTACGCCGGAGCTCGGGAAGCGACACGTCGAGAGCAAAATAGCCGACTTCATATCCCAATTCATCAAGAGCTTGGAGAATGATGTTTGTCTTGCGAAGATTGCTGGAGTATGGTATCAGAATCAAATCTCACATGTGCCCCATGAATCTGGTGCAGAAAAGAACCACCTACCCGCTGCCAAGTTCAACAAGAAGCCCCCCCGGATCCAATTTGTTTCGCAATCTGATACCCGTTTTCGTTCAGAATGTGAATTTCTGCATTGGTCAAATAATAATTAGTCGAGCGTGTGATGTCCTCAAAGCGGCGCAGGCCTTCTTCGTCCCACAGAAGAAGGTCGGGCATGGCGGTTTTCATTGAGCACGCGGACTGTATGCTCTCCTTTAACTCCTGACACAAGCCAGAGTCCTCTTTATCTTGACGTATATCAAAAATGAAGTCCACGGCGCCATCCAAAGTCGCATTGAGTGGGCGATCATGTACCAGAGATACTTTAGGGTGCTCGGCGATTTCAAGCATGTTGACAGACACAAATAAGTTGCAAGACAAGTTTGAGGGTGATTCTAGCTGTGCGTCATAGGAGAACACTATTTAGGAGACAGCTTATACTCACTACTTCGTCTGTTCCTATCTGGCCTACTCGGTATCTTTAAGTTGCTTTCTTGCGCTGAATGACGAAACATCACTGAAATGATGATTTCGTATGATGCAAGAAGGTTCAACCATATTCATTAAACAACATACGCGGTTTTGATTCTTGTAGCATCGGTGGCGAATGCAAGTTTCAATTGCGGTTCCTGATTATGTGTGGGATCCCCTGTATTGCCGTGCGCTGGCCCGCATCCTGCTTATGCAGGCCTTACGTTCTACGCAGACTGTGATGGCACACCTTGATCTGCTTCCGCTGTTGGCTTCAATGCCAAAATTGACTTATCGAAGGCCCTGATTCAAAGCTCTCGAAGGGAAATGAACAGGGTAAAGACATTGAGAGTCGCTCGTCATTGGTGGAACTGCCTAAATAGCTCCATTTCAGGTTTCAATCACCGCAATTGAAAGACAAGATCCCGCGGAGTTTTCTGTACCCTTACAACTGTAGTGTTCGCCATTATGCCTGCACCATGGAGAATGCGCTAATTTCGCGACCATATTCAAGTAGCGGCACGACTGGTTGTGGGTCTGTGATCGCCGAGGTTCAGGCTTTATGCAGCGGGAAGAAAACCGATAGTGAGGTGGTGACTTCACTTCCTCTCATTTATCTTGGACTGCACTTGTTAAACTCAATGATATATGTCGACAACAGCCATTTTCTAGCCAAGCCGAAAAGACTTGAGTTTGTAAATATGGACTCTCTCCATCAAGATTGTGAATGCTTTCATCCGCCACAATTGGCGGAAAGTGTTCTAGATCACCGATGTCAGAGAAAGGGAACTGGTCCCTTCGTCCGTCTTGGCATTTAACAGGGTCTGGTCTCGGACGGTCTTCACCCAATACTCCTTTCCCGATGACTCACAAATCCTGCGCTCGTGGCTATCCTCGAATCTTGCCGTTTCAACCCTTTCTATTGACGGAGGGAAAACCCGGCCATATGCCACAAAGACGCTGTCTGCATCTCATGAAACTATGGACAACTCAAGCATGAAAATGGTCATCCAGTTGGATTAATACTCATTATTCTGGTGGCTATCGTTGAAATCACAATGTCTTTCCTCATACAAAAGGGGCAGAAGAAGCCCGAACGATGGAAAAGTGCAAAATACAAGCATAAGTGCAAGGGAACAGAAGCGTCATGGCTTCTGTCGATGGAGATTCCGGTAGCCAGATCAAACTTCAAGATGTACAAATCTCTTCGCCAGGTCGGTCTATAGCAGTCGCAGGCCCTCCCAAGCCGAAATCCCTCCATCCTTCATCCATCCTCGGACTGGCAATAGCCGCCAGAGGGGAAGTCGGATATTTCATTACTTCACTTGCGCAAAGGGCATTTTCGCACATGGCTCCTCAGGTGAGATATCTGAGATTCTTCCAGTCGTGTTTTGGGCGATCTCCGTTTGTACCCTCGTTGGGCCGATTTGCCTTGGTACCCTTGTCAAACGGGTGAAGAAGCTTCAGATGATGAGGACGACCAACAACTCAAATCCATTCAGGGTGTGGGGAATCTCTTAGCATTGCTTATCTGATAAGCACAGACTGAATCAAAGATCCCAGGCATAACTATGATGGCCAATTCAGGCGCATCGGAAATCGCTTGTGCCTCATTACGAACGCATTTTGTACTTCCAAATCCTCATCAAAAAAAATTAAATAGCGCGCGGTATTGAACTTGATAATTGAGTGAAATATCCTGAAAAAAAAATAAACTCCTTTAGCTAAGCTCCCTGGCGGAGATCCCAATAGCTGTGCTTTGACTTTAATGCTCAGGTTGTGGCGTTGCAGTTTGGGGGCCAAATTTTCCACTGGTAGGAACCTCAGCTCCCGTAATCACGACATTTTCAAGACTTGTTCCCATTACATATACTAGCTGAGCGACAGCGAAGCTATAAGTCAAAATAGCAGACTTTCATCATCAGACAAACATATTCTATCGCTGCTTCCAACATGGCCACCCTCGTTCAAACATTCGAGTCCCCCTCAAACCCAAATCGAAGCATCACCTACGCCCATCTGAACTCAGGAGCTCAACACACGCTTTTATTCTGTTACGGAGCAGCCAGCAACTCTTTAACAACAACTCTATATGAGACCTTTCTGGAGTCCCATGCAGACCTCTCATTACTATGTGTTGACCGATGGACCCAAGGCAAGGATGCCGCCCGCACCGGGCCAGCCCTGCTATCCGAGCTTACGTCCATCACCCTAGAGCTCCTGGACTCGCTGAAAATTGACCATTTCAGTATTGCATCCCACTCAGCGGGCGTCTACCAACAACTCCACCTCGCGCAAAGTGCATCAGAGCGCGTGGAGCACGTCTTCCCCATATCATCGCACATTCCAGGACCCTACACCGACTCCAAAATCATGAATGCCATGTGCTCGATGCCAGATTTTCTATTCAAGCCCATCACAAATCTAGACTCTACCATGTCCAACACGTTTATTGGAAAGACGTTTGTCAACATGATGGCGAAGAAGCGGGGCAAAGATAATGATAGACTCTATGTTTCTTCTTCGGAAAATATGAGGCTTGTTCATGAGCGAATTATAGCTGAGCGTGCGATTAACCCGGTGCGCGCTGAAGCGTCGGATGTTGATTATCGCTTTGTGTATGGGCGCATCGAGGGGATTAATGCTGATTACCTGGCAGGACTTTATCGGGACTGTCCTGTTCGCATCACCTGGTATACGTCGGATGGAGATGTTTTTTTTCGGACCAAAGTGTGTAGAACGGATCTCCAAGGATATGACTAGGGTGCAGGTAGAAATTGTGAATGTTTCTGGGGCGACTCACGCGGATATTTACACAAGAAAAGACGTTTGGGAGGGGATGTATGCTAGGATGACAAAGGAGCGCGATGCGTGATGACGAGAAGAGCGATGGAACTGTCTACTGGGAAGTGAGGAAAACATAAGAGCTGCTTGATTTCAAACTGGATACTGAATACACGATCATCAATTGATAGGACGCAAAAGATCAGTCGTATCGTCATCGTGCCTTACCCATTTAGGTGTAGATAGGCTCAGTCAGGTCATTCAGTGTCAACCCCTCCTTAGCAATATCCTCCTCAATCAAGAACATCAGCGGCATCTCGACCAGTGTACCCTTAATCTGGCTCAGCAGTTCCTTGACTTGCTTCGCGCCTTCGGCACCAGGAGCGAAATCATCGCGGACCACATGGCCCCACTGGAAGCGAGCAGGTCGACGCAGCCCATCCTTGCCTTCAGCCTCCTTATCTGCCCCGTGGAAGTAATACTCGAAAAACTCCTTGTAAGTGGCCCAATTACGCACACAGTCGTCAGGGACGGCATGGAACACCTTGCGGAAGACCTCGGTGTTGGTGTGTGCGCGCGAGTTCCACAGGCTCTGCATGGTGTCTGAGAGAGGGTCGGAGACAATCTTGCTCTCAGGGCAGTCGAAGTCAAACTGGTTGGGGACTCCGACAGGCTCAGAGTTCGCGTTGGGATGCTGGTAGTCCTGTGGGGGCAGAAGGCCCAAGTGCTTTCGGAACAACTCGCGACGGAGGGAGCTGGCGAAGCGACTGGCGGTCCACGGCTGACCGTTCATGGTTGATTGCACTGGCGTGAAGTCTTCGATAACGACTGCAATCTCGGAGTCGTGGTCGCCGAGTTGTGAGCGGTCGTTCAAGTTTGCAGAACCGCAAATGACAATGCGGTCGTCGGCGATCATAACCTAGGCTTGTTAGAAAAGAAGAAGACTCATGGTACTTTGTAAGCAATACAAACCTTCGAGTGTACATAGAGTTCTTCGCTCACGAAAGCGTCAATCTCAGCATCAGGGTGCCCATCCCACGGCACAGTGCGAATATCTTCCCCACCCAACATGTAACATGAGCTGACAGTGTCCCAACGGCCCGCGGACTTACCACCTTGGGCGCCTTGGACATTGTGGGCAGCCTGCTGATATTGCTGGAATGGAGCAGATGTATCAAAAGCGCTGCGAGAAGTGCTTTGAGGATAGCCACCGGCGCCAACTGTGTTATAGTCATACTGCTTGCGAGCATCCTCATAGTTGACTCCGCTCTGTTGCTCAATTGCAGCCATGAGGCCGGCGTTGTTGATCCGATCATAGTTGCGGAGGTTGTAGAAACGAATATAGTCCATCGGATTGAAGCCCTCCTTGGCAATCAGCTCCATAATACTGTTTCCGCCACGGTTGATCGAGTTGTATTGGAACTCCATGATCGCACGAGTGCCCAGCATCTCGTCATCCCTCAAATCTCCAGCGAAGCAAGGAACAGAGGGAATGACCACAATGATCTTGTACTTTTGACCTGCACGGGCGGCCCGCAAAATGCGCTCCACAATAGCGGCACCGATCTTGTTCTTCACAGGGTGCTGGGATTCACCGGTGGAAGTGATGAAGAACTGGTTCTCAATGTACACAAAGTGCTGGCTGTTCTTAATCACAGCACAGTATGCATCAGCAATAGAGTGCTCCAGAGGGCTTCCGTTGCTCCATTTGGCACAGCTGCGCACGATCTGGCATGACATATTGCCGCGGCTCTGGGATGTGGGGCGTCCGTATGCTGTCAATTTATCCTGATATTGATGTATTTGACCGGCCAACTGACCGCGGATTTGATTTCCGTACTGCGAGAACTCCTCACGGAATCGGCGAGGAGCAAATCCACGCTCGCCTTCATACTGATGATCGTCCATTCCGCGAGTGCTGGAGTGAGACGTTTCCTGGCCTGGCGGAGGTGGGTAATAAGGCGCTTGACCTTGAGACTGGCCCTGATGCGCAGAGTCGGTCGAATGGGTTGGTGGTGGCGCATAATAAGGCGTCTGGCCCTGTGTCTGCGATTGGTAAGTACTTGCAGGCGACTGGCTCGAGGGAGGTCCAGATGGAGGCGGCGGGAAAGAGTTGCCGGTGTAAGTATACTGCTGGTGCTGCGAGCTTTGGTCTGCCGATGATTGACTGACAGGCGGCGTGTAGGTCTGACTACTGCCTGCTTGGTAGGGCTGGTATGACGCAGCAGGCTGCTGCTGCTGCTGGTACTGCTGCGGGTGCGGACTAGTAGAGGCCTGGCTAGGAGGCGGTGCGTAGCTTTGCGTACCCTCTGATGGATAGGCTTGATAAGATAGATTGGATTGTGTTTGCTGTTGCTGTGGGCTGGCAGAGCCCTGCGCCGGAGGAGGAGGAGGATATTGTGAAACGCCTCCGTGATGATAAGTTTGCGACTGGGGTTGCGGGCTCACAGATGTTTGGCTTGGAGTCAGTGTGTGGGCGGAGGCGCTACCAAGCGGCTCCGGGTGATATTGCGAGGTCGGTGTCTGCTGTTGTGAGGTCGCAGAGCCGTGACTTGGAGGTGGTGGATATGTGGAAGTATTGCCTTGCTGCTGCGGTTTTTGCCAGGCAGGAGTCTGCTGTTGCTGGGGGCTTGCAGTTCCAGAGGGATATGGGCTAGGCTGCTGCTGCTGCTGCTGCTGTTGGTTTCCCTGCTGATTACCCTGCTGCTGGCTGCCAAACGAATTCGGTCTTCCGTAGAGTGCGAGCCTGGCGTACCTCGACTCATTGCGGACCTTGTACTTAGAATCGTAGATGAAGTTCCATCGCTCAACAAAGTGTCGCCGCAGATCCTCTACTACAGCCCCGTGCAGACTGACTGAGATATCAGACCAACCCATTCTGGAACTAGTCTTCCTGTCCAGCTGGTTCTGTTCCCAGTGGGAAACGTCATGGAAATCGAGGACCCGCGAGTTGTTATAGTCCTGACCGGGGAAGACAGTTTCATTGATATCCTCGGGGTGGGCATCAGCAATGGAGTGCTGGTGGGTGTCCCAGCGACCAAAGCAAAGATCCAAACCACCCATGAAAGCAATTTGACCATCAATGAGGCACAATTTTTCGTGATGGGCCCAGTACAAGATCACATCCTCGTTCATTCCATAGAGCCCTTTCAAGGCATCTTTGGACATCTTGGTAAGGCTAGCGGAGTCGAGTGACATGTGCTGAAGAGATGTGGTGATATCCGAAGCCAGCTCTTGGCGATCAGGCAAGTGGTCGGGGTGGCGGAAGACCGCAATATTGGGGTGGAGATTCTCAAGTGCATGTTTGGTATGGGGGAAGAGAGAGTCAAGGCTTGCGTAACTTCCTTGTAGACGATGATATTGACACGCACGCCACGCTGGGCTGCCGCCTGCAGCATTCGATCGAGTCGGTACTGCTCGTTCTTGGTTGGGGGTCTTCTTAGATAGAGCTCCGGTGAGAGCCACCCTGCGGAAAGTAAGGATCAGATAAACATTTTGCGGTTCGGTACGAAGGAGTACAAACTTACAGTCCAGAATCCAGATAGATTCGCGCGCATTCTCCAGAGCTCTGGAGACGGCCCAGAAATAGCTGCAGCCATCCACGTACCACTTTACATCATTGTGTTCACGGGAAGGAGCAAAGCTACCGAAGCGGTGCTCGGTGGTGGGCTTGGTGGCACCATACTGGGCGTAAGCCTGCGGGTCAATGGCGGTACCAACCTTCTGAGCGAACTCGTTACCGAATTCGGCAACAGTACCTTGGATCTTATCGAGCAAACCGCCTAGCTTATCCTTCTTCGGTGGATGTTCTTGGTACTGAGGTTGTTGTTGATAAGGCTGGTGCTGTTGCGTGGTCGCACCGGGGTTTTGGCTACTGTATCCATAAGGGTTCTGGTTCTGTTTTTGTTAGTTTGAGCGGGGGAAGGGTCTTTAAAGAGCGGAAGTCGTACCCCTTGTCCCTGATAGCCGGGCTGGGTCGGAGCTTGGTCGGAGGGCCGCGAGGAGCCATGAGTCTTGTAGGTGTCGCGAAGCTTGTTGAATGTATCGCCGAATCCTCTGCTTCCGTCACCAGAGCCACGTTCAGGCTCATAATAACGGCCATAGGCCAGGTCGTCTTCTTGTCGAGACATTGTATGAGGAACAAATGGGTGAAGAGGGAGGAAGCTGGCCACCCGATGGATGCCTAGGTGAGAGTGGGGAGATGTTTTAATAGCTCCGATGCCCGCTACCCAGCCACGATGGAGACGTACGTGGCTGTGTTTCTGACATGCTCTATTTAGCCTAGCTCTGCACGTTATGGAGCATATTCTAAATTTGTCTTTTAATGCGCAACTGAAGTCTCAAGTCAGTATGCATAAATTCGGGGAATTGTTTGCAAAAGCCGTGAGTATCCGTAGATCGGCGCTCCACGTCTGCGCGTGTGCATCCGCTGACAGGCGATAGATCATTCAAATGAGTTTGCTAGTCATAAGGCTATTTCGAAATTATCAGGTAGAGAAGAGAAATCTGTAAAGCTACCTTAAAATCTCACCATAATCCTCGGCCAATCTAGATAAATCTTGGCTTTAGATTACTAATGACGCAAGTAAACAGTCCACATTATCGATAGCGGGGAAACGGGCCATGTATTGCACAACCCACATCTGCGACATGGCACCTCATCACCTTCCATGCTGCGTCATGTCATTGTCACTGGGACACCACACTGCAAGCTGGCATTGTAAAACAATCCAAACTGGTTGTGTAAAATGCTTTCTCTCATCAGAGAATTTTTTTTCCCAGCCTACCTTGTGGCACACTGATCTTCATATGGGAAATATTTTTGCGATTGTTCAAAAATAGTTTCGCGCATTGATTTCCAGTCAACGTCTGTGCTTCCTGCATTTCTCCAGGCCCAGTGGCCGATATTTCTACGGCCTCCGCAGAATTACGATTACGTGATGGGAATATTCCAACCACAGCTGCCGAAAGATTTTGACAAGCTTGATGAAGAGAACAGGATCTTCGCTTTGCATGAATGGTCCCTGGTAAGGCTTACGAAGTGTCAACATATCTTGAAGACAGGGCAGCGTATGATGCTATGAAGGTACCTCGTGTCTTCCGAGAACTGTTCATCCGATGCGGGGAAGTTACTGAAGTTAGCATTGTTCCACTTCGTGCATGCTTGATAGAAATATGTCAAAATTGGGCAAACCTTGGTTTCTCTGGGAGTGCCCTTATACATTTAGCGAAGCAGAACTGAACGAGCATGAACGACAGTTCGCTGAATATCAGGCTTGGTAGAAGGTTCGAATGCTTGCTGAAGAGTGCCTTAATACTGATGCAGAAGGTTGGATTGCACCGTAATTGGATATCAACGAGAAGAGAAGGCAGAACAAGGAGCTTATGGCCCTGTATATTGAAAAGGTGACCGGAGAGAGATCTGCGAAGGAGGCGAAGGCGATGTGGTCTTTTCCTACTGAGACTTGAAATGGTATCGCACTCCAACTTGTGCTCATAAGGCATGGTCTCCACAAGAAAGCGGATTCACGTATCCTTCAAAGTTCCCGCGCTTGAGGCTGGTTTTGCAGTGCAAGTCATTCATGGACTTTACGTTGCTGGGTTTGACCAACAAGTGCCACTGATCGTCACGATACCATGGGCCTCTCCAATGCAAAACAGGGTGAAAACTTGGCTGATACATCCCCTGGATAACAACCAAGGAGCGGTATTTAGAAGCAATTCGTCACGGAAATTCTACTATATCCGGAGATGTTTGAGAACCGAGATGGGTACGGGTTGAAACGTATCAAGATCACAGCAACCGTGACTTCGTTCAAAAACTGGATCTGGCCGGCATACAAGTCAGAAGTCAAAAAGTAACCGAATTAAGCCTCAATTAATTTCGAACTATCTTAATCCATATCATCCAACCGTGATGAGCGGCGGAGCAAGATAGAATTGATCCAGACTCTCCACCAAATTCCTCGGCGCCGTCGCCGGAATCGACGCCACCTTTGACAGAATCTTCGCATGCACGCTCTTCGACACCGATGCACTCGTCTTTGCAGCCGGCGGCGGCGGCGGCTTGTTCGACTTCTTGGGCGCCCAGCCATATGTCTGCGCCCAGAGATCCGCCGCCCTTTGGGGCGCGTCGGCGCCGAGATCCGGAGCCATCCACGCGCTCTCCACGGCGGTGTACTGTTCCTCGATTGTTCGTGTTTTTCCATCGGGGAGCCAGTTGCCTTGCGCGGCGTTGTCGGTTTTGGGGAAGGGCTGGGGATCGAGTGGTTCCCTGTTACGGTCGTTTACGTTGAAGTTGAGCAGCTTGTCCTTGGAGATGGTTGGTGGTGGAGCGGTGAGCGTCAGGCCCATGACGGCGGGCATGAGGGTTTGTTTCGTGCCGTCCAGGAGGTCGCCGATTTGGTTTGGGTTCTTGAGGCCCTGATTCGATGGATCATGTTGGTCATTGTCTGTCGAGAAACGTCAGTGCGGCTTGGCGATATATGCGGATGGCTACTTACATTGAGCCCATACAGCCATTGGCACTTGTTTAACGCGCTGAATAACGCCAAATAATTTTGGTTTCTCGGGCTCGGCGTCTTCAGTGATTGTTATTGACAGAGTAGAGACTAATGGGAGAGCCAGTTGCATCGGAAGCCCGTACACCAGAGGTAGGTTTGAGGTGTTAGGCTCCCCAGCGACCTCAATCTCTGAAATCGCCGCAACACAGCCGATGCTGAAGGAGAATGTGTTTGCATGGACCAGCCACTCGTGGGTTTCTGGCACTGTGATGGTTGTATCTGTAGGATCAGTATACATCCCCGTTTCGACATTGAGCACATGATCATTGTTTGGAGGCTTCGAATCCTGGTGCAGCAAGTTGTAGAACGTCTCCATTGTGACTGGCAAAGTTGGATGTGGGTTGGATCCTTCGCGGAGGTTAGTTGGCGATTGAATCTGTGGGGCTGCGCATTACTTACCAAAGTAAATATCGAAGCCAAACACCCAGAAATCGACGTGTACATAACCGTGAGTTGGTGGGCCTTCAATGTGCAAATACGCGTTGATATCACATGATATGTGAATGGTGACAATCCACCTGTTTCTTGGTCAGCAACAATCGTCACGGTGTGGTGTTATACTCACAGATCCAAAGTGAAACGAACTCCGACATCCACTCCAATATCTCCCATGTAGTAGAACGGCTTGAAATTGATGAGTAGATCAGCCCATGCGTCAAAGTACGCAGACAGCGGCCCACAACTCATAGTGTAGTTGAGGGAGCCGCCCACCATGCACGCACGCGGGGTGATTGCGAAGTATGCAGTTCCAGTGATGCTGCTGCCATCATCCATGTTCCATGAAATGGAGAGCCGCGGTGGATTTGGGTAATACGGCTCCGGGGTGTACGCCGGGTGATAGCCACCAATGGTAAATACGAAATCTCCCGCGTGCAAGTTGCTGCCGAACCAGTAGTAGAGACCAAATCCGCCTCCAAGGTGGCAGTCAGGATCTAGGATGAAAGACTGCGGAGAGAGAACGCCGTCTATGGCCATGGTACCCGCACCGAAGTCAACCACGGCGGCGATAAGCATCTGCACCCACATGAGCTTGAAGTCTCCCTCGGTCGGCACCTGGGATATGCAGTCGGCGAAGAGACCGAGCTTGACGGATGGATCGAACTCGATAACGACGACCGCTTCCATCAACATCAGCTGCAACGCATTGACGGTCAGGCCGGCCGCAAGCCAGTATTCGCCCTTTTTAGGGGCAATCCAAGGTGATGCGCTGAGCTTCTCCATCGTCTGCAGCGGATCGCCGCCAAGGACGTTTGGGTCGAAGAACGGGAAATTGGGGACTGTGGCCGCAGTCGGGAACGCCAGCGCGGAATTGTATCCGAAGCCGCCGACGATGGTGGTGACCTCTGCAAACTCGAGCTCGATGAGCGGACCGACAAGATCGGCGAACAAGCTGACCGTTTCGAACGACGAGAGGTTGCCTACGCTGATCACTCCGTACTCCCCGCATGCCTTGAAAACGTATGGATCGATGGTGACCGCAATACCGCCAATATACATCGGATCTCGGTACTCGAACATTCCTGCCATGACCACTGGCGGTTTGTTGAACGCGACACCCACTCCGTCGATTTTCACCGTGAATGATCCAGGGAGATTCGCCAGGGTGACATCACTGGTCAAGTCGATTCCGAGCGTGAGCCCGAGTAATGCCAGCTCGATTGGACCGAGCATCACGCTAACATCTAGCATTATGCCGAGGCATCCTGCGGTGAACTGCAGACCGATACTTGATATTGTGATCGGGCCGAGATGGACCTCCATTGGAGCTTTCGCTGGTGGGTTGTCCTCCGAATCATCATTACCGACTCGGCGGAGGACGACATCGGTAGATGTAGACCCAATGGCATCTTGAGCAGTCGGTGGGTTTGGTTGGGGATTATTCTCGGGGTGGTTGAAAATGTAGTCAATTATCGCTGTCGGTTTGTTGTTTTCATTCACAATAACGGTGAAGTGGTAGCCTTCTTGGATGACAATATCACTCTTCTGTTTCAGTGGCTTCGGGACGAGTACCGTCTTATCCACGTTGGCGTTGAACATGTCCACTTGGTCTTGCGTGAGGCCCCCAGCAGCCGAATCAACGTACAGGAAGTAAAGCTCGTCGAAAGGTTTCTCAAGGGCTCCAACAACTGGGACATCGGCTCCAGGAAGTGCGGAAAGCGATGCAACCACTAGCCTGGTCACATCTTGGGAATTTGAAGTATCCGTGAATTGCACGAATGATAAGGAAAACTCATCGATCTCAAGTTCGAAAACACTGAAAATCACCGGCTTTTGATCCTTGTTGAGCGTTCTCTGCAGTTTCAGGGTTAAGATCGCTTTCGAGAAAGGAACGACGATATTTCCCACCAGATCCGGGAGGCTGAGCGTAGAATCTGTCAAATCTCCAAGGATGGCGTTCAAAGTAGGATCAGAGCCCGGATCGTTGTCGGAAAGCGTAGCCTCGAACGTCCAGGTATACTTTCCATCGCCACCCTTGAAATAGTGATAGTCAAAGTCGAGTTCAAAGATGTCGATCATGATGCTTCCTGTGAAATGGAACTCGCTGCCAGCGCCTTCAGAGTAGATGTATTCTAGGCTCAAGCTGGGAATGAAGATCTGCTTCAGCACACTCATGACGGAGTCCGAAATGTCTGAGTCAAAGAAGCTGTACAGCGTCACTATCCAGATGTTATCGGCAGAGCCCGTGATAGTCCAAGTAGAAGAATTCGTGATTCCAGGCTTGTCGTTGTACCCAATTCCGCCGTAAAGATACCCCGGAAGGAAGCCATCCGCGAGCAGCTGCGCACTCGGGTTCAGAGTTAGTTGGAAAGCCAGAGAGAGATCCACATTTCCTCCCGTTCCACCAGAGGCGAACGTGTAGTCTGCGTTGAGGTATAGCATGTCAAACGTGACAGGAGGAACGGAGCTTCCCGTATCTTGCATCGCTTTCAAAACTCGTTCTTTTTGTGTGGTATCATTTCGCGCGAATGCGATAGCACCTTCGAATGAAAACGATGTCGAGTCGATCTCAAAAGCAGCCGAGAGGATCCTTGCATTTGCAATAGCCGCTGGCATACTAGGGAGACCGGATGCGCTGCCGGGTAAAAGGTACTTCAAGGACATGTCGGTTGCCGCATGCTGATCCAATACTCGGAGATCTTCATAAGACTCGTATGATGAGACCATGGCGGGAGTCATGCCGGGCGACAACATACTTAGTGGCTGCGTCGCTGAAGGAATTCTTCGTCAGTGATGGGTCCACACTGGGTATTGAGAGTAACGCGAAAGACCTCTCTATGTGGGTTCACCAAAGAGGAGAAGAGAGAATAGTTGGAAAACTTACGATACCACAGCGCCGCCCTCAGCGAGTTCGAAGACTGTTTTGCGCTCAACCTCGTCCACTTATACGTAAGCAGCACCGAAACCGTCGGATCATCATCGCTGCTTCCAAAATCTAACTGCCAATCTAGATCGAGCTCCACAGACTGCACAACATCATGGGCAGAATCCAAAACAAGCTTTACGCGTCTGAAGCCCGGAATGGCCCTCGACCGTAGAAGATCCGCGAACACCGGTGTCGTGAACAAACCGCCGCTGACAATCGTGACCAGCCAGTCCAGTATATAACCTGGATCCAAGCGCTGAGTGCCCGGATACGTCAGCATGATCTCGTATTTGTCCTGGTTGACATCCATCACAAGTGTGAGCGCCGAGTCAGGTGGTGCGCCGGCGATAGCGACGGAGTTGGACACAAATGCGAGCGATCGCTTGATGGTGGCACTGCCGTTGGTGATATTGTCATCCCCATTTGTGAGGTACTCGAACTCCTTCTTGGTGATGACAATCATGGACCCGTCCGCAACTTTGACCTGTAGGACGCCGGCGAGCTTGCTTGGGAAGGAGGACTTCACGACGAACTGTGATCGGTGCACTGTATTGTACTGCGAGACGGGTGAGAACCAGATGGCGTTGCGTGAGCCTTCGCTGACGTCGATCTCAAGCTCGAGGCCTTCGAGGAGAACCATACCGGCGGGCATGTCGTTTGGGCTTTCGCGGTATAGCTCGCCGATGAGGTTCAGGAATTTCAAGGTGAAGGGCGACTTTCCATCCTGTGCTGTTGCGGATGACAGCCCCATGATGAGGTTGTTTGTTACAATGCCTTGCATGGGCTGTGGAGGAACGGGGAGAATCGGCGCGCTTCCTTCGCCCATAGCGACTGGGAAGTAGTTGGTGCTGTACTGCAACAGTCCTGTAGCGAAGGCCATCTGAGTTGAAATTTGATCCAAGACGGAGCTGCTCCCATATCCCTTGAGAGAACAACTAGAGAACAGTTGGGAGAACCAAGAAGTCATCTCATCATCTTGAGCGAAAGCGACTCCAGCGGTTGTAGGTGCGGAAGCCAGGCTTATCATTCCCGAATCCAGACCAGACACAATGGAATCAAGGCTTGAATCGCTGATGAGTATACCGACTGTTCCTGATGGAGGGTTTGTCACAGAGCTCCAGAAACTGAAATCTCCGCTAGCAGGCATTGGAGCTATCCGGCCGGCAATCCCACTTTGCAGCGGCGCGGGGTTGACATCGCTATGAAGCGGCAAACTCTGCCCAACTGCGATGGAGTCGTTGTCGTCGTCATCGTCGTCTTGAGCATCATCGTTTCCCCCATCCCCGAATGCCGTCCCCGTTTCGAACAACGGCTGGACTTCAGCCGCACGGCGATGTGCAGCCCACGGATTCAACCAGAATGAGCGGTAGATTCTACCACCAGCGCGTGTTTTCACCTCCAATGGCGACAGAGGCCGATCGTTCTGGAGATCTTCCAGATTGATAGCAAATCCCGATGATGAACTGGATGAACTGGATGAACTAGATGAACTGCTCAGTGGGACCCACATCTGGGTCAGAACAGGAATAGGTTTATCAGCATCAGCAGTTGGCGATTGCTCTACTCGGTGATAAAGGATGCCAACCCTATCGGTAACGTCGGTGGGCCAGGTTATAGTACCGCCTCGAAGACAGTAAGTCGGCCAAGTCGACGGCCTCGAAGCCAAGTCTAAGGGCGAAATATTATTCCAGAATCCGATGCATATGATTGTGGCGAACCTTTGAGCGGCTCGTCTCTTCTCAAGGTCACTGCCAGCCTTCTGCCAGTCGACAAACTCATTTATGTAAGTATTGGGCGGCCAGTACTTGATCTCGCGGAATACATTTGCTAGTTCTTGCCGGAATTGACCGCTGGGAGAATGGTCGGGACCATTGAATAGAACGTCAGTCATGGATCCGATTTCCAACAGCGGAAACGGAGTCTCGGGCACGGGCGCGGTGGAATTGAGCGCAAAGTAGTACGGGTAATTGGTTGGATAGAAAGGTCGAATGGGTGTGGTTGTGCCAGGGAAATTTCGTATGTCTGCGTAGAAGGCCGAAAGCCATAGAAGGAGTGGATAGCCTGCAATTAAACGTGAGTGGGATGCGGTCGATAGCTCAATAGACCTTACTGGGGTGGCCATAGCTAAAACCAGCAGAAGCGACAATTCTCATAGGACGGAGTACACTGAAAAGGTTTGCGGGCGATGAAGTCTGTGATCCATGATGAGAAAGCTTGACTGCATCGATCCGAGCAACTGAGGCGCTGGCCCAGCCGACCAAAGCGGCCTCGATTCTCCAGTCAGCATCTCCGCCTAAGAAGTGGGAGATCCTGATGTTGTCGGAGCCAGTATTCCACATCACCATCGCAACAATGGAGTCGTGGTTTGTCTTGGAGTTTCCTGTTGAATCAATGATCTCAGGAGCACCCACGGCGGGCTTAATCTCGTGTTCAATCACGTTTGGGATGATGGTGGTTGTACCCATCACCAGGCCTCGACTTGCTACACACATAAGTCGGGGAACGCCTTGCGGAACTGAGGCCATCAGAACTGCCGGGTTCGGTACTGTCCCCCAGTTTGGAACGGTTGATCCCGTAGGCGCAGTTGCAACCACGCTATAGTCAAAAGGATGATATCAGCGGAATTTCCAAACATGCAAGGCCGCCACGAAGGACGAAAAAGACAGGAAGACTAACCCCGTGAAGAAATCAATACCCCGCAAATCGCCAAACTTGCAGAGCAGGATATTCTTGTACTTTACCTCACCATTTAGAGAGAAATGCAACGTCCCGGAGTTGCTACGCTTGTCTGGTGTCCTGGGCAGCCAAGACGGACGGCCGTTGATGACTGTTCTCTTCTTCTTCGGCTCTCCGTCTATAGGCAACTTCTCGGCATACCATCTCGGGGCATACAGAACTGTCTTTGGTTCGCCGCTGTCTAGGTCATAGTGAAAGAAAGGATAGGCATCACGGGCAGCATCCGCTTTGAGATTTGATGAGAGCAAGGTATATAAGCCTTTGTAGTGATCTTGATGCCAGTGGGTTATGACAACGGCGTCGAATTTCAGTGGTTTGCCAGTGGCCGCTAAGTTGAGATCGGGATCGTTCTGTATGTGGACAATGGTATCCCATAGCGTGGACTTGTGATATTGATAGATGGTATGGCCGGCATCTATCAGCACGGCATTCAACACCGTGTACCTTCCTCCAGTCGCGCCATCACCGTTATCCTGAACGCGTAGATGGATCGAAGCATCCCCAGCCATCACGTTGACGTGATAGCTGAAGACTTTATTCGGAGTACTCATGGCGAGATATCGGGCCGCTTCCGAGCTCTTTCAATATTTGATATATTGAACGGGCCCTCGAAGAAGAATACTTCATTTGAAGCTCAACTTTATCATAAGTCACGATCCCGGGCGAGATTGAATCTGGTCTGCAACAATCCGCAGAGGTTGCCAACACAGAATTGACATGAGTTGAGCGAGCTGCCTTCCCAATGGCAGGCCACGACAGAGCCAGTCTTGGGGAAAGACACCATCCTGGGGTACGCTCACTCCCCCGCATCCTCTGATTCCTCTCCTTTGCATTCCGAGGTGGAACTGCACTAACGCATCTCCATGGTTTGGGGTGAGGAGTAAGACGCCGCTCCCTTTGCAGTCTTTCCAGCTCGCTTGATACGCGGCAACTTTGGCCGAGGAGGCTTGAACCTTCATTTTCGTCCGCTAATGCAGCCAGGTTCCCGAAAGGGTCCATCACTGTGCACTAGGACAATCGTCAAAATGAGCTGAAAAAGGAGTGGCGTTCCAATCGACACGCCGAGACCAGAGAAAACCTTCCGTGCGGCAGTTGTCGTTCATCAACAAAGAGCTGCATCGCTTCTGCACGCCCGGTGGGATCAAGAGACACATGTGACATGCACCGTGAGTTGATGCCACGGGAGCGACTGGATGTGCTGTTGTTATTCAGGCCATAGCGAGAAGTAAACAATGCCGACCACCAGGGCCATCTACTCCGAACCTGACGGGGTTTCCGGGACTCCCAGATAAGGGATCGACATTTCAGAGGAAGGCAGCATTGCATTCATTCCCTTTGAGCCTGGAATTTCGGGACAAAGCCAAACCTCCAAACTCGACACCAAAGAAATCCATCACCGCACCCCAAGACCCTACACTCACACTACTATACTATCATGTACCAAACCCTCCAATCCCGCCACCCCTTCACCACGCTCCCCCTTCTCCTGATCCTCCTCGCCCTCGCCTTCTCCTTCTCCATCGTCTCGATCACCAACACCAAATGGGTGCAGAGCCCCTACTTATCCGGCGGCCCCATCGTCCATCCGGCCGCCTGGTACTCGCGCGGGCCTTTCGGCCAATGCATCGTCATCCATACAGGCGGCGAACACCCGACCTCAACGTGCGAGGCGCGCCGCACGTGCGACCAGGGGGGCGTGTTCATTGACCCGGCGTACGTGTGCCAGCAGGTCGACTTCTGGGCGGGGTGGTTGGTGACGGGGGCGGTGTTCGCGGGGTTGAGCATGCTTTGTGGATGGGGGCTGGGGGTTTGGCTGGTGCTGAGGAGGGTGTGGAGGGAAGAGTGGGAGGGGAGAGGAGACTGTGATCGTGGAGGAGGAGAGAGAGAGGAGGAGGGGAGCTGGAGAGGGAAGCCGATCAGGTGGAGAGAGAGCAGGCAGAGGAAGGGGGAGATGCGGAAAGGAGCCAGCAGGCTGATGATGCTGCATTGAAAGAGGGCAGACATCGGCATAATCACCAGCGGCAAGAGCACGAACGCCGCGAGACTTCCTTTCCGTCGGTTGGAAAAGGGCATCTCGTTCTGGACCGCAACCTTCGCTTTCTTCTCAGTACTCTTCCTGGCCGTGGGAACATTGTTCCTACTCCAACTTCTCACCAACGACGTGCGCTGGGATGGAGATTCAATCGCTCACGGGACCGCCGACCCCGAAAGCACCAGATACGCCCACTGGACATGGAAGACGCCCGGAGTAGCATACGCGTTCTTGTCTTGGCTTTTCGGCGTTGTAGCGCTGGTGATGCTGGTACCATTTGCTTTTCTCGATTGGGGATATCATCATGACTACCGCAGACTGCGAGAGGAGCAAGAATAGGATTGAGCGCTGCATGGAATATTGGCAGAAGCAAAACCGCGATATGGTGACTCGGATAAAAGTGAATTCCAACCTAAAATGGATAAACATTCTCCAACCCCCCAGCTTGTACCAGTGCTAAGGCCTTGGGCCCTTGGATCCCTTCACAGTCACCGTGATTGGGCCCTGCAAACTCCCTTCCGGCGGCGGATCCCCCGCAGCTAGCATAAGCTTCGCTCTGTCTGCACTGCTCATATTGTTCGGGTCATAGTAAATTTCCCAGAAATTATACGTGAACGTCGTATCAGTACTCAAACTTCGTGATCCTCGCCTCACTCAGCACGAAGCCCAACTCCTGGCTCTTCCCGATTGCGCTCCAACCCGCCGAGCTGCGCGGGTACAGCGACAAAACCAGCGTGCTGTAGGTCTTGTTCATCTGTTGCTTATACTGTACGACAAGCGGGTTGTACCGCATGTTGGACAGCATGCGTCCGCCGAAGCCGCCGTACGAGGACATCAGTCGCGGCTCGTCGTCCGTGGACGGACCGACTTCGATCTCGATTCTGATGTGGTCCAGAGGCCAGGCATCGGTGGCGGGATCTGAGGGCCGGACCACGGAGAAGAGAAGGTCCGAAGCGTAGTCAGCTTGCGCGATGATGTTGGCTTGCAGTTGGTCGCGCGAGCGGACGTGGATGGCGTATTGCGCTTGGCCGCTCCCGCCGTCATTTAGAGAGCGGGAGGGTTTGGGTGGAGGGGGGTGATTGTGCATGTGGACGCCGCGGGAGTTAGGAGACGGGCTATCGAGGGAATGATGCAGCGCGATCTGATTTTCCGAGGCATGCGTGTCGTGTTGAGGACGTGCATGTCCACGCCCATGGTGAGTCGATGCAACATGATGAGAAATCTTGTGTCGATTCTTCAGCATCGCAGCACGATGCGCTCTCCACGCCTCCACCTTCTCCCCCGTGTGAAATCTATTCCTGCACTTCGTCATCGTGAGCGTGCGATGCCTCTTTGAATCCGATGACGCATTCGCAAACGCCTTCTTCACCGGATTATCCGACAACAGGGTCCCCACGGTCAACACAATTACCGGGTCGCTCAACTGGAACGCCATCAACGCCGAGCTCGGGGTAAGCTCGCTATAACCCGGGGCCGGGGCGTGGGTAGCGGTGGTGTAGATTTGGTTCGAGAAGTTGTCGAAGATAAGCGTGCGGTTCTGCCAGTCGAACCAGGGACACACGCCGGTCTTCATGAACTTCAGGTCACCCGTGGCAGGTTGGAGAGGAGGCCATTGGGAGTACGCCGCCGTGTAGACTTGGTGGTAGCTCAGCTCGAAGACCACGTCATAGTTCTGATTGGCGTCGGGACCAACTTTGTCGGCGGCGGCGAAGCGCTGCTGGTGTGGGGGTTCGGAGAACACCAAAGACGTGAGGGGATCGGTTGCGGAAGAAGGGGTGCGGTCGAAGAGTAAGATCATGGTATCATCTGCAATGATTTCGTGCCTCAAAATCTCTGGCCTTACATCGTTCTTGTTGGCCCGCGGAGCTTGAATTCTTAGATCGGGGAATTTCTTGACCATTTCGGATCGCAGCAGACATCCGAATATTGGGACAAGTGGCTGATAACCTAGGATAGGATCCATTTCCTTCAGGAAGCCGTTGTAAAATGCATCCTTAATGGCAGCCCGCACGAAATCTTCGTCTCCCTCGCTATGATTAGCTACGGAGAGCGCACCATCAACGAAAGCCTCGGTCCAATTGCCGTCGATGGCGAAGAATCTTAGGCTCTCTCGGGGCAGATACGAAGTGTCCGGCAAGATGTAACTGGCAGGCACACCAATAAAGAATAGGCCATTCATGATCCACTGTACCACAATCGCCCAGTCGCTCGACACGGCGGTGTTGTGTTCGTTGTATAACATTTGCTCGCCCGGTCGGTCTGGATGGTCCGTGGTGCTCAAGCTTAGCTGCCTCGCCACACGAATGGAATGTTCTGCAAATTGTTCACGGATTTCTTTGCTCCAGAAGTTCATGTTCGGTGTATGGCTCTTTTTTGAACTCCCATCTGAGCTTTGGATCCATTGGTTTCGATTTATCTGCCATGTCGGGAAGGTTCCGCAAGACATCCATTGATTTCCCAATGGAAGAAATCAGTTCTTCAGCCGTCGTCCCGTACTTTCCGTTTGACCTCGAAAGCACGTCTTTCATCGATGCTTTGAAACTGCCATTCAAGACCGCGGCCCTCAGTCGTGTAAGAGCGGCGCAGAAGGCCATGTCCGCGATCGCCATGGATTTCCCTAGCTGCCAAGCCAAACTGTAGGAAATGTCCATGATGCCAAGCTCTCTATCCAGAACTTGTAGATCCGTAGCAAAAGTACTCTGATGTGATCCTAAGTTTTCGCCGTTCTGGACGGTGGGCGTGAAAGGCCCGCGAACTAGAGCTACCGTCGACTCGCCCGTTTGAACGCGATGGCTGGCAAGGGTGTACCCATCCTGCATGCGGTAACCGACTCGTTGTTGTACTTTATCCTGCGAGCCTATCAAGGCGGCGCTCGCACTTGGATCGATACTCAGAACATTCATGGTGGTGCGGAGATGTTCCATTGCGTCCTTAACGTTCAATGAAAGTGGGGGAAGTACAGTGTAAGTCCATGAGAAGAGCGAGCAAAGTGCAACACGCGGTGCAGTTGTAGCAAAATTGGGGTTTTCCGTTGGATCTAGGCGCTCTATGGACACGAGGTGTGCGGCCATATGGGTTGTGTTGGGGTTATCCCATGGGCCAGTCTGGTGAGCCACGACAACAGAGAACATCCCGATATCGTCATCTCCGCCGGTGGAGGAGGCCATGCCTTTCATGTTGACGTGTTTGACATGAGTGAGATATTTGTATCTTTCAAGTATTGGTTGTTTATAAGGCTGGATATTTCCGGCAGAATCATAAGCACTCAGCAAGTTCTGCAGTTTTGTCGTGTCGATGAAGACAAAGTCTGCTACCTGGGTAGGGGCCGATGCCAGATCGACTGGTGTAGTGGCGAGATGGTTCATTTTGGCCAGTGTCTGAAAGTCCATTCGAACAATACCCGTCTGCTCTTGCTTGAGTCCATTGAGGTCCGCGTTCGTCAGCTTGAGCTCATCGGCTGGGAAGACAAGGAGTGCCACCCAGGGAAGTTCATTCAAGGCATCTGGATCCTCTTTTGAGGGTCCCCTTTCGTTCCCATGGAAGAAGTGGGTCATGGAGGACGACGTGTGGCAGAATACGATTCTCATCTGCATGGCCTTCCGGGGGGTAGAATGAGTGGATGGCATCTTTCGAGAGACTGTATTCCGGCTGAATCACATTGAAATGCTGTGTGGAGTTGAGCGTCTTCGTCCCAATGGCAGCACGATTGATTTCTTTCGAATCCGTATCGAGGACTTGCTGGATCTTAATTGTATGCAAGCCTGCCTCCAAACCTGGAACATAGGATGAGAAGAGTTGCACTTGGCCTGGATCCAAAGCAGCAACTGGCGGGAGAGGCGGGTCATCGTTGCCGTTGCCGGTTGCAGCATTCCAGAGTCGTCGCCCAGAGCGTAGGGTTAGACGACGCGGATGTGTCGTAAACTCATCAGGTCTTCTGAGCCGCATCGCAGCAACTTGTCACGGCCAGGCCTCTTTACAAGTTCCCAGGCTCTTCAGTAGCGAGCTTCCAAAACGTTGTGTCGACCCAAATTCAATGTTAGTTCTCTACCACAGTACTTCTGTTGAAGTCCGGCATGAGAATGACCAGATTCTAAGGCTCCAGAAGAGGAGACCCGAGGCACAAATCACTAGCCCAGATCAGCTACCTTCTTTCAAATGAAGCTGCAGACGCGCAAGCCATGTTCGGTTCGCTAAGGCATAGTGGATTCAGACCATGTCCCGCCCAAGACCGCGCAGGAAGATTTCAAGAAACATGGCGCCGTTCCATGTCCATTTCAAGCGACGAGCAACGAGCAGCATCTAGATGACGGCACAGACGATTTCAGGACCTCGGTGGAACGGGTAGACGGATGCAGCTCCCCGACGCTACAATCCAAAGAAGACAAATTGTCGACAGGAGGTGCATTGAAACCGCAGTAGTCGTACGAAGGTTGGATGCAAGAACCTGGCGGGGGCGGCAACACCTGCGAACTCTCCAGAAGACCCTCACTAGCTCCTGCAGCCCGGCTGAGGGGCATGGCTCCTAGCTTTAGGGGATTTAGGGGAGAGGGCAACTGTAGCCGGAGCCACTAGCCAACCGGCGGGCTGCTATTTGAAAACAACCCTGTGCCAAAACTCTCAGCTCGTCAACCCTCAGCCGGAAAGACTAATTCATGCACATGAGTGTTTCCAGGGTTGCCCAGACCCGTCGTATCTGCAAGCTGTATGTCCACTATCTAGCCAAAAGCGTGGCCCAGTTAGCTTTGCGTGATACTGGGAATATTCGTGGAGCAAGTTGGCGACGCTAGAGAAATCTTTTCACATGGAGAGGTAAGTGGCAGTTCCGGTTCCAAGATGGAAGATTCCGCTTGGACCAGCTTCCTTATGGGATGGATCGTCGTTGCTCATCAGTTCCTCCCGCAATGAGCTTTGCCTCGATGTAATCCTTGAGTGTGGATGGATAGATACTCCATAATCTCGATTAAGGCAACCTCCCGCGGTTTCATCGATCCATCCATCTCAGAGTTGGAAATTGACCCAGCATGACGAACCCATACGCTCCTCAAAATCCGTGCTTGCCCATGGTGGTATCGGCCTTCGTGCTCAACGAAGCCGTTGCAAGTGATCCTGATGCAAGAATTGCACCCATCACCCAGCCAAATTATTCATTCCTTCGATTGGCGGAAGACATCATCCAGAACGACGCTCAGGATCCCACTGACTTGCACTACACCTATCCTGCTACGAATAATCCTCGTCTCTACGACATTGGAAGGAATGTCCGCCTGGACAGGAGCATCGGCACGTACGTCAGCTGGACTTTACCAAAACTGTACCGGTCCGGAGTGGCCGCAACACCAAACTCACAAGGCGATACTGATGCCGACAAGGACCAGGCTCGCCAGGAAAAAGGCCTTCCACCAGTTTCAAGTCAGCGAGCAAGTGGAGGTGGTACTTTGCAAGGTGACTACTCATCTCCCGATTTCCGGTTTGCTCCGACGAGATGGCTTGTTGTCCGATTAATCGACAAGAGCTCGATTGCAAATCTCCCGGCGACGACTGCTGACAAGCTCGAGTTCACTGCGTGGATTGTGGACAGCGACTTGGTCACGAATCTTGAGGATATCAAACTGGGCCTAGATCTACAAGTCGACTTCTCACCGTTTATTAATACGACCACTCAGAACGACAATTTGGCGTTGTTGAAGCAAGCTGAAATCTTCCTGGGCCGCTGTATTGACTACGAATCATGGAACGAAGTGTCCGCGGCCGATATGCGAAGCCGGCCCCAGCTGTCTGTTTTGAATGCTGCGAATCCAATTTTTGCGGACTTCCAGCCTCATAATTCCAATGTCTTCAGCATCGTTGACAACTTCAATTACACTGATGAGAATGGCAACAACGCGATCCTTCAAAGCGCCACCGCTTCATACTATGTGATCGGATGGCACAGCAAAGAGGAGGAAGATCCCTTCTTTATGACGGCCGCTGCAATTCAAGCCAAGCAGACTCTTCAAACTAGGCTGAACAATCTTTCAATCGACCTCCCAAATCCAAACAAGGACAAATCAATTTCGGATTGGCTCTCATTCATCGGATCAGCTCGATCTGTATGCCATGGCGCCATCTACAATGTGCAGTGGACGTATGACAAGATGCCTCCGAGTCCTGCTCAACTGACTGGGCAATATTTGAGCAAAACGACCAACGAGCCCGTGGCCATTGGGACCACTCCCACAGGTTTGTCTCTGGTCCTTGCCGATTTGCTTTTGGTGCTAATTCCGGTTCAGACACGGTTCTCTCATATGTACATGCGCATATGAATCTGGATTCCAAGGACTTGGTCAGGCTAGAAACGGACGTCTGGAACCTCGGGACTCTGCTGCTTGCCCAAGACGATGGCGTTGACAAAAAGGCCGAAGCCGAAGATATGCTCTACTCGTACAATTTCGAGCGTGTCTACAGCGGCAAGAAATGGCATCTGACCGGGTCAGACTCGCATCCGGGGCAAATGCCGAACACTGATCAAGTTGAGACGTTGCGGAGACTGAATTATACACAAGAAGTATTGGACAAAGCTCTGCGCACCGAGAAGCAGCTCAAGTGGACGCTGTTTAGCGAATGGTATGATGAATATGTACTTGATTTTTTCGTCGCACCTACTGAAATTGTGACCAGGTGGAAGTATGTGAGCTCGCAAGAAAAGCTGTATGACCCGGATGGGGTAGGAAAAGCTTCACAGGACAATCTGACAGACATCATCACGCGGCTGAACAAACTTCGAGGGCCTACAGATGCCAAATATCCCGACACCGTTTGCATCAACTCTCTACAGGCGGAGGTCAATACGCTCAAGACCCAAATTCCGACTAAGACAAAAGGCCAAGAGGCATCGGCGGAGCCCTTCTACTCAAGGAAGGATCCAACTCTACTCCTCGGCGGTGTTGCGGCTGGTTGGCGGGAGACTATTTAAACAAGCTCAAGATCCGTCTCAGTTCGCAGGTCACTTTTAAAATTGATGCGAAATGCCAGCCTTTTCAGGCAGCGGTTGCTGCAATTGTCACCAAATTGCCGGGAAATACTTCTGGGATTTCAGCTGTAGTTCCGTCCCTTCTCAACGAATTCTTCTCATTGAGTGGAGCTACGCCGCCAGACCCAGGTCCGTCTGACGTTGTTCCTCTTTACCACGATCACGGCCCACTTGCAACCTCAACAGGTCCATGGAGAGATCAATGGAATGGCACACAGCCGTGGTGGCCGCTTTTTCTGGAGTGGCAAGCGGAATACTTCCATGTCCCCTACGCGGATTGGGAGCTGGCTCCGACAGATGCTTCGACATGGGAGTACCAAGTCAAAGGCGCGCCCAATCCGCCGCTTTGGCTACAGTCTGGCATCGACAAGAGGACCATCTCGGGCCGCATGCTTATGCTGCCCCAACCGTCTTTCTCCCTTGGCACTGCAATTCAGAGACTGGAAAATAACTTGGGACCAAAGCTTCCAGTGGCTCCGGATGAAATCGACTTCCTGCTCGCCCATCTCCCGTCAATACCGTATCTCTCGTCTCCAATGTCTGGGCTGACCGATCACCTCGTCACGCTCTGTCGCGGAACACACATCAAGCCATCGCAGAGGCCAGCTGGTACGCAGGCGACCACAATGACCGCCGCGCTCACTTCAGTCCAGGACCTTAAGAATCAGCAGACAAAGCAACCCTTTACCTCAGATCAGCTCGCACTGATCGGCCAGGAATCTCAGCAAACGCCGTATGGTGATTTGGTTCGTCTGAGCGACAATAGCACTGCGTCACCTTTCAAGCCGGCCACTCATGGTCAGATGCGCTTCACGCAGATCAATGTGATTGATAAATTCGGGCAGTCGGTCTGCGTACTGAATCCCGATCCCGTTCCCGACGACAAGAAGCCTCACATCAAGCCAATTGTCAGCGATGTGTATGCCCCGCAGCAATACGTCGATGCAAACTCCGGCATCCCAGCCCAGCCAAACGTTGTTGATCGAAAGATGCCAAATCTCGGCGATAACGAATTCGTTCAGCTGCCTCCGGGGATAAACCAAGACAGCAGGTTGAATTTTGACTTCATGTTCCACAACATTCATTCACCAGAAGAGCAGGTTCCAAATAGTTATTGGGAGCCTTGTGGTGACTACGACACCCCGATCTGGGGCTGGGTCCTTCTGAACTACGTGGACTATGGTCTGCAATTCTTCGATGCCGATGGTAACTTCTATCGCGAAGTCCGCCTCGGCGGCCTGAACGGCGATGTGATTTCTTCGCCTTGGAAGCCATTCGGTCCTCCAAAGACTCGTACTGTCGACACTAAGAGACTCGACGATCTGCTGGCGGTTTTCACTACCCAAGACACTGGCCCGCCGTTCCTTGCGCAATTCTTCCACATGATCGAGTTGGCACTTAGCAAGCCCAATCCGACGCCGAGTGCGTTCGCGTCATATCTGCAGAATGTTATCGGGAAGCCATTTGCTCTGACGACGTTTGGCATGAGCCTGGAGTTGTCAACGGACGCGCTTGTCAATCAAGCTTCGGCGCCATTCGCCATACCGCCCATGACTTTACTGCCTCCTACAAATGCATCGCAGACGCAGTATCAATTCCCAATCAAGATCGGCGATGCAGAGCGCGCATACGACGGCTTGGTCGGCTACTGGAACACTGGTCTCGACTCGCCCGGTGACACGGACTTCTCGAACCTGTACACCTACTTTACCCAGCAATTCAATTCTCCGTCCACCAAAATTCTCGCTACTCACACAGCCCCCACCGCGCCCACAACTGTCGAAATCGCCCCCGGAAACCTCCCGCGACTCTCCCCGTTCTTCACCTCTCCGGATGTGACCACCATCACGACGCCCGGCTCCCAAATCTTCGCGCCCCAACTCGTCGAAACCGTAATCGGATCCAATCTCTCGCACTACTCCGTCTTCGCAGGCATCATCGACCCGTTCGTCGCGCTACACGCGTACCCAGGTATCCTCCCCGTCGGCAGTCTGCAGCTGCCGCACTGGACGATTGCGCAGGCCATGGAGAACATGACGGCCTTCTTCCACTACGGGCCGCTGCTGGTGACGCAGGACGTGCCGCAGTTGTTTGATCCGCAGTACTCGCCCACGAACGGGACAGAGAAGGTGGATGAGACGCATTCGGTGGCGATTCCGACGCTTAAGAGCGCGAAGTGGGCGTGGTTGCAGCCGTTTGAGGTGCAGCCGACGGAGGAGGGTGGGGAGGAGGAGGCAGCGGTGAAGAAGGAAGCGTTGGGCGGAACGGATCCGGTGGCGGATAAGTTCACGCAATATATGGCGCTCGGGGTCACACCGTCGGATCAGAAGCCAAGATATGAGGCCGGTCCGTACACGGCAATTGAGGGCTATTTGCAGCTGTTGGAGCCGCTTATGAAGGCGGAGACGACCGGGTCGTGAAATATTCATTGTAGTCGATAATATCGCTGTTTCGATACTCTCTATCCGCACCTTTGAACATGTTCCTCATCCATGTCACCATTCAAGGGTTGCATGATCCAGTATTTTGCTCTCTATACAATGTGCAATTAATAATGATACCCTATGATAATCGACAATTTCTTTCTCTGTGATACATGTGAAGTCATGATTGTTGATTTGGAGCAGGTCAGGTTCCCGCTTGATCTTGAAAGATCGTAAGGATAGTGTCAATTATGGGGTTGTGGGCTCTTTTTTTATATCCATTTAATGATATAAGAAAAAGAAACAGAAAAAGAAACAGTCGAATCACACGGGACATTTTCCTGCTTGGAGAATCCTAGACTTTGAGTGGCTCGCTTTATTGAAACCTGCAAATGCGGAACTTGGCCATTATACAGATAGCGTGTAATTGATCCATTTTGAAGTAAAAAGGTAATATAAAGTACCACTTGTCCTAGACAATCAGCATCTACCGTTCGACATGGCGCCGACAAGCGGCTGTCAATCCGGGAGAAAGCCAAACAGATTTATCTTGTAGACCTGGAAAAAATAGCACAAAGATTTTATTTTCAAATTTATCACTCCGTCATCGCTCGCTCTTCATGTACATCGGAAGAGTTCTCGCACTTGCAAAGTGACAATGCGTGAAGCCGACCGCCTATACTATCAAGAAGAGCGAGATTCGGTCACGCCAAGCATCAAGTCTTCCGTTTATCATATGGCTAGCTATACGTCGTCGCACGTAATTTAAATAAATTACTGTGCAAATGCTTGCAAGGTCAAATCTAATTCGACCATAAATGTAACGAATAAAGAACTGTTCAAACTCCATCAAAATTGGACAATCGAGCAATACTCCTCTACACTCCTTAACGGTTCCTAGTGACGGTTTCCCTCTGTATGAGGCACAGTGTGACTTTTACACTCATTGAAGCTGATTCCTTTCTTCTCTTTGCCTTCTCGAGCGGTTTCTTTTTCTTCACGCTTCCTTTTTTGCCACAACAATATCCTCAAATGTCATAATCTTAGCCTTCTCCACCGCCGCTGACCTTTGTACGCTGACGACCTTTCTTCTCGTTGTTCTGCTGAATCAAGACTTGAATCAGCTGCAAAAGAAGTGAACGCTCCGCAAATGCTCTTGCCGTCGCATTCAGTATCTTCTGAAGTCGAAACTTAAAGCCTTTGTCCAGTTGAGTAGTCATCTTTTCTTAGTATTTCGTAAGTTTAGCGGTATCGGATTAGAAGCTTTTTATGTATGAAGGGCTAAAGTAAGACCTAAATTCAATCTAAGTAGCCTAAGAACTATATATAAAAAGCCTTTAGAAGAGATATCCTCCATATACGCTTTTTATATCAATATTCAGGTCACGTAATTCTCGTGACCTATAGTGGCATCGGCCCGCAACAGATAGAGCCGTAGTAAAGAGTAGATAGCAAAACAGATATCTAAGGAGTTTAATAAATTAAGTGCAAAGGGTAATAGATATTCTTTAGTCATGAAGGGAAGTACCTCTGCAATATTTCGCTACGGTTCCTCCGCTCGCCACGGCATATATACGTTACCGGACTCTCCCCGCACCTTAGGTAAGAGTGATATCAGCCCCGCAGGTATATAAAGCGGTCCCGACATCACCTTGTCAACGTATTCCACAACCTGATCTGACCCTGATTATTTCTACCGTCACCATGTCTCTCGCCACTCTCGATGTACACTATCCAAAGGGGACCCTTCCTGATCCAGTGCTGACTTTCCCCAGATTTCCCAACACCCCAATCTCCCCGCAACATCGCAGACGCTGTTTCACGCCAAGGCCCGCCAGCGACTGAGCTTCGAGAAGATCGCCCAACACATCGGTCGCAATGAGGTCGCTACTGCAGCTATCTTCTACGGCCAGGCCAAGGCCTCTGCAGAGGATATTCACAGGCTGGCTGATTTGCTCATGATTGACCACTCGCAATTGGAAATGCAGCTCAATGGCTTCCCCGATCGCGGCAAGTCGGTCGAGATGCCGCCCAAGGAGCCTTTGATCTATCGTCTTTATGAGATTGTGCAGAATTATGGATATGCTTACAAGGCCATTCTCAATGAGAAGTTTGGAGATGGTATCATGAGCGCTATCTCGTTCTCGACGAGTGTCGAGAAGGAAACAGATGCTGATGGGAATAATTGGGCTGTTATTACGCTGCGTGGCAAATGGTGAGTTGAAACCTCCGCAGAAGGACAAGCTACAAGCCTTCGAACTGACATTGGCAGGCTGCCCTTCTCTCGGTTCTAGAGCGAACGGCATTTGACATGCTTTTCTTATGTACTTTGACTGCTGTCATAATTTGATTAGTTTTCAATACGAGTTCGCTATTCTCCAAGTTCTCTCCAAGTTCTCTCTTCGAGTATCTACCCTTGGTACGGATACCAAAGCTTCTTTGGATTCTATCGTTCTTTGATACTCAGAGAGCTGGGTGGGTCCCCATATCACATGTGACCTTGAAGGTCACTGTAAGAAATCGAAACGGCCAGTCCATATCAGATCTCTAAAAGCAACACAAGATGCATTCAACAAGTTATCGTCAAAAGACTGACAAGCAGTTCAGTGGTCTCACATGTACATCTCACCTCGATATCAGCTTGTACTATCTACGATAGCTCTCGATGCCCACAGGAAAGACTGATATTTGCTCAGCTAAAAGAAAAGGGTATGGATTCGACGGGCCCCCGACTCCAAAAATGAGAGGGAAGACGCCCGCAAGCAAACGGCCGAAAAAGGCATAATCATAACAGGAGGCATCTCGAATAGAAATAGAAACGTAAAGAAAAGAAAAGAGCACCAGGACTAGTCCCACCGCATTCCCCACATGCCGCTACATCCGAGCCAGGTATTTCGGTCTAGATGTGTGTCAAGGAAACCAGTAGTGAGAGGGTATCATATGGCTAGCGGCGCTTGTGCATGGGACATTATGGGGGGATGGGCGAGCTGCTTAGCAGCAGTCCTCACAGCACTCGAAGCACATAAGACCAGCACAGCTACAGCCATGTCAGTTTGGGTTTGTTCAAAGGATGTAAAACTTTGGATATAACTTACACGCCGCAGCAGACGTCGCCGGCACCACCACCGCGAAGCTTCATCATGTTCTCCTGGGAGTTCTGAAAGGAAGCATGTCAGTCCAGAAGTTCCTAGGAATCGGGTTTTCACATAAGAGATAAGGGACATACGGGCTGCTCGGTGACAACGCGCTCAGTGGAGGGAGCGTCGGGGCTGCTGGGCTGCTGGGTCTGGACCGAGGCAGTGGCGCCATCCCAGGCAGGAGCAGACTCCTGCTTGGAGGAGAACCAAGAAGAGATGTTGCCGAACATTGTGGAAGTGGATAGAGATTTGGGAAGATGAAAGCTTGAAAACCAGGGGATAAAAGTGAAGTGGAAGGAAAGGAGGGAGGCCAGAGTTTCCTTTAATACCCCGACTACAAGTCTCACTTACAGACCCTTGTCCCTGATACAGTACAAGTGCTGAGCCACTCTCGGTTAAGCCGCGGGGCCCTGGCGTCGTCACCCTCGTCACGAATGACCGTAATCGGGGCCGATGGGCCTCCCTAAAAGGTCCACTCGTCACCCTAAGCCCTGCCACGTTGGCGCCCGGCCATTCACGTTGGGCCTAGCAGCGTCACTGTGGCTACCTGAGGATGCTAATGATCTCATTTCAATAAGACGGGTTTGTTTTCGAAGATGTGTATCGGCAACTTACGAAAGCAAAAAAATGAAGGCCAACCTTGGGGCAGGAGATGGCGCCCCCTGAGAATGGCGGGTGCCTAGGAACACTCTAAAATGCGACATAGAATCCGCGGATTACACCCCCACATGTGCACTTGGCCCAGGAGCGCTAAGCTTCGACAAGCTTCATTATTCGCGCACATCCCACTTATTTTTAGGCACCCGCACCGTGGCTCAGCACCTTTCACACATACCCCATTCAAGGTCCAAGAAATGGACACCGAGACAATTACGATCAAACCATTCAATTAGGCTATCACTCCATTCTTCTCTCTAGCCTCAAGTACCAGATTCATGTTGAGACCCCACAATTTCTTTTGAAACCCTGGGTTGAGTCACATGACTTGCACCCCTGGCAGGTCCAGTCCCCCGTAAATTTCACTTTCGTGTAGAAGTCGCGCATCAAGACGATCAATAGCCGGAGACCTCAGCAGCCATGGCCAACCCCACAGAAACCCAGATCCAGCGCGAACGCGACTACGAGCGCTTCAAAAATTACACCGCTTACGGTTTTCTTGTCGCGGCACCTATCATCATCGCCCTCCCACCACGCAGACTTGACCTGAACACCGTCGCACTCGCCAGCGCCTTCGCTTTCTCCGCCAATCATGTCACACGCGAACGTACAGGACGCAGCATCGTCGAGCGAATTGAGGCCCGAATCTCCACACGCCCTGGTATCATGCGCGACCTGCCGAGCGGTCGTGCCGAAGAAATTCAGTCCAAATTGCGGGCGGCGCGGGATGCGCAAATGCAAAACGCCGCAGGTGAGGAGTTGGAAAAACTCAAGGCTCGCCAGAATCAGGAACAGGGTGTTGTTGATCGAGTGTGGATGGGCGGGGAGTCGGTTGGCTGGAAGGAGCGCCGGCTAAGAGAGGAACAGAAGGCCATTGAGGAGGGGAAGGGGTATGGTGATTTGATCATGGATCATATCTGGGACGTATGGAACTGGGGCCGCAAGACTGAGGAGGATGACGATGACGATGAGTGAGCGCCTGCATTGTGAGACTGCATATTCGCTAGCAACCGCTATCGTCTCCGGTGGATCGGCTTGTTATCCTGATCTTCACTTCCGATTACCGTCGCCATCTGCTTCGCTGCACATTCTTGTCATTACTACGGCTCCATATATGTACCATCACTTCGTTCGGATTAGCATCAGGATCAGGCGTTTTCATGTGACTAAATCTTTTATCAATACATCTCTACTCTTGGAGCACCTGGGAATCTCAACTGTTCCGAGTGTGTAAACTCTGATCCTACGTGTTCATTACAGAACGTTGATTTAAATATATGGGGAGTATTTTTGCTTATTTCTAGCTCAAATTGTGCTGAGGGTGGCCAACAAGATATTAGTTGGAAGGAAAAGAATAAGAAGTTGTGGCTGGTTTCGAACGCGCACCATTAAGAAAACACGAGCATACTCTGATACGGACTCACACCTCAACGAAGCAAAGGGAAGCAAAAAAAAACTGGTAGCTTCTCTTTGATTGAGCGTGTCATCCTTAGTGCAGGGGCCATGCTAATCTTCTCTGTATATTTTCATTTGACCAAATGTCCCGAAGGACATGAGTCTGGCCTCGAAAGTGAGATATGACCAGCGTCGGGAGGCAGTATCTCACCGCTTTCTAAGGATATTGCTGGTACACATATGCGGGCGGTGAGTGGTGGGAGTTGGATACAACAGATTTCTGTGGGAGAATTTTCGCTACTCAGCTCGCCATATAGCCTAGTAATCAGGCATGGAAGAGAAATGTCCAGACTGAGAAGGTGAGATAAAGGAAAATCAAATTAACAGGAATTGAAATGACGGGAATGAGGGGTCGTTTCGCTTAGCGCATGTGTGGGAGCGCCCAAAATGCCCCACGCAGAACCTTGGGAAGGTCCGGGGGCGTCCCGCTTACTTGGAGTATCTTGATGTACCATCTTGACTGAAAGTATGTGCGAGTGTCAGACATTTACATTATGCATCAGGTTGGGACGTGAATAAGTAGCTTCGAATATGTGCACGGTGATACTATATAATCGACGCTGAGGCCAAGCAAAGGTTCAACTATAACGGGGTTCTACAAACAGGCGCAGCTAACAAGGATGTGTTTACACAAAATGCCCAGTCTCAGTTGTTTGATGGAATATATACTAATAGATGCAAAGACATGTGTGAAGGTGAGAAACATGATTGGTGGATAGATTTGGGAACGCTTCAACTGAAGGTAGCAATTTGCTCGAGGAGGCGTTGAGTGATCTTGGCCATCTCGATAGTGCCTTGAGTCACAATGGTCGCGATGTCGACATTGGGTGCGTCCTCGATGATGAGGTCACCATCAGCATCGTAGTACATGCCATCACAGCCCAAAGTAGGAGCAACGGGCTCCATAGATTCGTCGAAAAGATCAGAACCGTCGACTGAGCAGTATAGCGAGGTCACTGGGACTGGCGGTTGCTGTTGCGGCGACAGGGATTGATTGTTGTCGCGGGAACGGCCACCGCGAAATCGGCCGTTGGAGTCTTGGCTGAAAGAATCAAGCTGATGATATTGAGAATTGGAGACTTGATAACCATTTTGACGATGTTGTTGCTTTGGAAAGTACTCCGGGGACCATTATTTACACCAGGGCGATGGATGGAGTTGTAGCCCTGGGTCTGGCTCTGGGAACGGGGTCCGGAGGGAGGAACTCGCCCGTAATTGTTTCCAGGTCGGTAATTCTTTGAAATCGTCAGCTTGAAGATGTCTTAAGAAGATGGTCAAATTACCTCGTGATTGGAATATCGGGCACCCTGATAAGGGCCGCTGCGGTAATTGAACTTGCGGGTATCATGGTATCTTTGATGACTCCCGTAGTTGTTTCTTTGATCTTGACTTTGAGATTTGTATGTGTAGTTTTGGTGATAGTGAGAATTCGACCGCGAGCCTCGCTCATCTCCAGAGATCCGGGGTCCTGAGCCGTTTGTGGAATGTGGAAGGAAATCGGCTCGAGGCCCATCCCGGGGGTGGTATTGACCCAGGCGGCGCCCGTTGAAAGAGGAATATCCCATCTTTCTTGGATATCGGACGAAGTGTATGATTTTGTCAACCCTGTCTCAGTACTCAGAATTGAACAAGAGAAGCTCTAAACCTGGGATCCAGGACTGGTTTTCCAACTTCAGGGGCTCCCACGATCTTGTGAATCCGCACGATTAAAAAGAATTAAACGATTTTTTGAAGTTTGGAGTTTCAAATTTGAACGATTTGCGGGCAAGAAGGAATTCACAAGATAATGACCCCCTACAAGTCCAGTTACTGGAAGCAGGCTAAGATACTTGGGCACACTGGATCAAAACTGAATATGAGGCTCAGGGAAATGGTTCCTTCAGATGTTTGGACGCGGAGAGAGAGAGAAAGAAGAGCTGCGCGGTGAAATATAGGACTCAAAGATATTATCAGAGAGTATGCAAGATGACCCAGTCTATGTGGGAGGGTGAAGAAGAAAGAGAAAAGAACCCAAAGAGACGCGAGAAATAAAGGTGATCTGAGGACAGGCCTTCTCCGATATGAATGAGGAATCGGGATGCAATGTCCAAGTCCGATGCCCTGAAGAGGACTAGCTACTTTTGCGCCGGCGACATGGCTGTGGATGATGTGTGTCGAACCACGGATTCGCAACGGGTTCCTAGACCGTGTCAAGTATTGGCCCGAACAATAAGAGGAAGTAGTTCTAGCTCAGTCCCGAAGAAGGCATATCAATCCGAGCTTAGCCCTAAGTGGACGACCGCAATTCAATTTGGATAATGCTCGTGTACTCAATAGATCTCGGGGTATAATTTTCGAAGGGCCCGTTCAAGATCAAAAGCATGGGCTCGCTCACAACCCAAAGAGACGGCGCAGTAGAACAATCCGGTTCCGTCTTGCTCAGAGAAGGCTGATGCCGACTCGCGATGTCTCGTGGACCAAGAGTCTATCTCTCGAGGCGGGGATTCAAGTACGTTGTGGAAGAAAGGACCATGCCAGCGCGTTAATGCTATCTTACCCCACATGTACAGTGGAGCCGCAGTCCGATACGGCTGTTGTCCAAGGTGATCGTCATCAAAGAAAGGCTAGTCCTTAAACGCCTGTGGTGCACCCGCGGAAGCTCTTCTCTGGGCCTCGATTAGACCCGCGTTGAATGAAGCTTCTTCAAATGAAGGCACACCAGGATAAATAGAACCCGAGCCGATCTCAGAATAAGCCTGTGAACAAATCAGGTATAGCGGCGTAGAGCACGATAGGTGCTGTGTGCACCAACTGTCATCTGCGGAAGTGGCCCGATGAATAAAGCCACAGAAAAAGGCAAGGGGGATAATGATAGGGTATTGTGTGCTTTTGTCATTCAGCGGGTTTTCATATATCTTCTTGTCTTCAATTCCGCCTTCGTCTCTGTCGCGGTCTCGCCGTCTCGTGTCGAGTCGTGCCTCGTCCTGGCGCGCTTCTTCCGGTGCTTGGAGTTGCCCGGGGATGTGCTCTCGTTGGAAACCATACTTTCTCGTTTGCGTTTTTCGGGCTTGACCTCATCTTTTCGTCGTCGGCATTCATCCTTGATTCGTAGTCGACGCTGGACTTCTGCCGAGATATCTTCCGTCTCGAAGGAGCCAGAGGTATCGAGTTCCTCAGCGACTGGGCGGGAAACGATATTGCGCTTTCGTTTCAAGACCGGAATTTCGGGTTGTGAAGTTGTTTCTGACTCCGTACTCGTGGTTTCTTTCTCTTCCTCGGTCCTTGGTCGCTTCCTCCGGCCCGTAAACTCAACATCTGTAGACTGTGGGGTGGGTGTTTGCCGAGCATGTGTCTTGGAACTCGATGAAGAGACGGAGGAGAAGGGGTTCTCGAGCGGTTTCTCTGAAAGAGCATTTGTTAGATTCCATGAGCAGTAGAGATCGGCGTGGGTGTTTCGAGAGGAATGACGATGAACGTACTGGCCAACTAGTAGGCAAGTGTTAGTTGCAGCCACAAAACTCGGAAGAAACGCAGCAGAGTGACAAACCATGTGTTTCCTAACTACTTTGAATTGGTTCATCGCCTGGATTGTCTTGTTCACCATCGAGGAGACAGCGCGAAATGCCTCGCCGTCCTGTGCGACATGTCCTTTTACCGATTCTAGCATTCCCAGATGGGCTGAGAGGACGTCTTCGTGGCGTGAGAAGATCTGAACAACGAGGAAAAATGTCAGCAAAGCTCCTTTTCTGTTAGGAGAGACAAGTGCTGGCCCTCGCTAGCATTTTCGCATTGTTTGCGGTGCTGTTTGCCCACGCGACGGAAATTTGGCTATGACGACATACCTCTGCCCAGGGGATTGAAGCAGTGTTGGTTTTAAGATTATTGAAAGGTGAGTTCGGTTGACCATGACTGGTCCCATTCGAGTAGAGGTTTGCGCCCATACTGTGAGGCCTCGAAGACTGCAAAGGATGTAAAGAAGCTCGCGAGGATCGGCGGAGAAAACGGAGCTTCTCCGCGCCAAGAGTTCGGCGGTCAATTCAAAGCAAGTGCGACTTGAAAAGTGAGACTACAGGTGGTTCGGACAGAGAACAAATGACTATCTCCATTTCGCTCCCTGGGGTGAATGGTTCTGAATTATTGTGTACAGCCCGAATCTTGAACGCCTTCCATGCCCCCAAGGCGCAGTTAAACCCCGCCGCCAGAATCATACAATTACTTCAATTACCATGCGCCAGCATCATTGTCAAACCGACCTAGCTCTTTCTGTGAATCCTCAACATCCTTCTTAGCCTTCATCCGCATGTAGAAGATGGGACAGTCGCGTGATGAGCAGATGACCTCGCAGTGAAGACTGCCCTGGCAGCGCTGACATTGTGTCCAGAGTCGACCGAATCGAACTTCAAGGTCGGATGTTTTGGTTAAGGCCTTGGTGTAAAGCTCGCCGAGACGTGGCCGGCAGTTCTGACATACGGCACCATCCTGCTCCTCCTTGCCTGAGAGCGGCTTCTTGCAGCCCATGCAGGTCTGGGTCTTCTTGGTGAATTTCATCAAGCCACCCAAGCTGGGTGCAGCAACGGAGATGGATCGAGTATGTTCACCCGTCAGCAGTTGATTGGCCTTCTTCTCGCCCAGAATGGGCTCGAAGATACGACCAAGCGGATTGGCAAGCTGGTTGTCCAAGTAGTACTTGGTATCGACGGGGATGTTGTTTTCCAAGACGTAAATGGGATCTTCGGCCCGCTCGTAACCTTTGGAGTTGGCTGCACCCTTGATCATGACATAGGCCACACGGTCACCCAAAGCAGGTGCAGAGCCAGCGTCACGTTTGGTCATGCGCTTGGCCAGCTCGACGTGGGCCTGCTTGCCAGCGTACTCCTTCTGTGAGAGGGCCTTGGTGATGACCAGCTTTGACATATCGACCTTGTTCTGGAGGAGGTCGGAAATGGTCGATTTGACATAACTATTTGGAAATGTCAGCTGGTGAACTACGGGGTTGAACAATAACTTGCTTACTCTTGCGCGCCATCGACGTCTCTTTCAATGAGAATCTTGTTTAAAACCGTCTCGATGACGTTTTGGACAAGCAGACAATTATCACGGCGCACGGTCTCAATACCCTTGGTGTCCATCTTGTCGTGCTTTGTGGTGTTGGTCCAGTAAAGACCAGCATACCGCTTCTTGTTGATCAACAAATAAGGGAAGTACACCTTTTCGAACTCAAGCTTGATGGGTTTGACGAACTTGGATGATACGAAGTCGGCGGCTTCCTCGCCGAGTTTCATCGCGTCTGCCAATTCAGTCACCCCGAACTTGACCATGACTGAATCAGTATCACCGTAGATGACTTGGGCGTCGTGAGAGTAGCCATTGGCGATGGTATAGCGAGCCTCCACTTCCTGCTTGGTCTTTTCAATCATCTGACGACCATAACTAGTTGTACTACTGGCAATGGGCAAACAGGGCAGCTTCCCAACAGTAGCACCTGTTAGACCATACACACTGTTTGCGCTGATCTTCAAAGCAAGCTGACGACCGTTCAGCACAGCCTTTTTGAAGGGATCTTTCTCAGTGGCCAGCTCCTTCTTCGCGCGTTTTCGCGCTCCCAGAAGTTCCTCGAGAATTTGAGACAGAAGACCCTTTCGGACTTTGGCGGTGCAGAACATGTCTCCGTTTGGCGTCACGATATAATCCTCGTCTTTCTTGAGACCGAGTTTTTCCACACTGTTTTTGTTGAGAAGGGTTGTATAGCAGAGGTTGTGCGCTTGAATGATAGAAGGGTACAGAGATGCGAAATCGAGGGTCGCGATTGGTACACCGTAGTATCCTCGCTTCGGTTCGATAACGGTCGCACCCTCATAGTCCTGCTCGTCCTGGGATTTGGAATTGGGAATGACAAGCTGTTCCTCCCGAGCCTTTCGGAATAGTTGACTGATGAACTTGACTTGTTGGCCGCGAGAGAGCAGGTACATGAATGGAACACCCGTGACTCTTGCCATCTCGGTGTAGTTGACAAGACACATCAGTTTGTCCATTAATCGTTGTGGCAGATAAGCATCTTTCAGGCAGTATACCGCCAAACGACGACGGGAATCTGGAGTACCATTGAACAATTCCGTAATCATTGTGTGGTGGACGTCTTCCTTTTGCTCGCCGAGGAACTCGTACGACACGGAATTGAGGGTGTAACTTCGAAGTTGATGATCGCGTTGCACCAATTGGAGAAGATCAAGCTGGATTCGGCCGTTGGTATTCGTAGATTTTGTCTCTCGGTTGCCCATCTGCTTGCTAGAGAAACTGGACTCCTTAGCTTCCGTTTTCATCTTCTGCAATCGTGTCCAGTAAGGGAAGTTGGTGCATTTTAGATGTTTCGCCCGATCCAGAAGGTAGGGAAAATCGAAATTCGCAATGTTGTACCCGATGATCACATCAGGATCGACCTTCTGCACGAACTCTTTCCAGGCCATGAGCATCCTCTCCTCCTTGTCAAATTCCAAGATCTGGGTGTTCACAATGAGACTGGTAGTATCAAGGCAAAAAACGTTTCGAACGAAGGGCTTGCTGTCACCGTATCGAGAGACAACATTGGCGATCTGAATGACCGGGTCGACGTTAGGCTCAGGGAAGATTCCTTGCCGACCAGCACACTCAATGTCGAAAGACAGGACGCGAAGGGGGGCCATCTTGGCCCATTCACCATTAGGTGCATGGGCGATCATGTCGCGATAATCAATGATAGCCTCCAATTGGCAAGTTGACTGCTTCTCGTCTTCTGCGATAAGCTGGTATTTCCCGGCCGGCGCTTCGACCCATGACATGCCGTGCAGACCAGTATCGATCATGAACCTCAATAGATATTGAATATTGTCAAAAGTGAGGATTCCACTATCAGAGCTGCTCCACAAGCCCTTATAGTTCATGGTACCACTGCCAGTTTCCAGAGCGCTACGCAGTCTGGCAATGAACCTCGGGTCCGTAACGGTAATTTTGAGGTACCAGCTCTTCTGGTTACCCTGAAACCCATAGATATTCTCTCGTAAGGTGACCTCCACGCGTTGGATGGCTGGGGAGTTCTGTGCCAGTTTGGTCTCAAGGAAAGCTTTGTAGGGCTGGCAATCTTCCTTGGTGAAGCCGACCGGGGCAGCGATGTAGAGGTAGTGTTGAAACCCGGTGACGTGGAGCAAAACTGATTGGCCTGCCTGCGAATGCTGTTAGATACAATCTGACTCGACATGAACATCAATAGAGAGATGAACTTACCTCGGTAACACCAAAGAGTCGGACAGCCATCTTATCTCCAGCCATCCGCCCTTCTTCCGCATCAATCTGCTGAAAAGAAATGTTGTCTGTTGCTGGATCGAACGCTCCAACAGGAGGGCGTTCCCATTGCTGGTCCTTCTCGGCATTGCTTTCTTTAAGATCGTTGATATCCTGGGTCATCTTCTCCAGAACCTCTTCCTCGAAAGTGCTCTTTTGGGGCTGCGTTGAGCCGAATCCTTTTCGGAAGGGTCTTTGTGTAGATGGCTTGAGCCCACCGGACTCGTTGTCAATCTTGCGCTTCTTCATCGCGTTGGAAGATGCGAGGATGTTGCGTTCCTTGTTGGTAGCGTCGGCTAGAGCCCGCTTCTGGGGCATGATAGCTTCAGGCATTATGACAACTCAAGGTGTATGGGTACACCCTCGAGAAGCCGTGGGAAGATGAAGCAAATGTGAAGAGAATGTGTTGGGCGGGCAAATAATCATCGTGTCGCACTTCGCGCCTTTGACGTGACGCTCTTAACGCGTGTAGTATCACGTGCCGATAATGAATAGGCTTATCGTGCGTATCAAGCGGCGGTACTTTGAAGTAGTAGCTAGCAACTATTCTAGTACTAGTACTAATACTGGTATGAGGCAGACTTGGATTTTCTCACTTCTTACTGTTCTCATCTGATAGCATTATGTCCTTGCTACCTTCCTCCTTTTAATCAATGTCTCGATGTCAATGCCACTGCGGCAACGACCGGGAAGCCCTGTTCTGCCGGCAGAAACGAATGATTCGTCGCTTTGCCCCTTCGCCTTGGCATCACCATCTGTGATCTCGATTGTCTTCTGATTTCCTTGTGTCTATGTTTCCAGACCTGCCTCCTTGCTGGTTACATCTGGTCTCAGGAGGACATCGTTGCCTGTGTCCAGTGGGCTCAAACGCAGCCCGCCTATGCCCTGTTGGAGACACTTGGAATCCCATGGAAACTTGAGTCAATCATCGCCTGTCTTGGCCCCGGGCATGTTCACAGCTGACTTGATTGGACATTTACCTACCGTGTCCTCTTGAACCTTCAAGGCAGTCATATTTGATCGTCCTATATTTCCTTGATACTTCGGTGCTGGCTTCGCTACTAATCTTCGCGCCCGCCATATCTATATACCCCACCACGATTGGGTGGAACCATTTCTGATCTTCCCAATCACCACTGCAGTGTTTCTGAGGGGACGTCTCAATCACTCGACCTCTCTGCATTTTTTGTTCATGGCGTAGTCGTGGTTTCAATCTGAGTATCCTTCTCTCTTTGGCTTGCCAACATCAATACCTAGCAGCATGTCAATGTTCAGGTCAGCCGCCGACATATCTTCGTCTGATCCAGATTCGGAATCCGACTCAAGTGACTATCATGGGGCCCCATCGCCAATTCCAAGGAGTGCTCCTAGCTCTGAGTCTCGCCGTGCTAGCAAGGACCGATCCGCCGACAAATTGGCATCTAGCAGCAGTGTGGATGCTTCAATCTCGCTAGACGATTTGTCTATATCACAGGATGCGCTGGATATCAATGTTGAGCATCATGGGAACATGGTGACCGCTGCCCTGTTAGAGTTTTACTGCCAGACCCGAGCCGCGGAGATTCTCAATGCCCAAGCAGGGTCTAACAGAAGATTTACCCGGCAGTGTCCCGAGGCCCAGTACCTGGGCAAAAAATTGTACAAGTATAAGTCCCAATTTCTGTCATCTCATGGTGTCCTGGCAGAGGGCATCGACAGTGAAGAGCTTGACGCTACAAGACAGAGCTACCGCGATAACCTCGACTTCCTCGGCCGCTCTGCACTTGAAGAATTCAATTTGCATGAATCTCAACCGCGATCTCCAATTGAGGGCGGTGAAGAGATGGCATTGGTAACAAGGCACCAGAACGGAATCAATCTCACAGAGAATGGTGCCCAGTTCTGGGGTTCCGGAAGGACTCATCTTCCTTCGATTGGCAAAGTTGATGTGCTGGATGGAATTCCCACTGCTGCAAGGGCACCGCCGCAAGCTTCCAGGCCCCTCTTCGGCAGTTCACCGGTGAGCATGCCATTATTCAATCAGCCTTCCGCCCCATCTTTGAACCTTATGTCGCGCTATGCGGTCGAATTCAGTGAGCGCAAAGTTCTCGGGCGAGGATCGTTTGGCGAGGTATACCACGTCACGAATCACATCGATGGGCAAGACTATGCCGTCAAGAAAATTCCTGTCAGCCAACGACGCCTTGATCAATTACAATATGGCGGACAAAATCAGCTAGAGACTATCATGAAAGAGATTCGGACCCTTGCCCGCCTCGAGCATACCAATATTGTGCGGTATTACGGCGCATGGGTGGAGCAGGCACATGTTGATCTCTCGAAGTACCCAGTGGAAGGTATTCATAAGGGACTCAAGAGTGATACTCGAGTACCCTTCGAGCAGCAGACGCAGAGCTACAATTACTCGCACAGTGAACAACATAGCCAAGGCTCGAATGAACCTAGTTTGGGTGTTGTGTTTGAACGCTCTGAGAGCTCAGCTATGGAATCGCCCATGAGTTCCGTGCCCGGCTCAGTCCCTGATGAGTTCGGTTTCCACAACAGGATACACCGTTTGGACAGTCACGCCACTTCGTCTTCTCGCCGCTCGAAGAAAAGCTATGCGCAGGATCTTGAGGACGATGATGACATCGAGTCCATTCCGCGGAACTTTCGCGACCCCTCATGTGGCCAAACATCCACATTCGGGGAAACGGACGACATTTTCACCGACGGATTCAGCCAGGATCAGTCGAAGCTACAGGTACAATGCCGCTACAAACCGAATAATCAACCACCCCCAGCTGTCATTCTTCACATCCAAATGTCGCTTCATCCGATCTCTCTCAACTCTTACCTCAACCCTCAAGCTGCAGCCAGTCCCGTCGGTGATGCTCCTCCTCGACGACATTGCTTCCACATGATGGCTTCATTGAGACTCATGCTTGATATCGTTTCTGGCGTTGAGTATCTCCATACCAAAGGGATCGCTCACCGGGATCTGAAGCCGGCGAACATCTTCCTATCCCTGCCTGAGAGCAACGATCGGAATATTTGCGATATCTGTGCTCGTCAGAATTCTCCAACGCAATTTTGTCGACCACGGATCGGAGACTTTGGCCTTGTTGCTGATATCTCTCACCTGAATGGGGTCAATAGTGCTGTCACACCGTATCACAATGGTCCTAAGATCCAACGCGTCGTGGGAACCGAATTTTATCGCCCACCAGCCGTTGGTGATCCATCCAGTCCGGCTTCAGACTACTTCGAAGATTACAAGGTCGATGAAAAACTTGACGTCTATTCCCTGGGGGTGATCTTGTTCGAGCTTGTGTATCGATTGAACACAAAGATGGAGCGTCAATTGGTTCTGAACGAACTGACTCGCGGTTCTATATCTTTCCCTAACGATTTCGCAGCCAAGATAGACTATGGTGAGACGCAGTTGGAGGGGGGTGATACAGTAGCCGACACGTTGATGACCTGCATCCGAGGAATGTTGACGCCTCAGTCGCGAAGACGGTGGAGCTGTCAGGATGTCAAAGAGCACCTGCGCAAGACTCAAAAGGCCGTCAAGCGATTGCAGCCGCGGAACTGATCTCATCGAAGGACCATATTTCACAATTTAGTTCTCGTAAATACCCTGCATAAATAAAATGCATATTCTTCTCTCACACTAAGTGTACCGCCGTGCGTATCGGGCTCATCTTCCCTGAAAATTCCTCCTTTACCGATTATTATGTTCTAGCCTCTCTCAATATTATTGTTTCATCGCTCAGTCCCTTCAATATGAGACTTAGAAGTCGCCTATATGGATCACATCTCCATATGGCGCGTGTGCAACTGATCGACATCTTCGGGCCTCGGTCTGGTGGAGCTTCTTCACACGCACCTGGGCCGAGCCTCTCTTCCCCGCATTCAACTACCACCTTTCCCAAACAGAAGAACAGAAGATGTTAAGTCATCTGAAGCCTTCTCAAGCTTAATTTCTAGAATCCAAATATTCCATAATGGCACATTCTCTCCGTGCCCCGACGGCGCCCTACAGTGAGCCTCTTCTACCCCAGCTCGACGTACGCAACCCCTACTACACCGACCTACACCATAACCTCCGCGCCTGGGTTCGGAATTATGTCGAGACATCCATTGCGCCCTATGCCCAGGAGTGGGAAGCTGCTGGACAAGTCCCCGAGTCTGTAAGACGACGCCATTGCGAGCTCGGCTTTAGTATTGTTCATCCTCTCACTACCCATGAGAATGCCGCTGGATTAGCACTTCCTGGTAATGTGCCTCACGAGAAATGGGACACATGGTGTGGGCTTATTGTGAGTGATGAGCTCACGCGTGTCGGATTTGTCGGTGTAGTTTGGGGTCTGGGTGGTGGAAATGGAATCGGATGCCCGCCTATCGCTAAATTTGGTACGCCGGAGCAGCAGAAGCGGTGGTTACCGGGGGTTGCAAAGGGTGACATTAGGTTCTGCCTAGGCATTACGGAGCCGGATGGTAAGATTACTGCTGAGAGAGTCAAGGTATGATGAGCTGATGTGTCTCTATTTCACTATAGCTGGCTCCGATGTTGCCAATATCAAGACTACTGCCAAGCGTGAGGGTGATCATTACATTGTCAATGGCGCGAAGAAGTGGATAACAAATGGTCTCTGGGCGGATTATTGTACAGCTGCAGTGCGTACGGGTGGACCGGGAAGGTCAGGCATTAGCTTGCTTGTCATTCCTTTGGCGACGGACGGCGTTACTCGCCGGCGGATGTTCAACTCTGGTGTCAATGCTAGTGGTATGTATATAGTGTGGGAGCTGCAAAAGTCTTTTATTAACATAATGAAAGGTTCAACATTCATTGAACTGGATGATGTCCGCGTTCCAGTCGAGAACCGCATCGGAGAGGAAAATAAGGGATTCCCATTGATCATGTCTAGTGAGTCTTGATGCGTCTGAAGATAGTAGAGAATGCTAACTATATTACCAAGACTTCAACCCGGAGCGTTTGGCCCTAGCATGTGCCTCCCTGCGGCTGGCGCGCGTCTGCGCTGAAGATGCGTTCAACTACGCAATCCAGCGCGAGACCTTCGGCTCTCCTTTAATTCAAAAGCAGGCAATTCAATCCAAAATCTTCAAGTTTGGCTTAATGATTGAGCCAGCCTATGCATTCATGGAACAACTAGTCAACATTCTCGAGCTCACCAAAGACCAACCCGTTGATGATGTCAAAATCGGCGGTATGACTGCACTGTTGAAGGTGATGTCCACCAGAGCCTTAGAGAAGAGTGTCCGAGAGGCCCAGCAGATTTTCGGAGGTGCGGGATACAACAAGGCCGGCAAAGGAGCACGCGTCGAGCAGATCAGCCGTGATGCTCGTGTCCATGTTGTTGGTGGTGGAAGTGAAGAGATAATGATGGGTCTTGCACTCCAAGAAGAGACCAAGGCACTTAAGACGCGACGACAGGCACTTGAGAAGCGACGGTCGAAGGTTTGAAGGCGCACAACTCAGCGCGCTATGGGAGCTTTCAATTCTAATTGTAATATGTCTTCAATGTTGATTACCCAAGGGCACATTCCTGTATGTGAAAAGTACAAGCATCAGATGCAATAAACGCGCTTTATCCAATGTTTACACAACATCTAAGATGACAAGACGCCGCCGCGTGTGGGGAACAGAATTAGCTCCGCCGCGGTGCCTCTTAGAATCGACTAATGTGGCCGAGCCATACTTGATTGGGGTATTCATGACGACGATCCCCGAAAGAAATATTCAGCACCAGCGGGCAATTTTTTCGGATGCTCCATTTTTCATCCGGCCTATGCGACGTCGCAATCCTCAATGCGGGGAATGTGGGACCTTGCTCTCCCACCAAGGAAGTTGGTCTCGTGCCGTACGGAAATGAATAAGAGGCCGGCAGCTGGCTTCCCAAGCATCTAAAGCCTCCGAAGTCAAGGATCTACTGGGGGGCTTGGGGGGGAACGATCTTGTTCGTATCTTTGACATGGGACTCAGAAGGATTGCGACACTCGTCTGTACGGCCGCGGTCGTCACGGCTTCTTACAGCAATCGGCCTGACGATGCCGGACGCTTTACGTTCGCCGCCCTATATGACCAGTCATTCCTGGAGGGCTGCTTAATCCTGAAGCATGTTGGCGGACTTGGATCATGTAGCAATCGCATGTCATATGGCATTGGACGAGATCCTCCGGAGTCCTGCACCGTAGATCAAGTGAACATGATCAGACGCCACGGCGAGCGGTACCCACAAGAAAGTGGTGGCGAAGACATTGAAGCTGTTCTCAAGAAGCTGTATGCTTTTGACGTGGAGAACTGGAAGGGTGACCTTACCTTCCTGAACTGGTGGCAGTACTAGACAGTGAGGGTCTTTACGGGCTAGAGACAGACAGCGGTCCTTACAATGGGCTTTTGACAACATATAAGCATGGTGCAGAGTATCGTGTTCTCTATGGCCACTTATGGGATCAGGATCCAGCCAAGACTGTTCCAATGTGAACCAGTGGATTTGAGCGCGTCGTACAGACTGCCCGAACATTTGGCGAAGGTTTCTTTGGATGGAACTACACCAACTCAGTCGCTCTGAACATCATCTCAGAGAGCGATGCGATGGGTGCTAACAGTCTCACGTCCGAATGTCCTGGAAACACCGATGCCCAAAATTGCCACAGCCTTAGCCATGACATGCGGGAATTCCGCGTCGCTGCTGAGCGGTTCAACAAGCAAAACCCGGGTCTTATTGAATATATTTTAAATAAAAATAAAAATAAAAGGTTGAACTCGACAGATGTTTACCAGCTTATATGTATGATAATCAAAGGTCTCGTATCTAGTAAGCTAAGCTAACAAGTCCTAGTCATGTCGGTCTTTGAGCTCAATGTCCGAGGCTACTCTGACTGGACTAATGCCTTGACACTCGATGAATGGAAATGGTTTGGCTATACCCAAAATTTGAACTTCTACTATTGTGCCGGTAAGAAATTTGTATTCAGAATTTTTGATTGAAATTCTCACTTTCCTAGCCCCGGAGATCCTTACTACAAGGCTGTTGGATCAGTATTCGCAAATGCTTCTTTGACCTTGCTATATCAGGGACCGCAGAAAGCTGGCGCCATTTCTTTCAGCTTGTGAGTATCTTCTCCTAAGGTTGTTCCTTCGACGATTGTTTAACTCCTTGAGAATTATCAAGTGCTCATGATACCAACATCACGCCAATCTTGGATCGCAACACCAAGTGAAGAGCTGCCCCTTGACAAGGATTCCTTTCCGTCGACCTTCGAGATTGGCAACATCATGCCCATGGGTGGCCATTTGACACTGGAAAGAATGAGCTGCAATGCAACAGCCGCTACAGAGAAGGGAACCTAAGTTCGTGTCGTGCTCAATGAGGCTGTCGTCTCCTTCACGTCGTGCCAGGAAGGTCCTGGCTTTTCATGTTCGCTGGCGAATTACACAGATATGGTCGGCAGGATGCTATCTGACTTTATATCAGAGTGCAAAATAAACAGCACCGTGCCGCAGCATCTTTCGTTCTGGTGGGATTACAACACCTCGACAATTTACAACCACTAGACTGCGACTTATATACCTTACCAAGGTGATACCTTTGTATAGATTGAGAACCGTGCAGGGGGGCTTTGATTCCTTTTTGATCAAGTCAGACAAAGCAAACGAGTACCTAGAAGCCAAAATAAATAATTGTCCCGGCAAAATGACACGAATGATGTAGTTACTTGAGCATGGGAAGCTGATTCCTGAGGCAGAAACACAAGAGTGGGGGCAGCGTCACGGATGTGGGGAGAGCTATCACCGCTTCTCGTCAACGCCCACGCCAAAGCTGACGCGCCTCAGGGTCTCATCGCCCTCCATGGAGAGCTTTGACGACGTGACCCTGATCGGAACGGTGGTATCCGACCCATCTCTCTACGATGAACCTCCCCCATCGAATAGCGAGGCCAAGCATTCAAGAAAGCCCTCCGACACACAGTCTATCGATTCAAGCACCCAGACCTCGAATCCCTTAGACGCAGGCCGTTCGTCTCAGGGCAGCACGGAGATAGCTCATGATACTGCACTGGCTTCGGTATTCTCACCAGAAGATGACGACGAAGAGCCACACATCGCGACGTCCTTTGAGCGGGAATCATCGCCCGTCTCTGCACAGAAACACCGCTCTGGGCTGGACATAGAGGAGGAAGGTATTGACCGGATACACAAATTCACGCTGTATGAGACTGCCACTCGATTCTACATGGTTGGCATCAACCTTGCCGAGACCCGCTTCCGGATTCTCAAAATCGACCGCACCTCGGAGTCGGGCGAGCTGAGCATCACAGAAGATGACATGATTTATTCCAAAAGAGAGATGGTACAATTGCTCGACGCTATTGACGATGGCAATAAAAGTACCGGTGGATTGAAATTGAAGTGCAGTGCGTGGGCATTACTAGGCTTCATTCGATTCACGGGAGCGTACTACATGCTATTGGTTACAAAGAGGAGTCAAGTGGCTATGCTCGGTGGTCACAACGTTTATCAAATTGATGGAACAGAGCTTATCCCACTGACAACGGCGGAATCCACGCGGCTGAAGTCAGAAAAGCAATCAGAGGAGGAGAGGTACAGAGCGATTCTGAACAACCTAGACTTGACCAGGTCCTTCTACTTCTGTTATTCCTACGATATTACTCGGACACTCCAGCATAATATCTGCCGGGAGCGAAAAGCACGTCGGGATGGAGCTCAACGGAGTCAGCACGACGATTACAACACCATGTTTGTGTGGAATCATCATCTGCTTGCTCCGGTGTTCGGCGCTCTCAAAAACCCCTTCGAGTGGTGTCTTCCTATAATTCATGGATATGTGGACCAGTCGAAGGTGAGTGTGTTCGGTCGCCCGGTCTATATCTCCATATTCGCGCGACGGTCTAGATTTTTCGCGGGGGCACGCTTTCTCAAGCGGGGTGCGAATGATTTGGGATTTGTGGCGAACGATGTGGAGACGGAGCAAATAGTTTGTGACCAGACAACGACTTCGTTCCACTCTGCTGGGCCAACAATGTATGCGAATCCAAACTACACTTCATATGTGCAACACCGGGGCAGCATCCCTCTGTACTGGACTCAAGAAAGCACTGGCGTGTCACCCAAGCCAAGCATCGAGCTCAACCTCGTCGACCCGTTCTACTCTGCCGCAGCCCTGCATTTCGACAATCTTTTCGAGCGATATGGGACGCCAATTTACATTCTGAACCTCGTCAAGCAACGCGAGAGAACGCCACGTGAATCGAAGCTTTTGCATGAATTTACCAACGCCATCAATTATCTGAATCAGTTCCTTCCCGAGGACAAAAAGCTCATATACAAGGCCTGGGATATGAGCCGAGCTTCGAAGAATCGGGAGCACGACGAGGTCATTGTGACATTAGAGGGCATCGCTGGTGATATCATACCGAAGACCGGGTTCTTCAAGAATGGGCAAGATGCGGAGTCCGGTCTGCGGCTTCAGAATGGCGTCGCGCGGACCAATTGCATTGACTGCCTTGATCGAACAAACGCAGCACAATTTATCATTGGCAAACGAGCACTGGGTCACCAGCTTCATGCCCTTGGTGTCATCGAAGGGACGACTGTTGAATACGATACAGATGCGGTCAATCTGTTTAACGACATGTGGCAGGACCATGGAGACACCATTGCCATCCAGTATGGAGGCTCCCACCTAGTCAACACTATGGCTACCTACCGCAAGATCAACCAGTGGAGCAGTCAATCGCGCGACATGGTCGAAAGCTTTAAGCGATACTACAATAATTCCTTCCTTGATGCCCAACGCCAGGAGGCATACAACCTCTTCCTTGGAAACTACATCTTCACACAAGGTGCTCCCATGCTTTGGGATCTTTCGACTGACTACTACCTGCATCATACCAATCCTAGAACCCACCTGCAGAAGAAAAAGCCACATTACATCAATTGGTACACGCCTGAGAATTTGAAAGAGCGAGAAGCGCCCCCTCTTCCAATTAGCCCAAAGGAGCCACTCTCTCATTTTGACGACTACTGGCTGGACTACCTACCCCTTGCCCTATCCACTCTCTCAAAAGTCTTCTCTTATAAGATGAAGTCCACTATCCCCTATGCTCCATTCCGACCGGGACAAGTTCCTCCAGATCTCAGTCCGTTCGTTCGCCGCATCTCACATGATCAAATTCAGCGTCACCACCCACCTCAGCGGAGTGTGAAGATCCAGGAACCTTCGGACAACCGCGTGCGCTATACTCCATCCACCCCTACGATTCCAGAAATTCCTCTTGACTGGTCTCGCCAGCCACCATCATCCTCGAAACAAGCTCCTGCCGCTGGTATCATCAAAGAACCAACATTTGAGTTGTACCAAGGATCCCATATTCCTCCAATTAACGCACCGCCTTCTTCGTCTACCCCGAGCAAAGCACTTATCGCCCAATGGACTCTCGGACAGCTTGTGACCGACTCACTGAGCCCCTCAGTCACCGCAAATGAGGCTGATGAATATGAAATGTACATCAATCACCCCCTCAAAGTCCCACTCGTCGTCTCATCAGAAAATACGGACCACGGCCTCAGCGAGGATATGGTTATTTACGCCAACAACTGCAATGTGGAAGAGGCGGTTCTTGAAGCTAGAGCCGGAGGAAACATTGATGATTACGCCGAGTTCCTAAATGTCTCTGAGGAAGGACTCACGGTCGTGAGTGAGGATTACGAGAAGAAGAGATATAAACGCTACCGCCAGTGGCTCAGGGGGAAAAGTCTGTTCAAGCAACGCGTTGACGTGTAATGACCATGGTATTTCGAGATTTTGATCTAGAATCCAGTTTGAGATTGATACCCAGATGCATTCTTCATCTTTGGAATTTGATTCCTTTCTATTCTTGTTCATTTGGAGCGAATCTCAGAATTTCAAGCTATACAATGCTCAAGCTTTCGCATCAGCCAGTAAGAGATCCTTTAATTCCGCATCAGCAACAACAAGCTCATTTAGCTCCCTGTCCATATTATCTTTCGCCGCCAGCTGATCAGCGTCCTGAACACCTTCAATCACAACTGGATTCTGCAAAGCATGTTTCAACAAATACACAGTAGCTTGCAGCTCGCGCTTCAATTTAGAAAGCTCGTTGATTGGCACGGGGCTTGTCATAACCCTAGTTTCGGTCCCAACGTGTAGCCAGCACGCTGTCAGCCCAGCTAAGATCTCACCACGCCATTTCCAGATTCTGGGATGGGCGTTCAGGACCACGGCTTTGGTGGCTGATACCGAGGAAAGAAGAAGTTCGGGGCGAGCTGCGCCGAAAGGATTCGTAAGTGTCGGGTATAGCAGAGGGACGATTTCCTGGAGGTATTTGATTGTGTGGATTCCGAGCTCCTGGACGAAGATGCATATCCAGTTGAGAAGGAAGGTGGATAGGCGAGGGTGTGGGAATGAGGCCGAGGTAGCCACGGAGATAGGGGATGAAGAGCTGATGTGGTGAAAAGAGGAGATGAGGTTCGATCGGAGGATGGTCGAGAGGCTGGTGGTGTATTCGTCTTCCTTGGATTGAAGTTGTTTCCTGGAAGCTTTGTACGCTGTCTTGAAGAGGGCGAGAAGTGCTGGATAAGCTGCTCCCAGAATCCTCAAGGAGCTCTCTTCCGGAGTGATGGATGGGAGAGAGAGGAGACATGGTGTAATGGCGTCTCGGAAAACCGAGGCAAGGTTCGTGCGCAGGAGAATGTCAGAGCCGCTTTCTTGAATTGGCTTCAAAATTTGAGCAAATAGTTTCAAGCCAGTCGTCTTGAAGTGGATGCTGCTGTCATCTATCATAGCCAGGATGGCTGGCACAAGGAGAGGGAAGTGTGCCTCGAGCTCTGCCTTGCCAGTGGGCTATGAGGCTGTTAGTATCTTCATCAGATGGAATAGTCTTGAGACATACCTCGTATTGTGAGATAATCCACGACAACACAGATGCCGCATATATGTCGGTGTTCTTCCAAGGCCGGGTGCTGTCGTCCAGACTGCTTCCGTCAAAGCGTGTCGGCGGCACAGGATGAAGATTCTTTCGGCCCTCACTCGTGATAGCAGGGTTCTTCGTCTGGCAAAGAGAGGCCTAATCTTTTCTTTGAGAAGACGTTCGATGATGGACCACCGCTTAGATTGGTAGGTCACACTAAGATGCATGTCGGCTTCCATGAAGGAGTCTTCCGTGGTCCATGGATCTTCCCTTGAGGTAAAGCTAGCCACTGCCAGAATGACATCTGGCGAGCTGGCCACCGAGCGGTCTCGTAGACCTGGCAATGGTTTGTTGAGCGAGAGAATCAGCGTGATGGCCAGTTCTGATCTCCGGCGGGATTCTTCTTGGGCTGTTTTAAGTTCTGTAACAATAGTCAGAAGAGCTTTGCGAATTCCCTACGTGACTGAGAGATCTTACCGTCGGTAATCTCTGCATTGTCACCGTAGTTGACTGCGAATGCTGGTGTCGGCAGAGCAAGGCTACTGGCCCATCTGAACAAGTTGGACACAGCCTCGACTTCGTTTCCTTCCAGCGGCTTGGGACCTCCGTCATTCGGCAATAACTGATCCCAAGCTGAGAGGAATTCAATTGCCGTAAGAAGAGACTCGCATATCTAGGTTGCTAGTTAGTGTTGTATCAATCTAGCATGTCCATGAACTTACATTCAGATGGGTGCTGCTATCGTGGGCCGAGACGTTCTGCCACAGGTGGTAAAGATCTTTTTTTGCGGCCGCACCCGCTGCGGGAAGGTAAGATGGAAGATTCCCCGGATCGCGCAGCAGGGCATCGCGGGCCTGTTTTCGTAATTTCTCCATGGTTGGGATGCTTTTCAGTGCGGAAGGTGTGGGACAGGGAAAAGGCACGGTGGAGTTTCTGCTCAAGCTACGGTTTGATTTTTCTTAGTTACAGGTTGCTGATTCAGTTCCCCTCATTTCTTCACAACCCCAACTCTGCGCGACGTTCCGCAAGCTGCGCCAACACCGTTTCTGGTGTTGTGTCCGGGTCTAACAGCTGCCATTCAAGCACCATGGTGGTCGCTTTGCTCATCCAGGGCCCATTCTTGGCGCCCAGGCTCTTCATGATTTCACCTCCATTTACAACGGGCTTCAACTCGCAGACGCCTTCTAAGTCCTGATCGATGATATATGCCAGGAATTGGTCGTACTCTCGGATCACTAGGAACGGTCAGGATTGATCAGTTTGACTGAACGAGATAGTCTTACCTTCAGCGAAGTCGCGCCCTTGCATGACTTCTTGAAGCATGGCCAGAACAACACACAGCTTCCAATCCTTACTCCAGGTCCGAATCTGCAGTCCAACCTTCTGTCGGATTTCAGCGGGCGTGCCTTTGATATTATTTGCAAGCAGGTCAGATTTCCACTGGATGATGTCCTTGTAGTGAGCGGCTCCATCGCGAAGTAGGGTGAGGGTTTTATTATCGGACCGGAGGCTTTCTCGGGCAACCTCGACTGCACGTTCAGGGAAGGACCGATTCTTACGGTCGAGCCCTTCTCGCTTGGGCACTGAGCACCAGGGAGCAAAGGTCGCGATAATCCAAGCATAATAGGTGCTAGTCGCGTCGCGCAAGAGAATCTGGCGGAGTCGGTCTGTCTCGAGTTGGGCCTCTTCCCCGCCCTCGGTCGAATGCAAGAACCGCGCCAGCGCGTTGTAGCCAATAGACCAGGTTGAGGTGTCGGCAAGGACGTCGTCTTGGTGATTTGCGAAAATGGTAGGGTAAAGGCCAAGGCGATCGATAAATTGCAAAGCGCTGCGGGGATCGGGGCCTGAAAGGAAGCTTGTCAGCAATTGAGTACGTGCAGTCGAGGTTTCGTATAATACTCACCACGTAGCATCTTGTCCAGTTCAGACCATACACGCTCTTTGCTGATCTTAAGCTTCAATGCGATGCCGATATCCTCATTTTGCATTGCGGTCTCCGTTTCCGACTCGATTTGGTATCCAAGCCTGCTTGCGAATCGAATCAAGCGAAGCACCCGAAGAGGATCGTCTTTGAAGGTCTGGTATGGGTCCATCGGTGTGCGAATAATGCGCTTCTTCATATCTTCCAGACCGCGCTTCGTAAGATCCTCCAGTCGGGACTCGTTCAGGTTATAGAACAGCGCATTGATTGTAGCATCTCGCCGCAGCGCATCCTCTACTGCTGTTCCAAATTTCATCTGCGGGTTTCGGCTATCTTCTGTATACGTCTCTTTGCGCAAATTGACCAAATCGATATCCATGCCGAAAATTTTCGTTGTCACCGTCTCCAGATGCTTAGACTTTTCCGGGTTCGCCTCAATTTTGTGCAAGCTTACAATGGCGTCACGTTGTCCATCGGGAAGCGCTTGTCTGTACTTATCGAGATTCTTTGATTGATCAAGGTACTCCTTCAGCAAATTGCCAAATTGGTATCCTGTCATGTTGCTGATCCCCACATCGATGTCGTGGCTGTCAATTCCGAGAAGCTTGTCGCGAACCCAGCCCCCAGTGAATCGCAAAACGGTCTTGGAGCGATCGGAGGCATTGTTCTCTTGGTCCTTCTCGTATATGTATTGCGCAACATCAAGAAGGAGCGTTCGAAGCGTGCTCTCAATTGGGGTAAGGTGGATGGCGGGGTGAGTTTGATCCATTGCTTTTTTGGACCTACCCCGTTCCGGGGAGGTAGAAAGTCGTCGCCTTTTAGTCGCTCGTTCTAAGAAGTCTGGATCAGACTCAGGGCCACGCATGGAAAAGCACCAGGTAGCTTGGAGAGTATAGAGGGGAGGGTTGGATCGTGGTTGAAGGTTTCTCGCTCGGGCAGGAAAGGTGGAGTAAGGGCGACAAGCCTCAAGTACAGACTTAAGAGTGCGCAATCTGGGCATTGATAACAGCCCCAAAAGAACCCCGTAGAGTCATCAAGGAAGGTGTGAGTCAAGTACAAAAAGCCGAAAAGTGAGTAATCGATAAGCCTCACGTGGTTGCATGATCGCGTCCTAAGAATGCGCCCGAGGTAAAGTATGATCTCTGATCTACTGTCTTCACGACCGGCTCCAGCTTGCTTTGTGTCTGCATAAACACCCCACCACAGATTCCTGCAACTAGCTCTCCTAGCGCGGTGTGCCTTCTCAGCTCCCAGCTCCCAGCTCCTAGCTTATCGGCCCGAATCGAACGACTTAGCTTTCTTTACCCAACATTCTCCGAACCGCGCCCAGAACTGTCCGATTCAGCCTTCGAGTCCCTCTTGTCTCGCACCCAGTCGATGGGGCCTGGCATTTTATTTTACCACTAGGTCCGCAGCAAACAGTTGGTGTCCATGACATCGCCCGGAGATGGGACTCCGGTGAAACCTCCGCCGTCTTTCTCCCCTGGCGCAGCGCGAGCCTCACCCAAGTCTCGCTACCCGGATGGACAAGAGGTACCACACTCCATAGACACTGAGTTGGCGGAGGCTCGATCAGTGTCGTCTCCGACCCCCCTTTGTCGGCCACAACTGCAGAGCTTCCAATCCGATCAGCGTCACCGCAGCGGTCAGTCAGGTCATCCACCCGCAATTAGCTCGATCGTCACTTGGATCGCCATTTGACGGACGGTTCGATGGCTCTGAAGATATCAGGTCATTAATAATTCGCGCTTTCTCGCCTACTGTCGCCGTTCATGCTTCCGATGACACCGAAGAATTGATTAGGAATAAGGGGTTCAAAGGGGGGTTTTGCGAGTTGGTCCGGCCGTTTGGGGAGACAGTGCAAGGAAAAGTCGTCATTCGAGATAGTGTGGGATCAAGTCGTGCCTGGGAGGACTTTGGAGTGCGCTTTGTGGACCTCAAAAAATTTGAGAGGAATCCTGTTAGTCGAGACTCAGGCCGAGGGTTGCCCTTGACACAGATCGAGGAGGTGCTGGAGAAGCACTTGGACTCTGCAGAAGGACCGGGCGGGGTTGTGTCAACGAAAGATGTGTTGGGCTTCTCTGCTACGACTCCCTTGTTTAAGCTGTTCCTGCGACAGCTTCTGGCGTCTACTCCTGTTGGACCACACGAGACATTTGGTCACCCCGTGGCCAGTGTGATCACAATAAGCTCGCGCAATCCTGCACCGTTGGAAACACTTAGACAGCTTTACGCTGAGAGCAGTACGGGGAACAAACGCTTGCCCGAGTGGGTCAACCAGGAGTATCTCCGATACTACGTCTTGATACACGATGAAGAGCGTGATGATATTACCGAGTCCACAAAGCTATACGATCAGATGAAACGACATTTCGGCTTACATTGTCATCTTTTGAGGCTTCGAAGCAGCCAGTGTGTCGTGACAGATGATGACAGTGTCCAAGTGCCGCAATGCGAATGGTTGTCCCCGCACGAACGGCTATCCGGGGCAGGCGAAGCAGGTATGTCCAGCCATCCAAAGTTTTTGTAAGTGAGCTTAACACCCAGACAGAGACATTAGTGGATCTTGGTACAGATGGGACTCCATACCTCTTTGATTCCGATGTTACGGCGATCAAAACCTTCATTCGTGAACTCATCGTACAATCTGTGATTCCTTTCATGGAGAACCGAGTGGCCGTCTGGAATGACCAAGTAGCATCCCGAAGGCGAGGCATCAGTGGCCGGTTCATGTCTATGTCTCGAAGATGGGCCGGCTTTGGGCTCTAGCTCGCGCTCCGGAATTGGAGGGTCGTCAGGCGGGGGAAGCGGAAACTATGACCCGAATCAGAGTTTCTACGGCCCAGATGCCCCAGAGGCCATCTTGCGAAAGATGGCCGATTTTGCAGTTATGCTCCGCGATTGGAAGCTGTCCGGCTCGACCTATGAAATGATTCGATCTGACTTTGGCAACGACAAGGCCTGGAAGTACCACGCCGCAGCTCATGAGATGTGTGCCGTGAGCACACTTCTGAATCCCATGGCGATGTCAGCCAAGATCAAGCTCGAGAGTGTTGATCAAATGTTCGAAACTGCCTGCTATTCCTATCTCACACGATGCTCGGACTCAACTCACGCTCTTCGATGTCTCGCCCTAGCTGTCGAGCTTCTCAAGTCTCGGGGTGGATCTGCTACCGAGAGTGCCGCCAGGTGGGCCATGCGGGTCATGGACTTTGGCCTGGTCGGCTCAGTCGGCCAGGTCGTCTTCATGGAGCGCGTCGCAGCTTGCTATGCATCCAAAACTCCCGTCAGTGGCGCCAAATGGGGATCCCGCCGCCGCAAAGCCGGCATGTGGAGTATATTTGCTGCCGATCAATGGCTCAAGCTCGGGAAACCCAACCTGGCATCGACGTGCGTCGAGGAAGCCGAGCGTCTGTATGCCGAAGTTCTAGAAACTGATGGAGTCTTCCCAATGCCAGAGATGCAAACCTTTGTCGACAATTTGAGGCATGCAGTGAAGGTCGAGTATCTTGAGGCAAGAGGATTCGATGCACGCGATGACCCAGCTACGCAAGACCCCCTTGACACCGAGGAGACCAGCGAGAAGCTCGAGAAAATCGATAAGCGCAATCATCGGCGCTCGCTTATCGGACTTCCTGGGCAACTCGATGCAGGGAACCTCAAAATGACCACGACAGCGAGGGAATCTGAGACCTCGCCGAACGATGACTTTGAACGAGCTTAGGCATGATATTAATACTCCATAGCATATAAGAATAGAGCTTCAATTCCTTGCTGTACGTTTAACTAAAAAGAAGTTTGGTCTTTTTTGAGGGGATTTTACATGACAGGTACGGTCTTGATTCGAGGGTCACCCTTTTCTGGTAATCTCGAGGGAGCTTTTTAATGACTCCGAGTCCATTTGGTCATTCGTTGCCATTTGCTGTCCGTCTGGATGACTGCCTTCAAGTTCTCACTCATTGTGCGCAACCGCTCGTGTGTGTATTAATCATTACTTTTGATCTTCCCGCCTAGAACTTTGTGACTCGCGTTTTCCCTTTCTTCTCTCTCCTCGAATTCGCTTCATTGCTTTCCTCGGGTTTCACCCTTCCATCACCACCAATCCTTATGGACCTCGACCATCATCTATCATGGCGATCATGACCTTCATACCTCCCTGCTTCATGATTGCGACATTGATTGAGTCTTCTCATCAGAAACCAGCCGTTCAGTAGTCTGAAAAATCAGAGTCATTGCCGGGGACTCATTCAGATTTTAATACAGAGATATACAGAGATCATGATGTGAATGCAAATTATTGCATCTGCCTTCTTCCTTCATCTTGTAGCGTTGTAGATTATACGGTCGTAACCTCGTGCATTGTCCTTTTAAAGTGATTTAATGCATAAAAAGATTGGATGTTCGAGTTTGGTAAAATCCGGTTACTCCATGCACTTAGCATTGCTTATTCTAGACTAAGCCCGGCGCTTCTGTAGGCACAAAGGTCTGGGTGTCCTTTGGTCAATGGTGGGAAGAAAAACCGCCTAGAACTAAGCCCAGAAGCTACTGGAGATATTCCAAAATAGTTTCCAGCAATTTCTAAAACAATAGCATCATGAAGTCCTGAGTAGTTCGGGTTCGGGTTCACCGAGCAACCCGTTATCGGTCACCTGCGCTTATCGATAAAGCTCCCATGTGGTGTTGACTCCGGCGACATCCCTCTTCCTCTAGACACCAAGCCAGCCATGAGTGAACTTCTCACCTACATCCTCAACAATGAGGATGCCTTCCGAAGGTACGCGGTCCTCGACAAATCAAGCGGACAACTTGTCCTCCGCAAATTGAGCGAAGCTAACCGATCGATAACCCTGATAGGAACCGCCTTCCCTCTCTCTATTCCGATTTCGCCATCCAGAAGAAGACAAATCCAGATGGCTACGCAGTCAACATCGCTGCCTGGGAGCAAGCCTTGAATCGTGCCGCCAAACGCGGATATACCTCGTCCCGCGGTGTGCGCGTACGCTCTGGGCCTTCAACGTCGCAAAAGAACGCGGGTTCAGGTCGAAAGAAGACCGATCACCTCATTCTCCGTACCGATGAGTCCTTACTGCGTGATCTGGAGATTCCAGAGTGGGGTAGGCCGGTGGCAATTGGTGCTGTCTTTGTATGTGCTAAGTGAGGCGTTTATCGAGGCTCGAGATCATGGCTAATGTGATTTGTAGGAGGAAGCGATGGGCAAGCGGACCATGGTCCCGTTACCGGTCTACAAAACTGACCCGGGATGTCTGCGCAAAAGTCAATGGAAACTTATTGATCCCAGCGCGTTAAGTCCGTGGAATGTTATGAGTTGGGGCGCGCGGCAATTGAAGGGCATGGTGGTGGGGTCTAATGACTCGGCACCGAAGATCCAGGTCCAGGAATTGGTGCTGATCGAGAATCTGAAGGTTTGTGACAATTCTTCCATCGCTGGCAAATCTTATCTAATTCGCTTTTTTTTTTTGATAGGAGGCAGCCGCTTTAGCTATCAAGAAGGCCACTGGTGGCACTTCGTCCAAGCTAGATCTAATCTACTCAAAAGAGAGCTTTGTCGAGGCATTCGCAACAATATTAAACGATTCGACAGAATTGTCTGACTCGGATTTTGATGTTCTTTTGGTCTATCTATCCCGCGACTGCGGCGCCATTGCTTATGATGGCAAGGTAATGTGATCTCTATATGCAGGGCCTATATTGGTACTGACCATGGATGACCAGACGATCAAGTTCAAATCTGCGAATGAGCCTCCGCACATCACGCAGCAGGACACGACCATAGCATCTATCAAAACCCTTGTGACGACAATCTCGAAGCAGGTTTCGGATCTGGAAGAGAAGATTGAGAGATTGAATGCATCTGCGAAGGCCGCACTCGCCAACAAAAACCGTGTCTCGGCGCTGGCTGCGATTAAGTCTAAGAAGATGGTCGAGCATAACCTCCAGCAGCGACTGAACACTTTGACACAGCTTGAGGAGGTCTATTCGAAGATCGAACAGGCTGCCGGTCAGATAGAGATCGTACAAGTCATGGAAGCGAGCACGGGTGTTCTTCGCGGGCTACATTCGCAGATTGGCGGTGTCGAAAGAGTCGAAGACGTGGTAGAAGGACTGCGGGAGGAAATGTCCAAGGTCGACGAGATTGGCGGCATCATGAACGAAGCCGCGCCTGTTATTGATGAGGGCGAAATCGACGATGAGCTCGACGCTCTGGAGAAAAGCGACCAGAAGGCGAAGGAGGATGCGGAAGCGGAGGAAACGAGGAAGAAGCTTGCGGAGCTCAACAGTATCAAACAGGCCCAGGCGGGAAAGGACCCCGACGAGGCGTTGGCAGACAGGCTCTCCAACATGTCGGTTGAGGATCCGATCCCGGAGAAGTAGAGTTTCGTCCCCAGAGCTTCTTTTTGAGAGCTCGTACTATCATGTTGCCTTCAAGGTGCAAGGCAATGGAGTTTCATAGCGCTGGCGTCAAGTTCAATGACCATCCGAGTCAACCACAACAGGATCACTTTTCTCTAGCGGAGGTTCGATGGGTCCTGCCGGCGATGGTACATGCTGCTTGAAATTCTGCGAAGCCCCAGGGATTGTGGATCTTATTTGAGCATCACTCTTCTTCCGCGCATTCGCGATCAGACGTTTGAAATCATCATCATGGCTAGAAGACCATCTCTCTCTGTCAAAATCCTTGCGTGTGATCTCATCCGCATTCGATGCGATTGCTGTTTGTGCCCCTCCCTGTGTCTTCTCCCAGATAGTGAGCTCCTTGAGGAGTTCCTTCTTTGATTTGGGATTCCGAGAGTCGCAATTAGCGTTCCATAGGTTCATCCACTCGGTATGACGTCTCTGTAATAACGACCTGTTCCCCCATTCCGGGATGCCAAGCTCTCGAAACTTTTTCTTTAATTGTCCATCTTTCAATAATGAATAATTTATGGCGGGGAGTCTGTCGGGCGGGTCAACGAAATTTTGCGTAGCTCGTTGTTGGGATGGTAAAGATCTATAATAGTGTTCCATGAGACTTGAATCATTTGAACCTCTATCCAGCTGGATCCACGTACCGTAGGGTTATCTGCGGTCTAGCGGGACTCGGAAGTTTTTGGCCAGTACAGACACCAACATGGGAGAACATCGCCGCCTCCTTCATCCTCATGCCGCATTCGAGAGGACAAGGGTATAGTCCGTCCTCTGCGACAAAGTTAGAGGTGCCAAACGAGACGGAGAACGGGACCTACCTGGAACAAAGTCTTCGTCGTCATCCTGGCTATCCTCTACAATTTGCGGTTCCTCGACCTGGGTTGGCATGTCCACTCTTACGCCGCGTGATCTCGTGCGCATGCGCTGCGAACCTGACTCCGCTACTAGAGCCTCTTCATCTTGCTCTGGGTGGTCGACCTTCCGTTTCTTGGCCGAAGGCTGCTGGGAATCATCTCCTCCGTTTGCGAGTCGTGCCGCTTCCTTCTGCGCAAGAGAGAGCATGGGCTCACGCGCATTCTGAAACTGCTCTACCAATTCCTGCACAATCCAGTTTCTCCTCAGCTTCAGCTCTTGATCTTGAAGACGACATGTAGGGCATCTTCCCTCATTGCTCAGACAGCGACGGATGCACAGTGAGCAGAATGTATGCGAGCAGGAAGTGAGAACGGGATTGGCAAAAAAAGTCCTTGCAGATCTGACATCGTAGAGAGTTCTCCAGTGGCGCGAGTAATGAAAGCGGCGTGTTGAGCCAGTCCGTGGAGTCGGGGATATCGAAGGACTGCGCCATAAGTAGAGCCGAAGAATGACGCGGGCGCAGGCACAGGCTGGATGCGATAATGACAGAGGTTCAGTCGCGTGAAGCAGAGGATCAGTGGAGGCGCCGTGCCAAGACCCGCTGACTGATACGCGTTAAGTGGTTTGGCACGCGTCGATCAACTTGTTGCTTCAGGCATCATGGACTCCAAATTATATCTCGCGGAGCAAGTGCTCAACGAGCAACGTACAGTATGTGCCATGTTGAGATTTGTGCTCTGTGCTCTGTGGTAGCAACTGATCGATTTCAGGTCACCTACCGGTCTTTGAGCCGCGTCTTGAAGGTTCATGCCAACCGCGCTAAACAGTATGTCGTTCGCATGCTTCTGGGCAGACGAATAGCTTATTCAATTGACTACAGGATCCTCTTCGAGTTTCACAACAAAGAAAACGCGAAGAAGCCCCAGAGTGTCCACGCTACCTACATCATCTCCGGAATTCAGAAGGCGCCAGAGCCGCCAGCGACGAATGGCCATGCGAAGAACGACGAAGATGAGATAATGCAGAGCAGTCCCTATTTGCCTAGCTCACAGCCAAAGCAGGATGACGCATCCGAGTCCCTGCGCATCGCCTCGATCATACTAGCTCGGGAGGAAGATCTGGAAGGTAGGCGTTGTCTCTCGCGGTTATGCTCAGGTGGTTTCGCTGATACCAGATGGACCTTTGAAGATGCGAAAGCTACCTTTCAGTCAATTTCTGCCATTCACGTCTACAGCGTTCAGCCGACAGCTCTCCAAGATTTCAACATGTTGACGGGGTGTGTCGGGAAATCGCCACAGCACATGCGCCAGATGACCCGTTGGAGTGCGGAAAGGAGTGGGGGATGATCCAAAATCGCAATGTCAAGGTAACTTCCATTGGCTTTCTTTTGTTTCTTTCAAACTATCAGGTTCTCATAACATTATAGCGAAGAACGGGAGCTCGTCCACCGCCACCCGCAGCTGCTCCAGCACCCAAAACCAAAACCGAATCCACAATTCCTGCTAAACGACCTCTCGAGAAATCCGCTCCCGTCGCGAAAGCTGAAGTTAAAACCGAGGAGACGAAATCTCAGCCATCATCAGCGAGCAACTCTCAAACGTCTTCCAAGGCTGCTGCAAAGCCAGCACTCAAGCGCGAGAAGAGCAATTTGTTCAGCTCGTTTGCCAAAGCTAAGTCCAAGCCGAAGACAGCAACTCCTGTAGACTCGGTAAGTGTGGAAGATACGCAAATGTATACGTTGAGGTCAACAATTAACCGTCATACAGGCAACACCAAGCGGCGCAGAAGATGGTAAGTTATCTTAATTGGAACCCCAAATTTATGGCTGACGATCAGTAGTTGCACTGGATGATGCTTCAGAGGAGGAAGAAGAGGCCGAAGAGCTCTTCCCTACTAGCAACGACAAAACGGCGGTGGCAGGCGGCCGCGAAAGTAAAAAAGAGCGAGCGGAGAAGCTCAAGGCCATGATGGAAGATGACGATGCAGACGGTAAGACCCTTTGATCTTGCTTGAAGGCTCAGGACCCTCCACTGACGGCGTGACAGACGAGGACATGCCTGATGCTGATGAAGAGCCGGCGCGCGAGCCGACTCCCGTCGAGCAACCACCGCCTTCCAAGCCAGTAGAGCTGAAGGAAGAGGTGACTGTACAAGGTGGTCGCCGACGAGGCAAGCGTCAAGTCATGAAGAAGAAGACAGTCAAGGACGAGGAAGGCTATTTGGGTAAGTACTCCATGGCTTTGAAGTACTCAACTATGCTGATCACGTACAGTTACTCGGGAAGAAGCGACCTGGGAATCTTTCTCCGAAGATGAGCCGATTCCCAAGAAGAAGCCAGCAGTTAACGTCGCTAAGGGCAAGGGAGCCAAACCTGGCCAGGGAAACATCATGTCGTTCTTCGGCAAGAAACAGTAAACTCAACCCTAGGGGTAAATTAATATGACTTCGCATTGAATTAGCCCGATCTTAAATCTACAAGTTGTTCCTGAATCGCGGCGAAGTAAACAACGCCGATCTTTTCTCCGCAATGGCGGAGTCGAGTGCAACACTGTGCAACACAGGCCTTGGCCGATGTCACCTCGCGTCCGCTATTTCCCCGATCGCGAATCGTGATAGTTCCAGCAACTGGATGTCGTGGAGTCGTGGAGTCGTGCATCCTGCGGCGCCGTCTGCAGTTGAGGAATGTGCGCCCCTGGGCCGTGGACTGAGGGATCGACATTAGCTATGTCCTTCTTATTTACCCCGACTTTCCCCTCGGACTTGCCTCAATCAACTCGCCAGTTATGCGTCTATCTACACTGCTGGTGGGATCCCTGCTAGCCCTCCAGGCTGGTGCTATTCCCGGACGCGACAATGCCGCCATCTTACGCCGGGCCTGCCCTGACTACACATCGTATTCTCAGACCCAGCAGTAAGTGTTCCCCCACTATACCGCGAATTGCTCCACTCACATCCTCTAGTGGTCCTTATAGCGGCGGTCCCTTAAACCTTCCCTTCCAGCGTCCTGCGCCAGCTTGCCGAACATTCTCGTCCCCTCCGTTGAAAAAGTCATCGACGATGTGGCATCCCGGCTTGTTGATAAGGACCTTGCGCAATTATTCCGTAATGCCTTCCCAAACACTCTGGACACCACAATTCGCTGGCACCAGAATGACACAAGTCCTTCGCCCAAGAAGCAGAGGAAACGAGACACCTCGGTGTGGACTGGCTTGCAGACATTCATTGTAACTGGCGACATCAACGCCGAGTGGTTGCGAGACTCGACAAATCAGCTCACCAACTACCAGAAGCTGGCATCCAGTGACAAGAGTCTGTACAACCTCATTCTTGGAGCAATTGCGACTCAGTCTGAGTATGTTATCCAATCGCCTTACTGCAACGCTTTCCAGCCACCGTCTGTCAGTGGTGTCCAGCCTGAGAACAACACTCAGCTCGATACTGTTCACCCAGCTTATGAGAAGTCCTTTGTTTACGAGTGCAAGTATGAGCTTGACTCTCTTGCCCATTTCCTGAAGCTGGGTGCCGCGTTCCATGAAAATACTGGCTCTACCGAGTTCCTGACCGACCGATGGTTCAAGGCCCTCCAAACGCTCCTTGATACTATTGACGCCCAGTCGCAGCCCACTTTCAACTCCGACAACCAATTTGTCACTAACCAGTATACCTTCCAGCGTGAGACTACCACCGGTACCGAGACTTTGAACCTGCAAGGTATTGGCAACCCGCTCAACAGTGGCACTGGTCTCATCCGCAGCGCCTTCCGCCCTAGCGATGACGCTACCATCCTTGGATACTTCATTCCACCCAATGCCATGATGTCCGTTGAGCTTCAGAACATTGCCAGGGTGCTGAAAAAGGCCGGTAATCATGACGACTTGGCCGACGAGCTGGAGCAGCGTGGCACAAAACTCGCCGCAGCTGTCCGCGAGAACGGCATCTTCAACCACGCCAAGTACGGCGATGTCTATGCCTTCGAGGTTGACGGCTATGGCTCACGTATCTTCATGGATGATGCCAACATCCCTTCTCTCCTGTCTCTGCCTGATCTTGGCTTCCTCGACGCGAGCGACCAGACCTACCAAAACACCCGCAAGATGATTACCAACAAGTCCGGTAACCCATACTTCCTCGAGGGTCCTGCTTTCCACGGTATCGGTGGTCCTCATGGTAAGTGATATGCTTCATACTGACACGCAAAACACACTAACGTCAACAGTCGGTCTCGAAAATGCCTGGCCCATGTCCCTCCTGGTGCAAGCCCAGACTTCCGATAATGATACCGAGATTATGGAGTGTATCAACTTAGTCCGCGACTCGAGTCTACTCGGACTCGTGCACGAGTCTATCAACGTCACCAACATCAAGTCTTATACTCGCTCTTGGTTCTCCTGGGCTAACTCCGTATTCGCCGAGACCATCCTGAAGGTTGCCGAAGAGCGCCCGCATCTGATCTTTGGCAAGGATGCGAAGCCGTATAGTCTTTAATAGGGGGACGTTGACTGATCATTAGTACATGAATAGCATTATCAACGAGGTTAATTTCATTTGCTTCTGTCAGATAAGAATCTGGACCTGTAGGATGTTAGGGGTGTTTTGGAGCAATAAGCGGTCTTCTGCCACTCGCCGTGCAAGGCGTTAAACACTTTGTTGAAACCACTTCCTGCCCTGTCCTGGCTATATGCCTAGAAAGAAATGCATGGACGGCCATAGATAATGTCCACAGTCGGTTAACCCATCAGATTTAGGGATAGTTGTGATAACAAGAGAGAAAAGTCCGCAGGTAGATACAATGCATCGTAAACGTGGAGATATCCAATTGAAAGGACGAACTCCCATCTTCATCAATCCCGTGAACCCCTTTTCGAACCCAGAATGAAGACACCAAGTCACTTGTGGTCATGAATCTACCGAGGCAAGCTTTTCGCAAGTTTCTCAGGAGCGGGAAGCCTTCCTCGGAGTTGAAGACACAGCTCGGATCCACTTTCCATCTTTCATCTCCCAAGATTTCCTGTTGACGCACCAGTTACACGGGAACCCTAGCCTGTTCTTGCTCATTGTAATGGTCGCTTTGATGTTGCCACAGTTATTGCAGCCGTCGAGCTCCATCAGTTGTCCCGGAGTTTCGAAAAGGTGATGGCATAGAAACTCAGTCGGGTGGATGACCAGCTGGCACATGGTATTTCTAGTCCTCGTCAATGAAGCAACCGGGTAAAGACGAGGTATGGCAACCATTCACTTACATGTAGCCTTGCGGTCGCTCGAAGACTAGATGTGGTATGATTTGGGAGTTTGTGCGTCTCCGTGGAGAGGACGAGGGGTCTGAAAGCAGAGTTGAACTCGGCAATGATCAAAAAATTCGATCTAATGATTGTCTGCTACTCTGAGGAACGGGGACTGCGTGCTGTGTGAGTGGGTTGTGTGGTTGTGAATTGAGATGCCTGACGAGCCTGAGCTCAAAGTGAGGTTGACATTTACTTCGGTCGAGCAAGCCTTGGTTCCTAGGAGTCTGGCAAGCCATCGATCTTCTCCAAGAATATTATCTTGAAAGGCTCAAGGCATACACCCGACATTGCAACAAATGGCCCCTTCATGTACAAACTAGCAACCACTTCGAATTGTCAGATCATTTTCATAGATCATGATTGAAGATCTGCACATCCTTGGCAGCCATCGAGTCGGACCACGGGGTTCTGATCAAGTGAGTCAGTAGCTGTGGGTTGTCTTCTCAATCGGCTACTGACATCTTAACACGCTATTATACCTGTTAGCCCAAGCATTTTGAATCTGGGAGTTCGCTTACAAGTAGAACTTGACGAGTTTCCGTCGTCAGGTCGAATTCCCATGGTATGTCTTGGAAGTAAGTATTCAATCAAATCATTTGCACGCTTCTAGGGTAGCTTCCTCTTTATGGCACTCTCCAAAGCAGCGTTACCAAATTTCTTGCATCTACCTGACTGTGTGATGCTATGTACCCTTCATGACACAAAATATGCACGCAATGTTCGACTAAGCCGATAATAGCCATAGATCCAAGCGTGAAGCACGCCGATCAAGGGGACTCAAGCGAGTGTGACCAGCAACATAGGGGAAGGAGAGGATCCTCCTCTCACACCATGATTGGAGCAGTCTCAATTAAGGGTGCGGGCGCTCCGCTTTTGCCGTTCGGGACCTGTTCAAGCTTCGATGCGCTAAACTAGGATCTGGAGATCTGTTGTCCGAACAACCTAAAGTGGCCAGCCTCTCGTGATGGTCCATTTCCGGGCAACGATCTCTCTCCTGCCTCGCATCTGCATCTGAGTGGTTGGCTACTGTCGGCTGTGCTATCGTGCAGCCCCTTCTACCAGGTGCGTGGTATGCCTGCAAGGTCTAGAACATGTCGATTTCACTTTTCATTTCAGATGCACTGCATCATTGATATGGATATTCCCCAAATCCTCCAGGCTTAACACGTCCCTGAAAGAAAAGTATCGGATGATTTTAATCGACACCTAAACACGTGGTAAGTCAGCCTGGGAGTCCGCCTGGGCCAAGACCGAAGTGCGCAACCAGGAATCCATGAGAATGCTTTATACGACTGAATGAGTATTATGGGGGGGCCCCGCCAACCGCGTGGCTCCAAGAAATAAGGGATCGCCGATGCTTTGCCCCTGGCCGCGGATTCTCCCACCCGTTTGCCCAAGGCTATCATCTCGCATGCATATGCATGAGCTTTTGCCTAGCGATGTGCAACCATCGTGATCTAGTCCAAAGTACCATCTCTACCGAAGCAACAAGAATGCATCCAACCAGGGGGCCATGACGTCGCGGCGACCGAGGTAACGCTGAGGCTCCTACGGCATAAACCACATTCCTCTTGACTCAGGGCTTTCCCGGATCGGGAAACTCAATGCTGCAAGGCAAGTCTACTATCTGAATGAGAGTCATATTAAAGGGCTCCGTATTCTGTCCTGAAAGGGCCCAGATTTTGTGTTCTTAGATCTTGCTGGTTGACAAGCTCAGCTCAAAGGTATCAAGAGCCTATTTGCTAGCATCTCAGTCTTGTTCACTCATCCATCATGACTTCTTCAACTCATCTCATCATGACCGATGATACCGACTCAGCATCCAGTCAAACAAGATGGGGCACAGATCGTGCACTTGATTCCTGGATATCTACCCCATACCCACCTGCCGCTTCAATCGCAGCACCAAGTAGGGCCTCCCTCCATTTGCCGTATTCCGCTACCGTGCAATTTTCTCCACAGCTTGGATCAAGCACCTTGATAGAACCTCCGTCCACACAACAAGACCATCAAAGTCTCCCGTGGAAGTGCAGTCCACGCTCCAGTCAGTGCTCTTCAAGCAACAACAATGGCACCGATGACTTTCACTGGATGAACCTCATGAGCGGTCCTGAGTTTGACTCTCCCACGTGTGCTGGGATTACTCTTCCGCCACAGACTGCAGACACTACGCCTTGCCGACACCACGTTTGTAGTCGAGAGCGGTCGTCTGATCATGGAATACCCGTTAGTCCAGAGTATGTTTCTCATCAATGAGTTCCATTGAGATACGATGCTTGTCTAATTTGACCTGAGTCCCACTTCAGACTAAAGCACTATGGTCGCTTCAAGTGCCACTGGATAGGCTGCACGTATCCTGGCACTTTCTCGCGGGAAACTTGTCTGTGGCGGCATATCAAGTCGACACATGTATCCCCGGACGAGTTCAAATGTCCCGACTCCCAGTGCAACAAAACATTTGGCCGCAAGGATCGATTCCAGAATCACATGCGGTTAGCTCACACGAGCCATGGAAAGGGAGAATGTTGCCCTTCCTGTCGTCCTCGAGGCACTTGAATTGTCAAGTTTTCCCTTGGCCCTATCATGGTTGCATCTCGTTATAGTTTGAATCGTCTTGGAAATTGTCCGGCCAGAATGACATTTGCTACATGAGATCCATAGGGAAGTGCTTAGCTGGAGATATAATCTCTCATCTCTCTCAAATATCTTTCGTTCCAGGACCCTGGCCAATTCCAAAGAGTATCGCGACTTCAGCGTCTCGGAGTTGCTGTCGTGCTTTCCACTAACGCAATCTTGATACAATAGCTATCCATATAGACCAGGAAAGACCCGCAGGGACGATATACCGACTATGTTTGCAGGGGTTGCGTGCATCGAAAAGAGTTATATACCTGCCAACCTCAACGGCCCGTTCTAATTCCTCTCCGCTGGGCTGTACGACGCTCAAGAATATAGCCTTGTTTGTCTCAAAAGATAACCGCCTGTCAGTCTGGCAATATTTACCTCGGCCTTGAATCTCCTTGCAGAGATGCGTTCCATGCTTGGAGATAGTCATGCTGAAGACCGCAGGCCACCATGAATAAGTTCTCAGTGGGTTCCACACTTGTAGAGTATTTCCGCCGAATTACTTTTTATTCCGGATCAACAGTTTAAATCGATCTAAGCACCACCTTTCATGCAAGTGTGGTAAGCAGGGCTGTAAATACCATGGAAGCTTCCCGCGCGAAGCATGTCTTGAGCGACATGGTAGGTTCACACATGTCTCTCCGGCAAGTATTCAAGTGCTCATAGTGTACAACTACATTTGCACTCGGTCGTAAGGACTCAAGTCAAAGCGCACATACGAGTGGCGCACATATGACTCAGGAGGCGAAACTCATATAGATATTTGGACCGACATTGTTACGATTTACAAATGCTAGCAACAGACAACATTGGAAACAGGTAAGGCAAAAATTCATCAGACATATACAGACATAAATGGACAGACTATTTGACCCTGGTTAAAGGAGTATCGCGATAGGCAGGCGGCAAAATTCCCGCGAGTGCAGCCTTAATTTGCAGCGCTAGGGTGCGTGAGTGCCAGCGGTGCTGTTGAGTATATCCACCCATCACCCAGAAGTTGTCAAGACGCGAGTGACGCTTCCACATACCGCGAATCTCGCCCTCGGAATCAACGCCCCAGGTCGAGTCAACGCGCTTTGCGATTTCCTGCGGACCGAGAAGGTGCTTGCCATCGCCGTTCACAGTCCCATCCAGCTCGGGCCCACCACCGAGAATCTCGGCCGCAGTGCTGCTCAAATTCCCATCAGAGAAGCCAGTGCACCACACAATGGCATCCGCGTCAACGGTGCTTCCATCTGAGAATCGGAGACCAGTCGCAGTGTACGCGACAGGTTCGACACCCGCCTTGATCCCGACCTTACCTTCCTCGATCAATTTGGTACCGCCCACATCGACGTAGTGACCGCCCGCCTTCTCAATCAAGTTGTGCATCAGGGCTGAGGTGGGGTGGCTACTGTCAAGAACGGGGAAGCCGGCTGCCTCAAGGGCGGCATATCGCTTCGGCTCCTGGGAGGCGAACACCGCGAACAGCCCACGAGCCAACTGGCCATCTACGGTTGAGGGAAGGGACAAGAAGAGCTTGTCAGCAGCCTCGACGCCAAAGTCGTATGCACCGAGACTCATCTTGTGGCAGACATAGTCAACAGGGATGATGTACGTCGGAGAGCGGACATTCATTGTCGACTTGAGACCGGCAGAGTAACAATCCTCGAGCACATCGAATGCAGTGTTGGCGGATCCTATCACGAGGACAGACTATGTTTTTGGTGAGCTTTTTTTTCTCCAGATACGTTACCATTCAACGACATGATCGGCTTACCTTGGTTCCCTTCTCAGCCAGCACTTTCGCATTCTGGTACTGTGTGGAGTGCACACTGATTCCCTGGTAGAGATGCCTGTCTGCGATCTGTGGCATGTTGGGCTTTTGCGACCCGATACCAGTCGCCAGGACAAGATGCTTGGAGACCGCCGAACGCTCGCCAGTAGGCGTCTGGAACTTGATCTGCCAGCGCTCAGTGGACGGGTCATAGTGCGTGGATTGGATCTTCGCCGAGTTTATGATGTTGAGGTTGAAGGTCTCGATATATCGTGAGACCTGTGACGCCAGATCTTTTCGAGAAAGAAGATAAGGTGTCTGAAGCTCCTTGTCGTAGCCTGATTTCACTCGCGGTTAGTCAACAGTACCCCTCACTGAGTATGCTTATTTTCTACTTACACATATACGGCAGGTCACAGAAAGAAGTCGGGATATGGAATCGCATGCAGTCGTAGCGAAGCGCCCAGTTGTCGCCCGGCTTGGGGTTTCGCTCGGCCATGACACAATCCACCCCCAAGGCCTTCAGTCGAGCCGAGAGAGCAGCAGCGCTATTTGATACAGAGTATTAGCAAGCCATTTGGGAAGCATTTTAGTTGCTCGACTTACGCATTTCCGCCTCCGATGATGAAGACATCAGTCTCCAGGTTCAGACCATCAAATTGTCTCGGAGCAGCCTGAAGTAGGCTCTTTTCCTCGGTCTGAATATCCAGGTCCTCCAGCCTAGTGCTCAGGATCCAGATCTTCCACTCAAGTGCCTCGTTTCCATTGTGCTCGTTCTTGACCGGCAAAAAGAGAATCTTGCCGCGGCAGATAGCGCCAGGGGACTCGGTTCGGAACACAATTGGACAGTCGATGAATTGCTATATGAGATACATTATAAGCCCGAGCTTCATTGCATCGCCCCTGCAGGCATGTACTTACAAGGACTGGGGTGGCTGGCAGGAATAGCGCTGCGCCGTCCATGGCAATCCCTTTCGAGACATTTCTGAGCTTCGTGGTCTCCAAGAGACTCTCGGTAATGACGGCCGAGTCCTTGAAAGTGCGCAAATGATAGGTCAATGCAAGCTGGTCTTTCCAGAAGGCCTGGTCAGCATAGAAGCAGCTGTCGAGAGCAGCGGCATCGTTATTAGCTAGCGCGGCATTGAGGCGACTCAATACCACATTTGCCTGCTTGGTGGCTGCATCACCGGCCATTAGTTCAGGGTCAACCAGCCCTGGGGCAAGCGTTGGGAGTGGCGATTCATCCATCATCGATCGCAGGTCAGCCCGCGGGGGGTACTCCTGCAAAGGTGCATTGCCGTCTGGTATCCTTGTCAATCTCCACTCCACTGAAACAGATTTCCAAAGCTACCGGTTTTCTTACTGATAGTCATGATTCACTTGCTGAGGTTCAAGGGCACTCGATCTAGCAGGGTGAGGTATGAAAAGAGAAAAAAGGAAAAGAACAGGAGCTCGCTCGCTATCTTCAGTCAGCATGGTCAAAACGCGGTAGATCTAGACTACGACCTATAGAGACTAGTTTGCCTTCTGAAGAGGGGGTTCGAAGGGCCTCTACCACTCATGTTCAGTTTGCGAACCAGCGTGGTTTTTCCCAACTGGTGGGGGGACGAAGGCGATCGGCGCCTCGACAAGCCTGCGATCTTACGAACCGTGCAAAAGTACTGCGAGGGCCTCTTCGTGATGGATGTACGCGGTTCTAATTCATCCAATTGAAGTGTCGCCTCCTTGATCTGGGAATCGATCTTCCGACCCTATAGAGGGATCACAAAGCCGGGGTGGAAACTCCCGAGCACTAGCCCCAGGGAGATCGGTGGTACTTGACAGATCACAAAAACGGGGATGTTTCAACCACTTCCAAAGTTGACGCTATTGACATTCGAAGCTGTCCGCTGTCAAGCGCGGGTACCAGACGCCTCTCAAATACGTGATCCATGGTTTGAGCTGTCGTAGGTTAAGTTGACTCGACGCCCGCACGGCCATTTCCCCGGCGTTGAGACAGCCACACTATCGGAGGCTTGGAGGGCCTCCTTGCCACGCCAGCTTGACTTCCCCACTGAGGGTGGAGGGGACCCACGGCGGGAAAGCCCTCCCGATTCCTTCTATTGATGCTAATGGACAATGGTCTTGTTGATATGTCCACTCGTACCGCATCCCCGATGCCTCTTCCGGTCCCCGCGATCATCTATCATTTAAAAGAAAATGAAGGATTTCATGCTATGCAGAAAACGGCTAAACCAATCCCACCACCCGCACACTTGGTGCGAGGCGTGCACGGAAGTCGATTAAGGGTCTTGATCGTCGCTTCAGGCTTTTTGAGCGGTCATACTATGTCGATCATCCCAATGCTACTATTGATACGGCACATATGAGTTGACAACTTAGCTTCCTACCGTGGCGATTTTTTTTCTTGCTCTTAAAGCGCCGGATTCCCTTGGGAAGTGTTCATTTAGTTCGATCTCAGCCATCAAGATGTCGCCCGAAGCTCTTGCTGCACTGCTCAATGCGCCGGCTCTTCCTGCGCCGGAGGGTGTCACCCCGAACTTCGACAATCCATCCAATGCCAATGGGTTGGCTTGGTTTGTGACAACCTTTTGTATGGTCGTGGCGACTATGTGCCTTCTCCTCCGCCTATACGTGCGTCTCTACCTGGAGAAGAAGTTCCGTGCGGAAGAGAGTAAGTCAATCGCTACCCGCAACATTTTTTTGATCACCTCAGGCATTTTGACTAATTTTTCTTCTCTAGTGTTGGTCATTCTGGCATATGTGCGTCCTCTTACCTTTGATATTCATGTTACCTTCGTACACGCCAAGAAGAAAGTATCCTAACAAGTTTCAGGGCGCCTACTGGGGCACAGCTTATGCAGGCTACTCGTTGATTTTCACACCCGGCTATTATGTGCACACCTGGAACCTCCGCAATGGAGACCTGGTCAAGCCACTCTATGTGGGTTCCATCTATTCCATCGGTCTTGGGTGCATTGTAACCGGTAGCTGACCTTCCCTTTAGTACATCCTCGTTTACGGTTGCTGCTATTCCGCAACACTGCCGTTGATCAAGTCAGCTATCCTGATGGACTGGTGTCGAGTGTTCGTTCCCGTGGAGAAATCCAGAAACTCTTTCTGGTGGGGCTGCTCGGCCATCATAACCCTTCAGTGTCTCTGGGGTCTTCTCTGTGTCATCCTTCTGAACATGCAGTGTCACCCGCATGAAGCCATCTGGAAATTCTACCTCCCGAGCAAATGCTACAGCCTACCTGATGTGATGCTCACCTCGGCAAGCGTCCAGGTCGTGTCGGACATTGCTATGTTCCTGCTTCCCCAGCGAATTATCTGGGGTTTAGGTATGAACTGGCAAAAGAAGCTCGGTGTCTCCGTCCTCTTCGGTGTTGGTATTCTGTACGTCATCCTCCTCTCTCCACTACATCATCGATCCAAAGCTAACACCTTCAACAGGGCCTGCATTGCAGCTATCTTGCGACTTGTGAAAACAATTGCCTTTGCCAGCGAGTCCGACACCATGTACCTTATCGGCCCTCTTCTTTTCTGGGCCTGCGCTGAAATGACCTGTGGTTTCTTCATTTTCAGCGTTCCCTGCCTCTCCAAGCTCATCATTGAATCTGGGCTTCCGGGTAGAGTGAAGCACTCTCTCGGCTTCAGTGCCAGATCCAGTGAGCCCTCGAATGCGGACTCGGGTTGTGATTCGCAGTACGACCCCCCCTTCCAAGCCTTGGGTTACTGGCGACACTACCTGGTCCAAACTTGAGGAGGGCCATATCGCCCTGCAGGAGACTAGGTCGGAGTCACAGACACGTCTGCATGATGGTGTCCAGTCGAATGATCCCATGCCTACTGTGCAGGTGACGCGCACCACGGATGTCGCCGTCTCCAATGATTCCCACTAGTAGGACTCATCTCACGGGTGACAAATTTCCCGGTCGTGATAAGTTTCACAAGGGATATAACAAAACCAGATAATCTCAAACTATGTTCTCGGTAAAATTTTGAGTGTTTCATGTGGTTACGTCAAAGTCCCGTGTACTCAGTGGACTTTTTCCTTTTTTTATTATGAATAACTCAGCCTTAATTAATATTTTGTATATCTGTTCCAGTGTCTGAGGGTATTTCAATACTAAGACAAATATACGCCCCCAAACTTTGCACTTTATCTCACACCAGGAAGGCAAACGTTAATTCTGAGGCGCTGTCTAACCCCCAACGCCCTAATGGAAATGTCGATCAGCGGAGACAAGACAGATCCGAAAAGTGGATAGTAAACCTTACATCGTATGTGGAACCCGTAATCTCTCGAATGCTGCAATACTACTTCGTACTCTCTAGTCTATCTGGCTGGTCACAAGTTGGCATTTTCGTGGTATTGATTTTTCATTCTTGCCGATGTATCACTTTTTTCCTCCTTTTCTTACTCTCGTCGAGGGTTGACGAGCAACCAATTACAAGTCTATGATACCACCCGGCCCAGTCGCCAATTAGGGCACACTTGAACATGTAGTGAGCAGCCACCCACGACCTAGAAAGCCACCGGATTATCATACATGAGCTCAGCAGCGGCCTCTGGTGGGATTGCGAAATTGAAGTGTGTTGGATTCTGCGATAAGCTCAACGGAGCATAAATAATTTTCTAGTTACCTCAAACGTGCCCAAGCCGGGAAAAGAAGAAATCGAATTTTACGGACTTCTTTGAAGTAATTTGTTTTTCAGGTCAGTTCTCTTGCTGGCGCAATATTTTTATGGAATCTCGAAGTCTGTATCACACGAACAAAGCTGTCTAGGGAGGGCTTCATTAGCCATAGGTGATGGTCTACTAGTCATGGCAAAAATTAGGAGCTAATTACTCAGGATCGGAAGATCTCGTCGACATGATGAATTTCGCCCACTCTGGGGTTAGATATATGTATAGGTATAAAGGTACAGTATTTAGATGCACGATCAAATCAAGACTCGTCGCAAGCCCTCGGTTCCTCCAAGGACTCTGCGACCAGTAACAGGACATCGTCCCTTTCCACTCTCCCACTTCCCGCCTCGCTTGCGAGTGCCCTTCTCTTCGTTATCGTTCGGGGGGCTTTGTCATGGTTTCATCATCATCACCGGTGATCTCATCTTCCCAAGCTGCACCCGCTCCTTCGCCATTCATGAAATCCAATTGCCGCTGGTGTTCGCCGTTCAGCCAGTGGAAAATGCATACATAGCAGAAGACATATCCTGTCTGGCAGGCTGTCGGGTTGGTGAGCGCGTTCAAGCAGACAGGGCAGGTGTTTGCGCTAGAGGTATCGCCCGGTGGTAAGGGGACGGTGAAGATAGGGAGATATGAGGTCGCGGAAATGGGTGATTGGTGTCGGCGAGGTGATTTGAGGGCTGATTTGAGGTCGCCAGATTTCTTCTCTTGCTCTGCTTGCTTCTTTTCCATCTCTTCTTGGCCAGACTTCTTGCGCTCCGCGGGGTTGGTAAGTCCCGAGACGACCGGGGCAGGCAAGTCGAGGACTTCTGTTGCTTTGCGAGCCAACTGCCGCGAGAAGTCACTTGCATGCCACCACTCCAGGAACTTCAGCGCGAAGATTGAGGCGGGAAGGAAGTAGCGCAAGGAAGTCAATAGCTGTGTGTGCATGTTTTGCGGGCTAAAAAGACCCAACAGGCCCGATCCAGGGCGCTGAGACCGGCCACCGCCAGGTGAAGGCTTCGGATCTAGCACTTCGGCAATGGCACGATGGTCTGCGGCTCCGAGGCGACGGATCCGCGAGCCAATGAGCCAGAGGAATGGAGAGGAGTATTTGGTATTATCGAAAAGGTACGCAAGATTGAATGCCAGAATAGAGAAGTAGTACGCCGCATTCACGGACGGGTACACGTTTCGCAAGAACCACTTGTAGTAGTGGAAGATGCGCTGACGCACGGTGGGGTTGTGTGGTAGGTCGTCACTAGGATTGTATCGCGGCCCGCCACCCAGTGCTAAGGCCGCCTGCGGCGCAGCATGAATGTCGTATCCCTCGTCGAGCTTGCGCTTCAGGTACGGAATGCCGACCATGATGAGCAAGTTCTTCCACACGTCTGCTGAGTGCAGTTTCAGGGCCTCGCGTACGGGGGCACCGGCGCCAACCTGGGCGCGCGGAATCTCGCCATTCTTGGTGCGAAGGACACGCTCGCGCTTCAGGGAATAGAAGTTTTCTGTGAAAGATCCACCAAAAGTCCGTAGGTAGTATCGCTCGACGAGTAGGGAGAGGAGCGCGTAGACCTCGTCGTATGAATTGAGGATCCGGAGGAGGTACCGTGGGTGGCGGTGTGTCGCAACCGCAAGCAGATACCTCAAGGACGGAGGAAGTAGATCAGATAGTTGTTGTTCAGCGAGGAGTTCTGAAATCCGTTGATGGCTTTGTTAGCAACTCCGCACATGCGCAAGTTCTCCGTGTCCGGGGGTTGTTCCCGCGATGGGACTTACCGAAGAGTGATGGCTTGAATTCGTCGAACTCCTGTTGAAGACTAGGAAGGTATTCCATGGTGAGGAACACCGGTCATCGTCGACCAAATGATGGATGAAGGTCGGAGAGCTGGGGAGTCGGGGAGTCCACTAGGCGGAGAGTGTGGAGTGAGTCGCCGGATCCAGGGACCATCAGCCGAGGCCCAAAGTCTGGCGCCGAGCGCTTTACCTTGGGACATTTGATACAACGATTTATACAGTATAAAAGCTCTTCCTTTTGGTACACGCTATGTGCTAGATTATTATACAGCATTGAAATTCCATTTACCAAGCGTCATCATGCGCTGCAGCCTGGGCCAATGCGCTCTGGCATCGAGTCCAAACCTCCCCGAAATAGCTGGGAGAGGCATCCTCTGAGCGATTGTGAATATTCGGATCTGCCACCAACAGGCAGTGCATCAACGAATTAACAAGGGGCCCCTGAAGCACAATTGGATTTTGTTCCCGGGCCATCATGGGCACCCACGCCGAGAGACAGTCTCGTGCCCGAAGTTCGTCCCCCAGATCTGCGTGGAGCTGAAACAGTTGGGCGTAGTCCTCTCGCGTGCGCCGAGCCCCTTTCAGGGTAGCTGGCGCCACAGACGCCAAAATCCATCATAATCCTCGCATCGAAACAGGGTCACCATAAGTTTGCGAGCCTCCGGCGCGTCGAAGGGAACCTCTGCGGCCGCCACTATCTTCGATAGCCGGGCCAGCTTCTGTCGCTGGGAGTCAGTCCATCGTTTGCTGTTCGTGGATCGTAACGCTGACTTATGGGGGGGGCTGCCCAGAAGAAGGGGTTGTAGGGATATCAACGACTTGATAAAGCATGTTGAACAATTTGTAATTGAGAATCGGGACGCCACGAAGGCTCAGACGATCAAGGACCTGCAAGGCTAGTTCAATGTCCGATTCCGGGAGATACGGTGACGGTTGCTGAAAGTTCTCTACCCTCGGGGTAAGAAGGGCGGCAAGAACCTCAAATGCGAGGTCGTCTGAAAGGTCATGACCATCGTTGAGAAGACCGGAGAACGTGCTGAACAGCTCCTCCTTGCTATACGCCGGGTGTTGCCGAGATACGGCGATCGAGAACAGATTCAGCCGTAGATGGGTGACCTCCGATTCCGCCATGCTCGGTGGCAAACTAGCATACAGGAGCTGAAGAAAAAGTGTAGACTCTCGATCTTCAGGACCGGTCCCCAATTCATTCCGGGCACTCTCATGAGGGAGATTCACCAACATTTTGAGCAAGGACTCCGTGCTCATGTCTTTTCCTCGTATCATCTGCGACCCGGAGGTGGCAGCCAAAACATCAGACAGACTTGATCCGTCAGTATTAGTGTTAGGCGACAAATCTTGAGCAGAATGAAGGTACCGCTTCTGACCGCTAGGCCCGAAAGGAGAACTGCCGGTAGCCGAAGATTGAGAAGCAGCTGGAGGATTATTCTGTGCATCTTGGAGTCGCTTCTTTTCAGCCCGTTCGAAAGTCTTCTCCAAAGACCATCGAGATCGACCTCGGCTCGCTTCTCTTCCGTGAAGATCTGGACTACGACACTGGTGCCCGTGTCGACTTGACCGAATCCCTCAAAGCCTATATCACTGAGCTCCGCCCTTGGTGCATTCTTGTCAATCACGCCAGCATTGACACAAATCCAGCCGGTGGTAATCCCATCGTCCTTCTCGTCAATGAATGCGCCGGCAGCACTGGCAGCACGCGCACGCTTGGCCTTGCGACGAAGCTTGATCTTGAGCTCGTTGCGTCCCAACAAGCCGTCCGCATACGGACTTAGCTTGTACGTGCTCCGCAACCAGCGGCAGAGACGATCAGCAGAAACATTCAAATGTTTCACACTGCGCGCTGTGCCGATGATCATGATAACATTGGCTCCCAGAGCGGCGGGGATTTCGAGGCCTCGCAGGTCATGAAGCTTCAAACTATCCAGACCAAGATCCTTGTATGTATATTCGAGGAGGGTGGGCAGGATTTCGGGCGAATTTTCTGGTATCTCAGGGATGTGATCTCCAGATACTGGACGAGTTTCGGTGGGAGGTGATTCTTCCTGGAGATACCATGGAATGTGGGACGATGCCGAGGAATCACTCTGCAATTCATTAGGTTTTTCTTCCACCGGTGACTCGTTGATCTCAGGGTGTTGTGAGACAGGGGGGCGATCAGACCGCAACGAGCCTATCGCAGAGAAAGTTCTCGAGTTGAAAACGGGTCGAAGAGCAGAGGAATATCGCGGCATAGGTACACCTGATACGGCAATGAAAGACCTAAGTACCTCATGGCGACATGAATGGCACACGGCCCCTCGTAATAAAGCTCTCATGGCGGCGCGATGATGTTAAAGCCCAAAAAACCGGCGGAGCGCGATAATGATATCGGTGGTGCAAACGGTGCAAACTCATGAGTCAGCCAAAAAAAAGATTAGCGGGGCAAAAAAGTTACAAATCGAGGAGTTTCCTGTCTCTCACAGACTCTTGAAGTCTTCTGGTTTTTCTTGAAGTCTTGTCATTTGGCTTCACGCTTCAAGATGTCGATGGATCTGGATGCCCCCGTCTACATGACGGGCATGCAGCAGGACGAGCCCACCATCGCAACGTGAGTCCTTATCGCAGCGGGGATTTTTTAATTGAGATTTTGATTTGATACTAACTTGGGAACAGTATTTTGTGCTGCAACTGCGGTGCCCCCATCGATGGAACCACCTCTGCCGGTGCACTTTGCAACGACTGCGTGAGGCTCACAGTCGACGTTTCTCAAGGAATTCAGCGCGAAGCCGTCATCCACTCTTGCAGAGACTGCGAAAGATGGCTGCAACCCCCCAATAGCTGGGTCGTCGCCAATCTCGAATCGAAAGAACTTCTGGCTATCTGTCTGCGCAAACTCACCGGTCTCAACAAAGTTCGCATTATCGACGCCAGTTTCATCTGGACCGAACCCCACTCTCGCCGTATCAAGGTCAAGATCACAATTCAACAAGAGGCCTTCGAGGGCACCATCGTCCAACAAGCGTTCGAGGTTGAATATACAGTGCACAACCAGCAGTGTAATGGTAAGATATCCTTCTGAACAACTTGGAGTTCTCCTTGATTGTCGCCGCCTACCCACTTATTTGATGCATGTCTAACAAATATTCGCAGATTGCGCGAAAAGCTTCACACACCATGCCTTCCGTGCAAGTGTTCAGGTTCGACAGAAGGTGCCTCATAAGCGGACATTCTTGTACCTTGAACAGCTCATCCTGAAAGCTGGCGCCCACAAAGACACCCTTAACATCAAAGAAGCGAAAAATGGACTCGATTTTTACTATGCTCATCGCAACCAGGCCGAGAAGATGATTGACTTCTTGTGCAGCGTTGCTCCCTGCCGTTATACTAAGAGTTCGACGCTTATTTCGAGTGACACCCACTCAGGTAAGATTTTCATCTACAGTTGTTTACATGAACACCGAAACTAACTAAGTACAAAGGTACATCGTCATACAAGTTCAGCTTCAGTGTTGAGATTATTCCTATATGCCGTGATGATCTCTGTGCAATTCCGATCAAGTTGGCTCGTCAGATCGGCAATATCTCTCCACTGGCTATTTGCCACCGTGTCGGCACCGCGGTGAACATTATGGACCCGCAGACCCTTCAGACGGCTGAGATTCCCACCGGTGTTTACTGGCGCTCTCCGTTCAATTCTCTGGCCAATGTGACTGAACTCAAAGAATTCATTGTCATGGATATCGAGCCCCTCGGCAAGTCTAACGGTCGATACCATCTGGCTGAAGCTACTGTTGCTCGTGCCTCCGACCTTGGCTCTAATGACACTACATATTTCACGCGCACTCACCTCGGCGCTATTCTGCACGTCGGTGACTCTGTTCTTGGCTACCACCTGACAGACACCAACTTCAACGACCCCAACTTCGATGCCATCGAAGCCAGCTCCCAATATCGAGATACGATTCCGGACGTAATTTTGATTAAGAAGCACTATGCGCGCAAGAAGAAGCCCAAGAACCGTGCCTGGCGCCTTCGCCGCATGGCTCGCGAGCACGAGGAAGAGGCAATGGCTGCTGCCTCTGCCCCTGCCCAGAGCCGCAAGCAGGATCAGGAGCAGCAGCGCCTCGAAGCCGACTTTGAGATGTTCTTGCGCGATGTCGAGGAGGACCAGGAGCTGCGGAGCACGCTGGATCTGTATAAGAACCGGAACAAGGTGCAACAGCCCGGCGGTGATGATATGATGGACGAGGGCAGTGACAGTGACGACGAGGTGCCGAAGATCAACGTGGATGAGTTGCTCGATGACTTTGATGAGCTAAACATGAACGACCAATGAGCTTTCCGCAATTGAAGTTGATATCAATATCTTTGACGATCATGGCTGGCGTTTCATTTACTCTGTTTTTTGTGGGATCTACAAAAAAAAAAGTTTTGGAAATAGATACATGTTCATTGCATGAATTGGATGCAAATATCTTCATTATGGTTATCAAAAGTAAATGGTTCGAGGTAATTCATACAACCATCACCTGGCGTAAATGATCAGAAAATCTTCCCAAGCACGCGGCGTGTATCAGCATCATCTGCAATCCCACTCTCGTCTTTCCGCTTGACGACATCGTTCTGCACAAAACGTCTGCGCACCGGCGCAGGCTTCTCCGAAGCCTTCTTTGCCTTTGCATCCTCCGCTCCGGCACGATCAGCCTCAGCCAACTTCCTCTTCCTCTTTTCCTCGTTCTTCCTAGCCATCCCATCCGCAACTCTCCCAGCTTCGACACCAGCCAGGAAGACCTTCTCCTCCTTCTTGGCACGGGCATCTTCAATCCGCTGTTTGGCCTCTCGTTCTGATCTCTCACGCTGCACCTGTTCCATCAGGTCGGCCCATTTGAAACCCTTGAGATATTTCATATTCCAGACATCATCATGGTACCATCCACCCTTGCGACCCCCAACAATATGCGCATTCAGAGTCTCGGCGCAGATCTTCGCGGTTTTTTTCTAGAATGCGATGTCAGTCTACTTCATTCAGGACAGTTATTGTCGGGTCTCACCGATTGAAATTCCAGCCAGCCATCATTGTAGAGTTGACGAGAGTTGGAGCGTCGGGTAGGGCCGGAGTTATTTGGCATGCGCGGGCTGAGGAACACCTTCGTAATCGGACCGAAATTCCTTTTCTCTATCATATTTTTTAAAGCGAAGGGCTTCAGGTACGGCGGCAGCGAGGATAGATAGACGACACCGGTCTTGTTCTTCTTAGACTCCTTCAGTGGCTTGGTGCTGAGTGGTTTGACGGGCTTGGAAGGTTTTGTAGGTTCCAAGAGTGCACCACCGTCTTCGTCCTCATTCTCAATCTCGTCGTCAGAGGCAGGCTGCGAGGCCTTTGATCGCTTGCTTTTCTTGCCTTTCACTTCTGCGCGATCATCACCCTCCTCCACATCGTCTTCATCAGCTGAATCGGCGTTGTCTGACTCAACACCGAAAAAGTCCTGGGTAGTTGTGGTCCGCCTGCGCTTCACGGCGCGAGCTTTGCTCTTCGCGACATCCTCCTCGGAATCGTAGCCACGATCGCTGGCTGACTCTTCGTCGCTCGGTACGATATCGAGGAATTCGTTGTGCTTGCGAGTCGTCATTTCGTGTTGTGGTGAGCGAGAAGTGCAATGAGGATGTCAAAAAGTCTCCAACTTTTTTTTTGCGGCGAAATTAGTGGTCCGTGCGTATCTCCGAGCCCAAATTACATTCATATAAATTCATTCAATTCATTCAATTCATTCAATCCATCAAGTCTTCAAATGCATTGAGTAATTTGGAAAAAGAGAGTATATCAAAAGTCTAAGTCAGTCTGGTATTTAAATCTGTTCTATGTGTCCGAGTGGTCATTCTACGGACGGACAGTCCTTCTTTTGCTGGTACCATGCCATTTATAGAACAGCCTTTAATCAGGTATTTCCAAAAGGTCGAGTATGTAAGAATGATCCCACAGTTGAGGTCGACGAGCTCTAATCACAACTAGTCAAGACTGATCGCGTTTAGCGTTGATTTCTATGGCGCACGTTTGATCTCCGACCTTACATATTTGTCCCGATACCAGCAAGTGTTGGGCTCTCTCTGTAGATTTAATTGCACAAGAGCCCAAAGTGTGGCGCCCGCTGATAGCAGCGAATTACATTTGACAATGGGCTGGTGCCCTCGATTATGAAATTCTCTGACGAACCAGCGATCATTCAAATGTGTGTTCATCCAATCCTAGGTGTAATCAAGCCCACAAAGCATTCAAGGGAGAAATACGAAGTGATAGTGACAGTGATGCAGGAAACAAGTATATGTTCGTCTTCGGTATCTCAACAAAGTCATGGTGGTCCATCTAGCGCTGGAAATATGGAGGAGAAAAAAAAAAAGCCCAGGTAGCTATCCACACAACGCCAAGGGGAATCAAATGATGCCGAGACGCATCGGCCAACCAAAATGGTCTATCGCCATATGCAGCGATCACAAACAAAGGGCAAAGACAATGGAAATGCGATTAAATGTCAGAGGTTCCGAGGTTCGGGTCTAAATGCCCAAGGACCACTTCAATCGCTCATAGACAAAGAAACTGGTGGCCACCATCGGCACAACCTTCATGTAGCCAATAGTCAACCCGACCCAGAAGCCGCGGAATCCTCGCTCCAAGTAAATCTTCCTGCCAATTTCAACTAAGCCGAGACGACGGCCGTCACCAACTGCACCGCCGACTTGCATTCGTCGTCGGATCACTTCAAGTGGATATGAGGATGATTGGGAGACCAGACCAGCGAGGGCACCGGAAGAGAGCTCGGCTGCGGCGGTGAGTTGAGGATGTCGGGAGCCCTTCTTTGGTTTGGATTCCGAGTCGGGGATGGTAGTGTATTTTGCGACGGAGGGGGTGGCGAAGCCAGTCGCCTACGGTGTCGTGGGTGAGGAAAGACATGCCGGCGTAGGGAAGCATGCCGAGAATGGTTGGGCCAAAGCCGCGATAGAAGTTGGCGAAGCCAGATCGGGGCACTGCCTTGTTGACAGTGGAAGACACGGATTCGGCTGCGGCCACAGTGGTTGAGGCGTGTGCTGCGGCGCCTGTTGAGGCAGGGGTGATGCGTTCGTTATAGATCTGGCGGCAAATATCCGTCAAGGAGGACCGCGAGGATTTTTTGGTCTCAAAGGCCAATCGCACTCGGACGAGCTCGAGTGGATATGTAAAAAATACGGAGGTGATGCCGGCCATGCTGCCGGATACTAAGCGACGAACGGAAGTTTCGTGGTCAGGGGACGGAATAACGACTGCACGAATTTGCTCGTAGGCGAGGAACTTGATAGCGGCGTAGGGGAAGATACGAAGGAGAGTTGCGGAGTGGCCCTTAAATAGGCCTCGAGAACCTTCAAAGCGCTTGATGTCGCGAATGGCCGCCACGAGACCTGCCCAGCTGCCGGTGTACTTGGCAAATTGGGGATTGGATGCCTGGAAAAGAATCTTGACGCGATCTAGAGGCGCAACGACCGTTTTGGCCTGTATTCCCTTGTGATTAGCATAGGTCCAGGAATCTCTCATGATTTCCGCGCACTTACCGCACATCCGGCCAACCCACCGGCTAGACCACTGCGTAATACATAGTCTAAACTGCGAGTCTTGACTACTATGCTTGTTCCGCTGCCTTTTTGCTTCTCTGTATTGCTACTGGTAGCAAGTTGTGCGCCCGCGCCGGTGGCAATGGGCCCGGAGGACCGCGATTCCGCGAGGTCACTCATCAGAGTGATCGATCGCCGAGGGACTCAGGTGTATCTGAAATGAATAGTAAAGTTATGACTGAACCCTGCGCATGCTCTGAGAGACTGATCGACAGAGAAGTGGGAGTTGTGTGGCCGAGGGGCACCGGGGAAAGGGTCTGGGGAAGAACGGTATTCCCCTCGTGATCACTCGGCGATTATCTGGAAGAAAAGTTTCGGGCTACCGGAGTTTCGTCGGCACCCTGGACAGGCTGCGTAAGGGTGGCTGAGGTTGGAATATACAGATTCTCGAAGGAGTCTACGAGAGCTTCTGTACAGCTATGTCAAAGCGAGGCAAGTAAAAAAACAAGAAAAAGGTAAGAGAATGTCTTTTGTGTAAGTCGCAGCTCGACTCTGACGTCGATTCGACTAATGTTCGGCGTAAGAGCTGACATGCCGATACCAGCCGCACCCCGCATGTAACCGCGAGATTACCGTACGGATACGATGCGGGCCGGAATGGCGGGTAATCTCGTTGACTGAGTCCCGAGATGCCGATTTGTCAGCCTTGGGTCGGCTCTGTTCACTTGCGGTAATGTCTATGTGCCATTTCTATTCAAATGTAATAAAGAAAAACAAATGTAGCCCCGACTCCTCTCGTGCAAATGAACAGTATACAGAAAGAATTGCCGCGTAACGATGAGATAGGAAAATAGTACAATTAGATTCGTGGTCGCGTGATGGCCCCGTTAGGTTATCCCCGTCCGCGCCGCGATCCACGGCGGGTCAACGGCTTACCCCGGGTTGCCTTGGTCTCGCGCAAATCAGCGGCAGAGGACGCTCGCTTGCGTCTGAGGGGTCGGTCAGGATCCACGTGAAGGTGGCCAAGTTCGGTCAAAGCAGTGGTGTTTCGCCAGCGCAGACAGCGAAGACGGTGCGCATTGGTGTCCACGTAGGTCTTAGTGCGGGTAGTGACACGCTTGGTCGGCATCTCCTCGGATTCGGCCCTGTCGCGAGTCTCGTTCAAGTATTCCTGGCGATTCTGCATGTACTTGGTGATGACCTCGCGTTGGCTCATGAGTTCCTTAAGCAACTTGCATTCGCGGTTACCACGCGGGTCGAGCCAGTCTATGAGCTGCTCGATCATCTCGGCATCTTCGTAGTAGGCCCACTCTCGTGCATTGGTGACATGCGTAGGGCCTTCTTCAAGGCTCCTGCGCTCTGCGGGCGTAGTCTGGAAGTGCTTGTAGTACTGTTTGCGTTGCTCGTCGGTCAAGTTGATGAAGCCCGAGACTTCCATTTCATCTGGACCCTGAACCCAGACCCGGCCGTTGGCGTACTTTGCCTCGGCGGTAGAGCTAGTGGGCATACCTTCGTAGGGCATAGCGTTGCGCTCAAACCACCAGTAGCGGTTGCAGAAACGATCGAGGCCTAGACATTTCGTTCGTGGGCAGTCCGCCTCACGCAGGTCATTCTCACATACTTCAATCTTCGCTTCGAACTCTTTGATCAAGGTCTTTTGTTCCTCAATCTTTTTCAGGACTTTCTGGTATGCCTTGGAGCCTTTAGGCTGCTTGGCCAGTTGTTCCTTGCGTTCACGCTCCACCTCCTGTTTGCGTTTCCGCTCCAGAGCACGATCAACTCCGCCACGTAGAGCTCGCGGCCGAGGAGTATCCTCGTCCTCGGTATCCAGAGGCATTTCCGAGTCACCGTCGAGGCCGGTCATCTTGGAGTCATCCATACCATCCTCGAGCTCGGGGATAGGTGTGGGCGACTTTGCAACAGCGCCCTTTTCGGGCTCTGGGGCGAGCGCCTTCCGGTCTTGATGCAACAGGCGGAGTTCAGCGAGGCTGTTGATGAAGATTTTAGTATGTGGGGGTTCTCATATTCAGAATAGATCAACTTACGCGGCCTTGCGTCCCTTCTGGTGCTCGATCTTCTCTTTGCGGACCTCCGTCATCTGATTACTGCATTCCTCCAGGTAGTTTTTGATAGCCTTGGTCTCCAAGCTCAGCATGCAGATCATCTGAAGAGCCTTGATCCGCAGGTTAATACCAAGAGTGCGGTACTGCTCGCGCGCAGTCTTCTGAGTGGCAGGCATGTCAAGAGGGGCAAGATGCTGCAAAATCTCGTTGCAAATCTTCTCCGACCGGGGAAGAACAGACAGCTGGTGCAAGAGACCAACCATGACCATTTCCCAGCCCCCATTGCGGAAGTCTCGCCGGCGAAGACGCTCAATCCAGCCGATTTTCTCGAGCATCTCCTCCGCGCGATGGATACGCTCATCTTCGGGCTCGTCCTCTTCAATGTTTGATTTGATCTCATTCGCTTCTTTTTTGGCCAGACTGCCTCGGGTGGTCATTCTCGTAGCCCGGGGCGCCGGCTCTTCCTCTCCCTCATCTTCCTCCTGCTCGTCCTCCTCTTCCTCTTCAGAACCGTCCGAGTCGTCTGCAGGGAAATCAGGAAGGGAGACTTGGATCGCACCCCCATCTTTGCCCTCCGCATTCACAAGCTTCTTCAAAATGGCACAGTGCATTTCCACGAATAGCTCGCAGTCCATCTCTTCTGATGAAAAGCGCATAGCCTGGAGGAAATCGTCAAAAGTGAACGAATCTAGCTTATAGACCTCGCAGTAGACATTAAGAGTGGTCCATATTTCCAAGAGCAATCCGACAGAGTCAGGCTCCAGGTCGTCTGGTAGGAGATCTTCGGTATCGTCGTCATCCGACTCGCCTAACTTCACGAACTTCAAAGCGGGTCGCGGCTTTCTTTCATGAATAGGAGCCAGCTCCAGATCCTCCATAGGGTACCGAATCGGAGGAGGCGAAGATGGCCGTGACTCGTTCTTGATAACAACCGATGGCGGATGCATCTTCTTGTCGCCAAGCATCGGTGACTTGGACGGACGGAGAGGATTATGGGGCGGCAGGAACGAAGGGTTGCCGTTGAGGGATCGCTGGTACTCCTGATATTGCGCTTCACGGGACTTGGCCATTTCCTGCGCGGACATCTTGGACTTTTGACCCTTCACGGCGGGCTTCAGTTCAGGCAATTGTTGCGAAGAGAAAATTCCGAAGAAACCGTCTTCACCCGCTTTCTTCATTGCCTTCTTCTCAGCAATCTTGGCACCGTACTGCAAGTGCTTCGGGACCTCGGTGGAGATCTTGTACTCCTCCGCGATCGACGGCTTTACCAGCCAGGGTGCGCCAGTCCAGGCCTCTCGAGTAACGTTATTTTTGATGAAGCCGCGAAGCATCAACTTGGTGAAAGCTTTTCGGTCCCGCGTGATGTGGTTTTGGTCCAGCAGGGCCTCTTCGTTTGGTCGGTCTGAAACCTTCACAAGGTACCGGGCGAAGGCCGGAGTCTTGATGGTACCATCAGCATATAGTTGTTCAGCAAAATTAGCCTTGTCCCTGATGGTCCCGTGGAGTCTACTGTTATCTTCCAGCAGGATAAGAACAGCTTCTCCGGGATAGAAGTCCGACTTGAATTCCTTATTTGGGTCAGTATTGATTAGAAATTCGTAAATGCGCATGCAGGCGACTCACTTCATAAATTTCGTCCACTGTCATTATCATGATTTGTTAGCTCGGTGTAATTGACCATCTCGCGCAGAGCGAACATACCCAAGTTATCAACCCGAGAAACCGTCGAGAACTGGATTCGGCGCAATATTGGCTCCTTCAAAGCCTCAGGGAAGCTATTATTGACCTCGCGTGATTCTTCTGTCTATTTGATTGATAAGCTCAAGTCGAAACCCCGATACCGCAATCGCTACATACCTCACTCCGAAGTGCCTCAAAGAAGTTCATGCCCGAATGGCCCGTGATCTCACAAATGAATCGGCGTTGCTTGTAAAAGTCCATTCGCTGGAGATACGGATCATAGCTGGTGAAGACCTCGTTGGTTTCTGGGATAACCCAAACCTAGGACGAGATTTAACTAAGGATACGTTCCTGGCGCGCATTGTAGCTATCAACGTACCTCGGAGCTCTCATCTTCGATGACCGGCTGCGGGAGGTATGTAACGGGCTTTCGTTTGAACAGGACCTGGATTGAAGAGATGTCAGCCACGTTTCTTCAGCAACACGTAGGGTTTCAGCTCCGGTGGCCTCCGCGGCCAAATCTCCGCCAGGATGGGTGTCGCATACCATTATCCTCTATAGATCGCGGGCACGCACCAGTCTACAAGAGACTACCGCGGACAAGATCAGACATGAAACGACTAGAGCACACGCGGATTCAGTTAGCAAAAGTAAGTCATCATGTGGGAAATGATCAGGCCATGGCCACGTCGAGCTAACAATGATCGGAGATGGGGGCAATCCAGGTAAGAGATGCTCTAGAGGTGACCGAGCATGGTTCTCGCACGGTCATTCGAGAGGGTTGTGGTCGAAGCGACCCGAACCGGATAAGGTGCGGAGGAAGCAGGAGTGGCCTGGAGTCGGCGTCGCGGACTTACTGGGCTAAACGCGTGCCAAATAGTATTGCGACAGTCGCAAACGATTTCAGGATTTGAAGAGGAGAGATAGGTAGTGGATGGTGGATGGTGGACGCGCAAGTCGCGTTTGAAGGGAACAGAAGGACAGGGGAGAAACAGAGATCAAAGTCCAAAAGTCAGAAAGCAGAAGCGGTAGATCAACCGCGAATCGGGCGAGGGCTGTGATTGGCGGAGAGGAGGAGCAGCGGGAGTCAGTGCCAGCGAACTTTTGGATTGGGAAACTCGAGCGCCTTTTTCTCCCCCCGGGACCCTCCTTGTCCTGCCCGGAGCTGCCAACGCCCGCCCTTTCGCTCCTAGCCCACCAACGCCAGGAGTTTTTGCACTCATTCGATTCCTCCGAATGCGGAGAATCTGCTGGCGTTAGTTTTGTGCTCTCGAATTTCAATTACCCACCTATTTCCTCCGACTATCAATTACGTTACCCCGAGTGGAGTGCACTCACCTGGTGTCGACTTACAAGAACAATCGCTAAGTGCATCGGGCATCGTATAGATTTCCACCACCATCTCTGTGACTGTCAAAAGAATGCATCAGTACCTCGTCTCTCCTGTTTACTGTCATCTGGTCAATTTATGGAGAACACTGTGTCTTGAGAATGTCGCGAGTGGGAAAGGAGCCACTTCTTCTTCTTCTTCTTCTTCCCACCATCGCTGATTCTTTTCCACTATACTCATCTTAAATCAACAGAAACTTTCCAAACAGTATATAGTACTCAAAACAGTTTGGCATTTCACCTTGATAGAGATTCAATATAAATTAGATGGCGCATCAGTGGCACGCGGTCAGGTCCGAGGGTATGAAAATTTCTTGCTATGCATTACACCGACCTTATCTATTCACAGAAACTGTGACAATGTATTCGAAATAATCTACCTAAATACCCTTTCACTCGATGTACGAACCCCTTTATAACCAATCCAAATCTTGTCATCCCTTTTCGCATCCGGCCACCCGAAGTCAAGCCCCACCTATGACACGAATTGACACGCAACTTCTTAGCCTGCCAATGTAATACCTTCATCTATCAGACTTTTGTCATCTGTAAGTTGAAGAGCCCTTTGGTCACTTTTATAGGAGTGTAGTCAGCTTGATCAGTTTCGACTCACTCTCGTGGCGTCCCAAATTGAAGGCTCTTCTGGCCTTTGGTGCAGAAACGACCGCAAGTAAGTGATTTCGCAATTATACTACAAATACGCGGCTTTTTTTGCACGCGGTTAAACAGCCAGCTGGCTGGAGCTATTCATGAGGAGAGCTGATTAGGCATATGACTATGTCACCTCTCGCGTGGGGTTGGAAAAAAACCCCCCCCGAACATGCATTCAATGATGAGAGGTGCAAAAAAGGGCTCCACTTTATGAATTTAACCATGTTGCAGAGCCTTTGGAGACGAGGTCTCTAGCAACCGAGGACGTTCTATCCCTGTAGAATACTGTATATAAGTAGTAAGCTAGCTCCATTCAGCATTCGAGTTATATTTATATTAACACTGAATTGGAGGCAAGACGGCTGCGTGGGCTAGCTAAAGGATATGTCTTAATCCAGATGGATGACCTTGTTCAACTCTTACACTTTGAGTACGCCACCTCGGGCAAAAATATAGTCTACGGGCGGAGCTACATTCCGTTGCCAGAGTTGAGCCCCCCCCAGCAAACAGAACCAAAGATCCAATATCTCTAAAACCTACTATCTTACCAGAAATCACCACACCCATCCAAATCAGTATCACTCCCGCGATTCGTACCGAGCCCGCATCTCGCAGACGGCAAGCTGCATGGAATCACGGGTAGCGCTAACCGTGTTTGGAGCATGCCGCAATAGACTTTTATGGTTTGGTGGGTCTGACCCACGTGGTGTGCTAAACGGTGCAAACAGATTACGTCACCATAGTAGGTCGAACGAGTTTACTTAATGGGAAACTGAAACAAGTTTGGCTTTGAATTATTAGCTGATTCATGGGCTGAGACAAATTATCTATGCAGTAAAGTATACCACCATAAATCCGATCCAGCTGCCGACTACCCCGAGGGCTGAGTAGCTGCTCATGAACATCAAGGGCAGGAACTGGAGCCTTTCCCATCCGAAAATCAGATAGTGCCCCAATGAGCAATAGATAATCAGCGGAAGGGAAATGGTCAGATATAGCAAGGAAAGTCGGTCAAATACGAAAATGCGCGGCCGTTCTGGGACCGGCGCGACCCGGTCGAAGACGAAGAGGAACAGAACCAGCCAGGAGATGGTGTACACGGTCTTGAGCGGGAATTCGGCTGCTGTGAACAGGAGCGGGAAAAGAGAAACATGGCCTGCTACTGCGAGCGGTCGGAATGCGCTGAAGTAGCGGCGGTCTTTGAGTGCAATCAGACTGAATGGAATGATGATCAGGAGCACGGCCTTCTCATGAACATGCCAGCCGAAGAGGAAAGATGCGTATCCACAGAGAGTGATGGCGCCCACGAAGGTGTCCCAGTCGGGACGGAACCATAGCTTTACCAAGGGAACCTGAAAAGCGTAAGAAAGGGGCATGGAAAATTGTGAGATGGGTGCATACCAGCTGGAAGACGAAGGTCAGCAGAAACGTATGCTCCTTGGTCACTTCGGGGAGAATAGCAAATGATGTGTCTCCCACGAGGCCACGAGTAACACTAGTTAGCGCTTCTCGGTTCATTGGCAGCCCTAAGCGAGGAGCGACTTCAAAGCGGATCAGCAACACTTCGAGACCCTTCTTGGAATTAGTACTCACGTGGGATCAAAGCACGATCAGTGAATGAGTACATAGCCCAAATGTTAGGCGCCCAGTACGCGTGGCATAGCCCTCTCGAGAAGGGGAATAGACGATCCTTGAGTTGAAAAATCTGGCCCCACTGCACGAAAGGTCCGAAAGCAATGACAAAGATGCCAAGCACACACACTCCAAGCTTGATGGTATTTCCAAAACGCGGCCGGAGGACATTCTTGGGGTCGAGACAGTAGGCGCGCAACAGATAAACGAACCAAGCAAGGGAGAGGTAGAGGTATATATGCTTGAAGCAAAGGAGTGCGGCGAATGTAATCCCACTGTATAGGAGGGTCGATTGCTTGCGCGCCAGGACAATAGACAGGATCATGATTCCGTACATGAATCCATTGTATTGGAAGTGGATGTGGTCGATGATGAATAGACCCGGTGAGAGGAGAATTGAGAGGCTGGCAACATGCGCAGCCTGCTTGTTTGCAAGGGGAACCGACTTAACGAATCTACGGCAATTAGTGAGCAGCGCTGTTCATACAGTCCATAGGGAAGTTGTCGTACCGGCTGAGCGCGAAGACCAGAACTAGCTCGGTGAAGATGACAGTGCCTCTTTGGAAGTAGATTGTTTGCCAAGAATCATAGTTCAGGTTCTTCACAGCCAGCATCGCAGGGTCAATATACGCAGCCGCTTGCGACATGAGCCATTCAAAGGCCGCGAAGAATGGCGGGTAATCGAGGGTCCATTCCGAGGTTTTCTAAACGGCTGTTAGAGCCTACTAGATAGGCCAGAATCCCAGTAGACCAACCTCATAATACCATTCTTGAACCGGGAGCGAATTGGTAATGGCCAGCCAGTTGCGATGGACCTCAAAATCGGTGGATTTGCTGTAAAGGCGGGAGGATCAGCACTCAGCAAGTGTGCGGGACAATGGAAACTCACTATGCGGGGAATAACAAGACCTTGAGCGCACCTGCAAAAATGGCGCACTGCGCCAATGACGGGTAGAGCTCAGCCATTAGAGCAGAGGGGCATTCCTGAGTCCCGAAGCAAGTCGAGCCAGAAAGTTGAAGCTCCTCCGCATATCGGTCACGTGGATGCGGAGAATATAACAAATCAGGAGAAGGCCAGGTATCAACAGCACCACCTTCCGCATGGACTTCTCGGACGTCGGCGTCCGACACACCATTCTCAACAGTGTCCAGTTGCACCACTTCATTGACATCTCTCCTTCTGCAGCTGCCATCGCCAAGGAGGCCCGCCTGTGTGTCATTGCCATTGTCGTCGGGTGGATCACTACTCGCGTTGTCGCTAGCCTTTGCGAAACCTCTCGGACATCCTGCGATTGCAAATCCCATTCCTAGCATAAGGACTTGAACGCTGATTGATCGATACTGCGCTGTGTCTGACTAATATATCGGGGGCCTCTATTGCACAAGGATTTTTTGAGGTCTTTCCATTACTAGTTCTATTGACTACGAAGCTTTTACTCGATCTGCCACAATGAGGACCTTCTCTTCCCTGGCCCTACTTGCCATTGGTGCTGTGGCCCAGGTTATTGAGAGCCAGAGCTTTGGTTATGGTGAAAGGTACCCAACAAGCCCGGTTGCATGCCCTCTTTTCCGTGCCAGATTTAATTAACATCTACGCTAGGATATCTCCAACACGTCACAATCTCCCAGGATGGAATATCGGCGGTGAGGGCCATGACCCTTCCCTCGTATGTTGCCTGGTTTTTTTCATGTGCCAATTCTGACCCCCAAGCTAGCTCTCCGACAAGCTCATTTTAACGCCCCCCTACCCCGGAAACACACGAGGATCCGCCTGGTTACAAAGCCCGTACGTTACCCTTGATGTTCGAGCTGACAAAGAAACGAAGACTGAAAGATATACAGTTCTTTGCAACAAGAATGGTCCGCGGAGTTCCAATTCCGAGCAAGTGGTCCCGAAAGAGGGGGTGGCATTCTCCAATTATGGTATACCAAGGATGGCCAGGCCCGAGTTGGGACCTCGAGCATCTACACTGTCGGCCAATTCGACGGCCTTGCCGTGGTGATAGATACGCATGGTGGACGCGGTGGAAGCATCCGCGGCTTCTTGAACGACGGAACGACTGATTACAAGAGCCACCGTAGTGTCGACAGCCTCGCTTTCGGACACTGTGACTATGCCTACCGTAATTTGGGCCGGCCCTCCGTGTTGAAGCTGAAATACACCAGCTCGATCCTTGAGGTCACTGTGGACGATAAGGTCTGCTTCTCAACCGACAAGGTACGCCATGATCTTCCAAGTCGCACCGCGAACAGCCTTACTAACCCTAACCAGGTCGCTCTACCTGCTGGCAACACTTTCGGTATCACTGCTGCCACCCCAGAGAATCCTGACTCCTTCGAGATCTTCAAGTTCATCTTGGAATCCGCCTCTGGCCAGAGTGCCCCCGTGTATCAGAATAACGCTCCCCAGCAGCCTATACAGAACCAGGCACCCCCTGCCAACCCTCCTCCCGTTGCCTCTTCCGGCCAAAAGGGTCTCGATGCCAGTATTGCCGCTCAATTTGTCGACCTGGGCGGCCGCCTCCAGCTTGCCAACAAGGCCACCAACACCATCATCCAGGACATGAAAAGCCAGGCCGCCAAGAGTGAGTCTCGCCACGCGGAGCTGCAGCAGAAACTGGCCACGAAGAGCGACCTTGCAGCCCTTGACGTTCGCCTTCAGCGTATCGAAACCCTTCTCCAAAGCGTTCAACGTGACATCCAAGGACGGGACTATAGTGGCAGCTTCAGCCAGCTTCACGATACCCTACGCTCATCGCACCTCAGCTTGACTGAGAGCCTGCAGGGTCACCTGCTGAGTGGTACGTCTACCTTTCATCTGCCAAAGTAAGAAGTATACAAATGAACTGACATCATATACAGCCATCACTGCCTCAACTCCTCGCATGGGCTTCTTCATCTTCCTGGTCATCGCCTTCCAGCTTCTCCTTGCCGCCTCGTACATCGTCTACAAGAAGCGCCGCGCCAACATGCCAAAGAAATTTCTCTAAATTCTAGATACGCCGTTGACTGGTCACACCAAAGCGTGATACTTCTGTTCTTGGGTGTCGTTAATTACTTTGATTTGTCCTAGCCATTTGACCCTTGTTTCGGGTCTTGATGTAGAGTACGAAACGGATTTCGTTCTTACGGTCTCATTATTGCCTTTCACATGAGTATGGTACGGACTAGCCAAGAAGATAACGCAAATAAGCCCGGACGCTCTGTTCTCTCGGGCTCTCTCCACATCTTCCCGAGCATGTATGTGCTCGTCTTTCGGTGAAGCCCTTTATCAAGACACCTTGTGAAATGTCTTATAATTTTAGCAGACTGAAATGATAGTAAGCACCGTCAATTCATTGACAGACATAATATCCCCGTACTTCAGCGGCACGGTATATTTAAATAACAAGATGGAAATAACCCATTGACGGCCTATGCAAAATAATCGTACAAAACAAGATTCTTCGAGTCTCGAATGCGCCGTCCCATGCTCGTGTCAATTTCGCAGAGTCCAGAACCAGGAAAATGCAGAACAAGAAAAAAAATACCCGGGCCATCGCAAATAAAAGAATTCCTAGTCAGAAAACTCGAAGAATCCGAAAAGGACAAGTTGGGAATCGACGAAGGTTTGCGGTCGCAAAACAGAAAGCCTGAAACTAGGTTCGAGTATCATCCCTCTCCCTAGATAAAAAGAAGAAAAAAAACGCCTCTGTCCATTGCGAATTGCAAGTTCTTTATAGGGTGCTGATGCAAATGGTATGCTGAAGATGATGAAAAAATTGAGGAATTATGTTGCGTATTGGTGTGCGTGCGGGAAGGTTGCACCCCTATGATCGCGTCCGACTTTTCCTAGGCAAGGCCACGAATAACCTCATGGAGCCAGACAAACTCGTAATGCAGGCGAGTTAATCGGAACTGATGTGCTGGCGCTTCTGCGCCGGCTCCTGGTCATCTTTGGTCGCTTCTTCGGCATCAGCCCGAGATCGCTTTTTCTTGAAGTTGAGGGCCGTCTGCTTCAGCGTAGACGACCGGGCCCGAGGAAGAAGTTCTCCATCGGAAAGGCCAGACTTGGAAGCTCGAGGTGTCCGAGGAGCGGCCTTGGGGGTGACCGACTTGCGTGAGGATCGAGGAAGAGATTTATGGCGAGGAGCCACGGAAGGGGTTTCATCCGGGCGAGATCCAGTCTCGGCATCGGGAGTGGTGGAGGCGGTGATTTCGTCACCGACCGGAAGATCAGAAGCAACATTTGGGAGAGTAGCCTGAGCTTCTTCTTGGGCAGTAGGCTCATCATGCTTGGTGGCGGTGAATGTTTCCTCAGACGAAACAGTAGCGGACTCGCCGACCGGGGGAATAGAAGTCGGGCCTCCATTATGGAGGCCGAGAAGGTGGCCGCAGCATCAAACTGCTCTTCGGGCACAGTACCAGTTCGCATGCTTTCGATGGCATTTTTGATCTGATGCTCGAGTTCAACAGGCAATTCGCCCGCATCGCTTGAGGCACTCATAGAGGACAGATGCTCCTTGGTGAGCTGTCTGGCGATGGTGATTGCAGTTTTGGCCACATTATCGAAATACTCGCGTTCGCGCTGCTGCTTCTTCTCGCGCACAACGCCAACAAAGTCAAGGACAATGTCGCCAGCAGGGAGGCGCGCTCGCTTCTCGCGCCAGTCCTCATCGAAAGTGGTCTCCCGTGGATCATCAGTAGTAAGAATGTCGACATCAACAGCAACGCAATTCTTGGGGCGGCGCACACGACGCTCTTGCAGACGACCTTCAACCATCTTGGAAACAATCATTTCGTCCGATCGAACGTGATTAGGGCACATCCAACCCTTGGAAGGGTCAGGGGGATTAGCACGGGGCGGGTCCAAGCAGTCTAGATGGAAACGGCTTGGGCAGTAATCACATCTTATGATAGGACGCACATTCTCGCTAGACAGACCACAACGAGTGCAAAGAATGACTTGGCCGTTTTCCATCAGCCGCAGCAGGTTGGGATCGTTGTACGCCGGCACACCCGCCTGCTTCGGTGCCTTAGTCAGCCGGGGCAGGTGGGGGACAGTTTCGTAGTATCGTTGTTCTCCCAAGTGACCCGAGTCGTACTGAACCCTCTCACCCACTCCGGCAAAGTAGTCCTTGATGTCCGTGGGCGGGCGGAATTCGGTTTTCGTCTCGTCGTGAGCCCGCCGGATCATTTCTGTGGCGCAGTTGCGGACTACGCAGCTCATGCAGTGCCACTCACCCTTAGGCGGATTTTTGGGGTCCATGGCGGGTCTGACACATCGGAAATGGAATGCGTTCGAACATGTGTCACAGCAAAGCAAGTTTCCACCTCGATCGCACTTGTAGCAGTTGTCGCTATTCTCAGGAGGCTCACTGTGGGCTGCCATTAGCATGGAAACACCAGTAGCCGGCAAAACCAAGATTTCACTTACACCTGATCAGGCATGAGCCGAGGAGGATAATCGGCAGTCCAGTCGTTCACGCAAACTGAGTAAACAGAGTTCGAGACGTCGGAATCAACGGCTTGATTGGGGTCTACACCAAGTTCCTCATTGGCTCTCTGGGGCCTTTTGGCCGGTTGGTGGCGCTTCTGCCTCTCATTAATAACTCCTCGTACATCAGGTGTCGAGGATGAGTCTTCGGCCGCATCAGTAGCACTGCTTCTTGAAGCAAGAGAGTTGCGTCGATTCCGCGCTCTTCCCCCCATGGTATAAGGCTGCATGATGTTAATCTCTTCACCGCGCTTGGGACGAAGAGAGCTGCTTTTAGGAGCGGCCTCATCATTTTCAGCCGGCATGGTCTGGGAAAATCGAGCGCGCTTCTTCTGTAGATTCTCGCCAAGAGTAGGATCTGCTTCCCACTCGCGACGACGCTTGAAAGAAGTTTCATTAATGGGGCACGGCTTTTTGGGCCGCTTGAGAGGAGCAGTGTTGGTCTTTCCGCTGACAAAGGCCTCTTCGAGCTTTGGCCCACTGGTGTCACGGTAAATGTCCGCGGTCTTGAATGGTGTCCGGCCGGTGGGCTCAGCTTCGAAAGATTGCGCGGATGAAAGCTCCGACTCACTGTTCTCATGGGTCAGAGCCCGGGCGCGATCTGCAGAGAGTGATCCATACCACTTGCTCGCATCATCGATGGAGTGACGCAGCATGGTTTTCAGTGCGAGTTGTAAAGAATGATCAGCGTCGTCTCGGCCGATGTTGTGAATCAGCGACAACTTGAAGTCGTCATTGGAGATACCGGACCAGTAGTAAACAAGACTCAACGCAACTTCATCCTCGCCACGCTTGGCAGAGTGGGAGATCGCAAGCTCCACAACTCGCTTGAGCTGTTGGACATCATATCTGCGGGACTTCGGATCGGGGAGAGATTTCAGCATAGCGACAAAGTCGCGGGTGACAGCCGTCCTCTTCTTGGGAGCCCTACCGTCTGTGACTGCTGTAGCAGGAGGAGACTGAGGCTGGTGCAAGGGGGTATCGGCTCCGGGTGCGTTAAGATGAGTAATGACAGAGTCAGTCAAGAGTTCATCTACAGGAGTATCGAGTGGACTTTCTGCAGGAGAGAAAGATGGGTGGACAGTAGATTTTTCAAGAGTTTCAGAAACGGGGGTCGCAAGATTGGTGGTGAGAGCGTCCCCGTCGATGTCCTCACTGAGTATTGTGTCTTCAATAGGAGCTCCGATCGTCTCCCCAACAATGCATTCAATGGAGCCATTCAAGACACCCATTTTCTCGATGCGAGTCATAAGTTGGCCGTTTGCCGGAGCTCCCGTCGCTGCCTCCTCTGCCACCGGCGTGATAGGCATCCCCGTAATGGGATCGTCGAGCACTTCGCGCGTCGCCAACTTGGCGCGTTTAAGGACATGTTTTGGAGGTGGCGTTTAGACCAACGCTCTTGTACTCCGCAGGCGACGGATACTGTCCGATAGGCTTCATGGTCCAGAGGTATTTGTTCTCTTTTAAGCGAATGGGATCGGCATCTGCCCAAGATGGGCGCGCGCGTTCCGCGATAGATTCTTCCCATTCACTGATGTCGTTCAGCTGCGGTAGATATCTGGTCACGTGCGCATCGCCTGGATCAGACGAAACGCGTATTTGACGCGGATTATGCTCGTGAAGCGTTCGACGCTGCGCGGGTTCTTCTGCGGGTTGGAAAATGGCCCGGCGCTGCTGGGATCGGAGACAAGGCATGCTGACCGCCCTCGGGCGTAGGGTTAGCGCCACGCGGATCTCTGCCTGAACGTGATCTATACAAAGCTAATGGTTGGCGATCTTTCACATTCATTCTGTAAGTTATAGGCTGAAATGTAATTCTGAGAAGAATGAGGGATCTTGTGTGATGATAGAGTGAAAGGAAACAGCGTAACACTGTCTTCATATGGCTGATCTCAGATCGATGGTACTCAGAGAGGCTAAGAACTTCTAGATTTGGAAGGCAATGTTCTTTATGCATAACCTGATTGAGCACAAGAAACTTTCTTAGATACAGCGACTTGGCATCGTATTTAACTGTTGCTAGTGTGTAGATAGTGTGATAGGCAGAGGGAACAGGAGGATGTTAGATCGATGAAAGTAATCGTTAATTCAGCAGGCCCGCTAGAGGTTGACGACTTACCATCCTGATCAAGAACCAGTGGGCATGACATTCAACTATATCATCTCAGATCGATGCTTTGTCTATACTCAGCATTGAGAGGAAGTATACTTCGCCTAAGATTTATTAGGTCATCAAGCACTGGGATGCAAGTGATATACAATTTTACTCTCGATCACTGTCGCATGGTGATAATCTAGCTTTTGGCTGACAATGTCTCCATTTGGCTCATGACTTCTGCTGCGCTGCTAAATACATGAAAGGCATACCAGAAAGCCCACATGCCCCGGCTTACACTTCAACATTGACTCCGCCAACAAATACCGGAATCTTCATTGAGTGCCATTGCCGCCTCTGCTCATACTTACCACTCATTCAACACCTATTTCCCTTTTCATTGCTGGTAAAATCGTAGGTTGATGGGGGGGATTCGTCATTGGATATCTTTTTTTTGTTGATTGAAAAATCGAGAAAGGGTTCCAAGACCGGAGTATATTGCACAGGGAAGACAACGCTAGTGTCAATGCATTTACTCCTTGGCGGTGACCTTCTTCTTGTTGCTCTTGCTCTTCTTGTTACCAGTCGAGCGAGCGAGAGGCTGCTCAAGGATCTTGAGAATTTCCTCATCCTCAATCTTCTTGTCGGACTTGTACTGGGTGAGATCGAGCTCGGCGGGGGCAGCAAGCTTGGTGATACCATTCTTGGTAATAGCTATCACTGGAATTAGCAGTGCATCTGGCCGCTTGATGAAGTCTGAACTTACCAATGGTAGTGAGCAGGCGGGAAACCGGGGTGTTGTCAGCAGAACCGCTGGGCTCGTAGGCGCGCAAGACACCGTTGCGAACACACTCGACAACACCGACCTTAGCGGCCTTCTCATCCTCGAGCTGACGCAAGCTGAAGGGGAATGTACCGAACTTCTTGACGACTTCGGAGAGGGTCTGGCGAGAGCTGGGACGCTTGAGGTGGTAGGTGGTAGTGGTGCGGCGGTGCAGAGTAGTACGGTGGTCAAGAGACTTGACCTTGCCGTTGCCCAAGCTGAGACCAACCTCAATACCCCAAACCTCACCAACCTCGGGGACACCCTCACCACGGGTGCCGTCACCGGGGTTCACGATGATCTTCTTGGTGCCCTCAATCTCGTTGCGGTCAAACAGCCAGCTGGTGGTGTTCTCAATGACGGTGCAGTCGTAGGCCTTAGCGATCTTCTCCAGGTAGGAGGAGAGCTGAGCCTGAGTAGGAGCCTTCTGAGCGGCGGCCTTCTTCTTTTCCTCGTCAGTGCCCTGGGCCAGCAGACCCTGGGGAACCATGAGACGCAACATGACCTCGTTGGCGTAGTGGGTAGCAAGGATCAGGTCGGCCTCGCGGCCGGTGACAGGCTCCTTGGCGGCGTCCTTCTTGGGGACAACAACCATATCACAGACGATTGTTCCGAAACCATCGATCTGAGCACCAAGCTGGATCTTGGCGATCTCGCCGGCCTTCAAGGTAATCTCGGCCTCGGCGGCATCGGACACCAGAGGGGTGTAGGGAGTGACATAGGAGCTAGGAGAGACGGTAGTGGGGTTGGAGATACCTTTGAGTCGCAAAATTAGTTTTGCACTGTATCATCTTGTGGATAGAAGTAGACCAACCCTTGGCAATCTTCTTGCCCTTGTAGACCTTGGCAATTTCCTCCTCGAGGAGCTTGTCACCCTTCTGGCAAATCTCGACAATCTTCTCGCCCTCGACGCACAAAGCTATCATAAGACATTAGAATGCATGACGTCGAGTACAGAGAGGAGCGCAACATACCAGAGACGGCCTCGAGCACTTTGTGCGAAATTTGGGCAGCGGTCTTGTACTTGGTCAGGGTGTCGGGGTTGTTGAGGGTGTAGTCTAAACAGAGCCAAGGAAGTCAGTTCCAAATTCGAATCGGGTGGTTTGTCTGCGTAGGCCTCCCAAGGAAGCTCATGCCATTGACCGACAACACCCACAAACGTCAGAGCTTTCGCGGGAGCACAGTATGTCTACATACCAACCTCGGGCACTTGGGTCTCCGCCATTGTGATTTGAATTGAACTCGCGGTTCTGCGAGAATAAGATAATGTAGGTGGTTCTCAGAAGTAGATCTTTAGGGAAAGAAGAATGGATCGAGAGCAGGTCGTGTGCAGCGAACGAGAGAGCGTTTAGCGGTGGTGGGGGGAGTTCCCACTGTGGCCTGACAATTCAGGCGGAGCACGGCTAGGGTTACGAGCGGAATAGACGTCATTCGTTGACCTCATTCTTGATCGTTACAGACCTGAGACACGCCCCAGAAACATAGCTGTGGCTAAAGTTCTCAGGGTGACCCCGCATATAATCCTCGTCCAAGCCTTCAATTCGTGATCCTCGTGCCGCTGAGGGTCCCGTGAGCCTGCAAGGATCGGGGCTTCTCCATCCGCTTCCCCTCCCCCAGTCTCTTCTCTGGCTTAGATCTCCCTCCGTTCAATGTCGTCTTGAGATACGTTTCTTCAAATAGTCTATCTTCCATCCTAGTTCTATCTTATCTGGGCTCGTGGCTTAAAATGAGATCAACGTCAGAGCTCCCGATTCGTGTACTTACTCATAACATTCGGTATGCGACTACATCTCCCTTCAAAGGAGAACGGCTGTGGGCTGAGCGCAGGCAGTTAATGCTGAATGAACTCGAATATCATACTCGCTACTGTAGGGGAGTCATTCATTTGTCTGCAAGAGGTTCTCCACAATCAGCTTGAGGATATTCGAGCGGGGTTGAATCCCACTCAAGGTTCTGAATCTCAGAAATGGGCATATATCGGGGTCGGTCGAGACAATGGCCATGAAGCTGGGGAATATTCCCCGATATTCTATCGCCCTGCAGTCTGGGAATTACTGCATTGGGAGACAGTCTGGCTGTCCGAGACACCTTCCAAGCCGTCGAAGAGCTGGGATGCGGCCTCTATTCGCATTGTCACCATCGGCGTATTCACCCACCGAGCCAGTGGAAATACCGTCCTCGCCTTGAACACTCACTTGGATGATCAGGGGCCTCGCTCACGGCTCGAAGCTGCCCGCATCATTCGCTCCAGGATCCAGGGATACCAGCGGGGACAATATGGAGGCTTCATCTCGGGCACCTTCTTGGCTGGTGATCTCAACAGCCAAGAGAACCAGGAGGCATATGTTGATCTCACAGGGTCTGGAGATTTGCGTGATACATTCAAGCTGGTCGATGCCTCGCGACGATATGGCAACATCGTTACCGCGACTGGATTTGGTTATGGAGGCCATCCAGAGCGCATTGACTACATTCTACTGGGGTCCGAGGGCAACCAGACATGGCGAGTAGACGGGTACTCTGTAATGCCAAATCGGTTCGATGATGGAGTGTTCAATTCGGATCATCGGGCTGTTGTTGCAGACCTTACTCTCATGGGCTAGCATGGGATCCTAGCATTCTAGAGATCTGCTTCAATGGCATTGCGTACCTAGACATTCGACAGAGACGACATTGTTGCTCCTGTGTTCAATATTAGTGGCTGTTGTCTTTCTTCAATCTGTCTATCTTTCGGGGACTCTTCAAGTCCTTGAGGTCCGTTTCTGGAGAGTGGTGAGAGGTCAATTCGTCGCCACGGTGGCTATTGGGCCATTGGAAGCTCCACGGCAATAGCTTGCAACGTGACCTGTATTGAAATAAAAAAGCCTCATTGAACGCAGTGACCTCAATCGCCGGTGCGTGTGTTTGGTGCAACGTCTAAGGTGTTGAATGACACCGAGTGTTGCCGGATTCTGCCTTTATGCCTTAACAACAAGGCATACAACAAGGCATACAACAAGCCACAGATATTACGATCACATGATTTCTAGCATGCCGTCGAATCGGCCCTGGCGCAGTGTCCTTGCTGGGAGAGAATAGGAAAGTAGCGATGACAACTTTACGATTAATAACCAAGTAGCCTCCTCCCTCAATTTGTAGAACTAAACGGGCATAGGTAGGCATGGAAAGGGCGCCGAGGCTGTCCTTGCTTTGCTCGGGAGCGGACATCTCGTAATCCTCCCAATCTCCTCTGAACTTCTCACACACACCCGCGCGCCCTGAGGAACCGCCACCAGCCTCACCTTTGCGCAAGCTTGACTCTCAGGACCACCCAAACATTGTCTCCCATCCCTGCCAATTTTACGCAGGTGACAACGTGATCTCCCAAGAGTCATCGGGATCTGTTACCGGTCTGCCTAGCCGACAGCGCGATCCACCTCCTTCCCCCTTCGACCTTGGTATGTTATCACTTCCCCATCATTACACTATATTCGCTGCTTTGCCATTCCACCCTCGTTTGGCTTGAGACTATCGCGCAGCTGCTCTTGATGTCCCTGGCGCGTCTGGTACATGCGCCCGTCGCGACCCGTGCAATAACTAGTCCGCACCTGACGCCTGACGCCGCGCGGTCGCGACGTGATCGGGGAGCTATGCATATGTACTATGAATCTCTCACTAATATTGATTAAATTGCGCTCCAGATTACACACAACGATGCTCTTCTAAACGCATTAGGTTTATCTCGATCGCGTTGAGCACCACTCCCTCTCGACTATCACGCTTACTGCGCCATATCACAAATTCAATCGATCATGCCATCCCCTGAATCGTTACATGGCTTCCTACCATCGGAACAGTTTTCAGTAGATTCCCAGTCAGGCGAACAGAACGGCTCGAGCGCGTCCAACACCGCCCGAGGTTCAGACTCCTTTGACACCGCCACAACTGCCGATACCATCTCAGAAGACAAGCAGAACGCAAAAGCCAAGATGGCAGCCACAGGGATGGCGGAAACCAATGAGATCAATGGCACGCCCCATTCAAACGGCACGAGTGGCTCTGCGCAAAGTAGAAAGCGATCCCGCGACGGGTCAGTCATTCAGGCCTCCGACGTGTCCGGAGTCCTGGCTGTACGTACACGCGAAACACCAGTCGAAAAAATTTTGTTGGAGCAGTATGTGAACCGCGAATTTGAATACGCAGCTGCGGCTGCCTGGCAAAATCCAAGCCAGGAGATTCAACGACAGAAACAGTCAGAACGTGATTTCTACTTGCGATTACGGCGCGAGTATCAAGCGAACCCGGCAGTCTTGTACGGAATGGGATATGAGGGATTCGGGAACCCACGGACGGATAGGGGAAGTCAAATTCCTCAGCTCTTGTACCCATCCAACCGACGTCGGCCTGGAAACCGAAAGACACGGGAATTGCGAGTCTCCCGCCGGGATCTGAAGGTGCAGAGTGAGCAGATTGAGGACCTTGTTCCTATTCGGCTCGACATCGATTACGAGAAGATCAAGATTCGCGATACCTTCACCTGGAACCTTCATGATCGGGTTGTGTCTCCGGATCTATTCGCCGAGAAGCTTGTTGAGGATCTAGGTCTCCCTTTGGAGACATCGGGCCATCTCATTCGTGAGATTACCAAGAGCATTCAAGACCAGATTGTGGATTATTATCCTCAGATCTATATGCATGAGGAACCCCTGGACTCGCATCTGCCGTTCACTGCATATAGAAACGAAGAGATGCGCATACTAGTCAAGTTGAACATCACGATCGGGCAACACACCCTCATCGATCAGTTTGAATGGGACATCAATGACCCTCAGAATTCACCTGAGGAGTTCGCTCTGCGCATGACGAACGATCTCTCCCTCTCAGGTGAATTTACGACCGCCATCGCTCATTCTATCCGTGAACAGTCTCAAATGTTTACCAAGTCTCTTTACATTGTCGCACATCCCTTCGATGGTCGCCCCATTGAAGATCCCGATCTCAGCGCCTCTTTCCTTCCCACTCCCGTTTCATCTGCCTTCCGACCTTACCAATCAGCCAAGGAGCACACGCCATATCTTTACGAATTGAACGAAACAGACCTTGAGCGAACTGAGATCTCAATCTCTCGAGATCTACGTCGCCAGAAGCGGTCGATCAACCGTCGCGGTGGCCCTGCTCTCCCCGATCTCAAGGACCGTCAACGTACGATCCGGACCTTGGCTTTATCGTCTGTCATTCCAAATTCTGCTGCCACTATCGAGGAGAGCAACGTGATCAAACGTTCGGGCTCCGGCCGGCGTCGTGGAGTGACAACACGTGGTGACGATGAATCAGACGAATTTGATAGTGACGATTCTTCTGTTGGTTCCCCCGCGATTGGCCCGCATCTTGCCCAGGGAACCGCCCGAACAAGAGGCATGCGAGGCGCTGCCACGGCTGCTCATGCAGCTCTGCGTGCTAGTTTGGGTCAATCAGCCACCCCCGAGCCGGTCCTTCATGAGCCTCGAATGTCTTCTCGGCGGCAAACGTACAGGGAGGAAAGTGTTGAAGAGCCCGAAAGGTTGATCGTGAGGTTCAAGCTTTCTCGAGACAGACTTGTTGCTCTGAGAAATGGACAGCGCATCGCTGGCCACCCATCCTCCGCCCATGCAGCGAACGCCATGGCACCACCGTCTGCCCAGTCTCGACAAGCTGCGCACCACCCCCGACTTCAACAAACCGGAGCCGTGGACGCACCGAACCCGCCCCAGGCTGGGGTACCAGGTGTGAGTAGATATTGAGAAAGATAATCCTCAGATTATTGGTCCCTGGCTGACCCATGTGCGCATTCCAGCCCCCACCACCAAGCTGGCTCCAGGCTGGCCTCAATAAGTTGAAACAGTCCCATCCCAATGACTCGTTTGAGGGCGTGATGCGCTATTCCGCCGTGGATATCGAAACTCTTGCCCCCGTGGCCAATCCCAACACCCTATCTTCCGGCCAGAAGATCAAATATCAATATCTTCCTCGCATCCGCTGTCATGATTGCCCCGGCAAACTTTACACACCTGGACCGGGCATGACAGTTGATAACTTTGAAGTCCACCTTCGCAACCGACAGCATAAGGAGCGCGTTGAGGAGCGCATCGTGAAGACTGGTGGTGTTCCCCTCTCCTCCAGCGGTCACAGTGCTAGCGCCAGTCCGGCACCTGGTGCGAGGGCATCGGCGAGTGCGAGTCCTGCTCTAGGCGCAGCCCAATCTCCTGCCATGGGATCGCAGTCATAGCCGGATGACGAAGGCGTTTGTCGTGTGCGATGTTCTGACTCGCCTTCTTTCCAATGGCCTGTGTTTCTCTATTTTTGTTTTACAGCATTTGACCATCCCTCCATTTCTAGTTCTAGGAACCCATTTCTGAGCCCTTTCTCGGTGTTGGTGTATAGGATTTCCTCAATTCTACAGCGGCAGAGCGAAATGATTGGTGAATTCTTGTGCGACAATGTCGTGGATGCTTCCGCATAACGATGTTTATGTGATTTTGCTTGGCATGTAATAATCTGTGACAGTAGGATTTATGGTAGATATTGAGCGCTTTCGTATGGAAACATCTGCCTATTGTATGGAAGTTAATGAGGTAGAAGTGTTCAAGAGTGTGACTGATCCTATGTGACTGCAATGGGTCATTTGGTTGCTCAGCGGGATGGCGAGTTAAAGCTCCTCCTGTCCTTTTCTCTGTCCCGCGAAGTCATCGCAGGAGAAGCCTTCGATGATCTACAGGTCCATGCTGCTACCAAAATAGCATCTTCACGCCTTCAGAAGGAGCACTTACTGATTCAAAGGACCAAAACAATGACCTCTGTACCACGGATCGACGTGAATGTTCGGGCAAGGCGTGGGCAGACTCCGCTTATGTATGCGAGTGCGCTAGCATATCATGCTGCCGTGGAGAAGTTGTTGATGCGTGATGATATTGATGGTTATAGTCAAGGTCGTGGTGGGCAGACGGCGAGTCTCTATCCTGTGCATGCTGGGCATGAGGATGCCGTGCAGACGCTTGTGAATACTAGAAAGCTGAAGGAAAATCTTCAACGCCAGACTGTGCCGGATGTTGCGCGAGAAGGATCATACCCGAACGTAATATTCGTGCTGGATTATTAGGTAGGTTACCTTCCAAAAAATATATGCGGTGTTAATTGCAATAGAATTACATTGGTCATACAACGACCTCCATTTTTCAATACAATTGAGCAAAGTCGTCTCGGCCCACAGAAATTGGCCGCAAAAAAAAAAAGGATACCACAGGAGAAGCGGATCAGTCGATCGTTGGCCTTAATCTTTTTAGGTCAAGCATCGTGTGTTGGTTCACTTCCACCACATAATATATAGTTTAGTTTGAAGATTCTGTGCTTAGAATTTCAGAGCATCCTGAGCTCTTGCTTTTCCGCCCGCGCAAAATACACATACTAGAATACACGGCCCTAGCTATAGCTCTTAAGCGATCGAATGTCTCTTCCAAAGAAAACATTTCCACCATGAAACATCCCAGAGGAGTGGCCATTATGAATCTTGAATCGCACTGTTGATTATATCATCAGGTCGCGTGGTCTAATGGTTATGATTTCTCGCTCACACTTCATCCTGTGATGGCTTCGGCGCTCCGAGAAGGTTCCCGGTTCGATCCCGGGCGCGACCACTTTTTGCTTGTCCATAAATCTCGATCTTGGTGCACTGTATTTTGCGGTTCGTGAATTGCATTTGTCTTTTACTAATTTTCAGGAGAGACCTGTGGTCTTTGGAACTATAGGACGCAGAAGTCATCTGTCAGGGGTCATATTGGCTCGAATAAATTTGGCAAAAAGGGTCATTGATATGATTGTACACCATCAAAGAGTTATCATTATGCCGAAATCGCACATGGAATCACTTCGCTTGACTCACGCGGGGATCTGGTATTTTTCGGTAGTTTTCTCTTTCTTACTGATGATGTATGTCCAGTTGCGAAGCACGTAAGATGATCTTATGCAACTCAATTCCAGAAAAAGAACGCAGATCTCTGCCACGAGATCACGCTTCGAATAAGCACTGAACATATATATTCAAAGAATCGATCAGATGGGATCATGGTCAATAGCATTAAGTATCCAGTAAACAGTCTGTAGAATATCTGGTACATAAGAGGTCGTCAATCTCAATTGCCCTCGGCTCATATTGTAAAATGACTCAATATTGAAACGCCAACGGGGCCCCGCACGGGAAAAATGTCCTATGTACGTTTATAAGAACCGAGTCTACGAGATGAAAGTTGACTCAGAGAACATGGTGCCCTCCTCAATAGTCTCAGTCTCACCAATCTTGACCTTCAGCTTCAGCTTCTCCTGGGGAGAGAACTATCGAGAGATGTCAGTGCCTGGCATAGAACGTAGAGTGCGGAGAAGAACATACCTGGAAGATATAGGGCCTAGTACCGGCAACACTGCCAGCAATGGTCTTAATGAAGCCAGGGACCTCGCCCATCACGTCGACACGATCAAGGCGCTTGCCGAGAGGACCATCGACCTCGGCGGTGACATCCTGGCCGTCGGCGGTCTTGCCGGTCCAGGTCCACTTGATGGACGTGGGCTCGGGCCACTGACTCTCGATATCCTGCTCCGAGGCAGTGTGGGTGCAGGTGTTCTCAGAACCGGCATAGATGATCTCGCCGTCCCTCAGAATACCACCAACGTTGACCTTGGTGGAACCGTAGGAGGGGGAGTGGTGAACTCCATCATGATGGCGGAGAAGGTGGGGGTCTGGAAGTTGATGAAGTTCCAACGAGCAGCTATTACGTTATTAGCGTTTAGCTTCTATATGCATCTGGGAAAGTGGTGATTACCGGCATGGTGGGGTTTCATGCCCTGCAAAGCGGGGATAAACACTCCGCGGCCGTCCAGTTTGTAGGTCTTCTCCTTGGTGACAATAGAACCCTCTACGGCGCAGCGGGGCCAGAAGCCGTGGAACATGGATCCCCAGGGATTCTTGGGGTCGGTACCAAAGTAGGTGGTACCGTTCTTTCCGACGACGAAGCCGGGAGCCTTGCGAGTGAACTTGAGGTCCACGATGCTGTTGGGGTTGACGGTAGACTTGATGTGGTATGTGTCACCTTCCTCGTTGAGAGTGATGGTCAAGTTATCGGCGCCGAAGGAGTGCATGCCCTCATCGAACATGAAGTTAGACAGGGGGTTGGTGTTCCAAACGTGAGGGCCATCGCCCTTGAGATTGAAGATCTTTGTATTGAAGTGCGCAGTGGTATGGATACCACTGTCATTTGAGGAGAATGCCATGTCAGCGCAATTTATATGGTGATTATCCCTTCCCGTCCTAGGAAGCGGGATATAGAGTGCGATCAGAGGAATGCTCACGCAATGTTGCTGTAGATAACCTGGACCATAACCAAATCGCCACTGTCGGCCATGATGTAGAAGGTCGCAGTCTCGACATTGGTGTACTGGTACGCCTTCCATTTCAAGGCGTCCTTGGTCAGAACAGTGTAGGGAGTCTCGCTGGCCTGCTGGGCGACGGACTGAATGGCTTCGGGGCCATAGATGGGTTCTTGCGTGCCCACGGCCGCGGACAGGCTGTGGAAGAGTTAGCTACCACCGCACACACATCAGTGGAGGAATGGAGCATACGTCGACTTGAGCCAGTTCATGGTGTTGTCAAATTGGAGAGATTCAGAAAAATAGAAAAGGGAGGTGAGGGAGGGAGATCGACGCGGGGCCAGAGTTAGTTCGGATGCGAATGGGAACCCGCCGGGTGAGCTAATCCACGAAGCAGAACAGCCTCAAATAATGAACAGAGCGGAGACGTCAAGGAAGTCTTGATAAATAGTCTATAGTCAAGTCCGACGAAATGCTTCCAGTGGAAAGACCTGATGACGTTGAGTTACTCTCCTACAGCTCGCTTCGGTCTCGGGCCAATCAGCGGCCGATCCCGAGATCCTGAAAAACTTCCGTCTTCAGTTCGTTTCTTCCCGCTGCGTCCACCATCAACAATCTACATTCATTATGGCTAAGAACCTCCTGGCCAAGGACCAGTTTGTCAAGCTGATTGTCGGCGCCGGCCAGGCCTCGCCCAGCCCGCCCGTCGGTCCTGCTCTGGGTAGTAAGGGTGTCAAGAGCATGGACTTCTGCAAGGTGAGCGCTTTTCAGCCCTTTGGAGCATCGAGTCGCATCTAAATTGCCGAAGGAATTCAACGCACGTACTGCCCACATCAACCCTGGAGTCCCCATCCCGGCGCGCGTCACTGTTCGTCCCGATCGGTCCTTCACCTTTGATCTCCGCACCCCGACCACCACCTATCTCTTGCTCAATGCCGCCAATGTAGAGCCCCGGAAGAACCGTCTGCGCGGCGCCATGAATCCCGGCCACGAAACTTGCGGCAAGATCTCGCTCAAGCACGTCTACGAAATCGCCCAGATCAAGCACAGCGAGACGCGGTTATCGGGATTGAGCCTGCAGGGGTTGTGCAAGAGTGTCATCTCGCAGGCCAAGTCCATTGGCATCCAGGTTGTTCCATGATGGAGCTAAAGAAATGTGGAGATCTCCTGTATCACTACGGTCATCTGGGCCTCTCGAGGAGGACGAATGTTTGAATGTGTTTCGATATTGAATTTTGCCGGCGTTCCTGGGAGGCAATTGGTATTACCTTCCCACTGTACAATATATACCCGATTATCTCATGCATGCCGTACGAGCGATGTGTGCATAGCAATTTTAGGGGCAATTTCTTTTCCTTCATGACTTTGATTTCAACGCAACCTTCAACGCAACCTTTGGATGAGGTGAATTGAAGGAGGCATCGGATATTATGGAACAGAGAGCCTGGGCCTGCTGATCGAGAAATCGCCTGTGCGTGCCAGAAATCTCCCACACTGCGTTAAGCCTTAAGCCTGTGTTACCATGCAGGCAATGTAAATGTCCGACGGGGGTCGTATACAATTCCATGGCGGGGAAAGCACCTCTGCGAGCCCCGAGCCCCGAGTAGGAAGGTATAGCGCCAAGGAGATAGAACTAGGTGTCTATGTCAACCCGTACAACGTGGCTTGTCAGATGCCCGCTGGCTTGGCAGTAGAGCCACGATCATGATGATACACGAGAGATGAACCCCTTGGCAAGTATGATACGTCTAGATATGTACCTTTGGAAGGACGATCAGAGTGAAAATCCGGACTCGGTGAGAGGTAAAGAGGGAAAGAGGGGTGAGTTGGGGGCATCATGCAGGCATGATCTTGCGAATCATGCATGAGATAGTCCGCTAGGCCTGAAGGGGCAAAATTCCAGATTCTCAGCGAAGATGGCGAGGTTTAGATGGACAGGTTTAGAGGCCGGGAAGTCGGCACGAGCTGATACGCGGGTAATCGATATCGACATCATAGGCCTTTTCCCCTCCGACTTCTTCCCCCTCCGCGCTCTTCCGACAGAGTCACGTCTATGGGCAGTCATGAGGGCATCAGCATGTCCAGGAGAGTTCATAATCGAGAAAAGTACCTAGAGCCGCAAAAACCGCTAGAAATAGACCAGAAAAGAGTAGAAAGGAAGCCCAGAGGCAAGCACGGGGAGGCCCCCCCACTCGCAACTGGTTTTGCCTTCAGGCCCAGACCCCCAAACTCTCCCCTCCTTTGCCTTGATCTTAACCTCGCCTTTCCTACCTTACGTTCTACCTCAACTCTAACTCTTACCTCTTCTCTTTCCCTCCCCGATTCCTTGTTGGGTCGGCTTGCTTCATTCTTGACGTTTCCACTCGCCCGTTGCGGACGTTCGGCTTTATCCGCACGGATTCGGCACTGAAAAGTTAAAGGAAAAGATTTGCCTCACCCACGTAATTGATACGCTTTTCAACATTCTGTTCTTGAACGCCTCAAAACGCAGAGCGAGGTTGACGATCCCATCGAATTCAACGTTCAGATTGTGCAAGGCATGCGCTCCACCCGGCCGTGAGTTGGTGTCGAATGAGTATGACGTCTAAACCGGCCGATTCGACCCCAACTGCCCACTCTATGGATTCAGGTATGTCTTGGCTAGCCTGTCACTTCCCTTTGAAGTTGAAGTCGGAAAGCCCTTGCCTGACCCTGCATTTTCCACGCAACAGCTACCCAGGCACTTCAAAACCCCGCCAAGATGTCCGCCCAGGCGTCGGGGGCCGATGACCCCGATGCCAAGTCAAGATCTCAGCCTGGTCAGGTCCGGTTCTCCGCCGTCACCCAGGAGATCGAACCCGCCTCATTGCAGTCGCCCACCCTGGAGCACACTCAAGACGAGCTCCGCAAGAAGCCAACCTCCGAGGAGGAATTGCGTTCCTTGGCTAAGAGCCTGCAGAATACGGACCTTCAGGAATCTCGTCTGCGCAACTTCTCCTTCGACCCAATGTCTCTCCCCGCATCACGAGTAAGTCTCTGCTGCTTCAGTTTTTGTCAATTCCAAATATGCCGGCAAGCGTCAGCGGGCGAGGACTTCGTGATGGTTGCTCAGTGACTTCGCGATTTTCTCCACGCCCCGGTGGTGGAGAAAATGGTCATGCCGATTGAAACTCACCATTTTGCAGGTCGGATCTCGAGAATCGAGTGACCGTAGTCAACGCGATGGGAGCAGCTCCTATGTGACCTCCCCCCACGCATCTCCCCCGTCTCCGCCACACAGTCTCCCCTCCTGACCCCCGCCGTCACCCACTCCCGCGAAGATCGATCCAGCGATAGCTTGGCTTCACTCAACGCCGTGGGCCGAGCAAATGCTCAAGCATCGGCTATTACTCCTGAAACATCGCCTCCGGTCACATCCGGCGACAAGAATGGCACTCAGAGAAGCGCCCCGACTTCGCGCCCCTCATCCACTGATCGATTGTCCGCAAAACAAAGCGGTGCATCCGAACCCTCTTCGCATGCTTCCCATGTACCAAGACACCGAGCTCAATTCTTTATCGGGACTGACGCCACCAGCTCTCAAGAAGAGAGCCCTCCTGCCACCCCGAGGGAATCCTACACGCCACCGAGTACTATCACACCAATTGGCGAACCCAACGACCCGTACGCCCGCAGCAAGCGGCAGCCACAATCCAAAAATCTGGCGCAACTAGATGCACGATTTATCTTTGGAAGCCGTGACTCAAAGCGTTCATTCCGTCCTGGAACCCCTCGGTCGGCTAGTGCAAGTGATGTCACCAAAGCAGGCGACAGGAAGAGCATCTTTGGAAATAACAAAAAGGAACATAATGAGGCAAAAACTGGAGGCCATCATCATCATCATCATCATGGCTCCATGTCCGAGCTGAAGCGGTTCTTCAAGATGGGTCACCGGAGCAAGCGACCCGACTCACCAACTACAGCTGGTAAACGATCGAGCCGAACATCGGGCAAGAACTCACCGTACCAGATGGCGACTGATAGTGTACCTTTCGCTGATGATCATGGGCTGAACTCCAAATACGGCAAGCTGGGGCGGGTCCTCGGATCTGGAGCAGGCGGCTCGGTTCGACTACTGAAGCGAAACAGCGACGGAGTTACCTTTGCAGTGAAGCAGTTCCGTGATCGTCATAGCTGGGAAAGTTTGAAAGAATATTCCAAGAAGGTGACGGCCGAGTTCTGTATTGGTTCCACCTTGCACCATGGCAACATTATCGAGACCCTGGACATCATTCAAGAAGGTAGCCACTGGTATGAGGTGATGGAATATGCGCCATTTGATCTGTTTGCGATTGTCATGACCGGCAAGATGAGCAAGGAGGAGATTGCCTGTTCGTTTAAGCAGATTCTCAGTGGTGTGGCATATCTCCACGGCATGGGTTTGGCCCACCGAGATTTGAAATTGGACAATGTCGTGGTAAATGACCGCGGCATCATGAAACTGATTGACTTTGGAAGTGCGGTTGTGTTCCGCTATCCATTTGAGAATGATATTGTTCCTGCTTCAGGTATGTACTTGTGCAGTCTGCAGGCATATTTGAAACCTTCCTGACCATATCAATAGGTATCGTGGGCTCCGATCCATACCTTGCCCCTGAGGTTTACGACGAGAAGAAATACGACCCTCGCCCCACGGATGTTTGGTCGCTGGCGATCATCTTCTGCTGCATGACTCTGCGCCGTTTCCCATGGAAGCAACCGCGCACCACAGACAACTCTTATCGTCTGTTTGTTGCTAATCCGACCCCCGGCACTCCGGTGCCGGATAGCAACCCCCGCGGTCATATTCGACCCAAGTCTAGCTCCGATCTTCCATCCATTACCCATGAACAGAAGCATCTTCCTCCCACTTCCGCCCCGAGCCTTCCTGATGGGGCTGACGCTGGATCGGACCAGAACGGGAAAGCTGACTCCGACTCCCAATTTCCATCATCACCCACTGAATCTGCAAAGCAGTCCAACACCCGGACCAGCAACCACGAAAAGCCTTCTCGGACCACTAGCAAAGAGGCACCACCCCTTCCACCGGGCTCAGCGCCCCAGCCTCCCAAACAGGAAGTCATCAAGGGTCCTTGGCGACTTCTCCGCATCCTGCCGCGGGAAAGTCGGTATATCATTGGCCGCATGCTGAAGGTCAATCCGAAGGAGCGCGCGACCCTCGACGAGGTCATGTCCGATGAATGGGTGCGCAACATCCATGCATGTGAGCAGCTGGGCACTGGCGAGATCATACCCGCAGAAGGCCACACTCACGTTCTCGAGCCTCCGTCGCACAGTCCTCCCGTTGCCAGCAAAGGTAACAAGGGCAAATGATTCCTCTTCTGTGTATCAATCTTTATTTCTTGTGTGCATAATTCCCTCTGTGGTCCAGTGAATCCGCACCCCTTTTTTCCTTTTTTTCCCTCTTTTCCCTTCTTTTTTCTCTTCCTTCCTACTCGCGCCTGTCAACCGGTTTAGATGATTTGTGTCTTCTCCTGTGATTTCTTTATTGCGGTTTTCCCGGCGTTGTGGAGTACCTCGAGTCGAGAAGGAAATTCCCAGGCCTTTTTGTTCAGTGTCAGATGTCTTTGCTAGAAGTGGAACGGCTAGGTGGTATTTAGTTCTCGAGCGGAGCGATCTTTCTTCTCCCTTGGGCAATTGCGTCTACATAGGGGCATCGCAGTAGATACTTCTAAATACATATAAGTTTTGTTGTCTTCCTTTTTCATATAGATCGTTCTATCATGTTCACCGGGGATCTGACGTAGGGCTCAGCGACATCGGAATGGCCTGACCGCGGAGCAAAACTTCGGAACTTTGATCTGCGGAGCTCGGTCTATCGCGGCGCTTCCCCTCTAGTCTTTCACCAGTCCCAAGACCACTGCAATTGCCAATTTCTCTTCTCCGTCATTGAAGACACAGCATGCTCTCGCGGTAGATCACTAATATCTTTCACCTTTCAACATGACCCAGCAACCCGACGGGGAACCGTTGGTCTCCTCACTCTGGTCGAGGTCCCTCCTGGTACGAAAACCACAGTGACCTTCCCAAGCCTCATTCTGACCAATATAAAACCATTCAGTCCGGCGCTGTCGCTGGCCTTACCGTTGACTGCTCCCTCTACCCCCTCGACACGATCAAAACTCGCCTTCAAAAGGCACGCGACACCACCGCACCTCAACCCAAGCTCTCCCTCCGCCAAACAGTCCGCGGAATCTACGCCGGTCTCCCCTCTGTGCTCTTCGGCTCCGCCCCCTCTGCCGCGTCTTTCTTCATTGTCTACGATGGCGTCAAACGCCAGCTCCTTCCCCCAACAACCGGCTCCGCACCCTCCGAACCTCCCACCCGCGCCCATGTCTTCTTCACACACTCCATTGCCTCCTCGCTAGGTGAAATCGCCGCATGCGCTGTGCGCGTGCCAACAGAAGTCGTCAAGCAACGTGCCCAGGCAGGCCTTTTCGGCGGATCGACTCTGCTCGCACTGAAGGATATCCTAGCCTTGCGCCATGCCGCGCCTCCTCCCTCTCCAGCCGCCAGAACAAATGCCACCGGCGCCGCTACCGCGACTGTATCAGTGAAGCGAGGATACGGACAAGTCCTTCGCGAATTGTATCGTGGGCGGGAATCACCATCGCACGCGAGATTCCTTTCACTGTCCTACAGTTCACCATGTGGGAGTCTATGAAGGAGGGCTATGCGCAGCGGTATCTCCGCAAGACAGAGGCTGGATCTGGTATCATTACGCAGGATCAGATCCCTGCGTCGACGAGTGCCATGTTTGGTAGTGTTGCAGGTGCCATTGCGGCTGGGTTGACTACTCCTCTGGATGTCATCAAGACTCGGGTTATGTTAGCTCGTCGGAGTGATGGTTCGTCCCCGATTCGAGTTAAAGAGATCGTGAGGGGGATTGCGCAGGAGGGCTTCAGTGCTTTCTGGCGTGGTATTGGGCCGCGTGTGGCGTGGATTGGCATTGGTGGTGCTGTTTTCTTGGGCAGTTATCAATGGGCGTGGAATACGTTGGAGAATAAGAAGAGGGTACAGGATGAGTAAACCCAAACGCTCCTTTTCTGTGAGATATATTACTGTACAATATCCTGTTTGCTATATAGAGAACCCTGGTATCGTGATATATGAATCTATCCTCTGTCCATTATTCTTTGGCTGTAGTCTCGGTCTTGAGCATCCAGCTTCTTGTCCCTGCTCCGTCGCGCAAAGCTTCCGCATTTCTTCTCTTTGATCTTGAACCCAGGCATGACTACCTCACTCATGAACAATCCGACTGTTGGGTAGTCATTCGCGACACCGGCGTTGTCAAAAGTCCGGCGAATTTTGGCAACTAGAGGCTCGCCACGTATTTTTCTCCCCAACGACCCATGGCATTCTTTCTCCGCATTGGTAAATTGCTTCAACGCGAAGATTTGACTTCATGTAAATGGTCGTTTCTTGCTGTTCTGCTCTTCATTCGCTTGGATAATGGAGTTTTGTGCTTATCCGTGATGCCTTGCGTGAATTCTTCGGCCCTGGCCCCGGCCGAGAACACTAAGCAGGGGCCTGGGCGTTGTGACATATCAATTCGTGATGGATGTAAAGCGAGAGGACTCTCCGCCGTTTCATGATCCGTATGAGGCCGTATCTTGCTCTGATGCGCGATGGATCTTGATGTTGAAAACCACGTCGGGATGGGATTGATTGCCGAACGTGTTTCGAGAAGGGTGAGATTGATGGATCTTCTTGGCCGTGCTTGGAAGGTATAGAGATGGGAGATATACCATTCCTCGAAATGTGCATGCTTGCCAGTTTGATCATGTCTTTTCTCTCATTTGATAATAATCGAGGTGAACTGATAACGTTCACTGTCCTTAAGCGGCACAGGGACGTTGGGAAAGGCTTCTGCCTGCTACTGATCTTACACCGGGTCCTATGAGGCGCTTAGAAGTCTTCAAATACAGTCTGAGAAGTATGCTCAAACCACAAGGAGAGACCAAAGAAAGGAGTTGGCGAAGGGAAGAACAAGGCTCATATCCGCGGACCAAGGCCGATGTTGCGGCATGGCGCCAAAACCCTATGGAAAAGGTGCCCCTGGCGCGTTCCCCATCTTCCCCTCATCTAGAACCTTCCCCTCTCTTGCTTCTGTTCGTCTGACTTGCGCCATTTCCAATTCCATGCTTCTCTGTATGGTGTGTTATGTGCCTGGTGACGTCGTCCTCCCCACCGAAAACGTGTGATCGGCCCTCGATTGAGGCAGATAAGCTCCGCATCTCCTCCGCAATTCAACCTTCCACACTCCCCGACCTGCATGTATGGCACGGAAACTTAGCCACCAGAGGGTCACCTATGGTTTGGTTCCCCATTGAGATCTCGACCGCATCCTCCCATGCTCACCTTTTCCAGTACTCCCTCTGCCTGATGCCCCAGGCGGGCACCGGCTGGGGGTCAATGGCCTGACTGTTGACCGTCAAAACTCCATTTTGTGAGTCTCCTCACGGCACTACAAAGATGTCTGCTTTCAAAACTCAGACGATCCGTTAATTCCCCAAACGCCGTCTCTCTTCGCGTCGGTTACACGGCAGCTAATGTGACGTCTGATCATCAGGTATTCCGCAGGCCGCGATGGTGTCATCTGCTCGTGGGATCTCGACTGCCCTCTGGCATCGCTCCAATCCGAGAATCCGTTTTCTCCTTCTAATCGGAAGCCGGGCCCGACACAATTTAAAACCCAGGTCCAGGCTCACAGCCACTGGATTAACGACATCGTATTGACCCAGGGTAACTCCGCCCTCGTATCCGCATCGTCCGACACAACCGTGCGACTCTGGCGTCCGCACTCGGAGTCTACCGAGGTCCCCGAGCGTATCGGCAAGCATGCCGACTATGTCAAAGCACTGGCTAGTCCGGACGGCCAAGCTAGCTGGGTTGCGTCGGGTGGCCTCGACCATAAGCTCTATCTGTGGGATCTGAATGGAGGCGGCGAAATCTTGAGCATCGATGCAAGTGGCGATGACACGGCCGAGAAAGGCTCCGTCTATGCGCTGGACGCGACATCTTCGGTGCTTGCAAGCGGTGGACCGGAGAATGTCGTGCGCGTATGGGACCCCAGGTCTGGGAAGCTGGTCACCAAGTTCGTGGGCCACACTGATAACGTTCGCGATATTCTGATCAATCAGTCTGGAGATACAATTATGAGCGCCTCTTCCGACCAGACCATTAAGATCTGGTCGTTGACTGCAGGCCGTTGTATGAACACACTGACAATGCACAACGACAGCGTGTGGTCTCTATATTCCGACCATCCGGATCTTGCCGTCTTCTACTCAAGCGACCGATCTGGTTTGGTTGCGAAGACTGACACACGAGGCTCGCCCGATCTTGAACAGGGCAAATGTGTCGCAGCGTTACAAGAACATGAAGGTGTCATGAAGGTGGTTGCTACCGATGACTTTATTTGGACAGCTACACCTAAGTCTAGTATTAACCGATGGAGAAATGTTGACACGACGTTGGACTTTGACTCGCCGCCCAAATCGGGGCGGACTATCGAAGCCACTGCCGCGCCAGAGAAATCCTCCGATCAAGTACCCAAGAAGATTCCACTCAATGCCGCCTTGCAGTTGTCTACTGCATCTATAATATTGGGCAACTCGTCGCCTTCGAGCATGCAACCACCTGAGCCGGACATGGAGAATGGTCTTGGTCTCACAGTACCCGTTCACTCGCTGCCAGAAGAAACTATCGAGGGTCAGCATGGTCTTATCAAATGCTTGATGCTAAACGACCGGAAGCGAACCCTCACTCAAGATTCGGCCGGAGAAGTGGTCTTGTGGGATCTGCTCAAGGTAAGCTACAAGAACGTCATAAACTCTCGAAAGGCAAGACCTAACATAAATACAGTGTGTACCTGTACAAAACTTTGGCAAGCGTCATATTGATGATGTCGCGGATGAACTGAATACCATGGAAAGCATTGCTCACTGGTGCACAATTGATGTTAGAACGGGTAGACTTTCCGTTATTTTGGAGCCCAATCGCTGCTTCGATGCTGAGGTCTACGCTGATGAAGCCGGTCTATCAGAGACTGATCTCTCGCAATTCCGAGAAGACCAACGAAGTATGTCTCCTTATTCGTATCCATCAAAGCCCTCTGTTGTTCATACCACTCACAATTCTTAGTCAATCTCGGCAAATGGATCTTGCGTTGGCTTTTCGCCCCCATGGTGGACGAGCAGATTCGGCGAGACAACGATTATCGCGAGTCTGCTATCACTAAAGCGGAAGAGCTCGCTAGGCTCAACCCTACATTGGGTACATCTGCTCCTACAGATGATATTCCTCGCAGCGTGGGTATACCCATAGCTCGTGGTATGCACAGTATGGATTTCCCTGGCAGCCCAAATATGTCGGGTTTTGGTATCCATGTCAGTACACCATCCTCCGCCAACTATCTCAGCACCTCCATGCAAAGTACCTCTCCATTCCCAGCATTTGATGCTGAAACCCCTGGCTCAATTGGGGGCCGCAACCTGGATGCCGTGCCCGGGTCATTCTCCGACAAAAGCGATTATTTCTCGTCAGCTCCTCCACCCCAGGGACTTTCTCAGCTTTCTCAGCTTGACACAGACAAGACTCCCATGTCACCTTCTGACCTGAACTCTCCTTCAGGGCTGCCACAATCACCAGCAGAGCCTGATAAAGAGGAACGCAAGAAGGGCAGTTCCCTGTTTGGAAAGAAGTTCCGCATGGAGTTCCCGAAAGTACGGGGATCACGTACTTCTACGGACACGAAGCCCCAGATCCAAGAAGAGAAGATCGAAGAATCGGAGATCTCCTCCATCAAGGAAGAAAAGACGTACGCGGCAAATATCAGTGGTGTTATTGATCGGATTCGCGATGATTACGAGGAGTTCCTTTCTTCAAATCCCAGTCGTGACTTGGTAACGGCCATCATTCCCAGCGCAGAGAGCGAGACCCCCCCGGCTTCATATCCCTCCGCGGACAGCGGTTTTCATCCAAGAAGAAACGGGTGACACTGCCGTAGCCTCAGATCTATACCGTGGCAGCGTTGGAAGCATCGGTCAAGAAATTGAGCGACTTGAGAAGGCCATCCCACATTGGCTAGGCGAATTGCTACTCAAGGTTAGTTTACAGTCATACTTCTTAACCTCCAGAAGCCCACGCTGACCATCTTGCCAGAACCAAATTCCGTTTAAGGAGCAAGTGAAGATTGCTTTCATCTTGAAGCCCTTTGATGACTCTTTGCCACCAGTTGTGAAGCCTGAACTGTAAGACCCATGCCACCTTGCGTTTAGAACAGTCTAGCACCATTCGGAAGCTAATTTGATACAGACCGACTATCAATGGTGTCCCTCCGACCAATATGAATGGCAATAACAATAGCTCCCGACTAAATGCTAATCGTATGCTTCGGGTCAAGAAGGTCCTGGCTTACGTGGCTGAACGCATCGATCCCAGCAATCCTGATGAGCCCGAGGCAGACGCGATGCAACCGGAGGAATATCTTGAGCTCTATTGTCAGAAACAGGTAATATGCCTCTCTTAGTTAGTGGCTCTTTGCTTTTGCTAACCCTCTTGTCCTGTCTTAGCTGTGCCCTCCGAACATGACTTTGGCTACGATTCGGACGTGTCTCTGGCGTACTTCGGGTGACATGATGCTCTATTACAAGGCGAACGGAAAGAAAGAAATCCGGCCGCCTCCGTCGTTGACCAGTACCCACGAGCATCATCTCAATGTCGGTGAACCAGGCTCCCTCAACGGCGCTTTTAACGGCGAAAACACGGCTCCCCTGGCAGCATCCATTCCATGGCCAACTCTGGCTCGGTAACCGGCTCAGTCGCTACCTAGAGAGTTTCCAGTGCTCTCTTTCCTGTGATTCTATTTGAAACTTGTCTTCTTACTGCGTGCGGCTTTTTGATTGCTAGCGACGATCTGTATGATCATTTTCTTTGGGACTGAATACTTGAGGCATGGACCTGGGTATATATGGAGACGTTCATGATCTTCTTTGGCTGATACCTACGATGCTTCATCCTTCACTTCCTTGAGTGTCAGCGCAGACAGTGCGTTGGCTAACGCTTCTAGCCCTATGAGCAAAGCGTACATTTGAATGTAGAACCGAGATACCTTTGGCATATCTATTTGCTGCATCATCGTTCCAGTATTCCAGAGCTTGGTCCCAATCAAACACCGCAGCTGGAGGTAAGTCTCAGCGCCGTGTAAACTCTGAATCTCAATCAATGGGACACGCCCCACGCATTGCCGATCACCTCACCTAAGAAAAGTACCTTTATGCATACACGGGTTTCAGTATTCCTCGCCACACTTCCATTGTAGGAATGCGGTAGGAATGCAGTACACAATGTAAACCAATACGAGAAAAAGAGAAAATAAAAATAGACAGGGGTAGCCCAAATGCTGGGGTCGGTAAACGCAGCCCTGAACCAGGTGCAAAGCGTTGGAGCCCAAGCTTACGAAAGGTTGTACGTACCGCAGTTGATCGATGTGACCAAAAAGGCACCGTATAAAGATCGGGCATCCCCTCGTACATGACCCCTCATTTCATCATTTCATCCATCTTTAATAATTTTCCCCCAACATGACAGTTGCTAACCAAATTGTGAAACGGACAGATTATCCATTCGACCTCGGCAAGTTCGGACGGCCTATAACTACAACAAGCACCCAGGCCCAGATCTGGTTCAATCGCGGTTTGACCTGGGCCTTTACCTTCAACCACACGGAAGCCGCAGCCTGCTTTGAGCAAGCTATTGCTCACGATGAGTCCTGCGCTATAGCTTATTGGGGCTTGGCTTATGCCCTCGGTCCTAACTACAATCATCCGTGGGAGTTTTTCGGCGACAATTTGCAAGATGTCGCACGACGCACTTATGATGCCGTTCAGAAGGCCAAGGCTCTCGCCTCCAAGGCGACAACAGCGGAGCAGGCTCTGATTGCGGCTATCCAAGCTCGCTTCCAAGGCGACAAACCTGCCACTATGGAAGTTTACAAAGCCCACAATCGAGCCTATGCCGACGCCATGAAGGTAGCCTATCGTGACTTTGGCGATGATCTAGATGTTGCAGCTCTTTACGCAGACTCGATGATGAGTCTCTCCGCATGGAAACTATGGAATTTAGTAACAGGAGATCCCATGCCCGGAACACGGACCTTGGAAGCCAAGACAGTCCTAGAGGAAGCTCTTCGCCAGAAAGAGGCCTACCAACATCCCGGCATTCTGCACATGTATATCCACCTTATCGAGATGTCACCTACGCCTGAATTAGGCCTGGTCCCCGCAGACAACCTGCGTCATTTGGTTCCGGATTCTGGGCATGCATGTCATATGCCCGCGCATCTGGATGTTCAGGTGGGAGACTACCGCGCCGCCATCGGCGCCAATCAACTTGCGACCATCGCAGACGAAAAGTTCTTGAATTATCAAGGGCCCTTCAATTTCTACACTAATTACCGAATGCACAACTATCACACCCTTATCTACGCAGCCATGTTCGCGGGCCAGAAAGCCGTCGCCCTCGACGCCGTCGATCGCATGGAAGCTACTCTACCGAAGGAGTTCCTCGCGCAGATTCCAGACTTCCTCGAAGTTTATATGTCTGTCCGCTCCCACGTCATGGTCCGCTTCGGCATGTGGGACGAAATCATCGCAAGCCCGCTGCCCAACGATCCCGTTCTGTATTGTGTTACGACCGCAATGGCGTATTACTCCAAAGGTGTCGCGTATGCGGCAACTGGAAACGTTGCTGAGGCTGAGCGCCAGCGAGAAATGTACCAAGAGGCTACGAAGTGTGTCCCTGACTCACGCCTCGATTTTCCCAATAAATGCGTGGATTCTCTAGGCGTGGCTTCTGCCATGTTAGACGGCGAGATCGAGTACCGCCGTGGAAACTACGAGAAGGCATTCGCGCATCTCCGCCGATCAATTGAGCTGGATGATGGCCTGGGATATTCTGAGCCGTGGAATTGGATGCAGCCTGCTCGCCATGCGTATGCTGCACTTTTGCTCGAGCAAAACCGCGTTGAGGAAGCGGCTGCTGTTTATCGCGCGGATCTTGGACTTGATGATTCTGTTATTCGTGCACGCCATCATCCGAACAATGTGTGGGCTTTGCAAGGTTATCATGAATGTCTCGTGCGCCTGGGTCGTGTGGACGAGGCAAAGATTCTCGAGGGGCAACTAAAGGTTGCTGTTGCAGTGGCTGATGTGCCAGTCAAGTCGTCTTGTTTCTGTCGGACTGACACTTCGCAAGCTCCGGAGTTGGAGAATGCTTGCTCGAAGGGAACTTGTCACTAGTCCCAAGTGTTTGATACAAAAGTGGTTTCAGAGATACACATCCAGATTGGGCGTACAACTGAAAGCTGTTATTGAATACTGACAGAATCATGTAGAGGTCTAGTCTAGTGTCGCGTACTTGTGCGCGGAGATCTAGCTGTAACTCGACATGAGCATAAGGAATGTTGAGCGCTATTGAATAATCGATTGTGCTTCTCAAGTCTTCGATTACGCCTGAAGGAATAAGCCTTGGTCGCTTTTAAAAGATCAACTCATCATATTGCGTTCCATTCTTGGTCACATGTACATTCGATCTGCCCAAGCTCCCCAGTTTCCTCCTCTGTTCACGGCCAATTGTTTGTATCAACCCCGAATGACCGTGAATAGCTTCCCTCAAACCATACGATAATGGGTGGCGATAATTAGGCCGAGATCGGCGTTTGGTCCGATCAAATGCCGAAAGCGGGAACTTCATGATCTTTCAGACACGCACTGTGAATTCAAATTCTCGACCCCTGTTGTATAATTCTGAGTTGTTCTTGATTGTGCTTGAACTAATCAAAGATCTCTAGCTAACATTCAGCCTCATGTTGGTTTAGCCCTTCAAGTGGCTGGTAAGACTTTGATCAAGAAGTTTACCAATAGACCGAGAGCAAACAATGGCACGAGTATCCAAGCCTCCCGTCAAAGCCGCTTGTCTTGCATGGTGAATAAGCTATAACCAGAGAATGTATGGCACATGCTGACTATGTTCTCAGTCGATCTACAAAGACTCGGTGTGATGGACAACAGCCCTGCAGACCCGTAAGCAAAAATTGCCTCCCCAAGTATGAAATATCACGCTGATCAAAAATCCGCGTTGTAGTGCTCCAGTAAGGACCGAGATTGTTCTTATCGGCCTAGTCGCCGGGGTGGTCCCCGAAGAGGCGTTCGATATGCCGAAGCACAGCGATCCCATTCTGATCATCATGGCCCTCCCGCTACATGTTCCCCGTCAGACTATACGGACGCCATCGGTGAGACCCAGTATATGATAACTTTGCACGGCAGGTCTGACTATAGAAAGATCCTTTTTTGGATGATATGATCGGCCTGGTCTCTCCTTTTGCGGGCGTCCACAATCTTGATCTCACACCGGAGTCTCCATCAGACGCAACTGGATCTGGTCAGACCTGGGGTCAACTTACGCCCAGTACAGATGGGCCGTTTACGTCTGCATCCGTTTCGAATTCGGATAGCTCTGCTGTTCGAGCCTATCTATGTGAAGACGACATGTAAGGGAACGAAACTGCTGAAATTCGAGCCTGAGCGCCTGCTTATGCCCATATTAGTATCAATGCCTACTATATCTACATTCACCCATATATACCCTTACTTCCAGCTCCAGATATGCCACTGCGTGAAGATTGTCGTTGCCTGACTCGACTTTCAAATGGCGCTATGGAACCAACGAGAGCCGATGTGCCCTACTGGCCAAAGTCATCTCTAGGTCTCGCGTTGTCAGCATTACTTGTCATGATACCCCTTTCACAAGATCCTTCACCCATGTCAGATATGGGCATTTTAGTCCGACGCTCTTATGCACAGCTTTTTGCGCAGGCCGCGCTAGAATGCGTGGAAAGAGATACCGATGACCTGGGTCCAGGATTGAATTTTGCTACACCCGGTGCTCAAATGTCCCAGGCAAAATCGTCACTGCATTCACAATTACCCTCTCACCTCGAACCAACACTAGCTCTTGTCGTGCTTTCTATATATGAGTACTGCCAGCGAGGTAATGTGTCACGAATGCGTGCTCGGATCAATCAAGCCATCACTACAGCCATGGACATTTCTCTTCATAATCTAGGAACTTCAAACACAGCGCACTCAGAAGCACAAAGACGGACGTGGTGGATTACGGTGCGAAATACGTATATCTATATATCAGAAGTCGTTCTTGCTAACCTGAAAACCAGATGTTTGTGGCTTACCTCTCATCAAATCTCCATCTTGCAGTATGGCTATCAATCCAAAACTCCAATAGAATACTCCCCACTGACGATTGGACCAAAAGCCACCCGTCGTTACGCTAGATGATCTACGAATTACGACCCCTTTCCCACAATTCAATGTGGAGTTGGAGGTATCGTGCAATCCTCCAATCAAATCAAATCCTAGATGTTCTAACGCCTCTCAAGCCTTGGGAATTTTTAATGCAAGCCCAGAAGAATCTCTTTGCGTCAAACCAGATGATCAACAGCATCGAGCGTATGGATGATACAGCTCAACCGGGTCGTAGCGATCAAATCAAGAGCCTTGACTTCCAGATTGTGTCCCTGATGACCGAATCAGATCGCAGTCTCCGAGTAACATTTGGCCAACAAGCCGAAGCATCAACCGCGGAAAATATGTGGAGAATTGGTAGAATTCTTATATTTACGTGAGTCCTCCTCATGGACAAACAAGCATTGCATACTGATGGCTTTGCAGCGCTCGAACCCGCCTGCACCGTTTCAGAGCATTTATGAATGTCCCCCTATTCTTGGACAAATATTGTCACCTTCCGTCCATAAACAGCAACGGTCTCTCCGAGCCTTCGCCGACGTGGGTTGCAGATCGGGAATCCTCGTTCCCATTCACTGAACAAGAATCCTCCAACATCTGCCTCAAAGCGTCTCTGGTGGTTGCCACAGCTTTTCGTAACCTGCCATACCCCAATTTACAGGGCGAATCTCGCGAAGAAGTGAGAACGATACGCAGAACTCCGCATACTATACCATTCTTTGCTTGTTGCGCGATGCAAAGTTGTTATACTCTCTTGATGCTTTTGCATCAAGTGCGCGCGTGTCTAGCGACGGATCGTCTGGCAACTTGCTATCACCTCTTCAACAAACCCAAACCTGCGACCGAAGTTTCTGATGCAGAGCGATTGACCGAGGAGCTTCGGCACGGGTAGAACTTCTCGGGGCGTCGATGAAAGCAGATATTATCTTCGAAGGTGTCGGAAGTATGGGGCGGGAGATTGAGCACGCCTACCTGGCTGCTTTCCCAGACGGTACGGGTTTCTGAGGGGAAAAGTCATCGTCATACGACTCATATTGCGTATTGAGGGGAATCACTATTTGACCCGTCATGAGCTTGTTCGAAAATGGTTGGAAAGGATACTTGATCTTCATTGTCTTCAATTCCTACTCTATTTCCTTTCGATCTACGTGTTCCACCCCAAGACTACAGGTCAACGACTAGAAGAGATTGATGTGATTATTTAACAAGGCCAGTCCTCCTTTTTTCCAGGTAAAGAGTTGGCAAAGAAGGGCAGGTTTGAGACTGATCATTTGGATCGGATAGTGGATAATATCGAGAATATACAGGCGGAGGCGAGCCATGTGGAGTATGCTTCTTCAATTTGACCAAGTTAGGTATTCTTGGAAGACTATTCGAGCTTTCAAAAAAAATATCATATGTTAGGTTTGAGATTCTCTTCCACTTTGTACATGGCTCCTTTGAATTCAGTAGGGCAATTCTTCTCAAACAATCGCCTCCTTTCTTCCAATGTTTCCCCAGTGCATTTCTAGTTGCTGCTAAAACATTACATTAGTATTTCTATTGCAAGAATCCAGTAGATACTTACGCTGGATTCACCTGAACAGATTGGAATCCCTGTGACTGGGTGTAGCAGCCATTGCCACCCGACTGATGGAAAGTATCACAGGCGTATCCGCTCGAGCCAATGAACCGGAACTCATCGGACATTTCCTCGACCAGAATCGAACTCACTGTCTCGGGCAGCGAGATACAGCCAATGCCGCCGGCCAGACTGAGCTTCCAGCCGGTCGATTGGGTACACTTGTCGTCGGTAAAAGTAGTAAGATTCCAGGCAGCGGCTGAGGAGACCGACGCAACCAGGAGAACGGCTAAAGAGAATTGCATGATGAAGAAGTTGAACTGATATTCACGAGTAGAAGGTTGAGTTGTTGTGTATTGTGTTTTGTGTGATGTCTGATCTGGGTAGGGTAGTTCACCCCTTCTTATACTTCGTCTTCATTCCGACTTGGATCTATGTTAAGTTGAACTTGCCTATTAGGCGTCCAATATTTCCAAGGTCTACGCTAAAACCCATCACGAATGTACCATCCTAAGAAGCTGTAATGCTCCGAAGGTCACAAGGAGACTCCGCAGGTCATGGCGGAGTTGTTTCAGGGCCTGGCTGGCCTGAAACCCAGAGTCTCCTCATCTCACACAGCACAGCAAGATCAAGCGCAGATCATAGGGGGGGGCCTTGCATCTTGACCAAGACGTGGAGCCACACAGCCTGAATCGTGCGTTGCAGTCATACATACTGAGCCCGTTGATCAGAAGACTGTAAATTCTTTGCATTTACTATGTGCTATTTTCATCTCCCAATCAAACGATACCGTTTGTGCCCCGTAGAGGGACGATTCCAAAAAAAAAAAAGAAAAAAAAGAAAGGAATGCGCCCACCTGGAGTCGAACCACGAACCACGAACCATGATCCGCGGATTTTCGGGTCAGTGCGCGCAAGTCGACACATGCCCCCGGATCCTCTCCTCTAAGTATCAACCTCCATGGCTTCACGGACTGGCGTGTCCGTGTCGCAGTTCGCCGAGCGGTTCTATCAATCATGGATGAACCCCCGGGGGATCACAAAAGTCGGGGAACCGAAGTCGTTAAGCCTTGCCTCAATTAAGCTGCCATGGAAAATCGGTATGGCGAGGCTCCATCTGGACCGATCACAGCTAATCTGAGCAGGTCTCGCAATTAGCGGCGGTGCCGATTCCATGGCCCTCGCATTTCTGTGCAAACAGATGGAAAGAATGTCTGATCCCGGAACGGTCTCCTTTACGGCCTTTTTGGTGGATCATCGAGCCCGCCCGGAAAGCAGCCAGGAGGCCAACATGGTGGCTGGTTGGCTACGTGACATAGGTATGTCGCTGTTCGCATATTCAGATCGTCTTCTCCTAAAAATAAGAGTTAGGTATCAAAACCAAGGTTCTCAAGCTAGACTGGCGTTTAACTGCAAAAGCGGCAACTGCCGATCCAACGCAGAAGCAGTCTGCGTTTGAGACCAATGCTCGTATGCTGCGGTATCAAGCTCTCGGCAAAGCTTGCCTCCGCGCTGACATCAACACTATCCTCCTTGGCCATCATCAGGATGACAACGTTGAAACGGCCATCGCGAGACTATGTACAGGAGCTCGGGGCGCTGCTCTTGGGGGAATCTCCGAAATGGCGAGAATTCCCGAATGTCACGGGCTCTGGGGCATATCTGAAGGCGCTTCATGTGCAAAGCTGCTTGGCACACGAAAAAGCGATGCTTTTCCTGTCAAGGCTCGCATCCTAGACAACAATAGAGGTACAATCAGTTTCTATTCCACAGGAGAAATCCCGATCTATGCAAAGAAAAAACCGCAGTCTGAAAATGACCAACCACCATGGTTGTCATTACAACCTCCATTCAGTTCTTCACCACTTCTGACTGCAACCGGAGGCATTTTTCTCTGTCGGCCTCTTCTTTCTTTCCCTAAGGCTCGGCTGGTCCAAACCTGCAGAGAAAACAAGATTCCCTTTGTCTCCGATCCCACTAATTTCGACCCTACCCTCACTACCCGCAATACTATCCGGCACCTCCTCTCTAAGAACGCCCCCCCCCGCGCATTGCAATCTGCATCGATTCTTTCTCTCATTGAGACCGGCCAGGAAATCCTCCAGAAAACGAATGATCTTTCTGATGAAATGCTCGCATCCCGATGCCGTATCCTCGACTTTAATCCCAGAGCGGGAAATCTCGCCATCGAAATCAAGGACGCAGCTGCGCAAGATAGGAAATCCCGCGCCCTTGATCTCAAGATGCTATCAAGTGTCGTACGTCGCGTCACAGACTTGATATCGGCTGCACCTGCACACAATTATGCTCTGAACCGTTATGACCCATTTGTGCCCAACCTATTCCCCAATGCTAGGGACATCGACACTTGGAATAAGTACCTCAGGGACAGAAAACCTTTTACTGTTGGAGGTGTATTGTTCAGCCCTCTCAAACCGAAATCCAAGATGAACCCTGCAACCGCCACGCCCGAATTATTGGCTTCCCTACCCAGCATGAATATCTGGGGACTCTCTCGCGCGCCATATATGAGAAACCGGAAGCCAATCATTGAATTCAAAGAAGATACATGGACACTGTGGGACTATCGACATTGGCTTCGATTTACCTTGAAACCCGAATTGACATCCAACCTCCAAACAACTGCTGGTTTGAAGCCGCCCATCCTTGTCGTTCGCCCATTTGAAAAATCCGATCTTGATAGGATTCTTCACGAGGACGGAACGTTAGCGGGAGAGAGACACGGAAGGGTAGCTCCTGCTGCCGCAGATGTCTGGAAATATATCAATGACATACTCGCACTGGAGGCTGACGGTCCAGCTCGGTTCACCATTCCCGTCTTGACATTGGAGGAATCTAGTCTCTCTGAACCGACAGAGACTCCTGAGCGCTTACTTTTGATGCCTACTTATGGCATGTGTCTCTCCGGTCTGAAGAGGGGCCCGGCCTTCAATGAGATGAGTTTCTTCTGGAACGGAGTTTGGTGGAATTTGACCTGGGATTGGAGGTACAAAATGATTGACACCGAGGCAGTGCGCCTAATGAATGGGCCAAGTGTAAGTGATCAGCCTACTGAGTATGGTACAGAATTCTAGACCACATAAGAAACGCTGCAAAGTCGATCTCCGGAGCTATGCATAACCCAAATCCATCTTTCCGCGGGCTTAGAAAAGTAACAAGAAAAGGGTCTCAATTATTACAATGTGAAAAGACCCCTCGTACATGCAAATGAAAGATAAAACAAAGGAAAAGGAAATATGTGGTATCACAGAAGAAGAAAGTGACAAGTGATGTCGGTGGGGTGAAAGGCGAAAAAGGGAATGTAGCCGCTACGGCTGTTGACATGCTGATCATTGTTCACTCGCCTTCAGGAGAGCAACAGCGGCCTGTTGGGCCCGAAGGCCTCCGGCCTCTCTCTTCAGTCGGAAGTTTTCTTTCTTGAGACGGCCGACTTCTTCCAATGCCTTGGACAATTGGGCTTGCAAAGCGACTTCTGCACTTCCAGATCGAACGTCTCTGGAAATCTTACTCAACTCGGCATTGAATCGATCGTAGAGAGCCTCATTTTCGGCACTGGCTTCTCGGTACAACTCGTCCAGCTTCTTGACGCGCTTCTCGCTAACCACCAGAGACGACTCCAAGTCTCTCTCCAATGCTGATGTGCGCCCGTTACATTCTCCAGAGAGCTGATCGAAACGAGCCTCGAGGCTCCGCATACGAGCTTCAAAGGAAGCACTAGCAGCTGAAGAGATATGAGTATCTAGGGGGCCCATGGTCGGCTCCGCACTAGATTGTTTGCTTGGTGTGAGTCTCAGAGCATTCAATTCGTCGCCAAGTGCCCTAAGCTCGTCGCGCAGACCAATCTGGGCAGTGGCTTGAGATCTCTTCTCGTGGTAGACACGCTCACGAAGCTACAGGAAAAATTTAGCTCATATTCCAACTGATCTGAACCGCGAACTGATTTACCTTTTGAGGACTTTGCATCCGCAGTTTCTGCGGCTTTTGAGATGACGAGGAAGACTGAGGTCGCTTGACTTCCGTGCTGTTGGCTATTGATCGATCTCGGAGGCCGGGGGTCCGCTGGGGAATGCTGGTGGCGCGAGATCTTCTCTTGTTTTCCTGGCTGGGCGATTCTGGAATGTCTGGCTTGTTCTGTGCTGCACGGTCCGTCTTTGAAATCTTGGGATCAATGTTCTCCTTTCTACTCGGGGTGGAAGGCCGCGGGGGTGACATTCGTCGAATGGGAGACCCCAGACGAACGGAAGAGTACCCCTTCGCGGGCGATGTACTTCTGCTAGGTGAAGTCGCTAGGTAACTGCTCCGCGGTCTTTGCTGGCTGTTCGGCGTCGTCATTTCCGGGCGTGGGAGATTAGATGGGGTCACCGGACGCAATGGGTGGGTTGGGGAAATTTGTGATGTATCAGATGAGGCTGTTAGGGGGCGTAGATCTGATAGCGAGCTTCTGCGCTTCCTGCGAATCCTGACTACCCCGTCTTGTGCGATCTCACGAACTGACGACAAGGACTGCGGCTGGTCATAACCAGTGCCTGGTCGCGAGATCTGTTCCTCGGATGAGAATCCGTTGGGGCGATCGCGTGAACCAGGCCGGAGAAATCCAAGGCGAGAGTCCACATCGGTGGATTTCGAACGAACCAACGTACCTCTAGGAGTAGTAGGTTCTGAATCCGTAGGACTCTGTCGTTTGCTGAGAGTTCGGAGGATTGAAGCGACCTTACTCTCCCCCTCGTTCTTCTGATTCTCCCTGGTTAGACCAAATCCAAAGCGCTTTCTGAATGAAGAACTATTTGAGCCGACAGATCCGGTATTTGTTTGGGAAGTCTTTCCCTGGTCATAGCCCAATGTCCCTTCGACAGAGGCGCCACCAGGGATGAAGTCTTCGAAAAGATTGTCAAAGTCCTCAACTAGTCGGTCCAAGAGCGACACATGTTGAACAGGGTCTCCTTCCTCAGTGAGAACTTCGGCAAAAGCCATAGTCAAAGCTCCTCGATCTCCATCGTTGCCGGAGGCATCAAGCAGCTCAGCAAGGAGACGAATGATGGCGGCCAGGGCACGGCGATTCTGTGGACTAATATCCACCAGGAATTTCTTGAACTGATCATCAAAGTCTCGAGGAAACATGGTATCAAACTGGCTTTGAAGGGACTTCAATGCTGACACTGATAGGACTGGGCCCATACTCATCTTCCAGGCGTATTTCATGAATGTCTCGAAAGCGACAAATAAAGTGTCAACGGGCACTTCTGCTGCAGATTGCAGCTTGCTTGGGTTTTCCAAGAGGACATTGTAAAGCTCGTTGACCGGGGCACGGTCCGCATGGTCTCGAGCTCGGAGCATACGGCCGAGTATGTTTCCACTTCGAGATTGGAGGGAAAGCACGTACGCTGCGAAAGTTTGCTCAAGAGATCCAAGCTGGCTTTCAGGTCCTTTGAGAGCAGTCGCTCCAGCTCCTGGTGATTTACTCGGGCTCTCTTCTCTTTCTTTGTCTTTGATAGGGAAAGTAGATGGTACAGTATTTGACCTGGAATGTTGAGGCCTGGGAGGTGGCATCTTTGGGTACTCACCCAGCAGAGACGCCGAATTCGGAGTCTTTAAGGTGGGGACATTGTCACGACTACTTCCCAGAAGGTTCGATATCAATTTGGTAGGCGAGGCGGGCGGAAGCTTCGTGATGATTTGACTTGCGTGATCAAGTTGCTTGCAATGTAACGAAGGATCTCGAAATTCGAATGAATAAGAGGCTTCATTACTTTGGAATTGCGAGGACTATGCAAAATTGAGAGAAGAGTGTGCAGACGACGTGACAGGGTCGAGATGAAATTGTCCACCGTGACAATATCCGTGGACGGAGCGCCGACAACAGAGTCAATGTCCATTCTAAACTGGTCACCATTAGGTGGAGAGATTGAAATTATCATCTCCAAGTTGGTGCCTTGGAGCATCTGTGTGCACTTTGCCCTGGGAGTGTCGAAAATCAAGCGAATTGGGGAAGCCTGAGCTTCGCTGAGTGCGACACTTTCACCGTCCTCGCATACACAGGCTAAAATAGTTGTATTTCCTGTGACTGCGGGCGGACTTCGGAGGGTCCATTTGCCTCCTTCCCGCTCTTGCTCAGGAAACCTGCCCTCAATCTTGGCTTTGGTGACTTCTTCAATAAGACGGCTGGCCTTTCCTTCGTACATGGCAGTCAGCTCCAACGCAATGAGATCGTTCTCGCCATCCATGGAGTTAGTGTTGGGTTTGTAAGATGCGGGCAAAATAAATAAGAGCCTGCCACAGGCTGACTGCATGCACCGAACAGCACGAAGCTCCATGACCTGCACAACCTTGAGCTCTGATGCTGGTAGGGACAAGGATGTATCGATTGTTGGGGAACCCGCATTGTCAATGTCGGCCAATACTGAACGCGCAGTAGCTCGACTCTCGGCAGGCTTCGCAAGTAGCACCAGACAGTCCCTGTAAAGAAGCATGATACCCGCGGCCGAGCTCGGTGCCTGCGCATCTAGCTGATAGGGAGGTGCAATCTCGTTAACATCAACAGCTGTGATCAAACGACCATCCGGGAACTGATTGGCTGGCCACCCATCCACGAGCTCTCTCAATCGCTTGAGACTTTGTGCATGTGAAGACGGCGATGAATTGTCTAGGGCACAGATGTCCTTGACAATGTCCCGGGCTTTGAGAAGTGGCCGCACGGCAGGATGCACCAGTGGCAAGTTGCCAGTCATGGTATCGATCAACAAACTGTAACGAGGAAGTCTTTGAACAGGTTCCATCAGCAGAGATCTCAATCTCTGCTCTCCAGTCTCATACACTCTCTTCGAGAAGCTGGAGGTCTTATCTTTCATGAACGAATTGAGCGTTTGCGTGAAGCCATTGTGGGCCCGCATATAGTCCGCATAGGGCTGCGAGAATTGGGGCAGCCATTCGAGCAGTGTTCTCGCAAACGTCACAGCACCAAGTGCATCCCGATTCTCCCTCCGATGATGAATTGTACCTTGGAGCTCGGTATCTTGGCTGATGTCTTCAATTGCGTCCTTTTCGGTCTCGTCAAGCACTTGCCGAATAACATCTAGAAAACCCAAGTTGACTTCCAGGATTTCATTCAGACACGGTGGGAAAAGAGCAGCCAGTGATTCCTCATCGGGGCTGGTGCTTGAGGGGCCCCGAGTTTGAGCTTTTGTTCGGAACTCGTCTGCCACTTCGTGTACAAGAGAATACAGTTTGGCAACGTATCTCTCTTCTGTATCCACAAGCTCGCACATAGTGAGACGAAGAGCTTCTTTTTGAGCCCGGGTGAAAATTCTCGATTTACTGACGTTGGTCGGTTGTGAAGGGGCACGCTTGAGGCGTGAGGTTGGCAAAAACATCGGATCTCCCAATGCCGATATGAGGGGGGTGTACGGACCATATTCAAAAGCTTGGGCATCCTCGATATCCGAGCTGGTGCTGTTGCGTCGCTCGGACTTTTTAATTGTGCCTGCGGGTAAGACGACGTCGATGTCAGTCCAGGAAATCTTGCGATTCTGGTACGCAGTGCGAATGTCGCGAACAATCTCCGATGAATCATCGACCTTTGTCATGCGATTGGCCAAATCTGCGGCATGGACCGCTTCGAATGGCTTCAGAACCTTGCCGCCTTGTCTGGTCGTAAGGGCTGTCTCCGTTAGGTAATCTTTGAGCGGGTCTGACAGCTCAGTGAAGTATTTCAACATGCTGACAGCGAGACCACGGGCCACTTCGTTGCCTTGTTTATCACGGGGTAGGTGATTGACTGCGGTATACACTGAAGCGGCGGGGGATATGGTGAAGCGCGGATAGCTCTGAAACCCAGCAGGAGTAAAGATGTGCGCCTGAATGCGTGAGCTGCTTATGGTGGCATTTGCAGTCGCAACAGGGCCGTAGAAGACGAGAACAGAGGAGAGATATGGATCGACCGTATGGTAGAGGCTGAGGTATTCCAACGGCAGGTCCGACAGTGCGGTGCCCGCAGGCGCTGCTGCGTTCACTGCCATGGCGCAACCACGCTTGCCGCAACAGTGGGTTTCGTTTGTAGGGAAATGGCGCAAATAGAATGCGCCGGGGTCCACAGACGGAAGAATCGATTTGGCGACGGCGAAGGACCTAGTTTAAGAAGGTTCGGGTCGTGGTGAGGGTGTCAACAACCCATGTGAGGGGAGATTGTGGTGGACTGATAAAGAGCGTGACGGTCGTAGGCCCCCTCCATGAAACAGTCTCGTTGGCAGCGCTCAATCGAAGGGCAGATACATGGAGCGGGAAATACGAAGACAACAAAAATCGGGGAAGTCGTAGGATAGAATGTTTTGGCGCGGGGATGGATGATAGCGCGATAGCGCGATAACTGGGGCGTCTTAGCGCCAGCGGCTCATCGGGAGATCTTTGTTTACTTTTGTCGGGCCAACGCGGGTCACCTCGTCTACCCTGCAAGGCTCAGATCTGACAAGTCATATTCAACCGTATTCAGACCTAGATACTCCTAGCTTATCTGTACTAAAGTTTGCCGCCTTCGTGGCAACCCTGGTGCTAGGGAGCCGATCATCTATGTATCCCACGCAGATCGACAACCTAGAATTCAGAGGAGCTTCGGTCTCGAATTAAGCAATTTGATTTTAAGCATCTTGAACCTTAACATTGTACCAGACAAAGCCATGTTCAAAGATAGGAAAAAGAAGAAAGCAATTGTTCGCATTGTCAGCCTGGCGTGATTACCCCCAAAGCAGATATATGTCAACATACGATTTCGGAGTTTGCACCATCCGATCCTGTTTTTGCGTACCCAGATACGTTTTAGCTTGGAGGCTTCTGAGCAATGGGACCATGATTCGATAATTTGTCTAATAATGGCAAAATAGACCCTTTTGGCAGCTCTATAGATCGATGCTACTGCATGTACAGCTCAATGATGCACATTGTCTAGCGTCTGGGCAAGTTGGGGGGCAGCGCATTAGAAACTAGTGGTGTAACCACATTTCGAGTATTACATTACAGCAGGCGCAAAACGACCGTATCATACGTACTCACACGTATTGACCCCTGATGAAGGCGGTGACTAGGCGGGGAAGACGCTAAGCCGCAACAGGCAAGCAGCAACGATCGAGAGACCAGCTGTTTGTTCGCGAGAACACGGTGACACCACAGAGCGCATCGCCCGCTCGAGATGCTCGATTCCACCATGTCCGAACCTCTATCCATAGCCATCGATCCCGTGGCCCTGGTGACCACAGAATGCATCACCGTCACCTCGTCTATGCGGAAGCATGCCCGATGGGCGCACTCCTCCGTCTCCGCCATCCTGGGCGGCAATGGAGCGTCTCGTGTCTATGAGCGGGATACTTCTGCACCCTCCAGCCCGCGCAAGAGCAGCCAATCACCCCGGGTCGATGATGACCATGCTCTGGCAAATCGATGGGGCCTACGTGGGAAAAAGGGAAAGAGCATGCAGGACAACCCGTTGATATCGGCCTTCACGCGCCTGCGGAATGACCTCAAGGGCTGTAAAGACATTCGCACTTTTGATACCCCAGCCCTCCTTCATCCGTTCCTCCAGGTTATTCGCTCCTCTTCGACTTCCGCCGTCATTACTTCTCTCGCCTTGGTCGCCATCACCAAGTTCTTCTCCTATAACATCATAAATCGAGACTCGCCTCGACTACCAATGGCGATGCAGCTCCTCTCCGCCGCAATTACACACTGTCGATTTGAGGCGAGTGACTCTTCGGCGGACGAGATCGTGCTGCTCAGGATTCTGAAGTTAATGGAGAGCATGCTCTCTCGGCCAGAGGGAGAACTGCTGGGTGACGAAAGTGTCTGTGAGATGATGGAAACGGGATTGAGCATGTGCTGTCAAGGCCGCTTATCAGAGGTGCTCCGCAGATCTGCCGAGATGGCCATGGTCAACATGTGTCAGGTCATTTTCATGCGTCTGTCGCACCTAGATCAAGCGGTCACACCAGGACCAGCTTCATTTGCGGATGAGAATGTCAAACACGAGATAAAAAAGTTGAAAATGGATCCCTCTGTCAATGGCGATACTGTGACATCGCAACACCAGTCCGCCATGGGATCAGACACAGCCGCCGCTGAACGTGGCAGCACCAGTCGGGAAGGGTCTCCCGAAAACTTAGGTAGTACAGCCGCTGCTGCTGCACCTCCGAACCCGGAAGATGACACTGAGACCGAGGTCAAGCCGTATTCTTTACCGTCTATCCGAGAATTGTTTCGCGTGCTGATTGATCTTTTGGATCCTCACAATCGACAACACACAGATACCATGCGCGTCATGGCCCTTAGAATCATTGATGTTGCCCTGGAAGTGGCTGGTCCATCTATCGCTCGGCACCCTAGCTTGGCTGCTCTGGCCAGAGATGACCTTTGCCGGTATCTTTTCCAGTTGGTCCGTTCAGAGCAATTAGCCATTCTCACCGCATCTCTCAGAGTCGCGGGTACCTTGCTTTCGACGTGTCGGCCTGTGCTGAAGCTTCAACAAGAACTTTATCTCTCATACCTGGTGGCATGTCTTCACCCCCGCGTCGAGATTCCCCGTGAGGCTGGTATCGACCCATCGCTTTACGAGGGTGTTCCCCATGCACCTAAGCTCGTGAAACAACCATCATCGCAGAGTAACAGTGGCAGATCTACCCCAGTCCCCGTGAAAGATCGACAAAAGCTAGGCCTCGAGGGCGGCTCACGAAAGCCCGAAGCCCGGGAAGCAATGGTTGAGAGCATAGGTGTCCTATCGCGCATACCTAGCTTTATGACCGAGCTGTTTGTTAACTACGACTGTGAGGTGGACCGAGGAGATCTGTGTGAGGATATGATCGGATTGCTCTCTCGGAACGCTTTCCCAGACTCTGCGACATGGAGCACTACAAACGTTCCTCCACTATGCTTGGACGCTCTGCTAGGCTACGTGCAGTTCATATATGATCGACTAGATGATGAGCCTGTGCAAGGAGACTACCCTCCCCAAGACCTCCTTCGCAGCCAACGAAAAACCAAAAAGCTCATAATCAAAGGAGCACAGCTGTTTAACGAGAGCCCTAAGCGCGGTATTGCCTATCTCGCGGAGCATGGCATCATTGAGGACCCCAAAAACCCGGTGCAGGTTGCCCGATTCTTGAAAGGGTCGGCGCGCTTATCAAAGAAGGTGCTAGGTGAATTTATCTCCAAACGTGATAATGAGGAGTTGTTGGGCGCATTTGTGGATCTCCTAGACTTTTCAGGAAGGGATGTGGTCGAAGCTCTACGAGAGCTGCTGAGTTCATTCCGCCTGCCTGGCGAATCAGCGCTTATTGAACGAATTGTGACGACCTTCTCTGAGCATTATACGGAGAAGGCGAAGCCTGACAAAATTGCCAATTGCGACGCACTCTACGTATTGACCTATGCCATAATCATGCTGGTAAGTTTCTCGGCATGAAACAGCGACTGGGGAAGCTAACACTCCTCGAGAATACGGATCTTTTCAATCCTAACGTAAAGCCACAAAACCGCATGTCATTCCCTGCCTTCGCGAGAAATTTGCGAGGGGTTAATGGAGGCGGTGACTTTACCGAAGAATTCCTCCAGGATGTTTATGACTCTATTGCAGCGGTAAGGATAGCCTGTGTAAGCTGATTACTGGAAAAGAGCTGACCTGGTTCTCAGAATGAGATCATTTTACCCGAAGAGCATGACAATAAATCAGGTTTTGACTATGCCTGGAAAGAGATGCTTCTCAAATCATCCGGAGCTGGCGAGATGATTGTGGGCGAGACCAACCTCTATGATGCCGAGATGTTCGAAGCTACCTGGAAGCCTGTGGTGGCAACTCTATCCTATGTCTTCATGTCTGCTTCAGACGACGCAGTTTACTCCCGCGTGGTCAATGGCTTCGACCAGTGTGCCCAGATTGCTGCTCGTTACGGCTTGACCGAGGCATTTGATCGGATCATCTCATCCCTTTCTTCTATCAGTACCTTAGCGACGGCCAAGCCTCCAAGCACCGCGCTTAACACTGAGGTACAGGTAGGTAAGAAGAGTGTCATGGTGAGCGAGCTTGCTGTGAAGTTTGGGAGGGATTTCCGAGCACAGCTTGCTACTGTGGTGCTATTCAAAGTTCTCGCTGGCAACGAGTCCACGCCCCAGCAAGGCTGGGAGCATATTGTTCGCATCCTCAGTAATTTGTTTATCAACTCATTGATTCCGCCACTGGATTCCAAGATTACGGCCGAGCTTGATATCTCTCCAATTCCGCTGCAACCTCCGTCCCAAGTTATCGACCGTGATAGAAGTGGCAACGAGAGCGGTCTGCTGTCCGCATTCACTTCTTATCTCTCCAGTTATGCCGCCGATGACCCCCCCGGAGCCGTCCGACGAAGAGCTGGACAACACGCTGTGCACGGTCGACTGCGTGACCGCGTGCGCGATACCTGACATCTTGAATAATATCAAGTAAGTCCTCAATCGTTGCGACGATTTTGATTCAATTATTGACACATTCGAAGGTCGCTTCCTCTTTCATCTCTCTCGATGCTGGTTGAAGCTCTATTGTCTCAGCTTCCCGAAGAGAACGCCCCGGCGGTCATTGTGGTCAAGCCCGAGCGGCCAAGCCCTGTTTCGAGATTCCCCAATGCTCGCATCGATCCCAACCAACCTAAATATGATCCCTCTATGGTATTTGATCTGGAGTTGGCAACTGTTCTCACTCTCCGAGATGAGAAGACTCTGAGTGCACTTGGTGAGAGGCTAGCTACGACTCTCCAGACCATGGTGCGCGATGCGAAGAACTTGCATCCGCTGGGCCTCTCTCGCATCGTTTCATATCTGCTCAGCCTTCTGCGACGCAGCCATGTACGTTCTCTTGAAACCTTGTTATGTCAGGTTCAGTGCAGCTAACCGTTTAAAAGGACCAAGATTTTATGAGAGTACCCGTCGTGCTACATACCATCTCGGGTTACGACCAAGATATCCTGGAGACAGTTGCTGTACCGATAGTGAAGGGTCTTGCTCGTTGTGTTAGTTACACACGTCGCCTTGGGAACGAGATCACCATTTCTCCGGACTTCTGGTCAATTCTGCAGAGGCTGCACCAGCACGAAGAGGCCGCACCCATGGTGTTTGATTTGCTTCAAAGCATCGCCGAATCTATGCCTGACATTGTAACGCCCGACAACTACGAATCTGCTGTGAACCTTGCGAACGACTTCGTCAGTGCTGGACACGTCGGGTCAATTAACGAACGTCAGAGAGATGTCCAGGCTCGCCGGACTAAGGGTGTTAAGCAGCCGAAACCTATAGAAAACCCCATCGTCGTGCGCGGAATCAAGGCTATCGGATTAATCTATAATTTGACTGGAAGGGTCCCCGCATTGATCAAGCAGTCTCATCTTGAGGAACGGGAAGCATGGGCTGCCTACTGGTCCCCCATTTTCCAATCCTTGACCAGCCAGTGTGTCAACCCCTGCCGCGACATCCGCCACCACGCAATCTCCACCTTGCAGCGAGCTCTCCTCTCAGCCGATCTTGTCTCTAGTGACGACAAGGAGTGGTCCGCTATATTTGATGAAGTTCTCTTCCCTCTCGTTCTTCGTCTTCTGAAGCCAGAGGTCTACCATTCGGACCCTCACGGCATGGGTGAAACGCGAGTTCAGGCCGCGACATTAGTCTGTAAGATCTTCCTGCGGTTCTTGGACCAGCTTCCCAACCGCGAGGGTATGCTCCCTCTCTGGCTCAGGATCCTGGACATCCTTGATCGCATGATGAACAGTGGCCAGACCGACAGCTTGGAAGAGGCGATCCCTGAGAGTCTGAAGAATATTCTTCTGGTCATGGCCGACGGCGGCTACCTTGTGCCTCCGTCGCAGGATCCCAACAAAGAAGAAATGTGGAACGAGACTCGCAAACGTCTTGGCCGATTCCTGCCAGATCTCTTTGCCGAGATTTTCCCCGAGTCTGGCAAGGACGCAGAGAAATCCCAGCCGGCTTCTCTTGTCAACTCTCCTGTCCAGCTTGCTAGCGATGCGGACAAGAAAAGCGAAGAGACTGAAGCCCCATCTGACGATATCGTGGAGGAGAAAGATACCAGCAATTCTGATGGTCAAGCAGCCTCCCAGGTTGATGCCACTTCGTAGAAGCCAAAACACTCACCGATTTCGCCGCGATCTTCTTTCCTTCTTTGCCCTTTTGCATTTCCATCTAGAATAGCGCTGGGGTGCAGGCTTGCTATTAATTCCCCCATCATTGTCCCCGTCCCACGTCCATGTAGATAAGTCGACTTATTGACGCTATGTCGTAATACAAGGTGATTCCAAAGTGGTGTTGAAACTTTGCATTAAATCGAACCGAATGCTCACCTGCGCAAATCAGTACTCAAGGAGGTGATGTACTTAGAGAAACGTGACTTTTTGAGACTCTTGATTCAATGCGTTGAGAGCTAGACTAGATGGCAACTACACCCGAACCACCACTATGGTACACGTTCAGGCTCCTGAGGAGCCGACTCATTACAGCTTCATTTTCTCTTCCCCAAGGAGTTCTACTCGGGAATGTCAACCCCGGAGACTTCCTTGCAAATCTTCAACAACTCTTCCTGCTTGCTCACATTTCCCGCACCAGGGTGCGCCGACTCCTCGCCTTTCGTGGTGAAAAAGGCACCACTTTTGAGAGCAGCCATCTTCCCTTTGCCCACAGCCCATTCAGAAAGCACCTTCGTCGGTTTATCCAACCCCTCTGGAGCAGCCATTCCTCCCATCTTTGTCCTCACCCAGCCAGGGTGCATGCTAACAACCTGAATCTCATCGCCCCACCGCCTCGCAAAAGCATTGGCAAGCATGGTATCATGCAACTTGCTGTCACTGTAGGAATGAGACTGCGTAATATTCCGCAGATTCTCATCACCCCCATAATGACTATCAGAGCTCATAAAGAGAAGTCGCGACGACGGCCTCTTCATGAGACATGTCAGGATGTACGGCGCAAGCGTGTTCACAGCGAAGACAGCCGAGATATTGTCCGCTGTGATCTCACGGCTGGATGTACCGCCATAGCCGATTCCTGCGTTGTGAATGACGGTATCGAAGGTCCCCGAACCTAGGGAATTGGCTTCTTCCGCAAGTTTCTTGGTTTGGGCGATTGAGCTCAGGTCGCCGACTAGTACTGCTTCGGCCTGCGGAATGGCTTTGTGGGCAGCGGTTGCGCGGTCTGCGTTTCGCGCGTGGAGGACTACTGAATGGCCTTGGTCTGCGAGGGCTTTGGCGGCAGCTTGGCCGATGCCGTCGCTGGAGCCGGTAATGAATATGCGAACCATGGTGGATAGGCCCATAGGATGAAGCTAAGTCACCGTGAGGTAAGACAATCGGATTGTTCAGTGATGCCGGCTTCAACTATAACTAAAGAGCTGGATGCAAATCGGTACTTCCATATCGCCGGGGTACCTCCGATGATATCATGGCGAACTTGACTGAATGCAGGGATGAGTCTTGGTCTGCTTTCCCTCTGACGTCAAGGAAGCGTTGAAGCCGATAACAAAAACCCGTCGATTCTATGAGTATAATTTTGTGAATCTTCATTTAATCAATTTACAGCCGTTGTTCAACAGATGTCGGTTTGTTTCACAATCTACACGTGTCTATGAGCCACAATAGCCTCGTTTGATAAGAAGACTCGACACATCCCAATACGAAAGGGAACAGAAGTATACAACAATGAGAGCCGTGGGAAGGGCAGGTATCGCAGGCAATGGAACAACAGAATGATAAGAGATTTCATTCTCGAGCAAAAGATTGCTCGAAGCAGAGAAAAGAAGAATTTGAACCAGACAGGAAGATGCGGAAAGCAACACCAGAAAAAATGAGATGAAGGCAACATCCATCGCAATGGTACTGAAACTAGGAAGAAGAGAAATGACACTGGGCACACAAGCCGTGTAAAGAAGATCAAAAAGGAGTAGTCAGTCGAGCACAGCCATGAGTTGATTGTTCAATTCGTGAGCAATGGGGAAGAACCCTCGTGTCTTACTCGGCATCCATGTCGTCGTCGAGATCAATGGCGTCTGGGTTGGCTGGGGCTGCCGGTGCTTCGCCAGCTGGCTTAGGCCGGTTGCCGCCCTCGGGGCCGGTACTGGCAGCGACGAAGCCCACGGGGGCACGCGCCTGGCGTTCAAGGGCGGCCATGGCATCGGCACGGTCTGCGTCTTCCTCGCCATCCTGGCCTTCGCCGTCCTTGGGACGTTGTTGGCTGCGTGCAATGGCCTGCGATGCAATGAAACTGACATCGGTACTGTGAAAGTTAGCAAGAGGTCCGTAAGGTCACGCGTAAGGGTAGACATACTTGTATTGAGCCTGGACACTTCTTTTGACGCGCAGCATCTCTTTGAATGTGTCCTCGTTGCCGTGCTGAACTTCGAAAGATTCCCATTTCGACCAGAAGGCCGCGTTGGTTCGGGGATCGCAGAACTGGGAAGCGTGGCCGTAAATGGCACGGGCACGGTCGATCTCCCCCAGGCGTCGCTCCATCTCCGCGAACTTCAGACACATTTCCTTAGCCTCCTGGTCTGGCAGAGCGGCAATGGCTCGCTCGTAAATGGGTCTTGCAGAGGTCAAACCAAAGTTTGAAGCAGACTTGGTAATGTAGAATTCGAACATTTCGAAACGATCCTCGTCGGAGACGGAACGAGTTGCTCGCTCGTAAATCCGCATAGCATGACGTGCCAGGCCTCGTTCTTCTTCTAAATTACCATACATCAAGTATAGCGGCTTGGCGAACTTGGGGGGACATCCGTCCAAGGCTTGTTCAAAGAGATCACGCAGCCTCTCAATGCCAATTTTGCGATCAACGGCTTTGGTCAAATAGAGATTCCAAAGCTCAAACGCAACTGGATAGCTGAAAAGATCCAAGCCGCGCTCGTACACCTTGAATGAGTCTTCGTAGTAGTTGTTCTCTTCCAAAAGGTTTGCAAAGTTGACGACTGTCTGGGGTGTCGCAATACGCAGCTCAAAGATCCGTTCATAGACTTTTCGTGTCTCATCAAGGGAGGCAACACTCTCGACGAGATCAACGTAGAAACTCCACAGCTTCCAACTTTTGTGCACGCGCTGTTGCGGTGACAAGTCCTCGTCAAAGTAATCCACGGTGGACTTTTTGGGTGCTTGAGTCGCCTTGACCATAATGCTGACGGCCTGGTCAAAGTTCTCTGCACGAAGCTCCATCTCCGCCCATTCGCACCAGGTCTCAGCAAGCTCAGCAACCGACTTGAAGGGAACCTTGACGGCCTTGTCGAATATGACCCTGGCGGTCTCCAAGTCTCCGCCACTCTCATAGAGCTTGGCATAGTTGACCCATAGCTCAGAAAACTTACCATGAGCTTTCTTCGGGCTGATGGCCGCAATAGCAGCTGTGTAGGTGTTGACAGCTTCTTGCTTATTATCTCCCCACAGAGCCACCCGCTTTTCCCATTCAATGACGTTGTGAGGGTTCTGGCGAAGCAGAACATCATTCACTAAGAATGGGCGTCGGTCCATCAATTGCTCAAAGCGCAGCATGCGTAGATCAAGGTCGAAGTCCGCATCTTCGTCAAGCTTGCCTTTCTCTGAACGGACAGCCGCAGCCTCCATCAAACTACCGATGACTGACTCTTCAAACTCAACGTAGGAGTCGAAGATCAGAGTGAAATCACGAACCGTCATGACAGTCATGATACCCTCCTCGAAAACATCTCTTGCCTTCTCAAAATTGCCCTTGGTGATCCAGTAGGTCGCCAAGCCAGTCCAGAGTTTTCCTCGCTGGTCGGCGAATCGATCTATACCGCTTCGCAGAATGGCATCAACATCAATTCCCACCTGCGGACCGGTCTCGATCTTCTTGGCCTTGGAGACCAAAAGGTCGACCATCTCGGTCCACAACTGGAAATTGCTTTTACCATTCTTGGATTGGAAGCGCGAGTTGTCAAGAACGTCCATGTAGACTTTGACAGCCTCTGTGTAGTGACCCATCTCCACCAAGAGTTCAATGTACTCCTCTGCATTCTCTGGATGAATCTGCATGTAGCGCGCCCAGATCTTGACGGCAGTCTGTCCTGATGCGGAACGCGCAAAGCTCTTATAGAGTCTCCAAATTCGGTTATGCTGGGTGACCGGCAGGGCACGCAGGGCGCGATCGAAAGTGCGCCGGGTCTGGGTCACGAGCGGTTGCTGGAGTAAAAATGACAAATACATCTCCCAGATACGAGGCATTTTATTCAGAAGAATCAAAGCTCGTTCGAAGAGAGCATTGACCTTGAGGTATTCGGCGCGATAGACCGTGGGATTGCGCCCCTTCAGATGTTTAGTTCGGAAATCCAAATACTACATCAATCGTTAATTAGTCAACTTCCAGCCAGTACAAGAACCTCACGGGAAAGAATCTCACCATCTTCCACAGTTTGTACGACCGGGGCAATTGTCGGCAGGCGCGCTCCATGATCTATGGTAATTGAATGTCAGCGATCGCCCTTGTATTTGAAAGGCCGTAGGTTTGGCAGAAACATACAAAGGCTTGTTCATAGAGGGTGCCATGTTGCTGCTTCCATTCGATGTAGGCAAGCCATGGCTTGACACTGCCGGCATCGCGAAGCAGATCTTGTTCGTACACAGTATCTTGATCAGTCTTTTGGGGGAAAAGATCAGCACAAATAGTAGCAGTTGGACTCAATGGGAGCTTACGATCAGGTAAAAGTCCGGCCGGGACGCCGATGATCGGTCCATCTGTGCGTGCTGCCGGTGTGATCTCGGGGGCAGAAGCGTCCCTGGCATTGCGCCACTCGGTTCGAGCGGGATCGAATCACACGGTTCAACAGAACAGCATAGGATGTTGGCGCAAGCAAGTGACACAGGCGCGCGAAGGATGAAACTGGCGACGAAGTCGTATGTCCATCACGTGATGGCAGCCGTATCGAGTGGGCGGTGGAGCTTCACTTATCGGCGTCATATCGAAGTGGCATCTGAGCTGATCGTCTACGTTTGTATCTTTAAGCTGCCGTCATGTCGGGTGCTGTGGTGAGTATATTCTATCGGTGACATCTACAGACACTAATTATGTCTCTTTACAGGGCCGAGAGCCAGTCTTCCCGACTCGTCAGTCGCTGGGATTGATGAAGAGCAAACTGAAGGGGGCTGAGATCGGACATAGCTTGTTGAAGCGAAAGAGTGAGGCCTTGACAAAGTATGTTCCCTCGACTATCAATGGCTTGAGTGCTTGACTGACAATTAACTTCTGCAAACAGACGTTTCCGAGGTACGATGCCGCAACAACGCGCGTCCATACCCCCCACACTTTACGGAAACTAATCACAGCTGGCAGAAATCACACGACGCATAGATGAGGCCAAGCAGAAGATGGGGCGGGTCATGCAGATTGCAGCCTTCTCTCTTGCCGAAGTGAGCTATGCCGTGGGCGGAGACATCGGATACCAGATTCAGGAATCCGCCAAACAGGCCCGCTTCCGTGTGCGAGCCAAGCACGAGAACGTCTCGGGTGTCTTCCTCCCCCAATTTGAAAGTCATACCGAAACTACCATCAACGATTTTGGCTTGACTGGCCTTGGAAAGGGTGGACAGCAGATCCAACGCTGCCGGGAGACATACGCGCGGGCCGTGGAGACCTTGGTGGAGCTGGCTAGTCTACAGGTATGAATGACGGAATTATAGACATTAGATATGGAAGTCTCACTAATACTCCTCAGACTGCATTTTTGATTCTTGATGAGGTGATCAAGGTTGTGAACCGAAGAGGTAAGCAGTATCTATTCGGCATCCTCGTATTGTATAGTTGCTAACATGTATCATCTAGTTAACGCTATGTAAGTCGTTGTCTACTTAATTATGCTTAGATATGGAAAGCCTCGAAACTAACAGCATCACCTCCAGTGAGCACGTCATTATTCCCCGAACTGAAAACACCATCAAATGTTCGTACTACCATTCCTCATCACCAAATGTTGCACCTTCTGATCCAAAGACAGACATCAACTCCGAACTCGATGAACTCGATCGAGAGGAGTTCTACCGGCTCAAAAAGGTCTCTGGTAAGAAGCAGAGAGACGTTGCCGAGGCAGACGCCGAGATCCTCGCAGCCCGTCAGAAGGCAGCGGAGAAGGAGGCAGCGAACGACACTCCAGCTGTTGCGGCTCCATCTACAGACGAAACCGAGATACCCGATGTTCTCGGTGAGCAAGAAGACAACGATGTCATCTTCTAGTGAAATTTCTTTATCGCTTCCTCTTACTTTGGACAAGCGTCCTTTGCATATTTTTGACATCTGTGCCAACCTTCCACTTGTTTCATCACGTACTCCAGCCTAGTGGCTCAGCTACCGAGTATATACATATTATCTTGGAAATCCTACTACCGGAGTCGTATGTGCCATGTCTACGTACCGTTCTTATGTTAATGTAGATAGACCAAGGTGGTATCAACGAGTCTCTTCGCAAGGTCATATCGCAGATACATAAAGCGAGCTAGAACCCCCTCCAAACGCCAAATGAACAAGACAGGGATATTTGGAGCTGCGCGAACCACAGCCATATTTACTGCCGCTGGAACGTGACACGAATTGGCTTGCTCTGCTCTCCCATGGGCATACCTGCCGTAGCCTCCTTCGCACTAATAGCACCTGACTCGGTCTCATACTCGACGAATGCAATGCCCTTGCGGCCGGGTACCATTCTGACTTCCTGGAATCCTTCGAAACGACCAAAGACCGCCGCAAGACCCTCCTGGCTAGCGTCGTCGGGCAGATCCCGCAGGAAGAGAATCTTGTTGGGAGGCAGATACTCATCGGGAATAACAGCAGTCGTAGCACCGGAGGTAGGCTTGAGACCGGCGCCCTTCGTGGTCTTTGCCGGGCGTGTGGTGTCGATAGGCGCGGCGGCCGGACGCTTGAGCTTCTTCTGGGCCTCGAGGGCATCGTGCGCTTGTTGGCGTTCTGCAGGTGGAATCGACAGTAGTTAGTATAAGATTCCTCCGACACAGTCTGCATAACAGGGGGATGAATTCGTTGTAGCCCACCTTTCTCAGCTAAGCGTTTCCGCTTGTGAGCCTCCAGCTCCTCGGAGCCACCTTCGCGGAGAACTGTAGCATCGCTTCGAGTCTTCGCGTAATCCAGAACCATTGGCTTGTCAAAGAGCTCGAAGCCGTTCACCTCGTCAATGGCGCGGGTTGCGGCATCGACGCTGTCAAAGACGATAAACGCCTGGCCCTTGGCCTTCAGGTTGGTCTTCGCGACAATCTCGAGCACATTGCCGAATTCCGAGAAGATCTCTTCCAGTGCGACCTTGAGCTGCTCAACCTTGATCCGTTCCTCTAAATTCTTGACCTGTGGGATTGGAAAAGTGTCACGGTTAGTCGGCCGGCGCGAGCATTATTGCAGGCAGGAAGGGGAAGGAACAGCGTACGTAGACACTGAAAGGCCGAGTTAGCGGGTTGGCTGCGTCAATATCAAGGGAGCAAGCACATACGTGGAATTTGGAGGAACACCAGCCGATACACCTGCGGCTGCCATGGTTGCGACAGTTGCAGCTCCCGGAATGATCTGGAGACGAGGTTGAGCTCTGCAGCTGGTGAACGTAAGTTTGACTGGACATCAGGCATTTAAAGCCCTGACTTTACATCAACCAGCATCATTGGTCTAGTGGTAGAATTCGTCGTTGCCATCGACGAGGCCCGTGTTCGATTCACGGATGATGCAATGCTTTTTTGTCAACTTTTTCCCCTTACCCTTTGCCAATTCTACTCCATGTACTCATTTAACTATTCTTCATCAAGGGTTCGTTTCTCTTGCGCACCGAAAGACTTCGAGCCTTTGTCGCAGAATTATTGTTTGGGTCAAGATTTATTGATTCGAATTATTTGTTACAATTGGCATCCGTGAGATCAGTCAGATCTACTTAACGGCCAGCTCAACCTTCACACTTTCCATCCTGTCCTTTAATTGGTTGGGCTGTGCAGACCAATCCTCATACTTGACCATCTCAGAGCCCGTTACAGTAAAGAGATAGTCTGCAGCGCTGGCCCGAACCTGGTATGTAGATTAGCAAAGTTTCATCGCATATAGACCGCTTGACAAACATACCCTTGGAAAAGGATGTACCAACAACCCAATCAATTTCTTCAGGACACCATTACGCAAAGGCCCAAGCCTCGCGAGGGCCCCATAAACCTTGACACCAGCTTCCAGACGTGCGATGTTCGACGACCGGAAGTGCGCTTTTTGAACCAGAACAAAGACACTTCGGAAAACTGGATCAAGCTCATTCCAGGGACAGCAAAGCTGTCTATCACGAATGCAAGGAGCTCGATGGTGGGAATGGCATAGCGATCATCTTGGACGTTATCACTTAGGATGGTCGATAGCACTCGTAACATCTCAATCAAGACAGCCTGGCGTTGCGTCGCTCCATAAGAATTGATAAATTGGATCAAAGCCGAGCGCGATGCTCGGATAAGACCCTCAGTGCCTGCGACCGCAGAAGTTACCAGTCCTTGTAACAGTGGCAAACGTAACCATTGGACGTTGTAGAGTGTGATCAATTGATCAAAGTATTTTTGCGACGAAACGTGACTGAAATGCTCATATTTACTGCTTCCGTCAGCACTGGCAGCATAGATAAGCAAGGATAAAATACTTTTTCAAGGCAACTGGGAAATCCGCAAATTGCCAAAAACTTTGCAAGCAGAGCCATGCCTGAAGTCTGACCTTGTCAAGCTTCTCAGATGCAAGGCGACAAATACAACCAACCAGTTTTTTGGCCAGTTCCGAGTGTAAAGCTGTGTAAGATTCTTGCTGTAAGATAATACCTGCAGCCTGAATTGCTTCCACTCGAATAAGAGATCCGACGTCACCTCGTCTATCCGTGGTGTAGTCGTTGAGGAAGCTGATCACGCCAGTGGCCATCAATTCGGTAGAAGCTGATGGAAGGTTAGTCCTGAGTCCTCCGTAGCCAGAAGCGGGGAGGGACTTGCTTGTGTATGGCAAAATATTGGCAGCCAAACATTTTACAGCAGCTACTCGCTTTTCAATCAACTCCTCCTTCTCTGCGCACCGAAGTACTTCCTCAATGATACTATTTTGCAGATCATGTGATCCTTGAAGCTGCTTGAAAACTGCACCGAGTGCTAGAATTTGGCCACGACCGCTTGGTGACCTTGACGAAATATGCAGATAAGAAATCCACTCCTGCACCGTCTCCCGCTGCTTGAGCGGTGTTAAGAGCGGGAAAATTGTGGATAAAGCGTCCGACGACCTCTCAATTGAAATATCGTCACTTCGAGAGACACAAAGTGACAGAACGCGCAAGACCCTATCGAGCACAGCATCCGAGGGCTGGCCATGGCCGACAGAGACGGCTGAACGAGAAATCGAGGCAATCAGACAGCATGATGCCTCTGATGTCAATTCAGGGCGAGAATTCTGGAAGGTTAGGTCATTGTCGGTAGGGCCAGTCGGAGACCCGAAAATGTTCCATATCTTGGATATCTGAGACAAGACCTCTTTCCCTTCAGGTGTTTCCCTCCTGGTTGGTGATGCTTCTACTTCAAGAACAAAAGCATCAATTGCAGCTGCGATAGACAGGAAACAGCCATGTCGCGACTCCACATCACTTCGAGGAATACAAGGAAGTCTCAGCAAAAGACGTCGTAAAACCACAGCCATCGTCTCAAGACTTTCCTGTGCACTCAATGTTCCGATTGATTGAGCTGCTTGTCTCCTGGACTCAGCATCAGGAGAACCGATACCTCGCCAATTCATCAAAGCCTCCAAAAGCGGACTCCAGTACATGGAATCTAGAGAGACTGTTGCTTTCGCCACATCAATCATAGCGCGTGAGCGCCGCGCAACGGCATGGTAGTCGACAATCTGCACCAAAGGAATGCCTTCGGTAATGGTGTTTGGGTGACGGCCGATCAACTCTTGTAAGGCGGCAGAAGCACCGCGTCGAATGTTGCCAGAGGGGTCCGTACAAGCAGAGCAGACGAGTTCAACAGCCAACTTCTGTAGAACCCCAACCTCGCTAATGCCAGAAATTGAAGGAATGACTTGCGCCGGCAACGCTTGCAACTCCGAAGTGGTGTACTTCCGAGACATGGCCCAGACACCAAAGCAGGCAGCATCCCGCACGCCCGTTCCCACGGAACTGCCTGTCGATGATCTCTGCTCGAATACGAGACCCAGAACAAGAGAATGAAGAATATCCGGAAGTTGCCGGAGTGGAGGCGCACGCCGGAAAAGTAGGTGGGACAGAGTAAGGACTAGGCCATGCCATCGCTGTGCATCAACAGCGCTAAGATTACGCTTGAAAGTTTCAATGCCAGTTTTGAGTGCCTCTAGTGGCGTCACCAAAGAACCGTTCTCTTTTTCATAGAGGATGTTCTCTCCCAGCGAGCCAATGACAGCTTCGATAATCTCAGCGCCCATTTCTAGATCCAACTTTAAGGTGATCACACTGAGAGCTTTGCTCGAAGCGAGTCGCACAGGCGTATCCTTGTCCGCCAAGGAGACCAGGAAATGGTCAATGACCTCTTCTAGGATGCTCGTCAATTGATCATCTGTCATGCTGTTGTCTTTACGCTCGCTCAGCGACAAAGCCATGACTGCGATATTGCGAAGGATCTTGATCACGGTCTTTCTCGCAAGGGCGGATGACTTAATGATTGAGGACACCTTTGATTGTCTTTGTGAGACGCTAAGTGTCTGCTCAAAGACACTTTTTAGCATAGGAGCAAAATCTTCAACCTGACCGGAGCCGGCTAGGCGGGCAATGAAAGAAAGAACACCGATGCAAGAGTAGACAGATGGTACTTCCGCGTTCTCCTCGGGTTGCATTGTATCGAAAGCCCATCTCGTTAGCCTGCTGAGAAGTCCAAGTCTTTGCATGTCCCCACGCAGGATAAGCCGTGCCAGAAGGGCGGTTCCCGCCTCGCGCTCCTTGCCGGAGGTATTGATGTAATGCAACGCCAGCGACAAGATTGACTTCGCAAGCATCGGAGTCTGTGGAGAAAGCTCACCCAGTTGGCTCGGATTTTTATAAGGGACTGGAATATCTTCTGATGACAGCGAAGAAAGATCGAACGGTGCGAGAAGAAGATGCGACAGCCAAACTAGCATCATATAACGCTCTTCCCATTTTAAAGTCTGAGGCTCGTCATCTATCAGATCTTCTGCTGTATCTGTGCTGCCCAGTGAGTCCCATTCGATAAAAGCACGCAGCATTGAATCGAGGTACTTGGGCTCATTGTTCAAGAACCGGCTGATGACCTTGACACCACGGACTTTGCAGAAAGTATAGAGCAATCTGCAGATGGCTCTTGGAAGCGGATAAAGAGCAGCACCCTGTGAATTTCTCGCCGTTTTCGAAGCATACTGGCCACGGTGCTTCAGCAAGTAAGCCAGGAAGGCATCTACTAAAGGAGGTAGCAGCTTGTGAAGATGCGGGTCTAGCAGCTGGGGCCATTCTTGAAAAGGTTCGAGCTGTTGCATTCAATTAGCATTCACTTTCCATTCTCATTAATGATTTCAGTGAGTATGTGATAAGCGTACAAGGCCGACAAGCTTCTCTGTCTTGGCTACTGGCGCCCATTTGCGTGGGGTACGGAGAGGGGTCCCATTGTGAACTCTCCACAGCAGCGATGGCAGCTTTGTCGAAAACTCCGTCACCAAATCACTAGAAGCCCGTTGAAGTTTAACTTCCCGGTCATCGGCTGCATCCATCGCGGAGCTTGGAATTTGGCCTTTTTTGAGACTCGAAGGATCGGGAAAAGCGTCAACGGCGGGACGGGTCATGTGACATCAACAGATCGATACGGGGCAGTAAATCAGCGAAGGTGCGTTAGTAGATTGTATTTCTATAAATCACCTAAACAAGATGGTGAATTTGAGATTGGTCTTCAACATAATAAACAATAGGTAAAGACGTCACGAACCAGATTACATAGTGACATACAACTATATATCCTTCAGTTCAATGGAAGATACTCAGATAGAGAACGCAAAAGAAGGAGACACGGACAGCAATCGGATGCTAAGCATTGATTCTGTAGCTTTGATAACATTGTTACTTATCAGAGACTTAACACTCCTGTGCATTTCCGTCTTTTCGTCTTCTAAGGCAGGCTAAGTCGTCAATTGACATAGAGGCAGAGATGACCGATTTCATACAAACTCTCATAAGTCATCATCATCAGTATCTTCGCCATGAAGGCGAAGGCGAGGTATGAGGGGCCCCTCATAGGAGTCGGCAAGCCTTGACATGGTGTTTCTTATATTGATTACTGCAATTGCAATCGCGAGAGAATTCCAGACATCCTGATCTATCTCCAACATGTCAAATTGACCAAGGTATTTCACTCGAGGTTCCGAGTCTTCAATCCAGATGATGGAGTTGGGATTTGTATCCAGAGACACGATGCTCAATATGGGACCACAAATGAGAAAACCAATCAGTGTAGGCCAGTACTTGAAGGGTTCAGGCTGCTTTGACCGACCACGGCTAGCCAGGCGCTGCAAAACTATCGAAAATCTGTCCTGGTGGGACTCAGTATGCATTTTTTGATGTTGATTGGCCAGCGACTCCATCTTGTTAGAAATTCCATGGATCGCAGAAAGGGCAGTAAGAGTTGACTTCTGGGTGTAGATAATATGGACAGGAAGTGACTTTGACGTGACTCTCAAGGCTGCATCTGTAATAGCCCAACGCATATACTTCTCGATGTATCTTCGAATCACCACTTGAGGCTGGAGAGTAAGCAGTCTGCAGTCTCGAACGAAACCACCAACTTTAAGAAGTTCTCGGAAGGCACGAATTGCCGCAAAATCGGTGCCTTTGTGCGTGTGGAAAGGCAATTTCTTTTCCTCCTCATCACTGATATCTGGAACAGCGAATAGCGATTCAGGTAGTGTGCTGAAGTCCATTGACCATGTGAACGACATAACTGGTTTGATTCCGCGAAGGGCTAGGCCGAGATACAAGTTCGTTTCTTCCTCCGACATTTTGCTATCATCCGGCACTTTCACAGCTGTAGCCAGCCGACGGGCTTTCTCTCGTGTAAGAATATTCTCGATGTCCTCACGGTCAAGAAAGTGATCTTCGTTTTCTTCTCCGGAGCTTGACCCGCTGTAGACAGAAAGATCATCAACATGATAATCCTTTTCTGAAAAGTCTCTTCTGGATCTTCTAAAGGAGTACTTTGGCGATGTTGAAGTGGAAAGCTTCCAGTTGCCTTTCCTTGAATTAGTGATCTGTGTCTTTGGAAGATCGGAGGGTGTGCTGTAGAACATGTCTTCACCATCTTCATCTTTGATCTCTCTGTCAACTTCAGGAGCGTTGTGTTTTTCGGGACCGGATGCAGCGCGCAGACTTTCAGTTGAATTGGAATACGAACCAAATGGAGAAAAGCCATGTGTTGGACTTGGATTTAGCTTTACGCGCTTCGCTGCGCCCTGAGTACTGGGGTCGTCAATAGTGCAAGCCCGCTTCACGGACAAGCTTTGGAAAGTCTCAGTGGAACTGCCACAAGTCGGAGGGTTTTGTTCAAGAGTTGGAGAGAGCATAGAAGCCTCGGCTTGGAGTTTCCCTCTTTTGGTCTTTCCGGTCGTCGTTCTCTCAATCTTGATACGCTTCAGTGTGGCCTGAGCATCGGACTCATTGTCCGCAGGAGAAGCTCGCTTGCGTGGCATCGAGTTGGCCCACGTAGAAGAGGCTGAAGGAGAGAAGAGAGGGGCGACAGATGTTGCACGTATGATCTGTTAAAGGCTGTCGACCGAAGCGGTCAAAGTTGATGATCTCAGAAGTAGTCGGTGTCGGGAAGCCGGAGTTTGGGGAAATGCAATCAATCTAGGATGTACAAAATGAAAACGAAACAGTATGGCGAGTGTTGGGCGTATGAGCTGAAAGTATCCGGCGACCAAAATTGGTCAAAATCGAAGATAGGTCCAGTAGTTGACGATAGTTTGCATGAGTTGGCGCATGGAAGCTGGAGGTAGCAACTGGCGGTAGATTCACATCGACGTCTGCGACGAATCATGCAACCTATACCCCGAGATGATCACCAGGTGAGTATTGAGAAGATGAAGGAAGCACAAGAAATTAATACGGTTGAGATGAGACACCAAGAAAGAAGAGAAGCCACTCGACAAAGGCTGGACGAGATTGGAGGAAAGACGAATGTTACCAGTCGGACGACAAAGAAGCGGCCGCATTTCTCGTTACAAAGAGCTCGGCGGTAAACCTTTCCATCGGAAGGTGTGGTAAGTTAGGAGACGAGTCCCCCGCGGAGAGACTCGACTTGAAAGTTCTCGTCGGGCTGAACATGGTCGAGATCCATGAAAGAAGAGTGCAAACAAAGGTGTGAAAATAGATGTGAAAGCGAGAAGGGTGGGACGATAAAAATAGAGAATAATTGGGATCGAACAGTCGAGACTCAACAGTCGAGAAGCCATAGTCTATAACGTGCTTATTTCAACTACATGGTAACAAGTGAGGTCGTTCAGTTCCCAATTATCAGAATAGCGCCTTTTGAACTCATCATCATACATTACAAGGGTTTTCCCAGCGCGGGATGTTATTAGTTCGTATTTGCATTTCCTGATCACATGGGAATCTCATCCACTCCAGCAATATGACTGCGAAACACGCCCCCTAAGGCCCCGCGCCGAGCCCACGCCAGAATGCGCAGTCCTATTAACTCGAAATCCATCAACCATCAACCACCAACCATCATCTCATGCTTTTGAGAAAACACCTCGTCCCCATTCATGCGATCATAATCCACCCTGCCCACGCTCAAGAACGCATCCCTGAACATTCATGACCCGGCATGGCGTGGAACAGTCATCGAAAATTCGCCAGCAAAAAAAAAAATAAATAAATAAGAGCAATTTAGATAAGCAAGAAGAAACTCAACCGCAAACGCAATGTCGTCGCCCCGTTCCTTACGACACTTGGCGAACGAAGCATGCATAGCGAAGCGATTCGTAGCTGGCGTCTACGCCGGCTCGCAACCAAACAAAACTGCGATGGGTATGTAGAGCAATTTGAAGAGAAGAAGGTGGGAAGCACCTGGAGCTCGAGTGAAATCGATTGTGGGGAAGCCTGACTCAATGTGCAAAGTCGATTGTCGACTCGTCTCACAGCCGGATGGCGGCACTTGCTCAAGCAAGAAAGAGTGTTTTATATGAGGTATCCCGAGTTCAAGCAAAGTCGGCGGTGTAGGAGAAGCCGCGGAATTCTTCCTGCATGGCTTGCGATAGTACTGGAGTAGAAGAAAATTAGCAATAGTGGCTTGGAACGGGCAATCAGTGAACTCATACCGGATTGAACAGGGGTCAAGACAGGGGTAACGCTGGTGAACTCCTGGTCAAAGTTGCTGGTATCCGTCGGGCTGGTGATAGTGGGAATGAACGGAGGAGGAACACGCTTGTGGTAGATATCGTCCCAGTTGATGTTGCGGAAGAATGCGTGCGACATGACCTCTTGCGCATCAGTAGGACCGGACCCGAGACGCAGTTCCGGCTCGCGGGTCAGCAGCTTCTGCAGAATAGAAACCGAGTCGCGAGGCATGTGAATAGGGTAGAGAGGCTCATCTGCTAGAATGGCATCGTAAATTTCATCCTCGTCTTCACCACGGAAGGGAGACTGCTGCAAAAGCATCTGGTAGATGAGGACACCAAACGCCCACCAATCAACCGCTCGGCCATACTTCTTATCAAGCAATATCTGATCAAAATGTTAGCAATTCGGGTTCAAGTGTTGACGTTTCAGCAAGCAACACGTACCTCTGGGGCCATGAATTCGGGAGTACCACAGAATGTGCTAGTCGTGCTGCCGTACCACATGTCCTCCTTGCAGAGACCGTAATCGGCAATCTTAATGTGACCGTCGAGAGTCAAGAGAATGTTGTCCAGCTTCAGATCACGGTAAATGACACCGTTTTCGTGGAAGTACTTCAGAGCCAAGCAAACCTCAGCGGCATAGAACCTGGTAGATCAGTCAGTAACCAAATGTACAAAACGAAAGTCGAGAGAACTTACTGAGCCCTCTTCAAACCGAACTGGCCACGCTGAATATGCAGCATCAGGTCACCACCGCTGATGTATTCCATGACAAAGTAAACACGAGTCTCTGTCTGGAAACAGGCGTGCAAGGTAAGCAAAAACGGGTGGCGCTCCTTGTTGGCAATCAAGAAGACACGCTTCTCGGACTTGGTGCTCTCCACCTCATCGTTCTCAATAATGAACTCCTTCTTCAGCACCTTGATGGCATACAGCTTGCGAGTGCTCTTGGTCTCCGCCAGCATGACCTTTCCGAAGTTACCCTTTCCAAGCACAGCAAGGAAGTTGAAGTGATCCAATCCAATGCGGGTCTGGGGCTTGGCAACCGGTTCCTCCTTGACGGGAGCTATCTGGTGTTGCATGGGCTGCATCGGTTGCTGGGGCGGAGGCATGCCGTAGTGAGCAGGCGGACCAACCGGCTGCTGGGGCACTGCCTGTGGCGGAGGAGGTTTCTGGAAATCGGCATAGGCAGCTGGGTCATAGTGGGCATAACCAGCAGGGGCGGTGGAGCCTGCGCCGGGGGACGAGTCACTTCCGCTAGATCGTGAATGTTAGTGCCTGGAAAAAACCGCATCGCAGAGAGTACATACCCGATGTCTGCTGTGTAGGGCTACGCAGGTTAATTGCCACTTCAGCCGCCGTCTCTGCGGGTCCGAGAGCTGGCTTCGGAGGCAATGCGTGGCGAGCAGCTTGTTGCCCAGCCGTTGGTGACTGTGAAGTCTTTAAGGAGTTAGTCGCAGCGCTTATCGCATCTGCAGAGGGTTGTCTGGGAAGTGCCCCATAGGGACCTTCTTTGGGTTTTGGGGGGTAGGAAGGGGCGGCATTGTCTTGCGGGGGTTGCGGCGGACCGCCTGGTCGAAGGGTACGGTTGCTGAGACCGGTACTGACAGAAGTTGTATTGATGTGATGCCTCGTGCGAATTAGGGTCTCCAGGATCTGATTCGCCGCCTCCATCGACATGCCACAGAAATCGGGCACCAGATGCGTGCAATGAGCGTGAGAAGTAAGCCCACATTCTATAAAATTAAGAAAAATGTTAGAGGTCTGCCAGGCTAGAATAACTGAATATGAAATCTTCGCTTACCGGTACATCGCTTTGCGTTCTTGCGCCCGAAGGGGAGCAGGTAGCCGCAGTGGCAGCACCAGTTGGCGGAAAGATTGGAGAAACCCTCGAATCGATGAGGAATGCGGTGGTTAATCTTCTCTTCGTCGGGGTCGGTCTCGTAATTGGCTTTACTGATACATTTGGTGACCACCTTGGGGTAGCATTTGCGATGGCAGGTATATTTGCAGTCCGCACATTGCATGCCCGTAGCGTACTTGAGGAACTCTCCACAAAGAGCGCAGCGCATGATGTTGTAGAACTGCTGGGTGACGAATTTGTGACCCTGCTTCTCGTGAACCTCTTCCTTCTTCTGGCGCACGGCACCCTGACGGTTGAGACCAATGTCGAAGGGCCGACGATCCTTGAGTTGCTTGGCTATATGAGATGTCAGCATGTTTCGTAGTGCTTCTATAGGTGATTTGCACTCTACCAAAGCTCATCGAGAGATTAATACGGCCAAAAGGTTCCAATGCAAACCAAGAGTCGATCATTACAGTCGGGGGCGCATTCGGGTTGTCTCCTCCCCTGAGGCCCTGAAGTGGGCCCCATTGCCCCGTGGCTGGCACCGTGAGAGGAGCCTTGAGGGGATCCGAGATGGTCAGATCGATTGCCGCCAGAGTTCTCCATCTTGTCGGCAGACACCCATCCAGAAGCGTTCAACTCTGTCTCAATCTTCTTGCGACGCATCTCCTCCGCAATATCGGAAATGCGCACCCACAGCATACCGATAGGGGTGGGGCGATCTCCAGATTTGTCGTAAACAGTAAGCTCGATCTCGTTCGCCTTATCGATATCGATGGAGAACGATTCGTCCAGCCATTTGTCGGTCCTAGTCGCTTTTGTCCTCGCCTTAATCGTATCTTCCACCTTGACAATGACATATGTCTCGGGGCCACGGGAGAAGCGGGAGCTGGCGGCGTGATCGACATCCTTCACCGCGTGAATGCGCATAGTGAGAAGACCGGTCAGTGGTTTGCGCATGTCGGGACTGCTTAGACTCTCGTCTGTACTGTTATTAGTCTCTGACGAACAAAGCACGACCTCCATCAGAAAATTTAACTCGACATACCATCATTAGCATCGGAAGACTCAATATCAACGTGGAGATCCTCGTATCGCTTCAGAGCCTGCTTGAGCAACTGAATCTTCTGGTTACTTTCAATGCGGCGACCCTCTGCATCGGCACGACTCTTGCGATCGCCCTCATCCTGGTACAAGCGGACCATTTTCTCGATGCCAGCCTTGTATTGCTTCTCCACACTCAATTTGAACTCGAGCTGAGAAAGCATGAGCTGAATCTTCGGGCCGAGATACGGAGTATCATATTTGATAAGATCTGAGACATTCACGTCAGTCAGCATTCCAAGGGCTCAGATTCCTCCGCGACGTAGAGTAATATAGTCCAGATCAGGACGATGGGGATCAACCGAACGTACCAAGCTTTGTGTAGTTGGGCCGCGCCTTCGGAATGGGAGCGTAAGGCCGGGGGTCTGGGAATGGAGCGCCGGAAGGCATCGAGCCGGTACCTCCCTGAGTGTATCCGTAGGCATCACCATCGCCATCGCCCAAGTATCCGCTGCCGTCTTTGGGCGGGGAAGAGGACCAGAGCCGGGCGCATGGCGTTGACCATGGGGCGAGCCACCCTCATTGGATGTATAACGGACCTGGAGCTCTCGCATTTTCTCTTCGAGGTAAGCGATATTTTTGCGGCCATCACGGATGTTGGCATCGACACGTTGTTGCACGAGGGGATTGTCGGTAGACTGCCGCATGTTGCTGGCGGCGGCGATGAGGGCCTTCTCCCGCTCGATCTTTCGGTAGACCGAGGCAATAACCTCGTCGCCGTCCATGATGGGCAGGCAGGTCGGGTTTTGGGGGGGGGGGTGGGTTGGAGTGGACAAGGCAAGACGGGGAGAGGTGGAGGAGTGAAAGGGTTTCGCGGGGCTCTTGTTGACAGGGGGGGGGGGGCCAACGGTAGACGGTAGGCCACTTCAGAAAATGCGAGAGGATCGGGCCACACAAGATAAGCCCAGAATAAAGCAATCTTAGGCCAAAAGTGTTTGTGGCAAAAATCTACAATGACATCTACACGTGTGGCTAGCCCTGTCTGAGACACTCTGCTCACCCGGGCTGATCTCAATCTTTACGAGGGGTGCCCTAGGCGGGCTAGGCGGGGGCCTAACTAGCGTCAATACATCGAACGACACACGCCGAAGTCATCCTAGTGCGACTCTCCTTACGTGGAGGGACCGAGTTTGCTGATCTCCGTTACATTGCACACATTCTTTTCGCTGCATGACTTGTCCACCGGGGTTTGTGTGGTTCCGATCCTTTGTGGGCACGTGTCTACATTGAGCACCGATGATGGAATCGACATGGAATTGACGAAGAATGGCAGTACTGACCAAAACCCCGATTTGGTTCGGAGACGTGCTCATGAGGAGAATCACGCCGGTTCTTTCTCGTACAGCGGATAATCCTGCCTTGCAAGGTTGGACATGTAAGTTGTACACTGCAAATCCATCGACCTACTTTCGGCCTCCGGTCTAGACCATCTGGATCCAGAGGATCGAGGGGGCTCCAGGTGTAAAAGGCCCAATCTTCGGAGCCTATAAGCAAATACAGCCCTGCAGCAATGCCCGTCTCCAATCCCTGCTCGGGTGTATCATATCGGGAAATACATCAACTTTACTCCGATCTCTTCGAGATCTTCGGCAGCAACAACCAGCTTGCCGCCATGACACCATACAACCCAATACAGATTGGATGCAGCACCATTGTCCCTACATTCTGTGCTAGAATACCGGTCACGAAAGGCGAGAACGCACCTCCACTGCTGCCAAGGGCACTGATGAAACTCAGGCTGGAAATATGCATGCTGCGTGGCAGCAATTTGGTGAAGACGGCGGTGGCAGATGGGTAAACTGGACCCAGCAAGAGACCCAAGATAGCCACTGATACTGCTTCTCCGATGACATTTGGGACTAACCAGGTCAACAATTGGAAAGCGACAGCTCCGGCTATCATTACCACCACGGCAATCTTATGTCCTATCTTGGCTGCAGGGTGTGTCAACAGGAACCGGCCGACGGTGATGCCGGCCCAGAAACCTGCACTGACGTATCCGACCCGGGAAGGGTCCCCATGTCGATAACTAATCAGGAAAGAAACAATCCAGCCAGATACAGAGACCTCTGCACCCTGATAGGCGAAGATGAACATAGCACCGAGGAGCGTGGTGCGGTTCCGAATGGCTCTTTTGAAGAGCTGCGCTCGGGTCGGAATTTCACCTGCACCCTCAGGACGGGGAGTAGTAGGCTGCACCGCTCTGTGCGGCTCCTCGGGCGTATCATGCTCATAGTTGAGGAATGCCCAAGTAGAGTAGCCTAGATTAATGAGGGAAAATGTCAAAGAGACAGCATAGAAGAACGACCATCGGATGCCATGCGAGACCATGGCGGTTGCAAATAATGGGGCCACTGTGCCACCTATACCATAGCTGCCATGGAAACAGCCCAAGGCCGTGGTGGATTTGGCCAAGTTGGCACAATAAACATTACTCAGTGCCAGGCCAAGCGCGATACCAAAGCCGAGTGGCAAGAAGCAGGCCACGACAACAGGGAACGGGGGCTGGCATATGATCACGATATAGCTAATAGCCAAAAGAGACATGGCAAATGCATAGCTTTTCGAGCGACCCAATTTGTTCTCAATAGTATGAGTGATGGGCGCCGCAGAAATGAATCCCAAGGCATTAGCCACGAAGATGAGCGAGACAACCGCATATCCGATGCTATAGTGCTTCTCAATATATGGGATCAAGGCACCGGGCGCACTGTCGTTCATGCCGTTTCCAAAATTGATCAGACAGCAGCTCAATAGCCGCCATTTGGTTCTCCATGAGGCCGAGGTGCGATCTGGAGCCCATTCTGAGGCTTCGTCTGCAATGGCCTCTGGTGAGTGGCTCTCCAGTACGCTAGGTGTGGGTGATGATGCCCCTGTACGCAGTTGTGTCACTAGATCAGAAGGCAAATGAGAAGACTTTTGTGGCGAGACTTCATTCATTTCATACCCCGGCGGACATAGTGCAATGCCTTGATTGTCCTTCTGTACTGCGGGAGGTGGCGTAGAGACATGCGGAGAGCTTTCGATCTCTATGAAAGCTCTGAAACTCGAAGATGTCATCGTGGGGAGTCCGGACGGATCTCAGAAGACCCGCAAGACTGAATAACAGGGTATGGTAAATAAGGTGAGTAGAAGTAGATGGAAAACTGGCTTCATAAAGGTACAGTGCGGACGCAGTGAGCTCTCCCATGCATGGATAATCAAGAAAAAGCCAAATGTCGAATGCTTGCCATATTGAATGAATCCCGCCTCTCAGTAGACCTATGACACCCACGAACCCCTCAAATCATCAACTTCGTGTGCGCTGTGGAGGCAACTGGGGGTCTTTTGTCATCAACGGCGGTAACGCGGAAAATAGTGCGGAGAAAGCCCCGCCGATAAGCTCAAAATTTCTCCCACACATTTACCTTGTGAGCCATTGCTCCTCCACCACGCTTTTTTCCAAAGCAATCAGTCAGCCTACGAGATGGCCCCTCCTCGCCGCAAGGTCCTGGCTACGGCCGAGGAAACCATGTTCCCTCCGGACGAACTCGCCGACACACACTTGATCGCACGTGCGATTAAGGCTACCGGCAACAACATCTATCTCATTGAGCTGCCGGACAAGAAGCAGATGCTGGTCGAGCTACCTGCTCGCTTCCGGTCGACTTTCTGGATTAAGCGCGGCTCTTTCGTTGTGGTCGACACCTCCACGTCGGAGGAGCGGGATAACAAGATCGGCGGAGAAATTATCAACATCGTGCGGGACGAGAAGGCCTGGAGGAAGGCTTCCTTCTGGTAGGCAACTTTGAAGTTTGCTCATGAGAATCTACTTGATCGGTGTGCTAATTCATCTCTACTCACAGGCCGAAGGAATTCCCCAAGCAGGCAGTTGTCGCCGCCGATTCCGACAGCGAGGAGGAAGAATCTCGGGTCGGCAGGATGCCTTCCTCGGATGAAGAATCCGATGCTTGATTGAATTATTTACAATCACGAAGCGAGCTGAAACAACGCCGCCCGTTATTGTGGGCGTGCTGTCCTGCCCCCAGCGGCTCCTCCACGCTCAGTATCAACTTTGTTCAGCCCGAACCAGATACCAATGACCTGCAGGATAAGGACGGAGACCACAAGCTTTGAACTAAGGTCGGTACTGGGGAAAACGTTCCAAGCCCACTCCTGCATCGCCCAGCCGCTCAGAATGAGAACTGGGTGGATGCGACTAAGCCAGAGAACGATCGGAGTGGCCCACGCCAGATAGGCGTAAAACTGGTAATGCATGGATCTTGCGCATAGCAAGCCAATAACTAGCGAGCTCAGCATCGAGGCCAAGATATATCTTTTTGAAAGGGTCTCCGTCGATTGGCGACCTCGAATCACGTTCTGAAGAAAGCGGAGCATGTTGGTTCCTGATGGCCTCACCCATACGATAGCGAAGATAGCAAGCAGAGAGACGTGCAGAACTAGCAAAGCCAAAGAGAATTCTCTCGAAAAGAAAAGTCTCCTCGCCTATAAATCTCCAGTTCACCGTCCATTTAAACAAGAACTGCCTAGACAGCTCAAAGGACTTGGAAATGTAGCCAATCGGATTGGTTTGGAGGAAAGGCATAGCGAGCAAGACCTGATTTCCGTGCCGTCAGCATTCAGTTTTCTTTGAAGCTGAAAGTATGGTCTCACCTGGATGAGGACGGCCATAAGACCAAGCCCAACACTTCGCGCCAATCCCACGCTTAGGAGCAGAATGATGCCAACAGCAGGCGCGAACAATACCAGGGTCATCTTGATACCGGTACCCAAAGACCACGCCGCGACACCAGCAGTCCACTTGCGCTTCATGAAAAGGTAGATCGCAATCCACATGACAAAAGTCGCGACGCCATCGTTGAACATGCGCAATATGAAGATGCTATGAAGACGTTTGGACAAGGCCAGGAGCGGGAAGAGGTACGGCGGAGCTCCGACCTGCCTATAACAAGCCATAACGACAATCAAGGTGGCCAGGTATAGAGCGGCAAATAGAATCTGGCCGAGGAGGATATCGCGACCTTCATCGGTAAGGTGGTAGAGGAAGGTGTAGATGTAGACGTGCGCGGCGGGGTAGACGAGGGGGCCTGTTGAGCCCTTGATGGCTGTATAGTCGCGTTCGCCAGAGACATACAGGGACACTTGCTGCATATAGGTTGACCAGTCAATCTCGGTGTCTGCGGCTGCGATTAGCTCGGGCTTGTCTAGATGGGATAGGCCGCCGGCTCACAGGAGATCTTCGAAATTACAAGAGCGCAGAGGACTGCATCACCCAGGACAAGAAGGGGAGCGATCCATTGTGTGTGCCGTGGATGGGTCAGCACGTCGCGTATGAATGCTGTCAATGCCATTGCGGCGTGGTGGTTGACGGAGGAGATCAATGTGGCCTGAGGAGCCGCTTCCTAGATTGAGTGTGACGCGCAAGCACACCCGTCTACAACACAATTCATAGTAGCCGGTAATGATGTCTGATTTTAAAATACTTGATTTTGAGTTCTGTGATAGTTTCCCTTTTTATACATTTTATACATGATGAGGACCTGGGGCTCGCGGTGACACGACTAGCACGTCTATCCAAGCGTCCCAACAACCACTGTATCCAACTCAATCCACCCACACTGCCAATTCCATGGTATCATTAAACAAAAGAACAAAGAAAGTATGCCGTTATCAAATAGCATCGCGATTGAACGACGACACGGAGCCTATCGTTCGGTCTTAGTGGCCTTCATCAGACGATCCCAGTGACTGGGGCTGCTGGCTCGGCGCATCACGGAATCCCAGCAACTGACCAAGAACACCTTTAGGCTTTGGTACAGGGCACTCGTGGCCGACCTGTGCAAGTTTCTCAGCCTCCTCCTCCATCTGGAAGAAGGTAGACACTTCCTCGTCGGTGGATCCGGAAGGTGTCGGTTGGTCAGGTGGAGGCGCATCTGCCCCCATCTCAACGTCTTTCCTCCGCCGGCGTCGGATTCGTGGCACTTGTTGCCCATCGGCTGTGATGATCATTTCTGAGTCGGCGAAGGTACGTCGCGGGGACGGACAGGGAAAGACGTGCGGAATGCCGACGACCAGCAACGATGCCAGCAAGGTGCCGGCGAACAGGCCTGTTGTTGACCGCGACCGCGGATGAAGATGCGGTGGCATTGTGACGAGATGTGTGATTCGTATAGAGAGTGGAGGAGGTCTCGGGTGGGTGCGACTTGAAGGAGGGTAGGCGTGGCCGGCTTCGTTCTTTTTTTTTTACCTGGCCATCGAAATGCTCAGGGTGGGGACGGAGAGGAGAGACCGCGGGATGAATAGGAACGGTCCAAAGGTCAATTGAATCAATGCCAATACCTGAGAGCAGGCGAGTCGCGAGAATCCGGGGTCAGTGGAGGGTTGGAGGAGCAAAGATTGAAGGTTCTGGTGTCCGATCTTCTAATCTTATCTTCCGCCGTCGTGATTGGATCTTCGGTCGCGCAGAGTCAGTCCGACGCTTCACTCCGCCCTTTTCTCGCGTACCCTGTTCGCAATGATGTGTCTATACCTTTCATACCCTGACTTGATTATCTGATCTTTGTCCCCCTCTACTAGGGGAGGCCTCTCTCTCTCTCTCCCTCTTTCCCTCTCTCTCTCTCTCCCCCCCGCCACCCCTTCTCCCTCTCCGTCTGCGTCTCCTTCTCCACCCCCCATCCCACTCCTCATCCACCATGAGCGACCTCGATCGGTAAAGCGTCTGCCCCTGAGAACCCTGTTGGTTTGGTCACTAACATATTTTCCTCAGGGCGATCGAGCAGCTGCGGGCATGCCGCCTGATCCCCGAATCACAAGTGCGCGAACTGTGCTACAAGGCGCGGGAGCTATTAATCGAAGAGGGCAATGTCGTGTCTGTCGATGCACCAGTCACTATCTGCGGAGATATCCATGGACAATTTCATGACCTGATGGAGTTGTTCCGTGTCGGCGGTGACGTCCCCGATACCAATTACCTATTCATGGGCGATTTCGTCGACCGCGGGTTCTATTCACTTGAATCTTTCCTCCTCCTTCTCTGTCTCAAAGTGCGCTATCCTGATCGCATCACCCTCATTCGCGGCAACCACGAGTCGCGACAGATTACAACCGTCTACGGATTCTACGACGAGTGCATTCGAAAGTACGGTAGCGCCAACGTATGGCGATACTGCTGCGAAGTGTTCGACTACCTGGCGTTGGGCGCGATAGTGCTCGGTGCCAGCTCGGGTCTCGAGCCTACCACATCCTATGCTAATGAGACAACCCAATCAACCATTCCGATTGACGATGGCGAGTTGGAAACTGAAGTCCTGAATTCGCAAGGCGAAGTCACGTTCAGCACATACCGCCAGCGACAGCGCGCCTCTTCTGATACATCTACAGACTCGCGGGCTATATCACCCCTGCGAGATATCTCCGCTGCACCAGGTCAGACTACCCCATCTCGTACTGGTGCGCCCGGCACAGGCGCCAGTGGGGATGGAAACGGAAGCGCAACGACTACTCGGACGGGCGCTGTGCTCTGTGTGCACGGCGGACTATCGCCCCTGATAGATTCCGTGGACAAGATCCGACTGATCGATCGCAAACAAGAAGTGCCCCATGAGGGCGCCATGTGCGATCTTCTCTGGTCTGACCCCGACGAGATCGAAGGGTGGGGTCTGAGCCCGCGCGGCGCTGGATTCCTCTTTGGTAGTGATATTGTTAAACAGTTTAACCACCTGAACGGACTATCGCTGGTTGCGCGCGCGCATCAGCTTGTTATGGAAGGTTATAAAGAGATGTTCGATGGTGGCATCGTCACGGTGTGGTCTGCTCCGAACTACTGCTACCGATGCGGTAACGTTGCTGCGATCCTGGAGCTCGGTGAAGATGCTAGTAATGGGGGCTGTGTGGCACGCAGTAATGGAGAATACGGTCGAAGCAATGGCGTGACGGACGCCAACACAGTTGTCAGTCCTGGGAGAAGATACCGTGTCTTTGAGGCCGCGGCCCAGGATACAAGGGGCATGCCTGCAAAGAAGCCCGTCGCTGACTATTTCCTGGTAAGTGCTCTATCCTTCCGAATGCGGCTCTTTTGAACTGCAACTAACTGCTGACTCAGTGATACCACCCACTGCATGCTTTTATGTCTCGTCTGTACGGGTTCTTGAAGCCTTTCGATTGGCCTAGCATTTCGTGTCTTGGTGTTCATGTATTTCCTGCGAACCTAATGATCATTGATGACGGATTTTTCCACTTGATTTTCTCTTTGCCAATCTTACTTTCCATGATTCTGTTGAATCATGTTGCGGTGACACCTATTTTCCATTCTAGGTATCTGTTGGTAATCACAAGCTGCAGCTGTGATTGGAGTTAAGAGAAAAAAATACTCAATATGCTCTCATGGTGAGCTTTTGATAAGTATTTCTAAATCATACGTTGTGCCTTGTTCTCAGTAGGGCGCTCATATCTGCACGGAGATTTTTCGCTTCGCGAACTCCAGCTCGGACCTCTCCCGAGGTGTAGATTCTCTGTCTTTTCGAGTACGTTGCAATTGTAAGCCTCCTCGAAAGTCCGCTTTGTTCACGGCTGGGTGAATCTACCACTCGCTCCAGGTCATATGAATTTTCTCGAGTTCGATCATTGGACATCAATGTGAATTTGAAATTCCCATTCATATCTTGTGAAAGCAACAAGACACACCTGCTCCGGAATGCAGTATAGCTCCATATTCTGGTATCATAGAATGCGAAAATGAAAAAGAAAAGACCAAAATCTCCTATATCGCCTCAACCACAAGAAATAAATGCCCTCTCAGGAGCTTTCAGGAGGTGAAAAACATCAAAAATGTGGACAAACGTATGTGTATCTCTCATTGCCAGCGTTCCTCAAATCCGGGTGTTACATGACTCTCCACCGGAGAGCTCATGTTCGGCATTGGCATGCCAACATGCGGCTGATAGTCAGAAACAGAGCCTGGACTGGAACGCCGACCCATCGGCATGAACTGGCTAGGATTATTTTCATATTGGAGATGGGGGTTGGAGACATCTGGACTCCACGGTCCACCCCAATTCTCCATGCCCAAGCCTAGCGCAGTGGCATTTCGGCTCCACCAGTCATGACTCTGTTCGACTAGGTTTTCAGTGCCATCGAATCCACTGACAGGTGATGCGGTTGATACCGGAGTTGTATTGCGGGGTGCGACTGGGGCGCCGGATGTATCGTACCAGGCATTTGGACTCGGATCGGTGGATGGACCGGAAGATGCAAGTGCCGGCATTTGATATTGGACTTGTGATATTGGGCGGAGATATGTTGGTTCTGGTGGTGCTAAGTCAGGTCCCGGTACTGCTGGACGCGGTGCGGCCTGCATCGGGGGCATTGAGGTCATTGTGGAAGGATATTGAGGGCCCATTGAGACGCCCATAACGGGAACAGAGTTGAGAGGGAATTGTTCTGTGCGCTGAGCCGGGATAAGGTTTGTAGAGGGGGGGAAAGCGGCTCGGACTAGTGACGGCGGATTGCAGTGTTGCGTGGGTAATTGGAGATTCAACGGAGGTGGACGGAGATGTCGCTTGATCCCATGAGCCCCAGGAGCCCCATTTGGCATGGGTACGCTCGAAGAGAGCACTGGCTTCGGAAGGCAATTCGACTTGCCATTTGTTGGCAGAAATATCGAGAATGCGTAGTGTTCGACGAGCACAGAGCCAGCCTTCGGCCATCTCTTCGAGGTTTTTGAGACCGTGTATTATATCCCGTTGGGCGTTCTTCTCAGGCAGATTGAGGAGATGAATAGTGCATGCAGTGTGGGCTATGTAAACGACAATATTACAGATCTGTTTAAGACCATAGGTGCGTTTGTACATGCGCATCAGCTTTGAGATTGCCGAGGCAGCCTGTGTGCAGATCTTGCGTGGCGACACGTGTGAAGGTAATGTTGTGTTGGTCTTGTTGTACTTCAAGAACGGCCGGTAGAGGTGGATCAGAAGGAGATGATTAAACATGCTGTGACCCGATAAGTTTGAAGTCGCCAACGTCTCCTTCACGATTTTACTTACTGCATGACGAGGACCTGGGGCAGTTGTCCGTCCTTAGGTTCGAGCTCCCTGGGGAGTTCTTTTTTCCATGCTTCAAGGCGTGTGTGAACATCGCTGAGTTTCTTGAGCTCCGATTGCTTCTGTTGGGATTTTTCCATCTCGGAAGGATGATAGAAGAACACGAGAAGATCACCGCTGATCTTGCATAATTTTGATAATTGCAAAGCAACAGTCCTGGTTCGCGAAGGTTGAACATTATCCTGGCTCACGCCGTCATCGCTGTACGGCGCCCAGGCTTCCATCTCTTCCTTTGGCAGAACATCGAATTTAGGCACATTGGTATTCGCTGAGATCAGTTGGGGTTGACGACCGAGATAATTCGACCAGCACCTATTTCTCTGTCAGCGAGCGTACATCAACGCAAACCACAAGCCCACATACTTGTCGATAAGGAAGCAACCCCAGAAGGTAATGCGACGAGCATCGACTTCTTCGTCACTCAGGTTGTGCGCCCCGAGATTTGCCGCATCAACATTCAGCCCGAGATCGAACGCCATGCGGAAACTCAGACCGCTATAGACCCAGCCTTTACCTTCGCGACCGCAGCCGGCTTCACGCACAGACATGAGTGCAAAGGCCTGGATCGTACAGAGCTTCGAACTTTCATGTTCGTCATTTTCCAAAATGAGCCGCTTGGCCTCTTTGAAGAAATGATCACCCGCCGTTGCAGCATTCTGGGGATCTAAAAAGGCTCCTTGCCACGAGCTGAAGTGGCAGCCGAGAGCCAGCATCGAGTTGACCAACAAAGACGAGCAATATGCACTTGGTACGCCCCGGGTATAGTCTCGATAAAACAAATCTTTGGCCAGAATAGTGAAGAATGGATAGTGCCATGTGAAGTACATTGTCATGAGATGGCCGATCAATGATGCATCGTCTGTGACTTGTGTCCAGCGTACGACGGACTGTGCATCGCCGGCAGGGCTGGCTGAGGCATCGGCCATCGAAGCTAACTCCTGTAGCTCGAATCCGGGTGGAAGGAAAATGAGGTTGGAGGTGCCTCCAATGAATTTGCGAGACCCGTCTAACATGAGCTCACTCATCTTACCAGACAGCTCAGTCTCGAACTGATCCACGGGTTCTGGACTCTCACTGGCCGTTTGCTCTGGAGCTCTCGGGCCTGTAGATAAGAGGCCCTTTTGCCGGGCCACGAGTGATTTTGCGACATCTTCGAGACTGTCGCAAGAGCGCATCTGGCGCACCAAGTCAATGGCATCGTCTTCATCCTCGTAATTTAGTAAAGCCTGAATCAAGGTCTGCAGAGTGGTATGTTTGGTCCGAAATGTATCGTTTTCTTTCTTGTACGCTCCCTTACGGCGATGGTCTGAGCTTGGATCATAGATGCCTTTTAGTCCGCGTCAGTAAGCGAGGGGCCATTTTTTGGATTTAATATACGAACATGGCGTATGGTAGACAGAGGAACAGGCAGCACAGCTAGGGAGATTTCCATCACACTATAAACACCAGTTATACGTGGCGCCAATGCCTGGGCCTTTGGTAGAAAATCTTACCTTGGACTTCCGTCTGCGACAGGCGATGCACGCCGTGCTGACACAGCGCCTTTTCGGGCCCGAGGGAGCATCGCGATCTGCCATGATAGACAGCTGCTATAGATAGGGAGTTTCAGATTCGAAGGGGCCTTTCTCCGCGGAAGGGCATCCCGTGCTTCAGCGTGGCTGCTGATCAATGGTCCTGTCTAGATTGAGATCGGTGCATAACACGTCCATCGTCTAGATCGCTAGTGAGGAAAGCACCGGCGTCAAAGTCCTAGCCAAATCCCGTAAGATAGTGAACAGGACCAGTAGACAACCCTATGCAGAACGAATCACTCCATCTGCGATTCGATCTATACACGGCACAGCATTTGATGAATGCTTGACCCCGCGACGACCCACCAAGCGGGGAGGCGCCTCAAGGGATGCAGGACCTTCCGCACCACAGCGACCCGCGACTCGAGATGTGCCGGAGGTGATTGGATGCCGGGAGGAAGACAGGAGGTTTATCGCTGGCTTCTGGATGGCTCCCTTTCAGGGATTGTGCACAATCCCATCCTCCGGGGGGAGAATGCTGACTCAGCACAACTACCTCTGAGGTCACGTGCTCGTCATCTCTCCGGTACATGCTGAGATCTACATTCATCTATGTACGAGGTTCTAAACCAACGAGTATGTGATAGAGGTGATCGGACGATGTGTACCTCCTTTCAAGTTCCAAAATCCCGCGTGGTGGGATTGCTTATGCCCTAAGACTAATCGGGTTCCAGCTCAGCCGCAACAAGCGAGGGGTTCCCCTGTGACCGCCAGAACGCGTGTTGTGGGAGCGGGAACAAAAGGAGGTAACAATGTGAGAAGAAAAACCCCAACGGGGCGTATTATTGAATACTATAGGAGAAGAGGCTTAGGCTATATACACCGCCAGTCGGTTGGGCAACTCCATCCTGCCACGTCGAGTCTTAGTCTTTACCTTTTCAGTCTTCTGCAGCCACCCGCCTCCCGACTGGTTCGTCTCGATCGGCCGGGGGTTTCCGATAGCCACCGTGTGTTAGGTCCGAGCTATTACCGTTAAACAATATTGCAAAATTAATACAAAAGAGAAATAATAGACACATAACAACTCAACATGAGTCCACGCAGAGGACCACCCTTTTTTTTTTATTTAACCATCAACGCGGGTTCGCCCGGGCCTCACCGTTCGACCTTATTTGGCAGTATTTTTGTTTTCATGAGAAACAACATTGGCTGCGAACGGCGTCTGGTCTTTCTGCAGGCACCACACTAATCGTAACCTTAAACGGCCCACTTATCGTGGCTTGCCAACACACAAGCCCGATGGTGTAGACACGTCATTAGGTCGAGATGTCTCATCAAGGAGAAGACAGTATTGGACATGTGACCGACCATGGGACACGGCGGCACTCGGCTGTCCATCCTATACCTGTCAAAAGGGGAGATAAGAAAAATAGGGGGGGCCCGGGTTAGTGCTGCAGGGCCACCCCAGGCCCCCGTAATGAAAATCCCGCGGACTCCACCGGAAGAACATTCCATGTCACATGGATTGTTCCATCTAGCTCCATTGTTTGAGTCACCGTGGTCACCCTGTAAAATACCGGACCCCGGCAGGGCTTTGTTCCCCGCCTTCCCAATCGGCCAATCGCTAAGGCCTTCCCACCCAAGTTCCGATTCCCGATTACCGTCACACGCGTACCTGCCCAATACACTTATCACATCCTGAGATCACCACTTTCTTATCTCCCTTCTGCACCCTTCCCTTCTACTTCGACCCTCGGCCTCGTCTACTCTTCCCCCTTGGCCGGACAACCTTTCGGACTCACCCTCACCTTTGCCTTCCCTCGCAAATCTCATCCTCCTGATACCTTGACTCGAGCACGCTAGCCTCCTCACGCTATCATCCGGCATTCTTGCTATCCAATCGGCTCGACGAGTCATACCAGTCATCTCCTGTTGCAGCCAGGAGATTCTCGAAACAATTCTCTCTACCCATGTATCTTGTCCAGACTCTCGACCAGAGTGCTTCTTCCGGCCAAGACTTCATCCAGAACCTGCTTGGCATGAAATCATAAGATGATGGTCCCGAGAGCCTTTATGTTCAGTTCGGCGCCGCCACAGAAGCAAATGCCGCCTTGCATGAATGATACCAAGCAGAGCTTTGAAAGCCTACTTGCAATCTCTCCCCCAGCCATACCAAGAATCATGGTGTGAGCAATGCTGCCCCGGTGGTCATTCCGCCGAAACGAGGCTCCCGCACCTTGGTGCGACGGGAGACACGCTCGCGCACTCCCGCCAAACACCACACATCCTCTCGTCGTTCTTCTTGCTCCGAGTCATCAAATGAGCGTCCCGTCCGTCCATCGGTGGCCTCAATCCTGGACGCTACAACAATTCCTCGACGAAGCTGGTCCACCAGGAGACCTCGTAAGCTTCCTCGAGGCAACTATGTGGAGGAATTTAGCCGAATGATGCAGGAGGGAATTCGGTCCAAGGAAGATTATCTGATGGAGGGTGCTGGCAACTCTCCATTGGATATTCTCCTCAGCCCTCCGGATGAGGATCACGAAAAATACTCCATGGGCAACGAATCCGAACTGGAGACTCCCTTCTCAGTTCGGTCCATCTCGAGTGATTCGATGCCTTCCCTTACGCACGATTTGAACTCCCCACCTAGTTTCCAGCTCCCGTTGACCCCCGGCAGCCAAAGAAGCCCGGCTGAGCGGCGCCAGCTCCGATACTCCCCTTCCGAGGACTGCGCCTATGATCACCCTCTTTTGGAGGCGGACATCGAGGAAGGCGAGCTTCTCGATCTACAAGACTACGAAGAGCCGGTGACGCAGGACGTCCCCACGAAGCCGCAGGTCGTAGTGCGATCGTTCCCTCGGTTAAGATCATCCTTCAAATCCAATCTCACTGCATCCCTACGGGCCATCAAGTCCGCTGCTCAGTCGGTTTCCACCTTCGCGACACCCTCTGTGCAGCCTGAGGATTTCCTGACCCGGTCGTTGTTCACCATCACCCCGGAGTTGACCGACGATCGTCGACCCCCACCCATGCATACCCCACCTTCCCCAGCGCTGCGACGTTATCTCAATCCAACTCCCATGTCTCCGGCGGATATGTGTGTTTATCACGATCATCCTCACGAGACTGCCGAGTCTGCGCGTGCCTGTCCGGTCTCCATCCAAATGCAAACCTATCGTCGCTCCCGTGGCCGTGGCCACCGACGCAACAATTTTCATGTTATCAGTCCCAGGAATCGTGACCACTACTATACATCTGACCCGGAACTTCCACCAATGTCGCGTCAACGGGAACCTCGCGAAAATAGCGACTTCCTCCGCATGGTCGTTCTGGAGATGAACATGCGCCGCAGTGGCAAACTCCGCGAAGACATCCCCCACGGGCTCGCATCATGCTTGCACCGCGCAAGAGCAATCCTTATCGCGTGTCGGGTGACTATGAAGATGGCGATGACAATGATACCGTACCCTCCCGATGGATAGGCATCTCAGCTTAGAAAGCTTAGGGGGAGCGCGGTTTCGGCCCACCCAGCCGAGCCTAGATATGGGCTGACCAGCGCCGGGCGCGGTCACCCCACCAGTACATATTTCTCCTTTTCTTTTTTGACTCTTTTTCATCATAGCGCGGCGTTGGACTAGGATTCAAGTGTCCTGGCCGACACCCTTTTTCATTTGTGAACATACCCTTTCTATTTTCGATAACACACTTTGTTTCCTTGGTGGGAACTCCCAGGATCTCCAATCAAACACCTTAGTATTCCTACTCGAACCCAGTTCCTTGTCTCGTACCGGTAATAGTAGCCCAAGCGATCGAAGCCAATTAATTTCCGGTCTGCGTTGTGATATCGTCCCGCAGGCATGAGATCATCTCGAACCTTAGCCTTCAGCAGCCTCAGTCAATGTTTCCAGACGCCTCTTCTTATCGCGAAACTACTCTGAATCTCGCCGAATATCTTAGGCCTGGTTGTCGTGTCTCGAAAATCAGGAAAAGGGGTGTGCATGCGGGGAAGGGAGGTGCTTGGACCACTTGATACCGATGTCATGACCCTACAGTGGCGTTTCTCATCCGGTCATCCTTGGACCTGACCTGTCAAGCGGCCGTGGACACTGCCTCGATATAGATCATCTTATCCTGAACCATACTGTCATTTATGATGGGAATTAACCCGATGTCATTTAGCTGAGTCCAATCTTGCATGATCACATGATGCGGTTGGGCGATCGCCGGATGCCAAGTTTATCCGTGCTTGTGACAGGTGCAGGGTTCGTCTATTTAGTAATTCAGGATTCATGATTCATGATTGGTGCTATGCAGGCTAAAATATGCAACGATGTCAGGATCTCTTGGCGTAAAGTAGTGTTTACCCCAGGAACCTCGTAGAATGAGACATTATAGCGATACTGAGAACCCTATAGAAGTCATGTTAAAACACATTCAAGAGGGTAACGGAGATTGTACACAGAAAGGAGTAAAGATATCATACGTACTTTCCTCATCCAAGAGCGTCCCGTTCTTCCAGCTCTCCTGGACCCAGTGCAACGAGACGAGATGTGGGATCTTTTTCCCTGGTCTAGCAGCTAGTGATCCTCGCAGGGAAGCGATATCCTCGCGCGACGAAGTATCTGGATTAACAATGACATGAGTTACGTCCGGGTCTTTGAATGATGTTGCAATGTGCGCGGATGCGAATCTGGCGGTGTTGCGCGCGAGGCAAAGAGCAATGTCCTCGGTGTGGGTCTTATCGAACGTCTCGTGTCCCTTGGTACGGGTACGGCCGAAGAGAAGAAAAATTTCAGGCCACGGAAGAGCCAGCCACAAGGTGCGGTGTAGCCTGAGTCGATTTTGGTCTGCAGGTGGGATTCGACTTTGCGGAGAGTGTGTGGGTCGAGAGGGATGTTGCTTTGCGGTTGGGTGGTTTCCATTCGATTGAGGATCTATAATGTGAACATTCCGTTCAATTCTGCTCCAGACTTTGACAGACTTACTTCTTTAAGCTCATCGACGCTCGTGTCGCGCGCATAGCTGTCGTCGAAGGGATCAACGTTGATGATGATGTCTTCGTCTCGACCTTCCATGACGAAGAACATGTGCCTATAAGAGGAGACCCAATAGTCAATCAGAGCTCTTATGTCGTGATTTTTGTTTACTGAGCATTACCTCGGCTCAAAGGGAAGGAGAAGGTCAGGTAATCCCACATCCTTCTCGTTCTGCTTGACACAGTCAATCAACCACGATGGCCTCACAATATTAGAGTTTGCGCTTTTCAGTAGTGAAGCCACCTTGACTGTTCCTGCTTCACTGTCAGCATAGTCTCTACTTCTTTTTTGGGAGGGATGTGTACTTCGCTCAGCAATGCAAATAGTGCCTGGAACAGCGGTGTTGGTCTGAAAGATTTTGCCCCCGTTGGCTTTTACAAGCTGCTCAAGCTCGCCCTTTGAGTGCTTCTCTGGAACACTTGCGTCGGTCATTATGACTGTGCATTTGTTAGCAATATTTTAGCAAGGTGATAGTGGCGGCACGTACAGAAGTTAAGTTGGTCAAAGATACGACCAGAAGGCCCAATGTACTGGGCATTCTCCTTCTCCTCATACCCAGCAATGGTCAAAGGCTTTTTCACTACCCGCTTGACACGCTTCCTTCGCGAATTATCAATGTTAAACGCTTTCTCCTGATGCTCTTGCTCCACATTGGACTTGAGATCCAGAAATTCCTGGATAGACAACGCGCTCTTCCAGTTCTTGTCCTTGCGGAGCTTCTTGAACCGCGGGAATCGCAACGTCTGACCCATGCGAAACATGTCACTGGCACCAACGGAGGCTGCCTTGACACAGATGACAACCGAGTCAGATGGCCTGATCCACATGTCTGGTCTTTCATTTTGAGCATCTCCACCAGACAATTCAATGAAATCAGTGGGAGGTTTCTTTGGATCCCATTTCATCCACTTGCCGTCCGTGTGATGCCGGATTTCCTGATAATCAGCCGCAGTGAAACCTCCGCCCACCTTGCAGAATGACCAGCATTTCATCGGCTGGGAAGATTTGGGATCGTCAACGCGCAACCCACATAGGAAGCTCCCCAAGTAGCCTCCACGATGGCCCTGCCCGTAGTATCCGCCCACGATGACTAAGTCAAGCGATTCGCCAAATTCGGTCATGTACTCTGGCTTCACTTTCATCCAGTCGTCGTGGCGCTCGTTCAATCGGTACGGAGATCGAGGGTTCTTAAGCACAAGACCTTCTGAGGCTTCGGCGACCACGTTTCGCAAGCATGCCTCGATTTCTGCAGTCGTACTCGCCTCTTGATAAGGATGGATCTCGAATCTTCGGTGGACAGGACGAATGACCTTTAAAGCGTTGCGACGATCGCGAAGTGTATATTTCGTCAGATCTTTCCCATTCAGGTAAAGAATGTCAAAGACACGGAACATTGGCCTGGGTCCAGTTGTAAATGGATTTCGTTGCTCGGCCAATGCCGCGGTTTTTAACGTGCCAAATGCCACAGGAGCATCTTGCTCAGGATCCCAGGTAACCATCTCGCCGTCCAAAATGACGCTTTGCACCCCATCCACAAAGGCATCTTTCAAATGTCTCGTCAAAGCTCCCTTTTCATCGTAGATCCCCTCTCCGTAAAGGTATGTGTATTCCTTCGCTTTTCGAGACCAGAAAGCAAATCTTCGACCACCAGGGATCGAGTCGTCTGGCGCCATGTGGAGCTGCATCCTTTCGCCATCCAGTTTCTCTTCGATCCAGAAAACAGGATCCTCCTCCGTAGGTTGCATTCGCATGATCATTTTGTCGAATGAGTGCATCTGGAATTGAGCCAGCTGAGGTTGGAAGCACTGCATGAGTGTAATACCACGATCCGCTGCCTCCAGTCGGATATTTGGGTCATATAGCTCCCAGCACACTCGCCGCAAGCTGCTGGAGACGGTGTACAAATTCTCGGCGTCGGGGTGCCACATATGAAACAGCGTGCGCTCCGACGCACCAACTTTCATCTGACGCAGAATGATTCGAATGAGCCACATTAGCTCTTCCGGGTTCATGCGCCGATAGAACTCAGCTAGGATGGGAGTCTGCTCGTCTTCCTTCGAAGTCGCGGCTAACTTGTCCAACTTGTCATTTACCTCCTCAATGGACATGTCCCCTGTCCCGTCCTCATCGGCCGTTTGGATAAGACATCATAACATCTCCTGCAAAATCTCCAGCCATGCGTGTCGAGGACTGGCCTGGTAGTTTCCAATTCAACAGATTGGAACCATCTTCTGATTCCTTGTTGATCTTCATGATCTTCACGAGCATCTTTCCAATAACCTTTTCCTTCATACCGTACATAGGTCGATCTCTATCCTTGTCGGGTAAAATTAGCCGAAAGGCTGGATAAATGTCGTTACCAACCTCTTTGCGCCATCGTGATATGAAGCGGGCGATGACGTCGCGACGGAGCTCGTATGGGCTTAATTGAGCCGCGGCTTTATTGTGAGGCCCGATCTTGCGTCTTGAAGGTGCAGTAGTGGCTGGTTTCTTCTTGATCTGGCTGAGGGGGTGGAACAGGTTCAGGTACAGCTCGTGGAATGGGAGAGTCGGGGAATTGTTGCGGGGGCGGTTCGGATATCTGTTTTCAGCTGTCAGCATAGAGCTGAAAATGAAGAACGACTTCATTACTTCTCGTCCAGGTCCTCCTCCAGATGCCGTGGTTCAGGCAAAATCTCGTCAGAATCCATAGTGAGTCGAACTTCAAGAGTGTTGAAGTTTCCCCAGATGGATTTAGGCAACGATAAGATAGCGCGCATGTGACATCACGCGAAGTATACTGTGGTCCCTAAGACACTGAGGATGCCTCAGTCTCAGTCTCAGTGTCTTAGTGTCTTGCCTCAGTGTCTTGGGGACCACAATACGAAATACAGAATAGGCAGTTACTCAAAGAACAATCTTCGGCACATTAAATGTCAATAATACTGTACAAAGTAGGGTATTGTGATATTATGTTCAAATAGAAGCGAAGTCAAGAACCCACACTTGCGTTGCGAATATGCTCAGCGCCCCGACGCTGCGCCATCACGTCAGCCAGACGCGTGAGTATCGCAACAAATCGCTTCGAGATGCCCCACGCAGTCAAGCTACACAGCGTCTCGCAGCCGACGCGTAGAATCTTCTCCGGTCCCTCGGGGCCACAGATATCTCCAACCCCAGTTATGTTGCCCCGCATGGAGTGACCTTCTCGTACGAAAAGCTGCACCAGCTCATCGTCGCATGGCCTGTCCAAGTGAATAAAACTCGGCTCTTGCAGGGGCTCTCTGCCAGACATATGCATATTCGGGCTGGAGTCATGGGTTCTAGGGGCGTGGCATGAACCGTACGCCCATAGTGTTAACACGGCAAGAAATGCCGCCACCGGTTCGTGAAATGCATTCGTGGAGTATCGCCGAACATGCCAGAGAGTGACACCAGCGTGAATGATTGAAAGTCGGGCCTTGTATTGGTCATGCTTGACCCAACGCCAGATATACTGCCATTCGATTGCCTGGTGACGCTTGCTCCACTGCATCTGGTCTGTTGCCACGGAGGTTGCAAGTGAGCGAATTTCACGAAATGGCGTGAGGAGTACCAGTCTTGCTACATGTAGGTGAAGCACAGTAGGGTGTTCCATTCCAGCAGCTTTAGCGATAGTGCTATTCGCGGTCCAATGCAGTATGTCCAGGCAATCACATGCGCTGTTGCGCCACTTGGAGTAGGAGGGGATCCCTGGTAGCCATACCGAACCGGTCGGAATTGCGGTCTCCCGAGATTGCTTTTTGGCAGTTGGATTCCAAAAGGATAATGGTCGGCGAAAGTAATCGCCAACTTCCCACATACGGTGATACAGGGCGTGAATGAGTAGGATGTGGCTGAATTCTCCGATCCCGGAGACAAGCCTCTTTTCTATGTATAAGATGTGCACTGTATCATATAATGACTCGTTTACTGTGGAGGTTAGCGGGTCTGCAAGGGAAAAGAGGAGAGATGCAAAATACCGCTTGAATTATCCCATAACTGCTTCCACTCTTCGGCAGAGCCAGTCTGCCAAAGTTTCTCATGAGCAGGCAGCGCAGCTTGCCCGTCATCAAGGGACAAAAGCGGTCGGTCTTCGAAAGAATATGCAAGTGTACAGTCCAGGAGCTTCGGGTATGAAAAGGTCAGTTGAAAACGTATCATTGGCAAATAAGGCATGCTTACCCAAATACAGTAGCCAGTTCGTCGCCGAGCTTCTTCTTGCGCCCACTTCACCCATGTGGCTTCCTTTGAAACTCGGGTGATTTCCGTATGCGATGGGCGAAGCAACTTCTCATAGTTTGCAAATGTCACCAGACCTTTAAACAAGGTCAAAGCCGACAGCTTATCTTGCTCGTTGCCACTGTGAAGAAGCCCGATGCAATTGAGCAATATGGCTTGCATAAAATCAAGTAGGAATGGGCCATTCGGAGCCTTTTCTTTCTATTGAGGGACATGTATAAGTATATTGAGCCATGCTCTGAGTGGAAAGAAATGCTTACCTCAGTGTATATAGCCCGTCGTATCATCTCATGAAAGGCATCTCTACACTGGTCTTTCTCTTGAGTATCTGAAGTATGAGAACCGATTGCCACAATGGCTAATACCAACAGCCAATGACATCGATTTGGGTCGAAAGTGGGGAGATGCACTATGGGGTAAACGTCGTGTAATACATCAAAGTAGCATGCCAGATAATGACTGCACTCTTCCTCGGTGGGAAAATTGTCAGTTTCAAACATCTCGAAGAATGGATTGTCGGTACGACAAAGTCGTAGGAAGTTGCGGTATAGCTCATGATGGGTGTTTGTATCGATCGGCCGCACTGAACGGGCCGCTTCTGAAATCCTATCGAGATTGATCGCATGATTGCCTGGGAATTCGTGCCGTCGTATGTCGTCTCTCGCGGCTGATCGCCCAGCTAAACCAGCTGCATCAGCTGCAGGCGCGGACCATGAGGCTTGCTTTTTCCTGTATCTTGGAAGACGAGCACCACCACCATCGACATAATAATCGGATGATCTCTTAGCGGAATCCACTGACTCGGAATGCGGAGATACCTCGCTGCCGACATGCGAATACTGGCGGGGGCTTCTCATGTCTGTTCCCAGTGAAATACGCTCAGAGGGGGTATGAGGGAGATTCTCCGCCATCGAAGGACTCACTTGACCTGTCGTGATGACGGGCGGATGCCATGGCATGCGGGTTGCACATGAATCTGAAACTGTAGGTTGAGGTTGCTGCGAAAGGAACCCCAGATAGCTGGGGTGATTCATGAGATGCATTTGTGAAGAATTCATTGGGTAGCCAATTGATGGTGGAAAGCATAGACTGATCGAATAAAGAAGGGTCAAACTCCAGGTTGATCTCCCCGCTGCCGCTCATGTCCATTTCCATATCCACCTCCGCACCCATCATGTCTGGCTGAAGATTCCTCATGTTGGGGCCGAGACCAGGAGTTGGATCGACTGAGAACATTTTCGGCATATGAGAAGTTGTCATTTCATTGTGTGACTGTTGGATTTCTCCCGAATATGTTTCCAACGGTAACCGCTCCGGAGGTACTGAATGTGAGGCCAAATATAGCGAAAAGTTGGAAGCGCCCATGATGGAGGCCCTTCCATTCGACGAAGTACTCTCTGTGAGAGTTTCCGCTCGACTTGAACATTCATGTCTTCCTTTCGGTGAACTTATTCCATTAGTTTCATTCTTTGACACTCTGCCCATTTGCTTGGATGGTGAATGTTCAATTAGTATGGGCTCTTCGTCATCGCCGTTGGCTTGGTTTGAAGATGATACAGGGGTCTGGACTCCGTTTTCGTGCATTTCTGTCCCAGAAAATTCTTTAGAGGCGCCCATTCGAATTTTGCCTTTCGATCGTCTCTCCGTAGGATATTGGCATTCAAGCGAACGGGTGTCACAGCGCCCACATGGAGTTCCACCACTGCAGCGTACTCTCGCCGTGGCACAGCCATAGCAAGCGCGGAATGTCTTCACGGTGATGCGATGGGCTCGGTCTTTGCCGCCTTGACCTCCCGCAGTATGATGGCTTAGCTCGTGTCGGTGAAGTGTATCGCTGCGCATTAAGGCTACTTGTTAGTCAGTTTCCCCTGGCCCAGATCAAGCATCAACATACGTTCGTGAAAAATGACGGCCACACCGGGCGCATTCAAAGGGTTTCTCCTTGGTATGACTGCGCAAATGGCGCTTCAGATGCTCTGGTCGTCGAAAGGTACTGCTACAGACCGAGCATTGAACGTGACCCGAGGATGCATCTCGATCCCCAGACTGATTTGCGCTGGGTCCCCGATCGGGCGAATAGGTATCGTGCATCACGATCTCCGGACAGGCATTGTCGGTCTCCGAGAGCATGCCGACGGAAGTATATTGAGGCTATGCGCATCTCCAGATGTTGGTCATTCATACCAGATTTCCAAATGAGGGGAACCCGGGAGAAGGGGCAGAGCGAGGCGTATTAAAGGTCGACTTTCATCGGCCCACTACATGCGGGGAACGGGGTTATGCATAGCGATTGGGCCTAGGGAATTAAACGGGCTCGGTTAATTCTTGGATCTGGGGTTTCTCCAGGATTGCCACGAGGATTTCCCCATTCCTACTAGCTTCCTCGTCACTCGGTCGTTGTTTTCTGGTAGCTCTGTTGTTAGGTCGAGTGTTACTAGGTGGAGAGCCCGCCAGATGTTTAGGGACACATCAAATCCTCCTTCCCTACCGACGAAGCAGGTACGTGGGTCGTTCAGCGCACGGGCGCTGACCGGGCCTGCGTTGACAATTTATTTCATCTTCATCTTGATCTTCAGCTCAGCCCCAGAACCTCAAGTTTATCACACGACCTGGCCAGATCCAGTTGATCGGTTCCATGAATGGCGAGATCGCCGCGACCCAGCGGTTGGCTTCCGCGTCCCGAGACGATCCCGCTTTACGAGGTGCAACCATCGCCTTCAACCAACCTCCGCGAAAGGCACCACACGTAAATCCCCAGCTTTCCGCTGCAGCCGCCGCCGCAGTGGCTACTTCAATGAATCGCAATGCAGGTGCTAGACGCCCGACCGCGGGATCTGAGTCAGAACAAGAAGTCCACTCCGTCAAGGAGTTGATCGGGAAGCTGAACGCCAACCAGCGCTCACCGGCAAGCACCTCGGACCGTGGACGGTCTCCGGTCCCTACCTTATCACATCCCCCAGAACAGATCGCCGCACGTCTCGCTGCCTCCAGGTCATCCTCCAGAAAACAAGAACCGGCATCCGATGCCCCCAGACTCGGTGCAATGCGAAGTGCGAACAGGATGCAGGCCCAAGCTCCGACGGAGGGAAGGGAGCTACGCTCTCCTACCCCTGTCCGGCCATTGCCGCCCAGAGATTGTGTGTTTCGAATGCTCTTGGACGATGATCCACGCTTTGAACCAGTGCCCCCGGTAGCGCGCATCTCATCATCACGATCTAGAGCCGGAAGTCGTGGGCAGGCCCCGAGTCCCCATCCCTCTTCTAGCTCGCCAATGTCCTCAACACCATCCGATGACTCGAAGCCGAAGCTTCCGCCACGGTCTACAAACCCTTCACAGGGCACTTTAAGAAAACCGGTCGCTCCAGCGACCCCATTACGGGCATCAACACCCAGCATGGCCTCCATATCAGGTCTATCTCATACCAGTAGCTCCAGCGCCCAGGATGGGTCAGAAGCCCTCTCCAATGCCATTGTGGCCTCCTCTCTCGCATCTGCGCGGGCATCGCCCGTGACCAAAGTACCTCCACCACCTCCACAACGACGGCGGGCCCGCTCGCTTTCGATCCTCCATTTGGCGCATTCACCCAAGAGTGACCTGTCACGTACCCCGAGCCCGTCCAAGGCGATGCCGATGACTCTTCGCGGCATGCCGAAGGCCGACGAGGTTGATAGTGATAGTGGCCGACGGCACCGGTTACTCCATAAGCATCCCCACAAACACCACGAAGGAGATCGTAAACGGTGGAGGCAGGAGGTTACTGAGAAGGAGCGGAAGCGCTATGAAGGCGTGTGGGCTTCCAACAAGGGGTTGCTCATCCCTCCCGAGCGAGGCCAGGCGCGCGGTCCCAATGGATCCGAAACATGGCCACCCGCCTCGGAGATGGTGCTTAACCTGGTGGCTCGTGAGATTTGGTCTCGGAGTCGGTTGCCCGCTGCGTCCTTAGAACAGGTGTGGGATCTGGTAGATCAGCAACAGATCGGACTCTTGACGAAAGAGGAATTCGTGGTTGGAATGTGGTTGATCGACCAGCTGCTCAAGGGCCGAAAACTCCCCGTCAAGGTTCCGGACAGTGTCTGGGACAGCGTGCGGTATGTGACGGGCATCAAACTTTCAACAGTGGGCAGGACACAATGAGTGCAAATCAAGGTGTAATATGAGCGTAGGCCGCCCTCGATGCGCGGGTTCGCTCTTGCGGGGCCCTACATACATCGAAGCCGGAAACGAAATCCTAGAAAAGATTTGGAACATACTTTAAATAGACGGAACTATGCGTGATGCACGCGTATCCCATACTTTGCCTCCAAATGGCTCATCTCTCGTTACTGTGCATATGCTTTTTCCCTCCCCCCCCCTTGGCCTCCCCCTCGGGATCCTGCCCGGGGGGGGAGGGGCACTTCCGGTCAATCAAAGGAAGCATACAACTGGATCTACATGGTTCAAGGATCGGCCCTTGGCCAGCACTCAAAGGATCCTCGCTGGTGCGACTGGGAAACCGAAACGCGACACTCTCAAAAGTGAGGCAATCCATTGCACGTGACCATCGAATGCTCGGGGTTTCCATCCCGAAGTACTTAGTACTTCAGTACTTCAGTACTTCAGTACTCGCACGACCCGTCTTTCATTCCTGAGGGGAATTTCCTGGGGCCAAGGATTACAACCTCTTCGCAATCACATACATAGCGGAGACAATAGCTCATCACCGCCATACCTAGTTTTCCATTCCTTGCGGCGAGCACGAGGCGCCCCCCCGTGGTGACAAATTGCGGGCGTCTATGGAACCGCAAGCAAACCCCGAATCTCCACGCTCGGGATTTGCATTTCAGAGCCATCAATCAGCGGTCTTTCTATATCACAGCTCCTCACTTTCCCTAATTCCCAATTCAACCACTAAGCATCCACATAGAACTCGGTTTTCTGAACTCTGAAAGTTCCTAAAAAGGAGTTGGGCGTTCTTCATGACATCTTAGAGTCCCGGCGTGATTCGCCATGGTCGAAGCTTTTCACGACTTTGCGCCGGCACGGCCGATACGCAAGAAATTCGCCAAACCGCCCGTCAAAGTAGCCTGTTTGCCTTGGTAAGCCCCTCCCGATGCTTTGGTGGATGCGCCCCCGCTAAATCTCATTCTAGTCGCTCCTCAAGGACTCGTTGCGGAGGGCAGGAGCCCTGCTCCAATGTACGTCCCCAATTATGTCGCGCACTCGGTTCCATGCCTAAAGCCATGCATTCTAATTTGTCTAGTGTGTCTCCAAGGGTCGCAAATGTTCGTACTTGCCCAGCAAACGAGGTGGTCCTCGCAAGAAGAAGCAGAAGGCCTCGCCGTCGTCCGAGGACTCGCCGGACGACGCCCAGTATGCCGTGGTGCCCGATTTTGAAGAGCGTATGTATGGAACAACGGTGGTTGTTTCATGTTGCTAATGACCTCCTAGCGGCTGGCATGTTCAGCCAGATCGATGTGCTCTCTGCACCGGGCGCGGGATTGCGACATCTGGATTTCACACTGTCTCCCTTGCTCCAGGCCTACTTCCCAGATGGGAGCTCGTCTTCGGTTCAGTTGGACCCAGTGCCTTCGCCCTTGAACACCACGCAGAGCTTCGTGAGAACCTATGGTAGCGAGCCAGAGATGTAAGTGGATTGCGATAATGATGCCGTTCGCATTGCCATTCTCACACGAGATCCAGTCTTAACGCCTACTACGACTTTATTCACACATATTTCCCCATCTTACCACCTCGAGCGTCACCCCCGTGCCGGGATCGACCACTGCAATGCCCAGTTTCTTGTTCGAGCCCGCCCGTGGAGCCATTAATGATGTACCGCCCTCGGTCGCCTCTAAGTCTTGCTATTGCCGCTGTCCTCGCGCTCATTCCGCATCCTGATGACCCGGAGCCGTCTTCCCCGACGTCCGTCTTACAGCGAAGGACGTACGCGCATACGTTTGCGCAACTGGCTAACTCTATAATCGAGGCCGAATGTGATCTTGAGCTGTCATCAACCGATCCCGGCCAGGCCTTATCAAGTTCGCGACCCTCAATCAGCCGAGAGAGACTACACCCGCGAGTTCCTGAGGATCTGGAGACACTACTTGCTTTATTACTTCTTTCCGCATACGAATATACCCAAAGAGGCAACCTTCTTAAAATGAGATATCGTGCAGGTCAGGCCTTGGCTCTAGCTTTGGATAAATCCCTTCATGCCGACTTAAAGGAGGATGAATCCTCTGAAGCCCGAAGGAGAGCATGGTGGATGACGGTTTGTTGACCTCTCCCGTCTGCCGTGTGTTGCTTCTAATGCTAAATCCAGTACTACTGCGTTGTGCAAGGCTCCATTGTGAGCACGACTGTAAGTAGTGTTGGATCTTAAGGTTGGACACGAGGCGCTTATAAAATCCACAGCCGCCGACTATTGTTGTCAATGACCCTCAATTTACAACGCCCTATCCACGGTTTTCCGCAGATGCCGAGGTCAGTATCTCGTTACGGTGCCTGTTATCGCCGTAGATCGTTTTGATCACTCAACTGACAACTTCATCAGGGCTGGTCGATTTTAATTCAAGCACAGCAAGTTTTGATGTCTGCGACTCAGTTCATCCACGATCTGAACAAGTGCCTCTCGTCGCAATCTGGCATGCACTACATGTTCGAACGCATGCACCAACCAGACTCCTGGACCAACTCTGTGCTTGCGCAGACAGAAATTCTTCCCATTGTCTCGCATGATGCCGGCTTTGGTGATCAACATGAAACTATCACCGCCCAGAGTATACGCTCAATATCACGCATCAAATTGTCCAGGTATTTTCCAATGTCTCAGCAATATCTTATCTTCCATCTAACATTTCAGCAGTGCCCAAATTAAAATACACCGCTTCAGAGCATTCAGCGACATACCTCTTTTCATTAAAAGACACTGCGACCTAACCTCCGCAAGCCCAAGCACCACTCCGGCCGATCTAAGCAACAAGTCCCCAATGTCAGCATCAGGAATCAATCCCGTGTCTTGTTCATGCAGCAACCTTAACTCGTTCCAACGCGCATCTTCCACTGAATACATGACCCCATCCGACTCCTCAACTTCCTCCGACGTCCACCCCTACGTCCCACATTATCCACATTACCCATTCGCATCCGGCTTTCCATATAGTCCGCAGCATTCTGCGAAAATATGCCTCCGTGCCGCCCTTGTTATATCTCGCACGTTCGAGAATTTGCCTTTCCCGCAGCCGCTCCCTGGTAACCAACAGCAGCAGAATCAGCAAAGGCCCCAGCTTCCCCGAACAATGCCATCTTTCGCATGCTGCCTTATGCAGAGTAGCTATGCGATGTTTATGATTTTCTACAAAGCTCGCGTGGCGAAGCAGTTTTCCCCGGACTCGGAGAATGAAATTGCAAGCGATTCGACCGACCGATTAGTCGAGGAGCTACGACAGGGACTGCAGCGGATCATTGGGGCACTTTCGAACTATTCGATTGCTTTTGAGGCGTTGGATGGGATGAGAGGTAAGCCCGGCTTTCTTTTTGAGCCTCCGAGTTTAAGTTAAGTTGACTGACAACCGCAGATGAAATCCAAGGTGCATTCCACACGGCGTTTCCCATATCTGTTTGATTAAAGCCCAATCTTCTCAAGCGTATTTTGCATTTCTTGCGATCTCCCCCCTCCTCTTCTCCACTGGCGACATGTCGAACTGTTATGATGTTCGAGCAACGAGGCTATGTCTCGGGTTTCTTATGGTTATGATACATGAATTCTTAAGGTATCTTGGAAAGTTCTATATAATACCCGATAAACGAAGGATCGTTCCCAGTTTCAATGGTTGAAAGCAAAGGAATAGTATTGCGTAAGTAAAATATGGCGCAAGGAAATGTGTTTCCTTTTATGTAGTCGCTGAAAGGAACGCTAAAGCGAGAGCAAGGGAAATCTTGAATAAGGGTATCTACAGCTTTGATCGTATCCCCCTCGAGGCGGAACTTAACATCCTTTAAAACTTTGCTTGATGGCTTCCAGTCGTCGAATTGGCGGAGAAGCTCCATCATTTCTTCGTGAAGCTCGCGTCGAACGTGTTCTTCCTCGAGAATACCGCGCATGGCGAATGGTAGAATATAAGGATTGGGTATGGCTGGAGCGGACCGTTTAATGTGTAGGTTGGTGTTTGGGATGGTTGTGGTTTCCAGCGCGAACTGGATAGCCATGCTATTAGATAGAAACAAATGATCAGTGAATTGTCGTTGAGGATAAGTATGGTGACACATACTAGTATACGGCTTCGTCATCGTACAAACGAGAATGTCCTTCCCCAGTGTAAAGACTGCCGGCCAGTGGGCTGCTGAGTTCGCGGATGAGGCCATGATCTTGGACGCCGAGATTTCGAAGCTTGAGGGCAAATCCGACGAGATGAGAAAGGCTTAGGCTAGAGTCAGCATACATTTCGAGAAATCTTTCAGTGGCGAGCAGGCTTACAAGCTTGGAGCATGGACTCTACCGTCTACAAAGACGGATCGATAGATGTATGGGTGAGAAATTGGGGAGAACAAGGCCGACTATGAACGACATTTAGTGAAAAGGGGTTTCATGGTTGGGACAACAGGTGAACATACCTCAAGTGAGACTAGTTGATCATCGATACTTCCAACATATGATATGCGAACTCCAAAGTCAAGACAGCACTTCAAGGCAGCCTCATAGTCTTTAGAGACTTGGCTGAAGGGAAGCTCAAATTCAAAGAGCTCACCGGCCGAGCCACTAATCCACCTAGAACGATATGCAGAGAAGGGGCCCATATTCACACCTGCCATAGCGCAGATACCCACACGCGATGCGTTGACGCAGCCAAAAGCTATCAACTTGGCGACCAACATAATTGTGACGGGGACTCCTTGACTATGGCAAGCAAGTATGATGAAATCAGCCTTGCGAATCTCCTCCATCCAGTTGAGAAGTAGCTTCCATAGCAGGTCGACTCGTTCTGAGATACGACCTTCGCCTTCCAAGGCAATCTTTTCAATGTCACAAGAGTAGCCATGATCTTCTGTGTATTTTCGGATCGACTCCGCCGCCATGTTTGAGAATCGAATGGATGTACCCGTGGGCTGCCCCAGTACACTTCGGATCAAAGGCGCGGGGAAATAGCCATGAACACCAATGGCCAAGGCTCGCTTGATACGCGGAGGCTCTCTGATTCGAGATACGTGCTTGTGCTCGGGACTTTTAGAATAATGGAGAATTCGTCCAAGAGATTGCAGAATGGAGGGCGCTTCTTCCAGAGTATAAGTGTCTTCGAAGCGCGGAAGCACTTGATTGGGAAGGATTTTCTGCAGTTGCTTTGACGCGGTAACATCGGCTGGGCGAGGCTCGGCAAATGGTGCGGAGGTAGAAGTTGCGGCCGCAACGGACGCGGACGCAGACTCATCTTTAGCGTACTTGTCCTTTGGCAGTTTGATTTTGACACTGTCGTTCTTGGTAATATTGACATTCGTGTCTGGGTCCGGCTCAAGTGACGTCGCTCGTACTGGTGAGCTTTGATCAATTGTTCCTTCAACCCCTTCGACTTCTTGGGGTTGTGAAACAGACGGGTCTTTCGACTCTTTGGACCAGAATGACCACCCGGAGGATCTGGTGTTCCCGGTGGGAGGCTTGGTCTGACCCACTGACTCGTCAGATTCTCCCGATAAATCTTTAGGTGACATATTAACTTCTTCGTTCAAAGAGATTTGAGGCCCAGCCGGAGACGCCTTGCTTGGTTCCATTGTAGATTGTTCTCCCTGCTTGCTCGATGAAGCCGAACCGTACCACATTTGCAACCAAGAACGCTTTTGCGCCTTGGAACCTGGCTCCGTTGTGTTATTTGTTGGTTGTGATTCCTGATCTGGCTGTGATTGTTCTTGCATTTGTGCAGGCGAGTCCCAGGTGACTGGTTGTGTATCGGTTTGCTTCGTAGCTTCGTCCTGCTCTGGCTGCGTTCCTGTCGTTTCTGGAGGAGCCGGGTCGCTACCAGTGCTCTTTTCAGTATTCCCGGAGCGATACAACCAAGAAAACCAACCGCCAGCTTGCTCAGTCTGATCTGCTTGCGACGTATTGGGCTCGGGCGCGGGGCCAGCTTTATCAGGAATGATCTCTTGCGCTTCTTTTGGTTTTTCTATGGATTTTGGTGTTTCTTCCTCGATAGTCTCTCTCTTGGGTGTCGAAGTTCTGGGGCTGCCGGGTCCTCAAGTTTGTCCAGGGCCGTTGTAGAGGCCGATGCGTCCGATACTATGTTGACCCGGGTCGTTGTCACATTGGCGGGTAGCGATCTAGTTGAGGCGCCCGCCTTTCGGGTCAGTTTAATTGACGGATTTCTGTATTGTTTCGAGCTGTCAAGGAGGGAGGCCGAGGTGTTTGCAACGCTGGAAGCTACGTTTTGAGCGACCGATATGCTCTCACGGGCAACCTCGGTAACTGGAGCCGCCTTGGAGACCCGCGATATGCCCGACCAGTTTCCAGGATACCAGCTCTATAGAAGATACCCAGTGGTTAGTGATATGTCCCAGATGGAGCTTCTGGAGCCTCTAGACTTACTCCAGGCCGCTGAGGCTGAGAGTCCGAGCGATCTCGGGCAGCATTGTCCGGGGATGTGGGGGACGATGAGTCCGCGCCAGGGCTAGGCTTCACTCTCTTGCGGGATCTCTTTGATGACATGGACGCGAGGAGAGTATCATGAAGTCCCATCAATCAACCCACACGAATGAAATGATCTAGAAACTCAAAGCGCCACGAGTTAGGATCGCTGATATCATGTCACATGCTCCTCTTTGGTGCCTGGTGATTGCGATTGTCGCCTGAGGCACAAGTCTCGTGCCTGAAGGCGGTGAGCGATAAGTCGACTTTTTTTTTTCGGCGGAGCCGATGAGGACCAAGGGTATACAACCTCTGTCACTCATTTTCTCCTCTTGCATTCAGGGCATTAGGTCTCCAGAAAGACCGCCCGCGATTCAAGATGGCGATCCAGAAAAAGGTATGTCGGTCGGTGCATGTCCCACAGCGTTTGTACTAACTCCCTCAAGCACGGAAAAGGTCGGTTGGATAAGTGGTATCGGCTTGCGAAGGAGAAAGGCTATCGTGCCCGTGCTGCTTTCAAGCTGATCCAGTTGAACAAGAAGTATGGGTTCTTGGAGAAGAGTAGAGTTCTTCTTGATCTCTGTGCTGCGCCTGGTGTAAGTCTCTTTTTATCCCGGATTTTCTCTCCTGGGGGATTTCGATTCTAACACCCACCTAGTCATGGTGTCAAGTCGCTGCGGAATGCATGCCCGCCCAGAGTCTCATTATCGGTGTCGATCTCGCTCCGATTAAACCTATTCCCCGAGCAATTACCTTCCAGAGCGATATCACTACCGACAAGTGTCGCGCTACAATTCGAGGTCACCTGAAGCACTTCAAGGCTGATACTGTCCTTCACGACGGTGCTCCCAATGTCGGTACCGCTTGGGTTCAAGACGCTTTCTCGCAAGCAGAGTTGGTGTTGGAGTCTTTGAGATTGGCTACAGAGTTCTTGGCGGAGGGTGGAAACTTTGTCACAAAGGTCTTCCGTTCAAAGGATTACAACCCGCTTCTGTGGGTTTTCAAGCAGCTGTTCACATCTGTGGAGGCGACCAAGCCTCCTTCATCGCGTAATGTCTCTGCCGAAATCTTCGTCGTCTGCCGTGGATACAAGGCCCCCAAGCGCCTCGACCCGAAGTTCCTCGACCCCAAACATGTCTTCGCCGAACTTGCAGCTCCCACACCCAACAACGAGGCAAAGGTCTTCAATCCGGAGGTGAAGAAGCGTAGACGTGAAGGTTATGAGGAGGGAGACTACACCCAATTCAAGGAAATTCCAGCTTCCGAATTCATCAACACCACGGATCCCATCGCCATTTTAGGTTCCTACAACAAACTCAGTTTTGTTGAACCGCCAGGTGGAGACATTGCTTTATCTACCATCAATCGACTCGAGGAGACTACGGAAGAAATCAAAACTTGCGCCGAGGATCTGAAGGTCCTTGGTAGGAAGGAGTTTCGCAACCTGTTGCGATGGCGCCTGAAGGTTCGCGAGAAGTTTGGTCTCGTTGTTAAGAAGTCGGCCCAGGAGGAAGAGCCCGAGGAAGTCGCCGAGATTGCCCCGATGGACGAGGAATTAGCGATCCAAGAGCAGCTGCTGCGCATGCGCGAAAAAGAGAGCGCCCGCGACAAGAAGGAGCGCCGCAAGGAGAATGAAAAGAAGAGAAAGGAGATTGTTCGCATGCAGATGCACATGACCACCCCCATGGATATTGGCATGGAGCAGCATGGCCCAGGAGGCGAAGACGCCACGTTCTCTCTCAAGCGAGTGGATCGAGCGGGTGCTCGTGATGCAGTTGTCAACGCCCGTGATCTGGCACCTGAGAGCGACAGCGAAGACGAATCTGAATCCGAGTCGGAAGACGACGACGACGATGGCGATCGCCTTGAGCGTGAACTTGACGCCATGTACGAGCATTATCAAGAGCAAAAGGAGGATAGAGACTCCAAACTGCGCGCAAAGAAGGCTCGCAAGGAATACGAGTCTGAGGCCTGGGACGGTTTCTCCGACGAGAACAAGAGCGATAATGAGGAAGAGGAAGAGGAAGAAGAAGAGGACGAAGAGCAGGAGACTAACAGTGTGCCCCTTCAGGCTGGCAACCTCTCGAACAACGCCGCTATGTTCTTCGACCAAGATATCTTCCAGGGTGTTGGCGACGAGGAAGAGGAGGAGGAGGAAGAAGAAGAGGAAGAAGAAGAGGAAGAAGAGGAGGAAGAAGAGGAAGAAGATAGCGACGTTGAGATGGAGGAAGCCCCTGCTCCCGCGCCGAAGCAAAAGAAGAACAAAAAGGAGGCAAAGAAGGAGGATTCTGAGTGGATTGATTCTGACGAAGAGCCGGAGGAACAAGATCCTCGCAAGCCCAACGGCCAGCTTGGTAAGTTGCAATTACAATCTACTGTGAATGATCTCACAGATGATTCTAACATGAACGCAGACATCGATATCATCACTGCAGAGGCTATGGCTTTGGCTCAATCGATGGTGACTGGCGAGAAGAAGTCCTCAGACGTTGTCGACGACGCCTTCAACCGCTACTCCTTCCGTGACGTGGACGGCGTGCCGGAGTGGTTTATGGACGACGAGGGTCAACACAGCAAGATACAACGCCCGATCACTAAGGCCGCCGCCGCTGCCATCAAGGAAAAGCTGCGAGCTATCAATGCCCGTCCGATCAAGAAGGTGATGGAAGCCAAGGGCCGTAAGAAGTTCAAGGCCGCACAGAAGCTGGAGAAGCTGCGCAAGAAGTCTGCCCTCCTAGCTGACGACGAGGCGCTCAGTGAACGTGACAAGTCCCAGGCCATCTCCAAGCTGATGAGCAAGGCCACCAAAAAGAAACCCAAGCAGCAGGTCAAGCTGGTTGTTGCTCGTGGTGCCAATCGTGGTATCTCTGGCCGTCCCAAGGGTGTCAAGGGCAAGTACAAGATTGTCGATTCGCGTATGAAGAAGGATATCCGGGCACAAAAGAGACTGAAGAAGAAGATGAAGGCGTAAAGGTACCATTTGTGAATAGAGAGCGCTTACATAGTCAAGGGAGATACCCATACTTCTCAAGAACCATAGGATTTCCGGACCATCTGTAGAGGTAGAAAGTCGATAAGACCGGTGTACACGACCAAAGATCGGAACAGCTTAGGTTCGCCAAGAGCTCCGAACCACCGCCGCAGACCGCGGGTTCCTAAATCTCGAACTTCGAGTGGCGGCTTATCGATTGTTCCTCTTTTCCCCATCGGCCTGAACGGTCTTCATTGATTTTTTTGTGTATTTTTTGCTCTTTTGCTCTCCTTTCTGTTGCATATCATTTATTCTTCCTTTTATTGTCTTATATAGCATTATCTCCCGCCCCACTACTCCCCATGGGCTTTTTCGACCATCTTCAGAAAGGAGGGGCCTTCTCTCTACGGCCTCAGAAGACTCAGATCCGCAAGGTCGTTCAAAAAGCCCCAGCCCCGGCACGATTGACGACAAAAAATCCGGACTGTCGGTCATCTCGAGTCCAGTCTTCGACGGAGCGGAGCCGCAAGACGCACGCGCTCAAAGCCCGATCGGTCTCGAGTGACGCAGACGCCCGCCCTGCTAACCGACAAAACACGCCTAATCGCATACGAAAGCGGACTACCCCCGAGACACGGCTTTCCAGTGACGATGATGCTAGCGACAGTGATACCTCGTTCGAAGTGCGCAAGCGTGTGCGCACGAGCGCCAGTGCAGAACCCGACCCCGACAGACGGATTCGCTCGGTGAAGGCATTTTCAGATGAAGGACGTCGGCCGTTTAAGATGGTCCATGCAGCGGATATTACGTCTGGCCAAAAGGCTGGGAAGTTTAAACCGGCCTTTGGAGTCGCCGGTAAGCCTGCGGAGATCCTCTTGCAGTATCCCAGTGCTTCGCCAAAAGAAAGGTATGCGCTTCTAATTGTGACCATAACTTTGAAAAGGGGGATGGCTGATATTTGACGACTAGATTCGACTTCATGGTCCCCAAAGACAACGAGGACTTTTCGGCCAATCGACGACATCATGCAGGTCATCGAGACCGTCTCCGACAACTATATACCGGCTGAAGAGGCGGACGAGTTTAATAATGAAACTACTGGGATCAGACGGCGATTGCGGCGTGCTTTGGCTGTGACGTCGGAGACCCAGTTCCGCGAGGCGGTCGAAGATTATAACATGGCCATCACTAGGCTGAGAGAGAGCGGTAGCCTTGCGAAGCATTTGGACACAATCCAGCGCATAAGTCTACCTTGGGTGGAGCGCATTCTGACACAGATTTATGCGCGGACGGTGTCTCCCCGCGTCGAATCCCTCCGGCAGTACGAGAACGGCACGGACAATGTGTACGGCGAACTTCTTCCCAGATTTATCAGCAACATCTTCAAGGAGACCAAATTGAAGTCAGGTCAGGTCTTTGTTGATCTTGGCTCGGGTGTGGGCAACGTCGTTCTCCAAGCGGCACTTGAGATTGGCTGCGAGAGCTGGGGCTGCGAAATGATGAATAACGCATGCGACTTGGCTGACCTGCAGCAATCTGAGTTCAAGGCTCGCTGTCGTCTCTGGGGAATCGCGCCAGGCAAGACACACCTTGTGCGTGGTGACTTCCTCGAGCAGGAGAGCATCATTGACGTACTCAAGCGAGCAGACGTGGTGCTTATCAACAATCAAGCATTCACACCCCAGCTCAATAATGAGCTGATTAATCACTTCCTCGACATGAAAGAAGGCTGCAAGATTGTCTCCCTCAAGTCGTTTGTTCCAGCCGGGCACAAGATTCAGTCGCGCAACCTCAACTCTCCCATCAACCTTCTTCAGGTCCAGCAGAAGAACTACTGGTCCAACAACGTCAGCTGGACCGACGTTGGTGGCACCTACTTCATTGCCACCAAAGACAGCTCTCGACTGAAACGCTTTATGGATGATACGCTCTAGATATCGACTGATCACTTGGATCTGAAGGTCGTGTTGTAAATGGACCTTCTTCTTGGTTTGTGTATATTTTCACGTTTCCCACTGGACATATATCTGGTCTATTGTATCATACCATTTCGAATTGTACAAAAATAGACTATTCTGTGAGCTAGTAAATCCCTGTTCTGGTCAATGTACATCTATGGGTTGGCTATTGAGAACTTCCGATGCCTCGACAGGGGTCCTCAAGTTCATGTAAACTTCGATGCATTATTCATGGCATCGGCTTCCTGGCCCATCCGTGCCATCCAGCGGTCAACAAGATCTTGATTCTCGCGCTGAAGTTGGCTTGTCTTATCATCGGCCATATTGAGCTGTAGGTTAAGTGTCGCGATCTCGTCTTGGAAATCCTGTGGTGAATCGGTCAGATCGTATCAATCTCAATTGCCACCTGCGCTCTTGAATAGCCCTTTTGTGTAAAGTCTGTGCCTTATAAAATCTGCCTACCTCAAGTAATTTGGCTTTCTGACGTAACTCTTCGTCTCTATCTTTCAGACGCATCTGGAAATGGGCTCTTTCATGATCGAGGGTGTTGAGGCGCCGGCCTTCTTGAGCACTTCTCTTGCGAAGTTTTTCGTATTCCGCATTCACCTTGTCCAAGCGGTCTTGTAGTTCTGCCCGGGATCGTTGTGCCGCTGATAGTTCTGCACGGGTAGTGTTAAGTAGCTCCGTCGCAGAAGAACCCTCGGTCCGCTGCTTTTTAGAGGGCGCTACCGTAGTCGAAGCGGTGTGAATTTCATGGCCAGATGACTTAACTTGACCTGGGCCAGCGCTGATCTCAAGTGGTGTGGTGAGCTTGGCAGTGCGATCTGCGAGCCGGGAATCTATGGAGCTGTCAGAAACATTTAGACGGGGTCGTACTGAGATGGAACGGACAGGCATCGTAGAGTGCGGAGTTGGCCTTTTCCCTTGAATCTCGCACTGCCAAGGCAGCCAAATACTCCTCTCTCCACAGGGTCATCGGCCAAGAACGAAAGATCGGAGTGAGGAATGTGTCGAATGCGATGATGTCGGCGCTATCTGTTATCAGCCTCCACCGCCCCCCCTCGACCGCCCGGCCATGCATCATCACCCGCTGCAACCCAACTCCAACTCTCCTGCAATCTTCAACACCCTCAACCTCGGCTTTACCTACTGCTCGAATTCGCATTCGGGCCCTGATCTGGTGCTTTAATATCGCTTGTCCAGTTTCCTATTCACACCGTTGTCATGGCGTCACGGAAGAAGGTCCTCCTGAAGGTACGGTCTCCGCAGCAGCTCCGGCACGCGATGCTTTAATTTAGTTCTTGGCTAACGTGCCGTCTTTGTGTTATAGGTGATCATCCTTGGTGACAGTGGTGTTGGAAAGACCAGTCTGATGAACCAATATGTGCGTTTCTTTTCTTCCCGGCCCATTCAGCTAGCGCCCGTCGACAGCTTGCCTTTTTCACAACGCTAACGAACCGCTTTTTGCGGTCATCAGGTCAACAAGAAATTCAGTGGGAGCTATAAGGCCACTATTGGAGCTGATTTCCTCACCAAAGAAGTCCTCGTCGATGACCGACTAGTCACCATGCAGGTAAAGGCTGCTCGGGTATCCGACAAGCTTGAGCAGTTTAACTAACTTGTCACGAATAGATTTGGGATACCGCTGGCCAAGAGCGATTCCAATCATTGGGTGTTGCCTTCTATCGAGGAGCTGACTGCTGTGTCTTGGTCTACGACGTAAATAACTCCAAGAGTTTCGAGGCACTCGACAGCTGGCGGGACGAGTTCCTGATCCAGGCTAGCCCCCGGGATCCGGAAAACTTCCCATTTGTGAGTCCTCTCAGGATGATAAATATGCAGAATGAGAACCCAGCACTAATGGACATTCGCAGGTGGTGATTGGAAACAAGATTGACGTGGAAGAGAACAAGCGCATGATCTCTGGGAAACGGGCCATGACATTCTGCCAGTCCAAGGGCAACATTCCCTACTTCGAAACCAGTGCCAAGGAGGCAGTCAACGTTGAGCAGGCATTCGAGGGTGAGAAAACACCCAACCCGTTGCATTGTGTTCACCAACGCTAATCTATCACTAGTCATCGCCCGCAGCGCGCTCGCACAGGAAGAGGCCGAGGAGTTCAGTGGCGAGTTTAGTGACCCTATCAACATTCATCTGGACAATGAGCGCGATGGCTGTGCCTGTTGATACCCCTGTCCGATACTCATGACGTTTCAGCGATATCCTCTTTTCTGCGTCCTTTCTTGTGTCGAACCGTTGCTGGTGGTCCTCGGTTTCCGGTGGTTTCCATTTGTAGAGAAGGTCTTCGATCTGTTGTGGATACTGCCTTGTAGATTCTTTCGGTTTGTTATAAAGCGGTCGGACCTTACCGCGGGACCTCACCGTTGGACTGCTCTTGCTTTGATGGTCAGATTTAATTTCTTGTCTACTGCAATACCGATCATTTTCTATTATGGGAATATATGTGCTTGTATACTCAATCCCCATTTCACGATTCATCCTGTTGCTTTGAGAATGAGACTCAAGGCTTCAAAGAAGTATGAGCATCTTTGCATTCATCTATGCATTACTCGGAACAGTTGACCGTTGATGGGACCCTGGCCGTTCTTATCGCTCCCCATCCCACGGGGCTTGGCATTTCCTCTCCACGTTTCTCACCACGACATTTCCTCAACTCCTCACCTTCTCGTCTCACCTGCCTCTCAGTCAGCTGACTGATGGTCGTGGCTTGCCCCCCATAAACACCTAGGCCGACCCGGCGGACTTCTGCTCCCGTAGCCACCGTCCCCGCCATCGCTCTCGTGCCACTCCAAGTCAGCGACCATGGCACCCATCGCCGATGCGCCGAGCCCAGAGGTCTTTGGCATAGCCCGACGAACCCGACGAACCCTAGGAATAGCCCTTTTGCTAGTCGTGGTTTTCTTATGGACAGCATCAAATTTCCTCGGAAGCGTACGCGTGCCCATACCAGCACCATTCAGCCCGCTATACAACGAAGACTGACAGCAGAATACTACACAGACGATCTTTGCCGATAAGACATATGCCAAGCCCTTCTTCGTGACCTACCTTAACACCTCGCTGTTCACAATGCCCCTCGTTACCATCCTGATCAGTCGCACATGGAGCCTCTGGCGCACCAATCGTATCTCCCGCGTGGACTCCCTCCGGAGCCTGCTGCATCATTTGGACTCAGATGATCCAAAACATAGCGAGGAGCGCGATTATCTGCGTAACGGGTCCTTGGAGGACTATGAATCTGGTGGTGATGAGCGGGACCTGGGACCGCAGGCGGGTGAAGGAAAGCTGGGGTTAAAGGCGACGGCTAAGCTGAGTTTCCAGTTCTGTTTACTTTGGGTATATATCCTGCATGTCCGGGTACAGGGCTTGTGCTAACGCGGCGCAGTTTACTGTATGTCATTTGCTAATATCGCGTTCTCCGGGCTACGAATCTGACGTGATATTGAATAGGCGAACTACTTTGCTATGGGGTGTCTGCAGTACACGACTGTGGGAAGCACGACCATCTTAACATCCACTAGCGGTGAGCGTCATTCGACTCTATGGAGTTGAAGCAAACAGCAACTGACCATTACACAGGAGTCTGGACCCTCGTCTTCGGTGCCATCATTGGCGTCGAGAGATTTACAGTCCGCAAATTCCTCGGCGTAGTCGCATCCTTGATCGGTATCATCCTGATCTCGCGCGTGGACCTCACAAAACCAGAGGATGCCAATACCACCGCAGATGGCAGCCAAGGCTCGTTCCTGCACAAGACGACTGCGGAGATCGCGCTTGGAGACGCCATGGCTGCATTCAGCTCAATCTTGTACGGCATCTACACGATCGTCATGAAGAAGCAGGTTGGCGACGAGTCGAAGGTCAATATGCAATTATTCTTCGGTCTCGTCGGCTTCTTCAACCTCGTAATGCTATGGCCTGGGTTCTTCATTCTGCACTGGACGGGCGTGGAACCATTCTCGCTTCCGGATACGAAGCGGGTCTGGACGATTATTCTGGTGAATGCCGTTTCTTCATTCGTCTCTGATATAGCATGGGCGTACGCCATGCTCCTCACGACTCCTCTCGTCGTGACCGTCGGCCTCAGTCTGAACATCCCATTGTCTTTGGTCGGCCAAATTGTGCTTCAATCACAATATGCCAGTCCACTCTATTGGGTCGGTGCTGCTATTGTATTCCTGTCCTTCTTGATTGTCAACCACGAAAGCAAGATAGAGGACGAAAATTCGGCTGAGATAGTCCCGACCGTCCTCTGGTGAGTATGAAAGCATTCCTCGCGATGATGTGAGGTAGACACATTTTCTTCCGCTATACAGTGTGTTCTCTAGCACATGTCCACCTTTATGATTTTCGGTTTGTCCTTTTTGCGCCGCGTGGCCGGTGCCGTCTTAGATTTTTTCCAACTAAGCATGTTCAGATATACCAGAGTCAGTACGGCATTGATTGAGACAGTGCAGAGTGAATAGGATCCAGGCCTTTGATTGATTCAAATTACTCTTCGTGCATCCTAAGGCCCAGTAGACTCATAATTACGTGCGCACCTACTTATCAACAATAGAAAGAGAAAGACCTTCACATCCAAGGGATGAGTTGAATACCCAAACATCTTCCTCGGACCTTCAATCGATTGTCAAGGGTCAAGGAGATAATGGAAACACTAGTGAAGAGATCAACAAATGCAAATAAAATAGATCCTTGCTGAACAATACAGAAGATTCAACGCCGGTCTTCTCCCTCGACACAAGAAACCTGGGTATATTCAATTGAGAGATGTGAATTTGAATGAGATATTCGAATGAAATGATTGGGCCAGGAGACGGGTATCAGGATCAACCGGTGGGAGAAAGACAGGGTCAGTAGAATGGCAATCGGTAGGAATTGTGGAAAGGGCGAGGGACGAAAGTCCATTCAGGTAGATATACAATGCCTACGTCGCAACGGCAGGGGTAGTGCCGAGTTTCTTGCGGAAAACGATGACGCTCTTCAACGCGCCCAGCCATCGTGCGAGGGACTCTTCGTCCGGAGCGCAAAGCCGGTAGGTTTTCTCTTCGGCGATGATCTGCAGACAGAATGTCTTGGACCGTGACACTGGGTCGACTTCGGCGGCATCAATCACTTGCGACATGGAGATGATCTTGAGCGCGGAATACTCTTGCTCGTCCTTGTAGAAAGCCAAACTCTTCGGTCGTAGCACCACCCAGAGCCGCTTCCACTGTCGTACGGTTCCCTTGATCCGCAGTCCTTGTAGGTACCCTTGGCACACTACCCGTTCGGGATCGCGTAAGATGAGTTCGGACTGTCTACTCGTGTCGCGTGGTATGCCCAGGTCACGCGGCAAGCCCATGTCGCGCGGTAAAGACATGGGTTTATCCTCCGGGGCAGAAAGAGATAGAGTATGAATTGACGGCATGGAGCGCAGGCGGCTTCCCCGGGCTGGCGAGGGAGCGTCTGAAAGCTCCGAGTAGGAAGTGATTTCATTTCCCGAATATTCCTGAAGGCAGGAAGGTTTGCGGGCTGACGGGCCCGGAGATCGAGTCCGGCCTAGCTCGGGGGAGCTGGCACGGCCGGCGACATCGAAATCGGAGTGGTCGGTCGTGTCTTCAATCAGCTGTTTACTGATTGCGGGGAGTGCGCGTATCTTGGATAGGGCCATAAAAGCAGCTTCGTCCTCATTGCCGGGAACTTCGGCGCGGATGCGATCGATCCAGTCATCAGCGTCGCGCTCCGAGAGCACCTCAAACCGGTAGTTTTTGGAAGGGGTGAAGACACCGAAGACGTGCTGGCGATTGGAGCGGGGAGATTTCACTGGGGCCACGGCTGTCACTTCGGAGAGATTGATGGAGACGCGGATGCGGGTGGCCTCCTCGTCCTTGTATACGGAGAGGAGATTGGGCCGCAGGACGAGGTAGGCGGGCTTCCAGGAGGCGCGGAAGACATGCTTGTGCTTGACGCGTCGGAAAACCTTTCCGGACTTCAAGACACGATCGAACTCGAAGCTCCCGTTCTCGTTGACGGGAGAGAAGGTATCCAAGTTGACCTGACCGTTGCGGGAGGGCGGCGCGCGAAAGTGAACGGAATGGTCGGGCACTTGAATCGCGGAGGATCTGCTCTGTCCCTCCGACAGCGAGGGACGAGCCAGTACCTGATTCATGATGGCCGTGAAGACATGTACGAAGGAGAGGGAGAGAGGTCTAGAGCAAGGTTCGCTGTTTCTAGTGTTTCAGGAAAGGGGGGGGGAACCCCGCGGCGTTGGGACGATCGTTGCCCACGACGAGGCCTGTCCGAGGAAGAAAAGACCATCAGGTGTGACCCGGTTAACCAGGCGAGGGTCACATTATATACTTATGGTCTGATGTCAACCTGAGAGCGGGGACGAGTCATGCTCAGATCCAGTCCAAGGCTGACCGCGGGTCAATCCCGATCGAAATACTTAAGTACTTACCCAGGAGTCCGGCAGTTATATAATCGGGGAACCAATTTGGCTGCCTGAGACACTCAGCACTTAGCACAAAGATGGAGTCCAACTCCATTGCCCCGTCTACATGCCTATGATCCCTTCGAGTAAGCAGGCACACGAACAGGGTCCAGAGTCGCGAGTCCAGACCATCCACTGTTCAGGCCACATCGCCCGTAGAGAGTGGAGCCGCAATTGCTAGACCCCGGTACTGTCTACTTCATTTCCCGGCTGCACAATACTGCCGATACAGGTACCGGTACATGGCTCCTTTCCCTTCTACGTTGACGAAGCTTGGGATCGACTTTTCAACGACACAATCGTCCTTTGTATGGACCGGCGATGCCATTGGCCCCGGCCGCACTCGGCGTAACGGCCGGGTCGTCCCTGACGCCCCTAGACCCCGATCGACATACGCTAGTTTCAGGTGCGCATCACACACGAGTGAACCCTTGCTGCGAGCTACAGCTGTCTGTATCTGTGGACGAGTCCTTATACGTTCCGAGTACTTCGAGAATACCTCGCGATCATCAATATGATTCCGTGTGATAGGCAAGCAATATGGAGTGTGTCTCCAGCGTCATTGCCACATCGGGGGGCTAGGATCGCTTCGATTTTCACGTAGACGCCGAACCATATAGACACAACCCCATTTATAGACGAGCAAGCCTTATAGAAAATGCCAAGTCTGCTGTACTTTGGGTGTACCTACATTGACTGCGCACTGCGTGGGTATCACAGCGCTACGCAGGGACAGGTCCACGGCAGTCATAACCAACTACACAACAGACAAATACAAATTAGACCGAACTATGGAACCACGAATACCCCAAGATGGCAAACAGGAAAAGTAAAAGACACCCTCCCAAAACAGAGAGGAGGAAAAAAAAAACTCTCCTATCCAAGTAAAATACACCATGCTTACAAGGCAAATACGCCATCCAAGAGCGGCAACACGAAATAGGGGGGCAAAGAGCGAAATTAACGGTTTCGGTGTGACGGGCCACAGACGCTTGCGCCTCCCTGGTCTTGGCAGACACTTCTCCCATCCCCATCTCCCTTCCCCTTCTCTTTCCACAACCTCGAGCCTCTCGACTCTATTCATGCCCTCCACCCCCTTATCTCCCTCATCGTTCACCTCCGTTGTGTTGCTCCCGACGCCCTCTTCTCCATCTTGGGTCTGAGAAGGTTAGTTGGGGGAAGGAGAAAGGAGGCATTCCTCCGGCCATTCGTTTTTGTCTTGTGAGATCTGATCGTCACTCTCCTCAAAAAAAGGTACCCGTTCACTCCGGTACTACTTCTGCCTCCACTCTCGACCCGTCGACAACGTGCGGCCTTGTTACCCCCCGGAGTATTGTCTTGAGTCCGACACAACTCGATTCCGGCCCTGCTGCTTGGGTCCCGTCCACTTGATCATCGTGGGGTCTTGGACGCGTGCCCCCATCGCACTCATGAGTTTCATTCAGCGCATTACCAAACGGCTGCCCAGTGCGCCTAGCCTCCCCTTAGAAGATATCTCCCGCGAAAAGGGCCACGGTTCGCCGCGGTTCGCCTTCTTCCGCCGGCGCATTCGCTTGAAGGGCAATTCTTCTATATCTATACCCCTGGGATTTGTTTTACTATTTCCATGTCTTGTAATTGTCTTCATTTTACTTCTTTTTGTCCGACATCCTTCGTCTCCGGGGGCATTCTAATTCCAGCGGGCACTCCGCCCTCCATTCGGTACGTCTCCCTTCTTCGCCCAGTCCAGGCGTTGCAATAGCTAACCGTGGTCTCTTCAATCCAGCAAAATCAGCGAAAAGCACGACAAAGTCTTCGCCACCGGCTGTATGCCCATCGATGCCGCCGAAATTGCGAAAGCCCCTCGTGCCAACGCTGCCTTTGTCGTTCTTGCGAGAAACAAGGAGCTGGAAGGTGTTATCCAGTCTCTCAAGTCGATCGAGCGTCACTTCAACCGCTGGTGGCACTATCCTTACGTCTTTCTGAACGATGGTGATTTCGATGATGATTTCAAGGCCACCGTGATGAACTACACCAGTGCCCCCGTGGAATTCGGCAAGATCGATAACTCCATGTGGGGTTATCCCGACTGGGTCGACGAAGAGGTCGCCAAGGAAGGAATTCGGAAACAGGGTGATGCCGCTATTATGTACGGTGGCATGGAGAGTTATCACCACATGTGCCGTTTCTACTCCGGGTAAGTAACCCTTTCGACTGCAAGAGTGCACTCAATACTAACAGCGGTCCAGACACTTCTACAAGCACCCCCTCCTGATGAAATACGAATGGTACTGGCGCCTGGAGCCCGAGATTAAGTATTTCTGTGACATTACATAGTAAGCCTGCCTTGTCCATTTCGATGCTCCGTCCAATTACTCACCCGAAGCAGTGATCCCTTCCTCAAGATGATTGAGGCCAACAAGACGTACGGTTTCACCATTGCTGTAAAGGAACTTCGCGAAACTGTTCCGAACATTTTCCGTTACGCGTCAGCCTACAAGCGCAATAAAAACCTGCCGTCCAAGGGCTTGTGGGAGATGTTCTTGGAGCGTCCGGAAGAGCCCGCCGAGCCAGAGGCAGAGAAGCAAGATAAATTGCCTGAAGAAATTCTTCAAAGTGAAGTCGGTGACAATGGTCTTGATGACATTGACCCTGAGGCGATGGAGGGTGAGAGCTACAACATGTGTCATTTCTGGAGTAACTTCGAGATTGCCCGCCTGGATTGGTTCCGCAGCAAGGAATATGAAGATTTCTTCCAGATGATGGACCGCAGTGGAGGGTTCTGGAATGAGCGTTGGGGTGATGCACCGATCCACTCCCTTGCAGCTGGTGCTCTTCTCGGTGTCAAGGATATTCACTACTTCCGCGACTTCGGATACCGACACACCACCATTCAACACTGCCCCGCCAATGCTCCCGCGCGGCAATTGCCCCGCGAACCCTACCTTGAGAGGACCACAGACGATGAGAAAAAGCGGATTGAAGAGGATGAGTACTGGGCTACACCTGACCCGGTCAAGGAGAATGGTGTTGGATGCCGATGCCGCTGCGATACCGACATTGTCGATGTCGAAGGCAAGCAGGGCAGCTGCTTGTCCGAATGGGTCGAGGTCGCCGGTGGTTGGGCCTCGCCGTAAAGCCATCACGAGCGCCTCGGCCATGTGTATGCTTCGTTTCTTCCCTGTGACTCCATACTATTTATTTCGGCTACGAGCATCACCTGGGCTTGCCCCACGGGAGTTTCTGCTGAAACCTGCGAGTCATGTTGACCGGGATTTCCTTTTGGGCGGCGTTCAATGGGTTTGACGGCTTTCTTTTCGGATGATGGCGAGACTTTTCATCACCCATGTTGACATCTTCCTGTAGCATGCTGCCCCCATCACTGGGATTAAATGTGTGCTGTTTCTATTTGCTCGACGGATGGCTATCGTCTGGGAGGATCAGGTGATACCCCAAGACCCAAGTTTTGTTCGCCGATGTTATATTTGCCTGCTCCCTGGCGTGGGCTGCCCGCTTTCCCTTTCCAAATACTTCTTTTGGGGTCATCTTGTTCATTCACGGACATACATACCCGGCCTCTGTGATGCTGCAGGTGTGATATGGGGTCGATCTACCCGGGAAGAAAGGTGGCAGCAATCTCGCCCTCCTGCGTTGTTATGTGTTTCGTGTTTGTTAATTTCCCATCAGTCACTTGTTTCCCCGGCTCTTCCCAGCCTTCCCCTGCCGTCGCACCTGTGGTTTTGTCTTCCAGCATGCATCCATGAAATGTACATACCTTGTGTTCCTCTCCCCCCTTACCCCGTGGCAAACCCCACGGGTCTCACCTGTCGCATTGTTTCCAAACCTCCTAAATCCCAGATTCGAGCATGGCTGTCTATAGAGTATGGAATAATCATCGGTGGTTTACGCAGAGAATGAGATCAGTATAATGCGATTCCTTTATGTATTTTCAGTGGCTGAGGTAGAGAGGAAATAGCCATAGGCTGCTAACAGCGCGGTGCCTTTTTAATAGCAGCTGCTTTGGCGTCAGATATTCTGCATTTACCCAAGTGGAATCAATGGAACCTACATATTTTGATCCACTCCAAGCCAAGACGGCTTATAGTGCTTAGCCAAGACGGCTTATATTGCTTAGCCAACAGCACAGACATGCTCTCCACATTGAATTCGAGAGTGGGCCCTGAAGACGCTTGGCCATAGACAGTACAAAAGTAACTAACATTGCCCCATCAACTTGCCTATCTATTGATATTGAAGACACATCACGGAGGCGAGAAGATATTCAACTAGTGGACCGGACAGTCTTGAATGCCAGTCGTGATTCGTTAGGAGTAACCCAAGTTCGTCTGGAGAACATCAGTACGACATTTACTATCAGTACCGCTCAACGTTGGAGAGCAAGGTGACATTCAAGAGGGGAACATCCAAGAGGGGAAGGTTTGGGGTGAGGGGGTTGATAGTGAATTAATACTGGGCAAGATGCCGATCAACAAACCCCTTTCTTCATCTCGGACATTTCTCCAACGGTATTGTGAGGATGTGGATGTTCCTCCTTATTGGGCTGGCAGCAGCCTTTAACAATCCCGCTGGTGTAGACATTTGGTGCGGCAAGGCCTATCGATCGACGTAAGTGATTCCATTTGTTGCGAGACTCAGGCTAAAGGTCCCTCAGTAATGCCTCGTTCGAGCCTGGAGGCTGGATAGAAAGACCATCTCAATCTCCTGTACCGCTCTTAGATCTGAAACTCCGCCCGCGCATGAATCTCTATACTCCAGGTGATGGCAAGGGGTCATTTATTGTTGATGCGGAGATCTCATACATTCATGGTGAACCCTGGGAGATCACAGACCATGACTCGCAGAGCCTCAATATCGAAATCGCGATTGACGAGGCGCAATTACATCTGACGCACTCGGTATCTATCAACACCTCTTCCAATGAGCTGGAGTTCCCCCTGTATGGTCTCGCTCCCCGCTTCGAGCCCTACCGTGTCAATCTCAAAGCCAATCGCCAGGACGGTGGCCGTGTGTACACTGCCACCACTAATCTCTACCATTTACCCGAGCGCACAGATGGCGGCAGCATCACGAAGCTCGACAGTCTGTATGGCGGACTTCTGGTACAGGACTATGCCGATGACTCTTCATGGAGCCCGCTACTCCCATACTCCTACTACGTCAGCTGGGATGGCTATCTCGAGAAATCCCTAAGCAATATCCAAAGCTTCAAAGATCAAGGCTATAATATCATCCACATTGTACCCGACGCAGGCCTTGCAAATGAAGCTTTCAACTTCACTGAGCTAGGCAAGTTCCTCAACAAATGCGACGAGGTCGGTCTGTGGGTGATGTATGACATGCGCTGGACATACGAGAACCTCACTTCGGTTCAGTATCAAGTCGATATACTCAAAACACACAAGAGTATGCTTCTCTGGTATGCAGGTGACGAGCCTGATGGTCAAGGGGGACCCACTGAATGCAACCAAGATCACGTACGACCTGATCAAATCACTAGACCCATGGCATCCCGTTTCACTCTGTCTGAACTGCTATAATTTCTATTACGAAGAGTACTCGTCGGGAGCAGATATTGTTCTCTCAGATGTGTACCCCATTGCCGTCAACACGAGCTGGTCTACCGTCTATGACACGGCCTGCAACACAACGTATGGCTGCTGTGGCTGTGATGATTGCCATGGCAAAATGGAAGATATCTCGACTCGACTAGATACCTTCGTAGAGTACCAATCCTGGGTCGGAAGTTCACCGAAAACTTTCTGGGGCGTACCCATGGCCTTTGGAAATGAGTCCTTCTGGACGCGGTATCCCACTGCGGCGGAAGAAGTGACCATGACCATGTTGAACTTGAATCATAATGCAAAAGGGATTGTCATGTGGGATTATCCACCACCGATGAGTTGTCTAATATTACAAGCAAGTTGAGTCAGGTTCTTGCGAGTGATCGGGCTGCGAGGTTCTTGTTGGGCGCGGCTACGGTTCCGCTGCGGGTGACAGGGCATTCTAAAATGGATGTTTCGAGCTGGATGGTTGGGGGTAGAATGTTGATTAATATCCTGGCTCTCCAGACGCCTTCTTGGTCGAATACTGTGACGACCGTATTGCCTGGTGATGCGAGTGTCATTCAGGAGGTGCTTTGGGGATCGGGAGGCTGGAATCTGGACAATGGTGAGCTCGTCAAGAAGGGGGGACATGCGCTAGAGACGGATATTATTATTGTTGAGTTCGAGGCTTGATCCCTTGGTGGAGTGCTATTTGCTCCATGGAGCTTGATATGACGAAATCACATTAATGGCTTCATTTCTCTCTTATACTTCTCCAAAGTGCCCACAGTCGCGGGTACTTCTCTTCAGTGATAGAGCAACTAGATAGGCTCGATCAGTTTAATAGAATTTGATTTGATTTGATTTGATTTGAGCCAAGTAAAGGCGATACCTTTTATGATTTTCGGTTTCTTCCGCAGCCTGTATAGAGGTGGTAAGAAGCATGATAAACTTATGACTTTTGAGCGTCGCCGGGCCCTTTGGTAACTTGGTGCATCGTATGGTGTCCCACCTAGCCGCAGCCCCTCAATGATTCATCTGCGCAAAGGCTTTGGAGGCAGGGCCAGAAAAGAATTGCTCAGTGTGTATTAGACAAGACCATTTTGAGAATGAATGTAGTCATGTGGGAAGTTTTGACCTAGTCGTTGACGCTGAGAAAGTGCTCACTAGTTGTACCAACTTGAGACCAAAATTTTACTTGATAACCTGAACTGGGACACATTATATCAAATTTTCTGTAGCAAGCGACAGTAATTCATCAACAGGTTATACAAGTAGGGATGTAGGGATATACACAAACAATTAAGTGGCAGTATCTGACGCAGTTAGTGTGGGGATCTGAGGGCATCATACCCGCGTCATGCCCGTGCTACATTGATTATCAGATTGGGGAACAGTATTACACAAGATACCTGAAATCCTGCAAGGGCACCATGGTAGATGTCAGATGTAAACAATATGAAATTGTGAGTGCCTTGTGAAATGATATGATCGAATGTTACTTGCTCGGGTAGCGTTCACCTCTCCATGCGCCTCTACCCGGGACCACATAGATGTTCGTCTACATAAGGGCGTCATGTCGGACGCTTTTTTTATGTTGTTGTTGAACATCTTGAACTCATTCATGAAGGCTGCAACTATCATGAAAATCCTTCCAGAATGTACAGCCAGAAACTTAATTTCTCCTCGGACATTTTGCCAGCAGAAAATCATCTGAGAGATCGCCGATTGTATCCCAACACAGTAGCAGGTAATCGAGCTCATGATCGCTAATTGACGTCTGTACCACAACCTGAAAGATTACATCTATGAAGAACGGAAATACAGGAATTCTGTGGGCATGCCAACACGGTATGTGTACGATTCCTCGAGCTTGGAGCCGATCCAAACTCCGAATTTCTCGTGGGCTACATTTCGCGCTGACTACTCCATGTCGCTTCCTATGGTGGACATATAGAATACGTCCAAGTTCTTCTCTTATAGGGAGCCGATCCAACTGGCAAAGATGGATCTGGAGATACGCCATTGTTTCCTGCGATCAAGAACGGCGATGCTGCCATGGTGCAAATGTTGCTGGAGACGCGGGTTGATCTCAATGTTGAGAATGAGTCTCGATATCTGGAGGCGACTCCGCTCGGACTGGCGATACACCAGGAATTGGGTGCCATTGTTTGGCTGCTGGTGGAAAAGGGTGCAGGTCTTCCTTCTTAGGGGTGGTATGTCTTGGTGATCATCATGAACATGTGATATGCTTGCTGGCTGGCTGATATCATGTCTCAAGGTTCATGCACTATGATATGTCCATTCCAGAGCTTTGTATTCCGTAAAACTTCCATATTTGAGTTTTCAAATACCGTGGTGTATATTTCGCTGTGCACGCTTGCTCAGAATGGCACACGTGGACCAGTGAATATAGCATAGTTCGAGGCAGTCCTATTTCTAGGGGCATTCATGCTCTATTGCCGGAGGATCGATTACGAACCCGTAGAAGATGACTGATACGTTGGCGCTAGAAGGGTTCCTAGAGTCATCGACGAACTAAGCTCAGGTGACGTCAGCTTTGACAAGAATGTCAGCGGTAGGAGGGGAATCTCAATCCTTGGGGCCAAGCGACGATGTTCGTCACTTTGTACATCTGGTCAATCATCTCGTTCATGGAAGGAAGACTGTTCAAGTATGACCCGCGTTAAGACTATCTCAAAGCGTGTCAACATGGCAAAGCCCCGCAGAGAGGGAGATCGGTGGGGCCGAGTGGAGTGACCTTCTTATCGGCGACGTAAGTATTGTCGGAGCTTCAGAGCCGTAATTCAGCGCCGTGGAAATAAGCAAAATAGCATATGCGATCTGGTAGCTTCGGCCTGAAGTACCATGACCGTAGCCGTTGCACATAGGGAAGTACAATGTAGCTGATCCCCCGCTACCGTTGATCGTATTCTATGCTTATCACCTCCAACGGCCCAAGTGCTTCTCCATCACTGCTTCCAAGGTTTCCCCTCTTTCCCAAATATCTGCCCAACCTACATTCAAATTGCCTGGTACCTTTGGTGCCCTTTGAAGTGTCTCTCTTGCCCTGAGTCAGACACCCCAAACACCTGACGAGCGAACTCCCCGCGGACCCACGGGGGCACATGCCTCTCCAGTTCCCGGCCATCAACGTATGCTAAAGGCTTCTTATTCTACCCCTCTCTTCGCTTTGACGTGATTTTCACTTGATGCTCGTCTCTACAATATGACTGATGCTCCGGAGTCGCCCAGGCGTCCACCGAGCGCCGCAGCTTCCCATCTTCAGTATCCGACCCTCCCGCCCCTCACGGCCTCTGTAGAGCAGTGGCTATCCCACTCCCGACCCACCAACAACATGGCCTCTGATCGCCCCTCCGAACCTCCTCACAAGTCCTTGAGTGATAGCTGGGCTACTCTCAGTGTTTCCGACTTGCATTCAGAGGATGGTAACCGGTCCGAACAAACCGACACCGCGTCGCTGATCGACCAAACCACACCCGACGATGTCGCCAGTCTCGACGAGCGGTACAGCAGCAGCGAGGCTGATGGCCCAGATGAGGAATATCGCCGTGATCAGGAATGCGAGGAGACACATCGCGATGAGGCACCGAGCACCCGGGGATCTCAACTATTTCCCAAGCTCTATACTCATGCTGCGGGCATCGACGATAGCGGACTCACAACAAGACCACGTCAGTTATCCGAGCTCATCGAATTCCCGGAGCCCGAGATGTGGCCGGAGACTGAGCGGGTTGAGTTCAAGCATACGACTCTTATCTTCGACGATAAGATGGCCGCGGCATTAAAGAGTCAACTACCGGCCATGTTGCTGCCATCTAATACAACCGACTCCATACTCATGGCCACGGTCCAACAAACCATGACCAAGCACAGTCTGGACCTTGACAAGCCTTTCCGCGTGCTGTACGTTGGCCAACCCGAATACCGCAACATCATTCTTGACAAGATCGGCGATGTCCTGGTCTCAAGCTCATCTACTGGATCGCCGAGCAGCTCTGCTGAGTCTTCACGCTACCATGTTGTGCCCACATCGTTTGGAGCAGGTGCCGTGCCAAACTTCGCCGAGTTGCTTCCTATTCATGTCCAGCTCGTCGTAGACGAGTGCATGGAAGCTACTGTGGGCTCCTCGCAGGACCAACCCCAAACCCTGCATTTAACGTTCAAGAATCGACCATCCTGTCGGTCATGGTGGGATGGAGACAAATACTGTGTTTCATCAGCATCAGAGTGGACTCTTCCCGACATGGCAATCATTTTTGTGTCTAGCCACGATGATGCTTCAGTCGTGCAAACCCAACGGCTTGCTCATGCCTTTTTAGAGCGACATGGAATACCCGCAATGGTCATCTCTGAGGAGCCGATGTGGGAGCGTGTCGGTGAAACCGTTCCGCTGAACCAGGATAGTCTTCACATGTGTCTGGAGTCTCGAAACGCTCAGACCGGAGAAACAGTACTCCTTCGACGCTACCCAATCGATCTGGAGACTTTCGAGAGTATTACCCCTAGCCAGCTCAATAGAAACCTAGCTTCTCTTATGGAGCTCTATCCCAACAAGTTGCACAAGACAACCGCCGATACTCCAAGCCTGGCTCAACGATGCTCAAACCCTGACCCAGAGAAATATCCTCTCAACTGGATACCTCCAGCGTATGCCAGCAGGGCTTGTGATGTTGCCCCGATGCTGCGTTTGGTCACGCTAACTCTCATCTCGGCAATCGCCCTCTCAGTCGGTTATGCCGCCGTCAAGACCGTGGTTATTTTTCTCGCCCAATGTATTGCCGGGTCCGCTTTGTCTCACATATCCTCTCCATCCCTTGTACCCATTCCAACGACTGCCATGAGTTTTGAAAACGTGAGACAAACTGCCTTGTCCGTTCGTCCAGATGATCAAGTGGGATTACTTCAAAGCCAATCTTCGGATAACGCTATCATGGAGCAGATCACTGGACTTAGCATTGCAGGCTCTGCAGAACCCAGAAATCCGGACAAATTTGAAATCCAAGTTGTTGGAGATTGCCATGTGGTGATAAAACCGCCTCGAAACCTTGCATCTTCTAAGAAGCAAGCACGATTCAACGTCAGTGTTCAACGATACGATCAAGCCCTTCCTTATGAATTGTCTAGGCTATTTTATGATGTCTACTCACTACGATTGGATCGAGAGGAAGCTTACGGCTTGATCAATGTTACAGTCACTGCCAAGTCAAAGATACCCATCAGACAAACTACAGTGGTTGACTTCGGTACTCCATGGCTGAAGATCGCCAATTGGAGACGGGCAGCCCGCATCATATCTTCGCAGGTGACGAAGGAATTGGGAGTCGTCCAAAGTAATCTTAACGAGGTCTACGGACGACTCACCACCGACCTTACTGACATCTATGGCCACATGACCACCGACCTGACTGATTTCTATGGGCATCTATCCACCGACCTTCAGTCCATTGCGGGAAGTGTCGCCAAGAGATCTCACCATCTGCGAGCTAATGCTGAGTGCCTTCACCTGGATGGCCTTCATGCTCGAGAAAGTCTGCGGTCGAGCTCGACGCAGCTCTCGACCTTTGTCCACAATGCTCTTGGACAACTCCGCAGTGCAACTTCTGTCCTACACAGCCGCTCGGTCTATATTGATCAAGAGGCCAGGACGTTGTTCGGCGATGCGAGGAGCTTCTTGGAGAACTCTGCTGCGAAGGTCAATGTTCGCTCTATGATAGACCGAATGCGCAGTACAAACTATGCCACGCTCGATCGGGCTCAGACCCGCGCACGTCAGGTTGTGGGGCTTCAATCTGCAAAGTCTGATTGCTCAGGTGATAGCCGCAAGTGTTGAGAGCGTTCGCCTTTTTTCCTTGCTTATTCACGATTTGATCTTGGCTACTGGTGGGGGTCCTTTTTGTTTACGGCGATCGGGCTAAGGGGCGGGTCTGATACTTTGGAACGGGGTAAACACGCGAATATCTCTTCGGCGCAATGCAATTCAGTTGAAAGTATGAATAGTATTTGATCCCCAGATAGGTACCTTAGTAATTTACAGGTCATGTCCAAATATGTCCACGTAAATAGAAGGCAAAAAAGGGAAATTCGCCCCTCGCATTCAGCCCAAGGCGGTGGCGGTTCTGCCCACGCGCACCCAAACCATTAATTTTTCCCCCCTCATTGCCCCATTTTCTGATCAACAAAGCCAATTCTTCCACTGATTCCTACCTAGATCTCGGTGTCTACCACCTCTCTCCCCTCTTCTTTTTATTCTTTTGCCTTTGATACATCCTCCCAACCACCGCCCGCCATGTCTGACGCCGCGGAGACCAAGCCCGACCCCACCACTCAGGCTCCTGAGGAGACCAAGCCCGATACCGCCACCACCGGCGAGGGCGAGAAGACTGTGACTGAGGCTGCTGTTGACACGGCCAAGGAGGCTGCTGATACTGCCAAGGACGCGGCTGCTAAGACCACCGATACCGTTTTCTCCATGTTCGGAGGCGGTCCCAAGAAGGAGAAGAAGGAGGAGACCGAGGAGGGTACGGATGAGCCCTCTGGCTCTGCCAAGGCCCAGAAGGAAAGCGAGGTAAGCAATTATGATATCCGGCATGGGTTTGGTGCGGGGTCAAAGCTATGAGACGTGTCTGTTGCAACCAACATATCGCGGGGGGGAGGTTTTTCTGGCCCCTGCATGATGTGTAGTCGTTCTTCAGCTAGACTTGAGCTTACCTACACCATCTATCGGAGCTTCCCAAGTTCCAAGGTTATGTTAGGCAGATGACTCACATCGCATCTTTCTAGAACCCCGAGGACGAGGCCCCCGAATCCCCCGATGTCCACTTCGAGCCCGTCATCCGCCTCACCGAGAAGGTTGAGACCAAGACCAACGAGGAGCTCGAGGAGCAGGTCTTCAAAATGCGCGCCAAGCTGTTCAAGTTCGACCGTGAGAGCAAGGAGTGGAAGGAGCGTGGTACCGGTGACGTTCGTCTCTTGAAGCACAAGGAGAACGAGAAGACCCGCCTGGTCATGCGCCGGGATAAGACCCTCAAGGTCTGCGCCAACCACTACAGTGAGTCGATATTCATAGACGCTTTCTAGAAGCATATTACTGACTGGGAATCAGTTGTCCCCGACATGAAGTTGAGCCCCAACGTTGGCAGTGACCGCAGCTGGGTCTGGAACGCCGCCGCCGATGTCAGCGAGGGCGAGCCTGAGGCCCAGACTCTGGCTATTCGCTTTGCCAACAGCGAGAGTGAGTTTCTACATTATCACATGTGTCGTATGAAAAGCGTTACTGACTAGCTCCAGACGCCAACCTCTTCAAGGATGCCTTTGAGAAGGCCCAGCAGGAGAATGAGAAGCTCTTCGGTGCCGCTAGTGAGCAGTAAATCGGCCACTCTCCCGAAACAAGCCTCACCCTTTTGCTTTGCACCGAGGGTTGAGGACTCACGCCCGTGACGCGCTCGTTGCCAGCCGTCTCCGAGGACAGGAGCTTCCCCTGAAATCCCTTGCCATCCCTTCACCAAACTATTCAACAACTATGCTCTTCACCCCATATTCCCATTTTTACCCCAATTCCCTTCCCCGACGACGCGATGAACGAGGCAGCGATGATGTTGATTTCCACAGCCATCGTGATGTGATTATGAAATGGAGGGCAGTTCCCAGGTCCTACAGTCGGCAGTAGATAGAAACCCCCTCGAATATACACCCTGCACGTCACTCATGAACTCTGAGGAGTGTCTCTGGATGTACATAGGCCGTTGTAGCCAAAGTAAAAGCTATACCTGGACATCCCGAGGCAGCTTGTTCTCGAGGAAACATTTCCATCTCCAGAAATCAGCTTTCAAGCGTCAGCCGCGAAAACTGTAGCTCGAATAATTCCACGAAATTCGTCTAGTCCGCCGAGTGAGGATCAAGTGAATGCGATCGGTGTGGAGGGTCAATGGGCGGACTGATCTGAGTTGTCTCCCCGTCGACCTCATTCTTCCCTACTCCCGTCCCTTTCATCCACCTCCATTGTTGGCGACTCCAACACACACGAGAAGTTTGAAGTCGGCCCTTCTTTAGTGATTGTCGACTGCAAAGTGAATCTTACATACCGCCTCGCCGCGAACCTCGCGCGAACTCTCTCAACCGATCCACCTTCCGCGCATACCCCCTCTGCCCCCGACACCACGCCCAAAAGAGCCTTGAGAGAAGCTAGTCACTCGCTCATTCAAGATGCCTGACGTGAGTCTTTATTTAACTTCCCGTTGTTACATATGCTGGCGCCGCTGGCTCTGTGGAAGCTCGTGCCGAATTGCTGGCGCCCGGCGGCCTTCGCACCCGCTTCGCGCCCTGTTGATTGCGACTTTTCACTGGCTCTGGACATTGTTCTGAGCTTTACTTGTGCTTTTACATGTGCTGATTCTTGGTTTCCGCCGTTCAGGTTAAGCGCAATGTCCGTCTCGTGACGTCGCAGCACATCATGTACGTGATCAACCTCATTCTCCTTCCTCGATTCGAATCGGTACCCGTGCTTCGGAGCCTGCATTCTTTTAAAAGATATAAGTCAGATCCTGTAGTGCATAATGCGCTCTTTCGGAGACAGTGAACATTGAACTGCTCGCGCGTCACCTTCGATCTCACTATAACATGCACACACACACACACACACACACACACACATGAGAGGATTGGTGCACTAGCTAATGGGGTGAATTGCAAAAACAGTGACAAGCCCTCCGAGGTTGAGGGATTCCCTCAACGAGAGTGGTCTATCGAGGTCTATGCCGTTAACGAGAAGGGCGATCTGGTTCCTGCGACTCTTTTCGACAAGGTCATCTATCATCTTCACCCGAGTTTTGGTAGTCGCGCTGTCCAGAGTACGTGGATTCTCCGCTCAGGTTGCACCTGCAAGGTGTAGTCTAGAAGAATGATAGCTGACACGCAGATTTGAAATTCAGCCTTTACTAGGCCACCTTTCCGCATCTCAGAAGAGGGATGGGGTGAGTTTGACATGCAGATTGAATTTGTTGCCGACAAGTCCCATATCATTCAGCACGATCTGAACTTTGCCCAGGAGCGTTATGAGTCCAAGCATGTCGTTGTAAGTCTCTGCCTCTCACTCATTCCAAGTATCGTACCTGACCCAGTGATTCGCAAACAGGTCTTCAAGAACCCTAAGCCTGCTCTCCTGGAAAAGTTGCGCGAGACAGGTCCTGTCCCCGGTGATGAGAATGGCATGAAGAACAAGCGTGGCGCGACTGGCGAAGAAAGCGCCAAGAAGAAGAAGCGCACTGACAAGAATGTAAGGTTCCTTCATCGTCAAGATGAGATCTCGAGCTGACTATCATCTCAGGTTGATATGGACAAGTTGGCCGATGGTCTGCAAAAGCTCAACGAGGACGACCTGTTGCAGGTTGTGCAGATGGTCCATGATAACAAGTCATCGGACTCTTACACCAAGAACGACGTTGAGCGTGAGTCCCTCCTTGCCTTCCTAACAGACGTTTCCCTTTTGCCTAACACGCATCGACAGAGGGCGAATTCCACGTCGACCTGTATACCCTTCCAGACGCGCTTATCAAGATGCTCTGGGACTTCACGGCGGAGCGTGGCTTCCTGTAAACCTAGACAGCATCTCTGTTCTCGGTTTTAATTCTGATTTCACCTTTTTCCTTCATCTGCAGAAATGCGGCTAAGATCTCCTGTCCATGCTTTTTTCCTTTTATTTTCTGATACTTTGATCCTGGGGAGTTAGCGGCCCTCAGAGGAACTTGGCTGGGACTTTTTCTTTTCGTGCCTTTTTCTTCTTTCCCGTAGATCCTTGGTACTGATATTGATCACCATCGGCTATGTGCACTGGAAGTGGGTTGGGCTTTTTTTTTTTTGGAAAAAGCAATGCATGTATTCCTTTTTCTAATATTCTATCGGGATTGATAGACTTCTGGTATGGATGCTGAATGAGAAAAACCTTACATGTCCAGAAATTACATTTCGTCCTCAAGTTAAAGGGCACTGTGAAGCGTTTGCGAATACCAGTAGACATAAATCAGCTCTGGGTGATTACTGATGTAGGCAAATATGATAAGAGAAGGACAAAATCTTTGGGGAAAAAAAACAAGACAGCATGGGATATCTCAACGAGAAACAGCTAGAAAACACAAGATCAAGAGTAAGAGTAAGACACGTCCGACCCGCCAGAGCACAGCCAAGCACATCGGAAAGAAGGATAGCGCAAAAACCAAGGAAAGGAAGGAAGGAAACCCAGGAGCGCAGAGAAAACAAATAAAAAAACCACAACAAGAGCCCATGATCCAAAAGTCCCGTTCCACGGTTTATGTAGTTTCAGATCCAACGCCAATAGTCCGTTTCTTTTTTTTTCTTTGGTCGATCAAACAAGGGAAGTATTCAAGAACGTTCAGTGAGGTGGGACGTTAGGAAGATAGGAGACGTAAAAGGCATGGTGATGAGACGAAAGGAGAGAAGGATAGTGTAAGGGTGAGTTGTGAGTGTAAGTGTGAAGGAGGGGACGGAAACATTGCACTGCAATTGTTTAATCGTGGATGTGAGGAGGTTTTGGATTTAGAGAACGTGGTTTCTAGCAAGAGGTTTAGTATGGAATCATTCACGATAGCGAGTTGATAGACATACAGCTTCAACAGGTCCTCCAGGCTATCGGCACTGCAGCTGCGGCCCTTGGGGATGTTGCGAATGATGTCGACAATGGTGGTGAAGACGTCGCCATTGCGGTATGCCAGCAAAGCAGGAGCTTTAATGTGATCCATCTCGGCAATCTCTTGGTGCAGCTTGACGAAGTGGATGTTGGGTTGACGAGCAGCAATGGTGACAAGACATTCCTCGACAATGGCACTGTCATCAGACTAGAAGAGGGAAAAAAAAACGAGGTCAGACAAGGTAATTTCAAAGCATCAAATCATGGGTACATACCGACGGGTCGTAGATGCAAACCACTACCACGGTGTCCGGCGTCACCTTCTCAATGGCATCGAGGTACCCCGCAGCATCGACGGTCTCCACGGCACCCCATCTGCGGCCCCGAGGTGAGGGGCGCCGCATACCGCGGCTTTGCAGTTCCTGCATTCGCGAGACACGCCACTTGCGCATGAATCGTTCCTCGTCATCCTCACTGCCGGACGAGCTGTCATTTGGCTTGATCGGTGTGTCATCGCGTGTTTTGCCGAAGGGGTCATTGCCGTTGAAACCGGCGGCGTTGAGCAGGGTTCTCCGGAAGGACTTCTTGCGGGCCCGCTCGAAGGCCTGGGCATCGGCAATGACACCCTTGGGGCCTGTATTGGCGTCGAAGACAGTATTGGGGATTTGGTAATTGGAGCGAGAGGAGATCATGTCGTCCGGGTTCTCGTCCTCGTCTTCGGAGTCGAGGACACGGCGCTGGCGCAGATTGCGGGGTTGGGAGGAGTCGGAGAAGTCAGGGCTGGAGGAGCGGTCGTGATACTGGTGATCTTCGGGGTGGGAAGAGAATTGGTGGCGGTTATTGTTCACCAACTGATTGAATTCGTCTTGGGCGGACATGGTGACGGAGGTTGGGGGAGAGGACTCTTTAAAGCGTATAGAAAGCCGGGGCCGTGTGAAGTCTCAAGAGGATTTAGGCGCTGGGCGTGAGAACGGGGATAAGTTTCAAGCAAAACCCCTGAAGCCAAAAGGAAATCTGGGACGGAAATGGGGCTAAGCAGGGAAGAGATCGACGTGAAACGGTGAAGCCCCTTTTTCACCGTTTCAGGTGTCGATGACCCTCGGGACCCACCGATTCTCGTGGTTCTTTCGATGATCATGATTCTCCGTTTTTCCTGGCCTTTTCTCGACTCTCGATTGTCGAATCCTCGATTCTCTACTCAACTTCAGTGGCCTGGATCTCGATCCTGATCCTGATCCTGATCAGGATCAGGATTCGAGTCAAATCCCACATATCGAACAATGACCATGATGATCATCCCCAAATTATACCCAACATGGGCTCGAGGATCGTGCGTCTCAATACGAGTGATAGCCCACGATCTAATAAACTCGCCGAGTCCAGCCCTGTCGTTAGCACCTGTTACTCAAATGGGTAATATCTCCCCATGGCGAGTCGTGAAACTCCCGTCGCACTAAGACCGGGATGACGCTGATCATCGCCTCGAATCCACGCCACGCTCGTTCGATGCGCCTCGTGCCGGACTCAGCCTCGTCAGGCCCGGGATTTCTCTGCACTATTTTCGGATCCGATCGAACGTGGAACGGTCCGGCTCCACTGCCGTCTACGCGGTTGGAGTTATACGGCTCGAGACCTCGTAGATGATAGGTTGTAGATCCTACCCAGCAGTTCATGCTCACGGTAGAGCCGGTGTCGAGAGGTGTGTTGGGCAAGGTTGCCCCGTTTCTGTAACTAACTCTTTGCCTCTTTTGTGGGGTTGCCTGTTTGCCCGGTTGCTCAACCATCGGGCGAGCTATGCCGTGCCTTGGGTTGCCTTCATTCTCAATCCACGCCCACGTAGATGGTAGACGTGGGTATCAATTGAGACGAGGAATCTCGCGCTTCTCTCTTCCCTGCCAGTGAAATCTTTCCGCGGACGAGAGAGTCCAGACAGTCCGAGCTTGAAACTCATTCCTGCGTGGCAGACACGTCGACCCAATCTACTGCATTCTAAGCTGACTGGCAGCACGAAGGGTGCGCGTTGCAGTTGTACACCTACAGCCCGTCTACTTCTTCTACTGGGAATTCTCCAGGCAGCTGAACCAGAGATCTTTTATGAATGCCCTATGTCTGACGCAACACGCCATGCTCGCAGACGCCCCACAGACAATCAAGTCCAGCGCACACGATCACCAAAACCTCAAGATCAAGCACAGAGTGAAAACAAATGGAAAATTGGAACTGAAAACAGGGTCGGATCCGAATCCCACGAGAGATTCTGCCTCACAAGGAAAAAAAAAGAAACACACAATAGGTACAGGCACACTCTTTCTTTCGAAACAAGGAGATAATAAAGGGTAAAGAGAAGAGAGATGACGCAAAGGACGCACAAGGTTAAAAAAAAAATAAAGCGATAGATCATGGCCATTTCCAAACCGGTCCTTTCCTTTCCGCCAAAGAATACATGCTGAGACCGATGCAGGAAGGACAATCCGGTACTAAGACCGGGTAAATAGAACAGGGTAAAGGGAAAGGGGGGGAAAATAGAGAAGAGAAAAAAAAATAAGAAAGAAAGGGATAGAAAAGATCAGAGAGAAAAGGCATCATCCAGCAAGGGAAGGGAACAGGAGAAACGAATGTTTTAAGAGGCAGTGTCGGAAGATTAACGCAACCTCCACCTCGTTCTCGTGTCCAAATAATTGTGTCGTCGCTTTCGTTTCTGCCCCGTCGCGCTCACTACCTTCACATGCGACGAATCGAATTGTCTGCGCCGTGATTATCGCGAAAAACCTAGGAGTTTCCCGGTAACTGATTATTATCGTACAATGGCGGAGATTCGACTCATCGACCCAAAGAAAATTTCGAATAAGAGCATTGCAAATGATCGACACGGGGTATCTTGCGTTTGTTTTCTTTTTTAGGATTACCAGGCCCAGACCTTGAGCTGTGGAGGGGAGTGTGATTAGTAGGTGGTTCATGACGGGAGAGATCACAGACACGTACCAGAGAATCCCAAGATCCAGTGCACAGACTGATACCGTCATTGCTGACACCCAAGCAGCTCACACGGTTCTCGTGGCCGCTCAGGGAACCGATCTTGTCGCCGCGCAGGACATCCCACACCTGTATTCCAGTCAATGCGTGTCTCGATCATCAGGAGCGGGCGGGTACATACCTTGCACTCAAAGTCGTCGTAACCAGCAAACAGTAATCGGCCAGAAACAGAGAAAGCGACGGAGGTGATACCACACAGAACTTGGTCGCTCTAGGACTTAATTAGCTTTGTTCTCGGCCCACATGACGAATAATAAACGAACCTGGTAGATGTTAAGTTCGCGGTCGGCGCGGATATCGAACAGACGGCAAGAGGTGTCATCGGAACCAGTTCCAAAGGCGTTGCCATCGGGGAAGAATTGAATGGCGTTGATATCGGACTCGTGGCCAGCGAAAGTCTGCACAGCCTTGCCGGTACGCACATCCCACAGCTTAGCGAAAGCATCGCAAGCGCCGGAAACAAAAATGTTCTGGTTGGTCGGGTTGATGCTGATCGACATCACATCTCCGAGGTGGTCGGCGAATTCGGTGACCTTGGATCCGGACTCGATATCCCACAGCATACAGGTCATGTCGCCGGACGAAGTGATGATGCGGCGGTCATTGAGGAAACGGCAGCAGGACAGGTAGCCCGAGTGGCCGGAGAGCTCGCGTGCGACACGGGTGGGAACCCTCACGCGAAGACAGATTGTAGATGGAACAAATGTTATCCAGACCACCGCAGGCCACATAGTTTCCGCTCGGCGCATAGGCACAGGTCATGACCCAAGAAGATCGCAGGGGGATGGCGTGGACTTTGTTGGTGGTGTAGGCATCCCAGATGATGAGCTTTCCGTCCTGCGAGGCCGAGACGAGGTGGCGACGGTCGGTCGACCAGTGCATAGCGTAGATCTTGGCAAGATGGCCCTTCAGCGTCCGGCGCGGCTTCATGCCAATTCGGGGGAGGGCATCGGTCTGGCCCTGCGCAACCTGTCGAACTGTGGACATGAGGTCAGTACTGGTTCCCGGATCATGGTTTCAATGGAAGCCGAGTGCTTCATCCGGAAGACTGTTTCAGGATCAGAGGAAAGCTGGGAGGTTCGTACGAGAGGTATCGGCCAGTTCATCCTTGCGACGCTTGATCTTGTCCTTCAAACCCTCGGCTTCGCGCCTGGCCGCAGTAATCTTGGCCTGCATCTGTTCGCCTGTCATGTCGGCCATTTTGCCCAAAGGCCCCTGAAAGCAGTTGTGAGGGGAAAATGGAGAGTTGACGAAGGGAACAACGATAGGAGGGGAGGTTGAGGAGAGGGGGCTGAAAGTGGAGCGAAAGAGGACAGAAAGGCGGAAGCGACCGAATGAGGTCTTCACGCTGTGATCATAATACAGTCAAATAATCTTAGCAAGGGGGAGGAAGACGGATTCTGTACGAGTCCACGGCGCGAATTGGGGGGAAAGGAAGAGGGATTCGATCGAAGGTTTTGAACAGGGGGTGAGCGAGTCCAGCCTGGTATTACCGGCTGCTAGTGGTAACTCGATAACATTGCCCTGTTTTTTCGACACCCCCGGCCATCTATGCTTGCACGCCTCTTGATAGGGATACAATTACAATTATCTGAGCTTTTCCCCTGCAGCAGTCATAGACTCGTTCATTCTGATTTTCATTGTGAAGTAAGAGTCGGGACGGCCGTGGAGAGAATCCACGGTCAATACAGAGGGGTCATTCCTCGCCGGGTACCTGAGCATCGTTCCCTTCACCGGCGCAATGCATCATTGGACTGATTTACACTTATCCTATTCAATCAATCATCTTCTTGCTATTCAATCAATTGATATCCATGGACTGGGTTCGGGGGACAGTGTCTGTCCACTCGGCCCAGAGTACAGTTTGTGGCCCAGAGTACAGTCCGTACGATACGACTCCTGACGGAGTATTTCACTGTGGCGCTGGGGATCGGCCTAGCGCGCCCATTGATGACTTGGAAAACTGAAAAATCAGCCATAATAGGGGACAGTCAAATACTAATACTAATAGTGTCGATTGTAACGGAGTCACGTATTGAGTATTGAGTATTGCGTGTGGAACAGATGGGTCAGGACCTCAAAGACGGACCCCCTGTCCCTCTCCACGGCTATTTCCCTCATACTACAGTAGTGTACTTCGGTCATATCTCTATGTATATTTTTCCTGATCCGTTTATTCCGGTATTGCTAATGGCTAATTAGGGTCTGGGCGTCACAGTCCGTAGGAAGACAAAGGGGGAATTACTGTCGGGGCAAATTAAGCCGCTAGACGCCAAAGCGGAGATTGGCCTGTTCTTGGTTTCGTCCCTATTATAACTGTGCGGTCGGATGAAATCACCTGGTATGGAGTCCGGAGTACGGATTACGAAGTAAAGAACTTCACCTCAATACCTTAGTACTCCGTACTTCATACGAATGGAATCGCTCAGCTCCTGTACCACCAGGCCCAAGCTTTGGTTCTCGGCGCTAAAGAAGGGAACCATTTGAACCCCACCACGCTGACTAACCTACATATTCTCCCATCTTCAGAGAGAGAGAGAGAGCCTCTTAAGGGCACGCAGGTGGCACTCTTGCTCCGGTTATCCATACTGGCGGGTCTCGCCCGTTGGTACGTGCCTTCAGAGTCCAGGGCATCGCCGAATGGGCTTGTTTCCCGCGCGTCAAGATGAGGACCGCTCCCAAGTTCTCCACTGCATCCAAGACCGTCTCCCCCTTTTCTTTTAATTTTCCTTCCCTACCCGGACTCATCCCAAATTGATAATCTCGGCGGATTGGTCATGGTCGATCACTACTTGACAGAGACCTAGCCGGGATCCGTGAAGGGGTTCCAGTGTTGTTGTTTTCCCCTTATGGATACTTGGAGTCCCGTTTGGAAATAACCCTTGGAATAGTCCTGGGAAATCTCTGCAGTCAGCAGAGCACTACCTCGTTCATGAGCTGAGTCGGATTGCGTGCATGTCTACTTTCAAAGGTCCATAGCTTGCCCTCTTTCTCTCTCTCTCTATCTCTGCCCCCTTCTTTCCCCACACCGTGATCCATGATCCACCCCGGGAGGACCGGTAGTGAGGCCCTGGAAAATACATACATAAATCGGATATTTCTATCCGATTGTCCTTTAGCGTATGACCATGTATGCTGGCCTGCACTCATCCACGTGATGTTGGGCCTGATGTGGCTGTCTCGCTGGGCTGAAGCTGAGTCAAGTGCGAAGCGAAGAATCGGTACGCCCTCAAACAGATCGCCCATTTGCTGGAGGGACCGTGTTCAGTGTCAGCCGAACGCAACGCAGCCCCTATTACAACAAACTCCTCTTCGGGCCGACTCTTTTAAACATCACTAGGCGTGAATTTCGGACGGCTACGTGGATATGTATTTGACTCAGTCCGCGATAGAGACAAAGGGTCTGAATGACTAGCCCATTATAAATCGTACTCATGTCCCCCTACTTGCCTGAGGTTTTGCCGCGCAGGGACATCATTCTAAAAACTGGCTCGACTCTCTAGCCGTAGGTGTCGCCCGGAGTAGGCTCGGCTCGAGGTTGCCCCGTGTCTGTGCTCTCGTGGTTCGATATAGAGTGAATGGACTTGGCGGTCTAGAGACCTCAACTATCAAACTATACCATGCGGATTACCCACGGGCTATATAGATGTTCCCGATTTTAGAGCGATATTGCGATACCGGCAACAGGCCCTGTTCTAGTACTGAAGGAGACCACTAATTGTTGATTTGATTTGGAACCAGGACTCCTTAGAGCATCATTACGAAGAAATGGAATGCCCAAGGTATCGATGGCTGTGTCCTCATTTCATCGGTAGAGTCAGCACTATATCGGACCACGATGTTCGGGGTAGGTTGCTGTGAACTGGAGTTTCAAATCATTGCTATGGTTGCGTACTTCTTATTGAATGGCCAAAGGAACCAAGTAGACAGGGAAAGAGACAAATCGACTCAATTACGGAAAAAATCTAGCTCAAATGAACTTCAAAAGTGATAGAATCAAAGAATAGTTGATTCTTCACATCTACGGGCGCTCAGGGCCTCATATTCGGGAACTCCGCTACCGTTGCCGCCACGAGGGATTTCGGAAGAGTCCTGCATAGTGGCAAAAGCCCAGAGGCAATGTAGAGACCTCACAACCTCAACATCACAATATGAATACCATTATCGACGATGTGCTCTTGATATTTCTTGGACCTTTGCATTCCCTGCATCTGTGCCACCGTTAAAAATAGAGCGAGGGCTTCAGTTCAGGGTGGCGGGAACCAATCCTTGGGCGGGTACCGTAATATTAAGGAGGCACCTGACGCCTCTCCGCTTTTGCCCTCAAAGGCTTTTCATCCTCTCCTCTCCATCCCCCATCGTGCCTCGCTCTTGCACTCTCATCTTTAATTCTTTAGTTGGTCCTTGTCGAAGAGCTTATACTTCCATTATCCTCCGACATCCTCCTCCAACGCCCGCCCTACGTACAGCGTCCCATTCGCCCTGTCCCTCAACCCCCGTGGAGTCATCACGACCACCAGCCACTTATCCATCGGGCCTCGTATAGTCCCCGATCTGGAAGTCCCTGATGTCTCTGGCTTGAACTCGACCGAGTCTGTGAAGTTTCTTCCATTTTGTCGCTGTGGGCGCCATCCCAGTCTGGTAGGGGGCTGAAATCCTTCCGCACGGTCAGCGTCAAGGTCCTCATCATCTGGCCCTTTTTTCCTCTTTACCTGGATGCCATTTCATCCTTTACGCCCTTATTGTCTTTAGTGTCTTGACTTGGTGATCTCCTATAATCATTCACGATGCGGGAAGTCAACTTCAGCATTCCAAACGTGAACAAGGCCTCGGTCAACATCACCACCACCCTTTATGACCGACGTGCCCTTGACTGCACATCAACATTGCCCCTGATCAACTCGCTCAATCACCTTGCATACCTCACAACCTCGTCCGCTCGCATTCGAGATATCCTTACCGTCGATGGCGGGATCGAAAGACTCGTGTGCATCCTGAAGGAGGGCAGGAGCAAGGACCTCATGGAAATGTGGAAATGGAGTCTCGCGTTTCAGTGTGTAGTCAATATCGGTGTCCGCGGCTCCGAAAGTGTGCGGACCAGAGTGGTGGAAGCCGATATGGTTCCGGTGATTGCCACCATCCTAGACAACTACATCAAGGTGGTGGACAAGGTCCGCGCCCGCGGCGAGACCGAGCCTCATAAACACTCGCCCAGTCGCCAGGCCAGCAAATCGACGACATCAACCCGCGAGATCACTTCCCACTCACCTGCACCCGAGTCCGCCGCCCACGCTGAAACTCGTTCTTCCCGCCGACAGGCCCCTCCGCCTAGCATCGAAATCCCGCAAGCCACCTACTACCAAGAAACGCAACCGACCGATTCCGATGCGATGGATATTACCTCTCCGCCTCGTGCCCCCATGACCTCGCCTCCCGAACGAAGCACCTTCCGACCAGAGGCTCACACCCATCGGTCTCATGATGGCCTGTACTCTCGTTCAAATCACCGTTTGCACACAATGCAGCCCCTTGCCACTGCCGTCCCTCCCATAGATGGGACCGAAGCGTTTGGTCTGCGACCAGTCCGTGATGCGGAGCGCCTTCCAAGCATGCTTCCCGGGCTGCAGACTGGCATCATCTCTCAACCCGACTCCCCCACAACCCCAAGTGGCCCTCTCCAGCCTCAATCTCGAAGTGTTCCTCCACCTCCTCCGCCTGTCAGATCGCGCCCTGCTATTCGGCAGCAGCAGTCTGGATCGGGCGAGTCGGACGACGCCAATGGCGAAGACTCGACCATGGGAGATGACAATGTTTTGGGGCAGACCGACGATCCCATCGTTGGTCTCCCGAATCGAATGGAGATTGATGGTGTTGATGAGCGACAGACGGCCATGATTGACGACGTTTCCACGACCCATGGCCTCACGGTAACCGACCCCTCCGAGGAGGGCCAAGAAGCCGAAACCTTCAATATTGCTCACCGCTCTGCCGTTGACGGCAGCATCATCAACAACACTCCTCAGACTGCTGGTGGCCTGGGTCTTTCCCCCACTCAAGCCCCTAATCATCCTAATTCTCCAACTCTTGCCCCCAGTCCATACGCCATGTACCTCCGTGACCGAAATATGCCCGTGTCGCAACACGTCCTGACGACTATGCCTCGCGATGAAGATGTGTTGATGTCGTTGCAGCTCTTAGCCTATGTGTCTAAGTACTGCAACCTCCGATCATACTTCCAGCGCTCTCACTTGGTGCCCAAGCTCAAGATCGATCATGAGTTGCACCTGCTGGATGATAATCCCGATTCATCTTCTCCAGTCGAAATGCCCGAGAACGAGGACGAGTACCTCCTTCCCGACGATGTCAACATCTTCCCCCTGGTGGAGAAGTTCACGGTTCGACACCATTCGAAGGATATGCAGTACTGGGCGTGTGTTGTCATGCGGAACCTCTGCCGCAAGGATGAGTCGCGGGGTGGCATTCGACAATGTGCCTACTACAAGTGTGGCAAGTGGGAAGAGTTCCAGCGACAGTTCGCCAAGTGCCGCCGCTGTCGCCGCACCAAATACTGCAGCAAAGACTGCCAGAAGGCCGCGTGGGTGTACCACCGTCACTGGTGCCACACGACCCCTTGATACGACCCGATGACCCCCAAGGTGTTCCATTTCTGATTTCCATGCATATTGGCTCGCATAGCGTCATATCTCATCACGCTTCCATCCTACATTTTGTTCAAGTCTTACGTCTACTCGCGCATGGCATTGCAAAGTCTGGCGGCGTTTCCATCGGCCTCCCGAAAGATACCTCTTTACATGTCGTCTGGCTTCTTCCCGCGCATTATTGTTTATCCCCTTCAGTTCATCGTTGGTCCTTTTCTTTTTATATCATGTCGGGCCTTCTCGGCTGATGCACTCATGTGTTTGAACTCACATAGTGTCTTCGGCCTTGATGAGTGTACATCCTCTTTTACTCGTCTCTTCATGCTTGATTCCCTTCCCATTTTTCCAAATTCCGTTCCCACCAGAACCACAATGCTCTCATACCTAATCGCGCTATGTCACGAGTTTCCTATGTCCGTAGATGGACAACACCACGCTCTGACCATCCGGTCTCTGCCACCATTTTCCCTTCTCGCGATTCCATCTACGATGCTTATTTACGTCCCGGAGGATTCGTCTTTTGCTCTCTGCACTTTGCCACCACGGCACCGGCGTTTTCTTTTCAGTCATTAGCACCGTCGTTTCATCATGAATGGACTTGTTGCATCTGATAATTGGCTCTTTAGCATGATCACTAAATTACTCCTTTGTAAACCCATACGTCGCTGCCAACCGTGACTCCAAATGCTCCGCCGCAGTTAACGGCCTCCTCCCGGGCTCCATAGAACCCGCACCGCCGCCAAACCCAACCACGCCTACACCACCATTCTTTTCCCGATGTTCCGTCACTACTCTACTAGGCACGGGCACCAGCTCCGTCGTATCCACCGGGTGGCAGAAGTAAACAAGCGTATACCGATCCTGCGGATTGGGACTCCGCTGTTCCGCCAATGGAAATACAACCCGATGCACGGTCGACTTAAGCAGCCCATCAGTCCAATAACTGAGCAAATCCCCAATATTCACAAGAATAGGTGGGAATGGGAAAGCATCAGGCTGCGGACCAGGAATAATGGGAACAGGCGCCCAGGTTCCCTCTGGAGTCAGAATCTCCAATCCCGGCTGCCCGGGACGCTGGAAGAGCAATGTAATACTACCGTAGTCGGAGTGTGCGCCTGCGCGCACATCCTTGTCGTGCTTGTAGGATGCTGTTGCTGGTGAGAAAATCGAGGGGTAGTATAGATACCGCAGGATGCTGCCTGTTGGGCCTTTGCTTGCATCATGGCGGGATGTGAGGAAGTCTTGGGGCACTTCTAGACCGAGGGCGAGCAGGTTGAGGATCCGGGTGCAGGTTTTGTTGCAGAGGGTCGCGAAGTCATGGATTTCGGATTCGTGGGGGGCCAGTGAGGCCGGGAGTGGTTGCTGGGCTTTGCCGTTAACGAAGTCGCCAAAGTTCATGGCTCTGGAGGATGTTAGCGAGAGGGTTGTTTTTTGGTTCTGGTTCATGTCTTGGGGTTGGTACTCTTTGAAGTCTCCGGTCTGGTTGATATGTTAGTCTACGTATATGTGTATGAGTGTAGCTCTTGACCTACCCGCTGATGCTCAGGATCGAGGGTCTCGGTATGCATGCCGGACCATCCACGGTTCTATAGAAGAGTCAGTGTGAACAGTGGTGAATCAACTACTATCAGCTACTGACGTTGGGCGTAATGCGACATGTCTCCTTCTCCGCGGCAGGAGAGGCAAAGAACTTCTTGGACTACAGCGAGGATTAGAAGAGGTCTTGATCGCATGGAGAGTGCCTCGGTACATACCAAGGCGAACCCACGATCCACATCCTCCACTGTAAAATCAGACCCTTTGCTGTTCACATAGAGGAATCCATACTTGGCAGCCGCATCCAGCATGGCCTTGCCTACGGCAGGGTCATTGGGATCAGAAATGTCAATGACAGGCAGTTCAATGGGGGCTGTAGTGTCCGACATTCTGAGTGTGAGTGAAGCCAACAAATTGCTGGGTCCGGCGGGACGTATATATATACTTGGGACGCTAAGAAGATATCGGTAACACCCGATGACAGTCCTCGGGCCTATCGCGTATCTGCCATATCGAAGACTTAAAACCTAGCCGAATGTCACTATCAGACATCTGGACCCATTCCTTGGGCCCGCACAGGCGACACCCGATGTGCAGAATTGTTCCCCGCCATACTCAACCCTCGACACTCGATGCGGGCGAGTTTGGATCCCCGAGTCTCCGATGGTCATGTTGTCATAGCTGGACATCTACCCCTCAATGGAGTTGAATTGTCAAACATGTGCAGGTTTCTGAAGTGAAATACTCTGAAAATAAAGTGTGGAATTTTAGAGCGATGAACTAGGCTCCATCTACATATATAGTCAACATGTTCTAGTCCCAGCAGATCGTGCGATCAGCCAGCAGTCAATCTTAGCGCTCAGGGTGTGGCTTGGGGTCTTGTGGTGCTCAAGAACTCTTTGGTACCAGAATATACCATAAACTGCAAGTTATCACATTCAGGAAATTGCAAAGTACATACGTCCAGCGCCGCGCTGTTGTGCTGTTGTGCTACTGCAGTGAAGGGGATCGCTCTAGGAAAAACAAAGGCCAATTGCGACTCCGCTTTCACCCCCCCCCCCGGTCATTTCGCAACGCGAACCTGCCAGATTCATCTCATCCCACCTTCTCCCATCGGCTTTCTTTTGGGGCCTCAATGCTCGGCAAATAGCCCCGCTCTTTGCCCAGCTTCACAATGCCTAGTGAGTTACCTCCTTCCCTGCCAAGCGCTCTTCCTCTCTAACGCCTGACTAGTCCGTCCATTCGACGACTGGGTCAATGGCCGCCGCCAGTCCCTCCCCCTCTCCGCTCTGAAGGGCGCCGTCGTCGGGATTGATGCGTCGTACTATATTTCTCAGCACTTGACAAATCAGTCCACTCGCGAGGCTCTACTGGGAGCTCTCGGTGGCTTCCCCTTCGCTCTGAAGAACAACATCGAGAAGGAGCTCCAGACCTTCAAGAGTCTAGGAGTTGGATATATTTTCGTCTTCAATGGTCTTCACTTCGGCAAGAAAGAGCACCGCCCGAGTACCTCGCCGGCGTCAGTGCGCTCCTTCGAGCAAGCCTGGGACCTTTACGATCAGCAGCAAGCCGACCAGGTGGTCGATGCCTTCAGCAATGCCGGTATGCCCACATCCTCTACTATCCAAGTGACATCGCTCTGGCAGTACCACATGCCAGCTTATAGCTTCGCCTGGGCGCCTCAGCAACTCTTGTCATTGATCGCTGACCAAAACGAAACCACAGGGACCCCACCCCCGGAAACCCTCTACAAGTTCCTGCAGCGGATCCTGAACCAAAACGGTGTCTCCTTCATGGTGGCACCGTACAGCGCAGCTGCTCAGGTCAGTATTCAGGACGAACAAGATGGAGCGGAGGTTACTGGAAACTGACATGCCATGCCCGGACAGCTCGCCTATCTCCACCGTGGCGCCAACCCCGTTATCGATGCCATTTATGGACCCTCCGAGACGCTCATGTTCGACATTGATAAACTTGTGACCAAGATTGAGACGGAGCCCGCTCAATTTTTCTGGATCAACAAACAGACCTGCCAAGAGGAACTGGGACGTTTGACGAATGACCAGTTCCTCGACTTCTGCTTGCTTTTGGGCTCTCCCTTCCTGCGCGCCTGTCCTCTTTTTGAGAATCCTGGGTTCCCTGGAAAGCTCCCTGCCATCCGCGATGCTCTTCCCATGTTCAACGCAGCCGGACGTAATGCTTTGACCCTGTGTGCCCAGTTCGAAGATGATCGTCGCATGCAGGAATTCCAGTACACAGACCGCTACAAGCGAGCATGGATGGTTGTGAAGCACCATGTATATATGGATATTGACGGCCGGGTAAACCCCATGCATCCCGAGACTTCCTCCTCCGATTTGCATGAGCTCATCGGCCAGCGCCTCCCCGAAGAGCTTTACTTTTATTTGTCCAAGGGAATCCTGGGTCCCGAAGTCCCAGATATCTTGACCTCTGGCGAGGTGCGCATTGCCCTGCCGCTTGGCACAGAAGACACCGAGGTCTACCGCCAGCTTGTGGGCGACACCCTGAACCCGATCCGTACACAGTCAATCTGCCTGCTGGCAAACTGCCTCCATCGATTCTACCAGACTAAGGTGATCAAGATTCAACCATGGTTTGACGACAATCCTGAGCGGTCAATCAACCTGAAGAACCTCCCGTCGGTCAAGGATACAGTCTCATCCTGGAAAATTTCCAGCGACCAATTCCCCGAAACTATGAAGAGGCTGGATGCTCCTCGTGGCTCAATCAAGTTTGCGATCCAGAGCTTGAACAACTCGGACTTTGTGTCAAAGACATTTGCTACCAAAGAGACACCTGTATGTTGGATGTGAAATTATCCTGTGCCCCAGCCTAGCTAATCAGTTTCTAGATCTTGTCAGCGCAGGAAGACATCCTGTCCAATGTGCTTTGGCGATTCTTGCAACTGCGCGGATATGTCGATGATAAGCACCAGCTCACTGCTTGGGGCAAGTGTCTGGAATCTGCACTTTCGGTTGTCAACCCTGCAGATAACCTCGAAGAGGCTATTTTCATTGCTATTGAAATGCTCCGTATGGATCTTCTCAATACTACGCACTGGTTCTCACACGTATCTGGGGGCCCAATGAGGGGATCAGGTGAGTCGTTTCAAGACAGGTACCCGAATAGAGTGGACAGGCTAACACCAATTACAGAGGAGGACAAGACCTTCAACATGCTTGTCTCCCGGGTTGCTTGTATTGCCAAGTTGCAGCATAAGGCAATTGGATATTCCGGACCTTTAAGCCGACAACTGCTGTGCTACCGCTCCTTGATTTCCGAGGTGCGATCTGCACTGCGGAATCTGGTGGAGGTGGTGCTGGCCAGTTTGTTGCTTAGTGGCGATGCCGATCGGGACCGAAACGACTGGCGGGAGTTGGGTATCAAGTAAGTCTTTCTATGCTTTGGTATAGGCGTGGTCTCTAACCTAATCTTCCAGGCTACCATTCATTGACGATAATGACTGCGGCCTCGGCATTGCTGTGCGCACATACTTGGATGACCTTCCTCTGCAAGCAAAGCCCACCTCACCCGAGGCTCGGGCAGAGGTCAAGTCGAAGGGAAAGGAGTGGTTCCAGCACAGCGAGAGCTTCCCTGGAAATTTGGAGCTGGCATTTAAGCTCTGGGATGCGGTATGTATCTGTTCTCTGCGGCTAATGGAGCTTGGAGCTTGACTAACAAATTTGCATAGGTCTACAAGGGAACACAGCATGCAGGCAAGGAAGTCAAGGATGCGAAGCTGTGGGATAATGCGAACAAGTGGTTGTCGGAACGACGATAGAGGAACTAACGCTCTACGATCGAGAGGATTTCGGGCTTTTTATGTATGCGGGTCACGAGCCTCCCGATCAATTTGCATGAATTATCCTTGGAATTTCACGGATTCTATCTACTGTATTACTACTTGGTAATAAACCCAAAAAAAGATCAAAGCCCATTGGGGACACACAGAGCGGTAGAGATATGTAATCGTAGTACTGGACGAATGATCTACGGAGCTTCGGAGTGGAGGCACCAAGTGGCCTTTTTGGTTGTTTTTGTTTTGTCATCATCCCGGGGGCGCCATTACATCCCCGATCTCCGAGTGATTCTCCCTTCAACATCTTCCCATTATATTCATATTCACAATGGTTCGCCTAAGTTTCGTACTGGCGAGCACCCTCACCGCGCTCAGCGGCTTCGCCGACGCCAGCTCCGCTGTCATCGACCTCATCCCTAAGAACTTCGACAATGTCGTCCTGAAGTCCGGCAAGCCCGCGCTTGTTGAGTTCTTCGCCCCTTGGTGCGGTCATTGCAAGACTCTCGCCCCTGTCTACGAGGAGCTTGCTGGTGTCTTTGCTTTCGCCGAGGATAAGGTCACCATCGGCAAGGTCGACGCTGATGCGAACCGCGACCTGGGCAAGCGTTTCGGCATTCAGGGCTTCCCCACAATCAAGTACTTTGATGGCAAGAGTGACAAGCCGGAGGAGTACAAGGGTGGCCGTGATCTCGAGAGCTTGTCTGCTTTCATCACCGAGAAGACTGGCATTAAGCCCCGTGCCGCGCAGAAGGAGGTCAGCAAGGTTGAGTTCCTGAACGACGCCTCTTTCAAGACCGTTGTCGGTGGTGACAAGGATGTACTGGTTGCTTTTACTGCGCCGTGGTGCGGACGTAAGTCGCTTCTTATCCTCTACTCCATCTGCACTTGTTCTAACCATCATCCTCGTTACAGACTGCAAGACCCTTGCTCCCATCTGGGAAACCCTCGCCAACGACTTCGCCCTCGAGAACAACATCGTGATCGCCAAGGTCGACGCCGAGGCTGAGAATGCTAAGGCCCTGGCCCAGGAGCAGGGTGTGACCGGCTACCCTACCATCAAGTTCTTCCCCAAGGGCTCCACCGAGCCCGAGGCCTACGCCGGCGCCCGCACCGAGCAGGCCTTTGTTGACTTCCTGAACAGCAAGACCGGCTCCAGCCGCTCTGTCGGCGGTGGTCTGAACAGCAAGGCTGGCACCGTCGAAGTGCTGGACAAGCTGGTTGCTGAGTATGTGCCTGCGCAGAAGTTCGAAAAGCTCGCTGCCGAGATCAAGAAGAATGCCAAGGGCCTGCAGGACAAGTATGCCGAGTACTACATCAAGGTTGCCAACAAGCTGAGCGAGAACGGCGAGTATGCCTCGAAGGAGCTCGCTCGTCTTATCAAGATTCTGAAGAAGGGTGGCTCTGCTCCTGAGAAGCTTGATGACATTGTCTCCCGCAGCAACATCCTCCGTGGCTTTGCTGGGGAGACCGAGGAACCTATGAAGGATGAGCTGTAAGCTAGTTCTGTCTTTTGTGATTTGTTGAGCGGATCGTGATTTTCGAGGAACCTGAAAACCTCCCAAGCCCACTGATGAATACTGCGTTTCGATGAAGAACCTTGTCATGATGCTGTATTGTACGAACTGAGGAATCTGAGCGAGGAGCAGGGCCTGCCAGTTGCAGAGCCCTTGACTGTATATGAGAATGCGTTCTAGACAAGAAGATTGTTCTTATTAGAGGGTTTTCTGATATTGTAGGGTATCTTCATTAATGCATGAACTAAAAGCCGCAGGCCAAGCTTGAAAAAGTTGACTGGTAAAAGATGAGTGTAGGATCTTCCGTGTACGCAACTATGAGATCCGAAAGTGGCGTTCAATGGTCGCCCTGCACAGTGTAACGCAGGATACAACGCATTGCCTCGATTACGAAGTATGCTTTTTATTGCGTTGATGTCGCAGTCGAGCCGCCTCCCGATGAAGTCAGAGAAGCCTCCAGTTCGTCCAAACGACGAGTCATGTCGTCCACTGTAAGGAGTCAGCCGCGAGTCGAGTATACATGCGATGTAAGTGCTCTGAGCGCTTCCCAAACGGGAATGGAACGTACACTTCCCGAATACCTCCTTCGAGACATTGTCGAACTTGCTTTGAAGTTGGTCTAGGAGTTCGTCGACAGCCGCGGTGAGTTGGCCCTGGGCATTGGAGTTCTGCTATGGGTTAGCGGGCGAATTAGTGTTATGCTAGTCATATAACTCCATACCGGCTGCGAGAGGAAGGATTCTTCAGCAGGAGGCTTTTCATTCGCAGATTCCTCAGCCATAGTGATTCTTGAGATGTTTACTAAACTCACGGAGGCGGAGAGGGCAGAGCAGGCCAGCCCGATAAGGCCGGATCATCTATATCGCCAGCCCCGAGGTGCGCTAACCAGTTAGAGTGCCTTATCGCTCACGCTAACCATATCGGGACTGGTCCGAGTTCAAAAAAATCCCGTAGCATTGCCAGCTGCTTTTCTCACCGTGTTTCTCGAACTTCAATTTCCCACAGACCAGTCAAAATGGTCAAACGAAGCAAGCTCATGCAGGCGCTCGACGCCCACAAGGGCCGAGACTACGAAGCTGAGAAACAGAAGAAGCAGGTCAAGGCTGCGGAAAAGCGCAAAGGCGTGAAGATGGCCCCAGTCGCCGAAAAGGTCGTCAAGGTGGCCGAGGAAGAGGAGGAAGTCGCCAGCTCCGAACCTGGGGAAGTCGAGGAGGAGCAGGAGGAAGATGAGGCCGAGGAGGTGGCTGATGAGGAGGATGAGGAGGAGGACGAGGAGGAAGACGAAGAAGATATCCCGCTTTCAGACCTCGAAGAAGACGAGCGCGAGGACGTCGTCCCCCACCAGCGTCTTACCATCAACAACTCCGCCGCCATTACCTCCTCTCTCAAGCGCATTTCCTTCATCACCTCTCAGACCCCATTCTCCGAGCACAACTCCTTAGTCTCGAAAGAGCCTTTCGAAGTTGAGGACCCCAATGATGACTTGAACCGCGAATTGGCCTTCTACAAGGTCTGCCAGGCTGCCGCTATCACGGCTCGCGGTCTGCTCAAGAAGGAGGGTATCTCCTTCAGCCGGCCCGGTGATTACTTTGCGGAGATGGTCAAGAACGACGAGCACATGAACTTGATCAAGAAGAAGCTGTACGAGGAGGCTGCTGGCAAGAAGGCTGCCGCTGAGGCGCGCCGCCAGCGTGATCTGAAGAAGTTCGGCAAGCAGGTGCAGGTCGCCAAGCTGCAGCAGAGAGCCAAGGAAAAGCGTGAGACGCTCGATAAGATCACTGCTTTGAAGAAGAGTATGTATTCGGAACATCCTTGGAAGTTTCACACAAAACGCTAACAATGTCCCACAGAACGCAAGGCTGACACTTCCGCCCCCACCGACGATGCCAATGACCTCTTCGACGTCGCTATTGAGGACACTGACAAGCCCGATAGCCGCAAGCGCGGCCGTGACGGCGAAGGCCGCAACTCGAAGCGTCAAAAGAAGGATTCGAAGTTCGGCTTCGGCGGCAAGAAGCGCTTCTCGAAGAGTGGCGACGCCGCGTCCAGTGGTGACATGCGCAGCTTCTCCCAGAAGAAGATGAAGGCTGGCGGCGCCAAGCGTCCCGGCAAGAGCAAGCGTGCTGCTAAGGGACGTCTTTAGATGACGAGGATCTGAGTGGGTGAAGGCGCAAGAGGCGCACTAAAAATTTCCAAGGGTGATGCATTCACCGTTGTTTTCTGTAATAACTAGAATCTTTACCCGGCATTTGCACATGGTCAATTGAGTTACCTTTTTTCATGACAATAGTGCCTTTGTACTCGTCCCATCGTGGCTACATCGGCTCAAAATTCAAGCAGAAGCTAAAGCAACCCAAGACGGACCTCTGCCTTGTATTGCGCATCTTGGCGCTGAGTATATAGAGGCTTAAGAACGGGTGTCTGGAATAGTTAAAGGCAGAGGGAGCCTAGTCAGGCATCACAAACCAGATGATTATATATTCCAAGCCTTATCTTTCTGGACCTCTTTGAACACTTCGTACAATCATCTTTCAATCAGATGTAGCTATTGTTGACCTTCAGCCTCTGCCTTGGCTGCCCTCTTGGCCTCCCAGTCCTCCAAGAACTTTCGCACCTTAGGACCCCAAACCTCCTCGCCTGCCTCCAGATCCTTATATTCCAGGATTTTGTCGGAGTCCAGTACAAAGTCAGCCTGGCGACTCCGTACAAGCTCACTCATAAGGCCGCAGCTGCCAACAGCCTTGCCCAAATCGTGTGCCAGCGAGCGGACGTAGAATCCAGATGTGACAGTCATACTAATCTTCACGGCTGCCGGTTGAGGCTTGGGCTGTTCAGCTTCTGTGGTAGGAGCCTCTTTTGTAGCTGGCTCCGGGACGGCAGTCTCGGTGGACACGGTCTGTGCGGCGCCATCCTCAGAGACCTTTTGCTTCTTGCCCGCTTCTTGATCATCCTCGGTCGTATCAGCCGCAGGGGGTGACTTTCGCTTGTTTGACGACTCTTGCTTGGCAGTCTCGCCTTCTGAAGCAGTGGACAATGCAGATTCCTTGTCGAGAAGCTTCTCGGCCACAATCTTGGCATCGCCAGTCATTTCCTCCTCGGGCCACTTGAAGTCGTGGGTCCCAGGCTCGTACCACTCCACGATATCCATACTGATAACCTCCACGGGTCTCTCCTTAATCTCGACTGGTGGTAACTTGCCTTCCCGCGCATATTCATAGAGTTTCTTTCCCTCCACTCGCAGCGCCGAAAATATAGGGGGGTCGTTGCATGATCTTTCCACGGAATTGCTCCAGCGCCTTCTCAACAGCCTCGCGCGTAATGTGTTCGTACGGCGCCCGGCGCACAATCTTGCCCAGTCGGTCGTAGGAGTCTGTCTCGGCACCGAAGAGCACGATTGTTTCGTAGGACTTGGTACAGCCGAGGAAGTCCTGCAGTGACTTTGTGCCTTTGCCAACACCGGCGACGAGTACACCTGTCGCAAGCGGATCGAGAGTTCCGCCGTGTCCGAGCTTGACCTCGCATCGTTTGGGATGACGGCGGCGCTTCTTCTGGAACTGGCTCTCACGGTCGCGGCGGGCTTTCTCCTCGTCGAGCCATGGCTTGAAAGTCTTGGAGGGGTTGAAATGTTTCTGTAAGGTGCGGAGCACGTCGGCTGAGGTCACGCCCTGGGGCTTGTGGACGGCTGTGAAGTTAGTATTGCATTGCAATGAGGGATTCAAGGGTCACATACCGAAGACGCCTTCGAGGATCTTTTCTCCTGACATAGTAGTACGGAAAAGCCTGAAACCTCGGGGAATGGCATCTGAAGCACGCTTGGAGAAAAGAAAAAGCTCCAGAACGTAATTTTATGGAGATCGCGGGTATCGACAAGGTATCGGTAACTTTACCGAACATGGACCTTCGATGTTGACGTTGCGAGATTCCAACATTGTTGTTCTCTCTTTGCCCCGAGTTTAGTTTCGACTTCGACTTCGACTCCGACCTTGTCCACTTGTACTCTCGTTTCTTCGACCTTCCACCCAATCCATCATGCCGCGATCGCAACCATGACAGCCCGCGAAGAAACCGTTCTGCCTCCCATCGATCCGTCCATCACCGATGAGAATGATTGGTGGGAGTTCGAGTTGACCGACGTGAAGGTCTTGCGACCCGGCAAGATGCTCTACGCGAACCTCCTTGACGCCTCTGACGATAACCCTGTACAAGTCATTGGGTGCTTGGAGCTCAAGAAGGACCAAGAACATCTCGGTGCGTACCCGATTGCCCGTGACGCTTGTCGTAAAGGTCTATCGAGCTCGCTCTTGCTAACCTGTCGCATTCTCCAGCCCTCGATCCAGACTCTCACTCGAATCGCGTTATCATCGACGATGTCACACACTATGCATATGGACAGACGGAGGACCGCAGTGTCGAGATCTGGGTTGCTGGCAAGGCTGGCTGGTATCTGATCTCGCCTGCCAAAGGCTACCTGAATACCTTCAATCGCATGGTCCAGGCTGTTGATATGCTATATTTCCTGATTGACAGGCACAAGCAAGGAAAGAAACAGATCAATCCCACATTTAGGAACCTTTGTCAACAGGTGAGCTCCTCTCTGTTTCCCCTACTCGAGACTTTCCCTCGTCTAAGCCCGGACAGTATACTTTCCACACGCACGGTGATTGCGAGACCGGTGAACAGTCGGCGGATGCTTTTGCAGAACATGCGCCTTTCTTGCTCCGTTGTATGATTGTAGATGAGTATGAAGGTGTGGACTGGAAACAGACCAATGTCTTCGTTCACTTTCGCCGCAAATTCCCCGTGAGTTCCGCATCGTTTACCGCCGATGGTTTCCTGTCTTGATTTTAACCCGTGTCGTTGTAGGATGAATACAAGAAGCTTGTTGATAAGCAATCACCACAGCCTGACGATGATGAAGATGAGGAAATGCCTACGGTTTCAACGCCTCGACAGGACGCAGCGACAATTTCTCAATCACAAACTGATGCCATCTGTCATTTGATCCATGAATTAAAAGACGAGGGACATTTGGCAAAGCGTCGATTGAATCTTGATCTTTTGACCGAGCGTCTGTCCGCTCGATACGCCTTCAACAAGGACGATGCGCGCAAGATCATCGACGCCAGATCAAAAGCCGTTTTAGAGAAACTGGATTACGAAGACCGAGAAGGCGAGACAAGATTCAAGTGGTCTCGTTATGTCATTCATCGTGAACTTTCAGAGGCAACCTCACAACACACATCCCTACCACCCTCTCTCCTGATACCCCTATCACCATTGGATGATTCTAGCGATGATGAAGAAATGGGGCGGACACAAAAGTCTGTTCTTCGACCCAAGAATGCTTCAGTCTCGAATAAGGTCATGGGAAAGCGAAATCGCAGCATACCCACGAACCAGCAAACTAAGAAGTCTGTAGACGAAGACAACGCAGACGACGATGACGACACCCATATGGAGGACGTTGAAACACCCAGCAAAAGCCGCGGGCATGAGCTGATTCGCACGCCTCTGGCTTCTGAAACATTCCGACCTCAACCCGACTTCCAACCTACCAATCCGCGGACCGCTGCCGCCTCTTTATTGAAGAGCGTACTGTCAGCTGGAACAACAAATACGTCAGCATCTACCACCCCCAGTATAGGCCAATGGGCCTCCGAGGTCAGCATACTCAATGCACCCGAGGAGTCTGAAACCTGGGCCTGTAGAATGCCCGGATGCACCACCATTATCGCCAGCAAGGGACCCGAGCGCAGGCAGGAGATTGAGGACCACGCCGGAGAGCATGACTGGGAAGTGCAGATGCGCGTCGAGCTCGTTGAATCTGAGCGACGTATGCACTCGACCATGCCCGTGAGCAACCTCATGAAATACCTAGTCGGCCAACATCTCAAGCAAAAACGAGCAGCCTTTCCCGAGCTGTACCCCCCCCGAACATAGTGAACCCATTGATCCCATGTCAATGTTTACTCCGAAGAAGCCAAAGTCTGCTCAAAGACAGGAGCAGATGAATGGACACAATACATGAGATGGTTGAGCTCCTTCCCAGATCATGGTGTATGAAACTTTGATGACGAGATACGAACATGGTGCATGAGAGCTGGCTCCTTACGCTTCGACCCTTATTAGCATGGGTATACTGCTGCAGAACACAAACATTGTTCTCCCAGATCTTATTTCTGCTTTAAAAACCATATATGTACTTTGCTTGAGCGGAAATATCGCTTCTCTCGAGAGACTCAGCCATCTTTCCAATCTCATAGAAGTGGATAATCTAGCAAATTACGCCGAGGGATAGCACGACATGTCCACCGAATAGAAAGACCATATTGAGAGCAATTTTGGTGATCATTCGAAACAATGAAGAGCGGAGGGTCAATCCAGACCCAGACTCCAGAATTATACAGAGTCTTCCCAGTAACTGCAGCGCGAGAGCAAGTACTCGAAAAAGAATATTTAAAGATGAATAACGCTCGAGCCCACTTCATAGTCATCCACATTTAATCCATCTCGATCTTCAAAGTCCCCGACCACACACAATGCTCCCGAAGGCCCTCCTCTGGTCCTTGCACACATTTCCATCTTGAATTCGTACTATGCGCCGTCACAACGGAATAGCCCTGAGCAGACCCATTCATCTGCTGCACGACCAGCGTAAAGAACTCGATATCACCAATGCCATAGCGAAAGCCGAACTCGAAGTGTCGGCGTTGACACTTGTAGGGTGCCAGGCCAGGTTGGGTGACACTACTTGTATTCCTAGAATCAGGGTTTAAGACGGTAGTCTGGCATTGGAAACTGTGAAGCGTTCTCACCAAGCTATATTGCAATCGTCAGTGATATCTCTGCTTGGATCGTGGATGGTGAATTGCAGCGTGGCTAGCGTAATGTTGGAGTAGTGATTTGCCGCCAAGTCTCTGATCTCAAGGCTTCGTGTTCGTTCAAGAGATAATGCGAAAGTGACTGTGACGGCGAGGAACTGGAGGGCCGCGAGGAGCTTCATCGTGCACAATATTCAATCCTAATGGTGGGGATATATCGATGAAGCCAGAAAACCTATGTAGCTTGGAAGAAAAGTCGATACGCACGATTTGGATTTATACCTATCGACTAGGAACAGAACACCAATATACTCAATTTATACTCCAGGTTTGCCTTTTGTCCGACCTCGGGATTTCTGCTCTTCTTTTCTACATGTTGTACGTACCACTGACGCACCTCCCAGCAGCACTTGTCTCGACAGTCCTTTCTAGGCCGAAACAGATACCGAGGTCTCAGGATACCGGCTTAAACCAAATCATACACCATCAAGGTCAGTGTTACATGTTACAAGATATGGCAGACTGGCGTTCTGTGTGATATCTATTGCAGAAAGATTATAAAGTACCAAGGTCGGAACGTGGCATGGTCTGTTGTACAGAGGAGTACAACGTCCGCGTCCCAGGTGGGATGTCTAGGGCAGAGACTGGGATTTGTGCGACTTTTGTACTTGCGCTTGCTACATAGGCTTGTTGCTAAGGTGTACTGTTACACTTTGTGTCTAGTTCAGGTGTGCTGTCATGGTGTTGTGGGCTGACGATGGGCGGACTTTGTGGCTGATGGACCGTTTCTGGGCCATACAATTAAGGAAAGTGATGATTCAAAAAAGAAAATCAAACTAAGTATAAGAAATTGGGATAGAGCTCGCGGCACTCCCTGCCCGTTCCAGTCTGGTGTCTTCGTCCCCCAATATAGGGCTTAGCGAGTGGCTGCATGAAGATCTTCGGCCTGACAATATTTTTTGGAATGGAGAGCTCGAGGATTAACCATCGACTTTGATCATTCTACTTAGGAATATGAGCCAGCTTCAAAGCGATCACAACAATCAAAGAGGATATTACATTCGATAGAGCCAGGAGATGCCGAACAATTACGTATTTCACGAAAGAGGAGGTCCATGGTGCTTTCCCATTGCCTACTGTATGATAATGAAACAATCAATGCCTCTAGCGTCGTGTACTACGAATCTGCTGATCCCCTACGGTGCCATCACCCAACTTGCATCGAATTCTTGTTCATAACTGACTAATGATTTTGCGACTTGATGAACGCGCCTTTGGATGGAATCCGGAGGAGACAGAAAGGACAAAGATAAACGAAATGAAATAAGCATAAGAGTGTTGCGGATCGTCCCAGCATTGGAGTCAAGCTGCAATGGCAGAACAGACTAATGACGAGCCCATGTTAATTGAGCCTTAGCTTTTCCTTCCACCAAGTTTTCTCTTATTCGGAAATCTGGGCCATATCGTCCAGGCCTTGGAGCACCGCGCTTCTCTAAGAAGCCAAAAGTGCAATGCAACCTTTTGAAGTGAGATTGAAGTGAGATGATCTGCTAGAGCCAAGGCATCTATTGCATCTCTCAGCTTCTTCGCCCGGAGCCACTCTTCTCATTCTTTGCCCTTGACAAGTCACTTATTGCTATTCCTCACTTTGTTACGGCGTCAATCTCCTGGCTTGACCGCCTAGCATCCTTCTCTCTCACAGCCGTTGCCTCGCGCTGGGGAAACACACCAGCATCTTCGCACGCATTATCTGGCCAACTCAAGCAAGTCGCCTCTGAAGTTGCCGCCATGGCCGAAACAAAACTACAAATCCTGTCAGATCTTCACTTGGAATCGCCTAGCGCATATGACGTTTTCCATGTTGAAGCTCAAGCACCGTACTTGGCCTTACTGGGCGATATCGGCTACATCAAGGACGATGGCTTTTTCCACTTCCTCCGGAAACAACTCGACAGTTTCCAGATCGTGTTCTTGGTTCTGGGGAACCACGAGCCATATCACACCGACTGGACGGAAGCCAAGTCAAAGATCGAGCGCTTCAAGGCGAGCGTAATGCCTCACGAATGTGGCGAGAAGCTTGGCCAGCTTGTTCTGCTCGATAAAACACGCTACGACCTTTCGCCAACTCTCAGCATCCTCGGATGCACCTTGTTCTCACGAGTGATACCAGAGCAGGAAGAGAGCGTCAGCTTCGGCCTCAATGATTTTTACTTTATCGGTGATTGGTCGATCGAAGCACATTGCGAAGCGCATCGTGCTGACCTTGACTGGCTCAACCACGAAATCAAGTCGATCTCGCTGTTGGAGCCTGAGCGCAAAATTGTTGTACTAACTCATTACTGTCCATTGACCAGTGATGAAGTTGTCAATCCCCTGCACAATAACAGCAAGATCTCCTCCGGTTTCATGACCGACTTGTCAAGTGAAGAGTGCTGGAATCGAGGCGCCGTGAGGCTCTGGGCTTTTGGCCATACGCACTTCAATTGCGACTTTCGGGATGCTGGCAATGGCATAAGAGTGATGTCTAATCAAAGAGGTTACTACTTTTCTCAGGCTACGGGGTTTGACTGCGCCAAAATCGTTGAAATTTAAGGTCTTCTGATATGGAATTCTACAGTCATGCCTCTTCCCCTGAAAAAGATGCTTGAAGCCAACCCTTAGACTTTAAGTCATGACGAAGCTTATCCCGACGAGGCCACGTGTCTGGGTCGCCATCTCTGAGAGCGCAATAAAACCCTTGACATTCTTCACTTAGGTCTTTTCCATCGAGCATATCCGTTCCGTCGATATATTCCAAGATATAGCACAGAATAGCCTGCCAGTAAAATGGTAAACAGTGCCGTGGTCTCGACAGTGCAAGAGAATCATAGCTTCGAAATGCTTCACAGCAGTTGGAATTTTAACGCACGAAAAATCTGGCGAGAACCGTCCATCGACCTCGGCCTAGGACTGATGGCGGGAGTCGAAGGTCTGAAGCGCTAATCATATCCTCGGAATCATTAAGACCAGAGGAATCAAAGTTCTCAAGTCTCCAAAGCATTTCGGATTTCCGGTACAAAGATATGATCATGTCTTGGTTGATGTGAAAGTGCTCTGACGGAATGGGTGCTAGACACCCGTAGACAAAAGGGCAGTTCACGCCCTCGGGACATAAAACATATCCTGCTCCTTCAAGGGCAGACGAGGCTGTTCCGATTTTATCATCGGGGATGACAAATCCCACGTCCTATGAATAGATAAGTAAATGTTTCATCAGCAGAAGAAAAGACACCGACGTTAATAATAGTTGGGACTCCATAAACAGTCAACAGATAGTTGCCCCATAGAAGATTTGGTACAGCAGCAAAACCCAGGATTTCACACAGACTCGCGACCAGCTTGTTGTCAACGATTGGGCCTCCACGGAGAGTAACAGTCATGGTAGCACAATTCAGGGAAGATGATGAATGTTGGGCAAAAGGACGAAGAAGCACGGGTTGTAAGAAGAAATGAAATTGCGCTGCTCAAGTAAGGATACAAGAGGAAAAACAACGAACATCGCGCAGGACAAACATCATAACAATGTTGATGACTACACCCTCACAACAAAGGAAAAGTACCAACGAAGATAGAAGCTGCCATTTCATGTTTATTTGATTTAGCCTCACTGCAGTCCAAATGCAGAACATCCTCGAACGGACACACCCTAGGGCATAAGAGAGACACATCCAACTTGCTACTTGCCATTTGGGTTGGGAAATCTTAATTTTCAGGCAGTATCTTGCGACCGTGACATATTGACGCAAAGGGCGGGCGAATTACTATGGACAAGTGCGCAAGGATATTATGCTCGTTTAGTGATGGGTCTCACTTAGAATGGCAATTGGCCTTCTGTACAATGACACGCCGGGTTGTTCCTCATGCATCTGAGCTATACGAGACATTCATCGTGGAGTCCATCCGAAATGCATTCATCCGACGGTGATGGGAAAAGGTAGAGATGCAAAGCAAGGAGCGGTACGCAATGCAGCGAAGAAAAAGAAAGATTGCCAAGACAAATACCGGGGCCACAGAACGAGGCTGGTGCTAGACGGAGAGTCCTATCTTTGCCTGTACGTGGGAGAGATTCGAAGAAAAGAAAAGCTTTTTGACTTGAAAAGGAGGGGTATAACCACGGAACATGCCACATTTATCACGCATTTAGACAAGGAATGGAGAAAGAGAGATGGGGTGAAAGGACGAGGGTCAGAAAAGAAATAGGAAAATAAAAAGCACCGGTATGAAGATACAGAAGACACAAAAGTCTAGCTGGCAAAATGAAGAACATGAGATGGATATGCAAAGTCAGGTGGGTTTAATTGATGAATGTGGCCCAGGATGAGAAATGGCAGCTGTGAAGATGATGCAAAAGGCCGCTGGCCATGGACCAACGAGCGGATCATTGCTGGTGTGCGCTGTGAGCATCAATAAGAGCTGTATTACCATGTTAGTATGAGTGCTCTGAGACTGATCTTTGAGGCTAACTTACTCTGAAGGGCAGACGATTGTCCCTGCCGCGTCTCACATGCGCACTGGAGGGTACTGCCATCCGAAAAGTCCAGAAGAATGCTGTTAGGCAATTCCTGCATGTCCTCGTCGGGCAGACAAGGGGTTCGAAACTCGGTAAGATGGTACCGCTTGGTCATGTTGCGAGCACTTGCATCATTGGTAGCGGGCGTGAGAACTACGTATCCGTTCTCGTCGATCCGCATGAACCGGCGCTTCCAAAGGAGAGTATCGGGGAATTGCACGTTGACTTCGCCGATGTCAATAGGCTCCGAGACATGAGTACGGGACGAAGATGCCGAGACCGTCCTAGTATTCATCGGACTGATGTCTTGCTCTTTCGCTGGCGGGCTGAGAGCGCCAATAATGCTGCGACGGGAAGTGGTTGTCATAGAAGACATGCGACGCATGATACGCGAGGCACGGGATGCCTTCTTCTCTTCGGTAGTAGGCGAGGTCGCATGAAGGTTGTCATCGGTCTTGGGGCGCGAGGATAGCGAGGGGCGGCCTACAGGGCGAGACGCTGAGGATGGCCGCATGTTTGACCCGGCAGATGAAATGGACGTGCTGCGGTCCTCTGACTGAGGAATAGACTCCGCCGGTTCACTGGAAGGTAAGGGCTCTTGGCTTGAGCCGTGCTGCACGGTCAAGGGACTAGCCTGGAGACCAAGAACGTCGGTCTCGGTGGGCTCGACACCATTAGATCCAGGAGAAGCACCGTTTTCACGGACAATGCGAGCCGTTACCGAGATGCTGGTGCGGCGCACGTTTGGGCTTGAATGCGAGTCTTGTCGGTTTAAGCTTGGTGCACGGGAATAGCTCTCAGGGCTTCCATAAGAGACAGATGCACGCTTGCGAAGGCTATCAAAAGACGAGGATGCGGAAGGCCCCGTCACAGTGTGGTTGCCGCTTGGAGGAGTGCCCTCCCGGCTCTGGAACTTTTCCAAAGCTTTGATACGACTCGAGATGCCAGAAGACACATTGACCTTCTTGGCCACAAGCAATGGAGTCGGGGGCCCGTTTTCAGTATACGAGCTTGACACAGATCTACCCATGGTAAACGGTTGCATGGCAGGAGAAGCCAGCGAATACGGGCTTGAAACGGTGCGAGAGCCTGGCCAGGACTGATCACCGGGGGGTCTTGACAGAGACTGGTCTGGCCTCCTGGACAGTAGCCGATCTCAGTTCTTCCATAAAGGAATCGTCGGATAGATTGTCGTCGTCTTCTGAGTGCTCAGGAGTGTGAACTTGAATCGGTTCCAGGTGGACCTTCCTTCTTTGGTCCAATGGGATGGGGTTAGTCTTTTCGACGGATGGTGCCTCAGGAAGAGCCTCAACCGTCGGGACCGGGTCAATCGAAACAAAGACAGGAGTAACCGACTGCTCGATCTCAGTGTTAAGGGGAACGCCTGCAGGTGACGTGTCTAGGCGAGGAGTGGACTCAGGGGCCTCTGCCGGACCGGTGACTACAATTGGGGCATCCAATGATTCGTTCTCCATCAACGGAACAATAGGTTGATGTGAAGGCGAAGTATTCTGGAGTTCTAGGTTCGGGGATGAGGTTTCTGTCGACTCCTTGTCAAGTGGATCCTCGAGATTGGCGCTAGGTGGGACTAGGTCACCCTTAGTCTCATTTTGGCCAGGAATTGCGGAGTCGGTATTCTCGGCGCGAGTTTCATCCTCAGAGACCGTCTGCAGCGTTTGGGACTGAACAGTATCCAGGGTAGTCTCACCGTGCTCGACAGGGAACGTATTATCGGCGCTAGGGTCGTTGTGAAATGCAGAACGTCTGCCCTCAAAGTCTACCATAGCCGGGGCTTCTGGCCTGAACACTGCAGCGGAAAGCATCTCTTCCTCCTGAGGCTCGGATTGAGGCTCAGGTTCAAGAGGTGGCACTGTCAGCTCAACTGGGTTCTCTTCTTGATCGTCTCGCGCAGTTTCCAGCCCCTGTGCCTCACGTCCAGGTACCAGGTTGATATTCTCCTTGTTCTCTTCGTTGGGGTTTACATTATCGATTTCTGCTTCCTGATCTTCTTCGATACTCTGCTTCTTCTTGGTCGCTTCCGCTCGTTTTGCCATCTGTTTCTTTCTTTGCTGTAGGGCCTTCATCAAGCGCTCTTTCTCTGGCGTCATCCCAGAGGAGGTTGACAATGCGCCCAACGACTTGGCGCCAGGTGACAATGGCGGTCTGGAAATTGGGATGTTCGGGGGAGGAACCAAGAGCGGGGGGGATCGGGGGTGCTCGACTAATTGGTTTGGACGCAAAGGAGCTTCCTTGAGATCGGGGACGAGGGGCGTCAACATTCGGTCTTCGTAATGAAGACGAGCGCATGCCGGAGGGAAGTGAGGCGACGGGGCGTTGATCGGCGTTCCTTGACGTCCCAGAAGTACGAGGCCTTCCAGTAGAGTCGACAGAGGGACGAGGTCCCAACTTGACCTTGGGCTGAATTCCGGCGGCTCGTTCGAGATCTTGCAAGGAAGGTCGGGCAGATTGAGTCGACATTCGCGCTTCTTCTGACGGCCGTGGGAACTCATCTAAGATAGTGCGGTATTTGGAACGTTCGGAGCCGGATTCGGGGGGACTTGGGAGACATGGTGCTGCGCGATTCGCTGGGGCTACCAATTGACGGTGCTCGGGAACTGGCTCGAGAGGGCGGGGGTCGGAGGTCAGGCGAGGACAGTTCTATAGGTGAAGCCGTTGGTGGTACGACAGTAGACTCTGACTTTAGGCTGCCGGAGCTCTGCGTTGTCTCAGTGATCGGCGGAGGAAGCTGTGTCTGCTCCTGCTCTGGCCCCTGCTCCTTTTTTCTTCCTTTGTTCCACTTTCCTCGGCATCTTCGGTTATTTCCATCAATCGACGGCGCCGCAAAGAGCCCGATGAAGAGGTTATCGATCCGGAAGCTGTGTGCAGGAGACATGCGGACGATAGAGCGCTCTCATTGAGCTCGGATGCCTGAGTCAGGGTGAGTACGGTGTCATTCGGGGTAAACTTGTCGAGGACGGATTGAAATTGAACGTTGCTTCGAGCTGTGGTAATAGAGGCCTTACTGTTAGCGGCAGAGTCCAGATCATCCCCACCACTCGAAGTACACACCTTGGATGAGGCGCGATAGCCCCTCAGGCATGTATCTTAAGATGACCTTTCGCCGTCGATACTGCAGAAAGCCATACAACGGCGAGATCTCCTCGTAGTTGTCTATGGCATTGCGTACCTCGGGCACCCCGCCGGTGCCGCGATCAAGCAGAGCTACTTCATCCCTAGCGGTGTAGTGTAGAAGGATCCTGCGGGCATGTTAGTCGCGCGATCAGCACAGCGCGGTGTAAGGGGACCGAGAACTCACCATCCACCGGCGTCAGCCAGAGCACTCTGGTAGGCTTCAACCACGGTGGGATTATCTAGCCCATTGAGAGACATGGCGGGCACCGCATGGAGAAGGGCCGGAGGAGCGACCTGGGTTGGGTGAGGCAAGGAGGGGGAGGTCTGGACACCGGGTCGATAGAACGACCGAGCGTAGATGGAGCCCGGATAATCGGGCCAGGGTCTTGTCCTGAGATCGTTCGACAGGAATACTCCTAACAGGAGTTTAATGGGCCGCAGGCACGAACCGCTGGCTCAGGGGTACCCGATTCCATTCGTTGGAGGACTCCACTCGCGGCTATCCCAATTCAAGCCGCCCATCTGACACGCCGGGTCCTGCTCTTTATAGCTCTAGCATAAGTACGAGGTCGCACCAGGGCAAGTCACATACTTCCAGCCATCTTATCTAGTTAGGTCTATGGGAGGGGGCGCCATTCCGGAATGTTTGTGATCTCATAGGTCTCGGATCTAGCCCCTGACACGCGTGTACGTGGGGAGTTCTACAGTTGACTTATGCAGAATACGACCTCACATCAAGGAAACTTGGAATGGCCTAGGACTACGGACTGGGAACGTCCCGACGTCCAACATCCAGCTGGAAATCTTTGACTGACTACGGGAAATCGGTTCGGAATCTCCTGGCATATAGGTCGAGTTCGAGGCGACGCCGGTCCCCGCCCAGAAAACATGGACGCTCGGCGACCCCCGAAGGCGGGGGAGCCGTCACGGTACATTCATATATCTTGGACATTCCCTGGATTCTCGAACTTGAGTCCAGAGACCATCTGAACCATGTCCGGCCTACCAAGCCTCGCATCACTGCCCCAGCAGCCCCAGGAAACCCAGCTGCGGGTATTGGACACCTTATTCGAACCGTCGCCCGAGCTGCACCAGTTGATGACGCCGGTTCTGGCCGGCCAGAGCTTCACCTCTTACGCCTCGCTGATCGATGCCGTGGGCGGTCGCATGTCCGCCCTTTCCGCCGTCAATTCGCCCACCGACCGGAATGTACTATTCGGCATCCTGGGTTCACATCCCCGGCTCGGTCGGGCCCCCGCCAACCCCGAACATCTCAGCGAGTTGAGCAAGAAGGAACAGGCGCAATTGAATGACGGCGCAGAGGAACAAGCGGAGAAGTTACGCGCATTGAATGCGGAATATGAGGCCCAATTCCCCGGACTGCGATTTGTGTACGTGCACCGAACCCCACGCCTATCCTTGCTCCTTTCTGACCGCGATAAGCACATTTGTCAACGGCCGCACCCGAGATGTCATCATGGAAGAAATGCGCCAGCGCATTGATCGGGCCGACACTGAGCGCGAAATCACTGAGACGATCCAGGTATGAGAGATGCGATTTCCTGACCAGCTTGCAGTCGGCTACTGGGACTAATATGACTTAGGCCATGTGCGACATTGCGAAGGATCGCGTGCGCAAACTGCAGGCGCGCATTTAAACCGACGGATGACTGATAATCTATAACCTATGGACCCATATGTATATACCAAGACCCTCGGGGAAGAGTCTAGCACACCAAAATGGTATCTCTTAGCGATGCTTGATGGCCATTGAGTGTCCTATAGTAGACGGCGCAAAAGTAGGGTCTGCTCCACCCGTAAACCCCGGATGCCGATTTGATGTCATTCACTCCGGCCGTTGCCGCTTCAGCCTCTCGGATCCTTCTTCTTTTTCCGTCCTGAGACATGGCTCAAGGAGTCCGTTGTATATCTATCATCTCCTCTTTTCCTCGTCAGCGACTTGGGCGCGCGTGATATGGAGGTCAGCGATTTGCCACGGGCGTCGACATTTCCCGCGATCGGCGACGAAACTAAATTCGCGCCGCCCAGATCCTCCACTTTGCCTGGTAAGTGCATTGTGATATGACTGCGTGTTGGCGATGAGCGCATCAAGAATGGGCTGACAGTCATAGCTCCGGTCAATTTGAATGCTGCGTCAGGGTCCAGCAACAGCGATGGACAGCGAAATTCGTACCGGTCTGCGCCCATTGGAGGCCCTCTGGTCAAAAACTCTACACACGAGACGCGCACCGAAGCCAGCGCCATCGACCCACTCTCACAGGTAAGGCTGACGCCTCCGATTGGGAAAGCCGAATTGCGGCTGAGACGATGGACATGAATTGCTGAGACTGACATGTGGTAGCATATAATTCAACGCACGAATACCCATAAATCCATCCCCATCAAGTTATTGGGTCAAGCATCGTTCGAGGCCGAGGCGGGCAATTCGGAGGGCCCATACGAGCATAGCACGGCTCGCGGCGATGCATCGCTGATATCGAAGGGTAAAGAAAAGAAGTAAGTCCATTGTGCCCCGCCTGTGGTCCCTGGTCGACTATAAAATGTCATGGACGAGGGCCTCAGCGACCATCCCGGCTGACTCTTCTTTGCATCTCCCACAGGAAAGGGGTTTCTTTCTTCAGTCGAATTATTGGCACTAAGAAAAAGGACGTTCACACAGCGGCAGAAGATGAGCTCTCAGATGCAGAGACGAGCCGCATGTCTATCGATATCTCACACCCGATCGGTTTCATTCCTCGACATCCTGCGCCACCTCGGTACTTGAGGATCCGCGTACATCATAAGAAAGATAAGAAGTTTCATCGTGTTTTCCTGGCCCAAACGTTGGAGGGCACAGGGCCGTTGCCAAAGGCGGAGCGACGAACGTCAACCTCCACCCATAACGATGGAGAGGCCACAGGGAGAGCCATTTGGGCGGTGGAGTTCTCCAAGGACGGCAAATATCTGGCCGCCGCCGGCCAGGATAGAAAAGTCAGGATATGGGCAACTATTACTACACCTGATGAACGAGAGGCGGCGATGCGAAATATAAAAGACGCAGCCACGGAGGATCAAGATGTTCCAGAGCTTAAGGCTCCCGTGTTTGGACCGAAGCCCATCCAGGTCTTTGAAGGCCACGAGGGTAGTATTTTGGACCTGAGCTGGAGTAAAGTATGCATGAATACAAGTACAAATCAAGAATACAGGCTGATCACTGGAACAGAACAACTTTCTCCTTTCCTCATCTATGGACAAGACTGTTCGACTATGGCATGCGAGTCGACCGGAATGTCTATGCTGCTTTCAGCACAGTGACTTTGTCACTTCAATCCAGTTCCACCCCAAGGACGACAGGTTCTTTTTGGCTGGGTCGCTCGACACAAAGCTGCGCTTATGGAGCATTCCTGATAAAAGTGTCGCATACGTTACAAGCGTTCCCGACATGATCACTGCAGTTAGCTTCACACCCGATGGCAAGTACTCATTGGCGGGATGTTTGAACGGGTTGCTCAATATTTATGACACTGAGGGTCTCAAAGTATCGGGACAAATCCACGTTCGATCGGCGCGAGGACGCAACTCCAAAGGCAACAAAATCACGGGGATCGATACGATGACGATGCCGCATGATATCCATGGCGATATAAAATTGCTAGTCACAACTAATGATTCCCGCATTCGACTCTATAACTTCCAGGATCGAACTTTGCAGGCTAAGTTCCGCGGCAATGAGAATACCTGCAGCCAGATTCGGGCGACTTTTACCGACGATGGCAAGCATGTCATTTGTGGCAGTGAGGATCGCAAGGCATACGTTTGGCCAATCGGCTCTGTTGAAAAGGATGGAGATGCGCGGGCAGTCGAAGTCTTCGAGACCCAAGGCGCCATCGTAACTGTGGCCATTACGGCACCTACCGCGACTAAACAAGCCCTGGGATTATCCGACGATCCAATCTATGACATTTGTAACCCGCCACCGGTCGCTCTCGTGAGTCCAGAAGCATCTGCAAAGCCGGCAGACTCTTCACGGGATATGGAGAGCGTGCACAAGCGAACTCCGTCCGCACCGCGCTTGTCTATGGTCAGCAAAATGGCGCAGGAGTCCCCCTCGTACCTGTCCCGGTCGACCCACCCTGACGGGAATATCATCGTTATCGCCGACTACTCTGGAAAGATTAAGATTCTCAGACAAGATTGTGCGTATCAGAAGCGCAAGCACGAGAATTGGCATGATAGTTCAACCTTCTCACGACGAATCCTCCGGCGTTCCACTTCCGGCCGCCGTAGCGTCGCCTCCTCGACCGGAAAGGAGTCGACTCTCAAGACACCCTCTGAGCGAATTATTTCATGGCGCAATTCAGTCGTCCGCCATGGCCGCCCTAGCATGGACGCTTCTCGCGCCGGGCTTCGTAGCCGCAGTCCATCACCACACCGAAAAACGCCAGCTTTCCGACTCTCCTCCTCTCGACCTTCAAGTCTAGCGCCCAACGAATCTTTTTCCGCTTTCACATCACCACCCTCGTCTCCAAAGCAACCTTTTGCTTACCCCAATACAAGCGAACAATCAAGAGAGCAAGCAAGAGAGCAGGACGCTCGCACCATGCCTTGTCGTGACGCAGATCCAAGACAGCTGCCTGCATCGTCAGCCGACATTGTAGCCAGCGGCAAAGACAAAGACAATCCGCTGTGGCTACAGGGAGACCACAGCTACGCGTTTTGGAACAAGATCACACACGAGGCTATGGCAATAAAACAGCGCAATGCGAAAGATCTCCTCAGCCCGAATTCCATCCTTGATCGCCGGCTGAGTGCGACTGGTAGCGTGCTCAGTAGTGACTATGGCTCATCAACTGGAGGCTCGGCGGAAGAGGATATTCTTAAGTGCGAGAATTGTCGTGGAACAAACTTCCGTGGTGTCAAAGGACGAGATGGGAAGCAGAAGTTGATCTGCGTTCAGTGCGATCGAACGGTTGCTTAGTATGTTTGCCCCCTCCCTTTTGTGCAATGATTTATGGGTTGATGAACTTTTATGCCTTTCGTTTTGCCATTTGATTTGGGGCTTTGGTTTTGGCAGTGTTATATTGTGGCATTCTCGGAGAGTTAAAGGTTTCTTTCTTCTGTACAGGATGTTTGTCATGGCAGGAGCATGTATCTCTACGCAGAGCAAAATTCTCTGCTCGACTCTTGTACAAAATTACAATGTAAAACTAGTGAATGAGAATGTGAATACGCAGGTGGTTACTTCATTGATAGTATGACCGTGGTGATTAGTACTATAGTGCGGCTAAGGAGAGGCTTTCCTAGCTGAGATGAGAAGGCGTTTCAGAGCATTCGTGTGGATCCAATGCTTAGTCCAGACAAGACGGCGAAAGCAGTGATTAAAAGCAGCTTATGTGAGTAACTGCGCAAAATGCGAAATGATCATCGTAATAGTTGTGCTGTCTAGATCAGAGAGTAGCCGATGCCAAGACATTTAGGAAAAGTCCGTTGATAAACGCGAGTGTTCGCACCCCGGACTTCCCTAACCCACCTCCCACCTGTTTCAATTCCTCATTTTCAACAAGATAGACCCGGACCTTCTATCTTACTTCTTTCAATCATCGATAATTCTCCAAAGAACACCTATAGTTCGCCCCCACCAGCCCGCATTCCGACTCAAGACCTATCCCCAACGCGAGACCGGCTCTCGTCCACCATGCCCTACCTCACCACCTCCCAGGAATACCTAGAGCAATCTGCTCTCCTCCTTGAAGCGTACCCCGACTCAGTAAGCCGAGCTCCAAACTCTACCATCACTCTATCGCTTCACCCCTTCGCCCCCACGCCACTCCATATTACCAGTCCAAACTCCCCAAATTAACTCCCCAATCTAGCGCATCACAACAAAATACAGCTACCCGACCGAACGCCCCTCAGAAAAAGCCCATCGGGCCAAATCCACCCGAGCCGAAACCGAGTCCACACCGTCCGCGCCCGTCGCAGCATTGGAACTGAAGACATTCAATGCCGAATCAGGCATCTGCTTGAAATACCGCACGAACAAGGCCGCCGAGGTCAGTCGATTGATGACCGGGCTGGGGAAGCTTGCAAGCGGGGCGGACGTGGCTAGTTTGGGTGTTTCAGGGCCAGCGGATGTAGAGATGGTTGATGCGCCTGCTGTAGAGGAGAGTAAGGGGGCCGCACAGGGACCGGGGCAGGGACAGGCGCAAGGAGGGAAGGGCAAGAAGAAGGGTGGGAAGGGGAAGCGATGAACGAGTCGATTCGGAAATTAAGGTTGCGTGTGGTTTGAAGGGGACGCTCGATAATGACTTTTATTCATAGATGGCTGCGCCGGTGTGGAATGGCATTTGCTGGGTTGTAGCCCAGACAGGAGTTAGAGAAGATGTGATACGGTGTATCAATCAGCATACAATAAGAACTATGTTACGAACACAAGCTCAATGCCAAATGGGGATTATACACTAACAAGTGACTTGAACATCTAAATACACAGATCCGCCATCCATCCCATATCAGACACAGACACTATAGCGCGAGTCTAGGACAGAGCAAGGAAAAACAAACAACGAACGCCAAACCCATGCGTAGCCATTGAAAAAGATCCGTCAATCAATAAAAGCACAAAGAGAAAAGGAATAGCGTGATATCATGTGGGAAACGGCGCGAGGAGAGCCCCGCAGCTCAGGGTATAAAACAAATGGGGGAGAGGAGAGGGAAGATTGCAACGAGGAACTGTTTAGAAGTCCTCGTCGAAGTTGAGACCGTCGCTGCCGGAGCTGGTCTGGCCCTCGGCACCGCTGGTGTCCTTCTTAGTGCTCGCCATGACACCGGCCTTTTGGTAGTCACCGACACGCTTCTCGAAGAAGTTGGTCTTGCCGGCCAGGGAGATGGACTCCATGAAGTCGAAGGGGTTGGTGGCGTTGTAGTACTTCTTGTTGCCAAGAGCGACAAGGAGACGGTCAGCGACGAATTCGATGTACTGACACATCAGCTTGGAGTTCATGCCAAGGAGAGCGCAGGGAAGAGCGTCAGACAGGAACTCCTGCTCAATGCCAACGGCCTCAACGATGATATCCTCAACCATCTTGGGCGTGGGACGGTTGTTCAAATGAGAGAAGAGCAAGCAGGCGAAGTCAGTGTGCATGCCCTCGTCACGAGAGATCAACTCATTGGAGAAGGTCAGGCCGGGCATGAGGCCACGCTTCTTGAGCCAGAAAATGGAGGCAAAAGAGCCGGAGAAGAAGATACCCTCAACACAAGCGAAGGCAACCAGACGCTGAGCGAAGGTGGAGTTGCGGTCATTGATCCATTTGATGGCCCAGTCGGCCTTCTTGGCAATGCAGGGAACTATGGGAGACCTGTCAGAGGTTGTGTCAACCGGAATGATTGTGGATAAACATACTGGTGTCAATGGCGTCGAAGAGGTAGGCGCGCTGCTTGGGCTCCTTGATGTAGGTATCAATGAGCAGAGAGTATGTCTCAGAGTGGATGTTTTCCATCATGATCTGGAAGCCGTAAAAGCAGCGAGCCTCAGGGACCTGAACCTCTCCACTGAAACGCTCAACCAGGTTCTCATTGACAATGCCATCGGAGGCAGCGAAGAAGGCAAGCACGTGGGAGATGAAGTAACGCTCGTCATCGTTCAGGCGGTTGTGCCAGTCGTGGAGATCCTTAGACAGATCAATCTCCTCGGCGGTCCAGAAGGAAGCCTCGGCTTTCTTGTACATTTGCCAGATCTATTTATAGAAGATAATGATTAGCCATGAGTCCTTGCAATTGCATAGATCGTGGGTGCTTCGCGTCCATGCAACTTTACGCGTGAGCATGGACGCGTCGACGACGTGATTTACCTCATGGTACTTGATAGGGAAGAGGACGAAACGGTGAGGGTTCTCCTGAAGGAGGGGCTCATTGGCCTCGGTCTCCTTGATGCCAGGAGCAACCTTGGGGGCTTCAACAATCTTGTCACCCATCTTGTCGACAGGCGCGTCGGTGGGCTTGAAAGCCGCGATGTTCTCCTTGCCAGCGGACTGGAAGTCGAGCTTCTTGACGGGGGAATCGCTCATTTTAAGATTCTCGAGGGAGGAAGCAGCCTATGGAGGGGTACTAGTCAGTGTATGTCCATGGCGACGCGTCTATCGCGAGAGGCGACAGTCGTGACATCACGTACCTGCTTCGAGGGGGTAAGTTGAGCAGCCATTGGAAAGTGTGTTTCAAACTGAAGGCAGAGGGCAATTGCTTGCGAGACAGTCACAAAGATAGACAAAAAGTCAAGAGGCTTGAAAGAGAGGAGGAATGTGGGAGCTGGGTGGGTAGAAGATTTGATTAAGTAGTTGGCGGACGTGAATCTTTTAGCGCGACGGACTCGGTCGCGTAGCACGTGACTTCGCGACGAGCTTAGTCAGGACGCAAGGCGCGTCGTCCCAAACGGGATATCGTGGGCTTGGAATTTTCATGCCACCGCAACTTCAGCAACATCCGACGCTAGGGCAGTCGATCCATGGCCGTGCCTGCGGTAGCCCCCTCGACGGGCATTTGACATGGTTCCCTAGACTTCTAGTATGCAGCTTCTATTGAATCGGGCGTTCTCTATCAATCTATCATCCCGACAAACAATTGAGCCAGCTATTATGGTACCCTAGGATACACGTATAATCACTGCTAGCTACACGCTTATAAAGATGACGAAGGACACGCACTATTGCCGACGTGCCGGACCAATATTAATTTATCAGCTCGACGTAATAGCGACTCCACTGCCACTGCAGCTGAATAAAGATCAGATAAGCCCGCAGTCGATCATATGCGCCGATGGACGCGTTAAGCAACACAACACGGATTTACGGATCTAACTGGCACGTCTGGACCTGTTGGAGCTCTAGACTGGGGTGCAGAGGACTAAGGCCCAGTCGCGTCTCCGGACTCCGGACTGCTCTCGGTTCTTCCTTCCCAGCGCTCTTCATGTTAGTTAAGAGCCGGTGTCACAGCAATTGGAAAATTAATTTACTGCAAAATAGTCAGTCTGTATCATATAGCCTGAGAACCGGCGATGCAGACAGATATCAGGGCTCTAGAAGGAATAAAGGAGCTTGACGCCTCAGAAGGTTCTGAGAGTGGATCCCAAACAGCTCTTTCGCGTCGGAAAATGTGCCGATCGCATTCAACTCGCGTGCTGGATCTCACACTAGGCAGACGTCTCGATGGAGACCAGGTTCCAGAGAGTCTCGGCGTTTTATCCCTTCCCATTGCGCGTCTCCACCTGCTTGCTCGGGCAACCCTGCATATGCGCGCCTCGGATCTCACAGCCCCGAGATGGTAAGCGCACTGCATTCTGGCAAAATGGAGTCTATCATCTCAGCAAATGACAGAGCTTTGCGGTCCTCGGAGTTTGCATGTCGAGGAGTATTTAGATCCATGTTTCAGTGCAGTCATTCCCCAAGTCTTCAGTAACCATTGCTCTAGGCTAAGGAACAGGTTTTGCTCCACTAGACTCGTTTTGGTCAAGATACGCCACGCCATCTTACATCTCTCTTTGTCTCTCTCAAACTGCGGGGGTAAATTTGAAACCCCACATCCCCGCTAGTGGCATCGAATCTTGGAAGTGGCCGTGGGCTGCTTATCCGTGTTCAAGGCCACTTGCCATAATTTTCTTTCAATATCCTTCTTCGCCCTTCCCCTATAGGCTAATCCTTGTTTGTCTAATGCGTTATTATTTGAACTGCCTACGTTTGCAATAACGATCTGACCGTAAAGCTGGAAAGCCTGATGCTTTGATCGTCTGTCTTGTTGACTTCCTTCCCAGCTTCTGCTTAGGATCGTCGAAACCGCCAATTAAGTAAAATGGGAGTCCTAGTGGATGGGCCGAATAATGAGTCGTCATTGGGAGATGATGGCGGAAGTGAAATGCCAAGATCATGTAGGCCAGGTTTCAGCAATGATCAGCTACACGAGTAAAGTGTATAGCAGCATCGGACCAAATGTGGTATCGAATGTCGAGGCTCGATTCAGAAGTTCCCTTGCGATCGAATTTACTCAGATAAGTAGTATTACCTTTACTTGTCGTAAATGCAAATGCGCATCTCGTGCAGGTACGGTTCTAGTAGGCTGCATCTAACACAACCAGACCCTGGCTAAACATTATACTGAAAGAGTCTCGAAGATATCTTGAAAAAAAATGAAGATGGAACCCCTGAATGCTACTTTACGCATCTTTGTTGGATTCTCTTGGCATTTTCTTATGATGAACATATTCTCATTGAGGGTTAGGACTATAAGGGCACGATGGAAGAATATCTTTTTCTATTATCTGAGATAGATGATGATAATAATACAACAGCAGAGATGTAAAGAGCTAGTGCAGATAGATAAATGCCCGCATCTAAGCAGCCCGAATGAGAATTGACAATTATGAGCGTTCACGGCGAGGGGCACTTCTCAGAAATTCCAAGAAACTCTCATAGCTGAAGGACAAGGAAGCGCGTAGATAGTTAGAGAGCTCATGCACTGCGGCAGGACGCAAGGGTCTGACTGCTAGGCATGGAACCTGCATGGCACAAAGGAAATGGGTGAAGATATTCGTGAGACGAGTGTCTCCAAGTCTGCGAACCTTTTGCTGAGCATCATTCCAGCTTTCCATAAATTGAAGGGTTCGCAAACCTCCCGGTCCGTCAAGGGAGATTTGCTTAAAAGACAGCATATTGAAACCCTTTGCCGAATCGGGAAATGAGCTAAAAATCTCACAACGATGAACGAGTGCTTTGCTAAATGCCCTGAACGCCGATTGCTCAGGCTCGGATTTGACCCGCCACATGATTTCGGCGAATAGCACAAGCCAATTATCATAAACAGGACTATTACGAAGGTTGGTCCAGTCGTAACGGGTAGCTATTAATTGAACTGGGAGAGGATTGAACGGTCTCTGGAGGAGCGGATCGAAGGACCAATTATCAGTTCGTGGGTGCGGAGCCCAGGGATCAGCCTGCCATGGCAGGTTGCGTAGCGTAGCATGATTCGGGATACAGGAAATAGGAGCATGGCTGCAGTCAATGTCCACGATGGGATTGACAGCGGTCATTCGAAAACCTGGAATGGTCCGCATGACTTTGAACCTTGGACTGCGAGCATTGGTGAGTTCGAGAACTCTTTGCTCCCAGCCACGTGTGAAATCGGTATGAGCGTTGAGCTCAGTAACCCGCTGATCCCATTTGGCGTTGATAGCGCGGCCATAGTCCCATCGCAAGAATTCCACATACTTCCGTTTCTGATAGTCCGAGGGGAGGAGCACAAGCCCCGCGTAGAATGCAGGCTCAAGCTCTGAGAGCTCCGAGGAAGGTGGGGGTCTGATAACCCAGCCGTGTCTTTCACTCAACTCTTCGCCGCAGAGAATAATTGACTTTTTCCATACAGGAATCCAGAAGAGACCGTAAGCCTGTACGATGACGGGCTCTCCACAGGGTTTGCGGCCCACTCGGATATTTCCACGCCAGTCGAAATCAACAGGATAGCGCTCAGAGCGCTCCACCACAGATAAAGTCTTGAGCGCCAAGTAGACGCCAATATCTGGCAGACGTCTCTCGGCTGGGAAGGGCCAGTTCATGAACTCGTCGGTCTGCGCATGGCTGAGAGTGCGGATTCTATCGAAGTCGGCGACAGCATACGTTTGTGTAAGATGAGATATTTGACCGGAACTGATTGTTGGATCCGGGGATGGTGTAGGAGGATCATTACCCGATGCTGCAGGGAGACGCCCGCATGGCCAGAGGTCCATGTCGATGAAATTCGGAAACTGTTGAAAAGTCTCATGAGCATTGGGTCCAAATCAAAGGAAGGAAGTAGACGAGACAAACCAACTAAGTCCGATCTGGAAAGTCACTTGAAGACGTCTTGTTGAGTGGTTGTGGTTACAAGGAAGCGTATCTAAATCTGTGGGTGGGATATTGACGTGTAGAAGATGTGAGCTTGCAGAGAGAAATTGGCTCAAGGGTCTGGATAATAGGACTTGTTAGCGACCTATGAAGCTTCAGAGGAAACCCATATTATCCCGAAGAGCGAAACAGATGGAAAGGAGAACTGTTGAGAGGTGCAAACTTACGAAGGATGATTTTATTCAGAAATTCAATTCGGAACATACTGAGCGGTTCCTTCAATCCAAGGTGAACAAAATAATTGACAGCAAAGCAGCTTGCAATCGCAACAGTCTCTTCGCAAACTCTGTAGATTGAAGATAGGTCGCATATTTTGATGGCACTTCTTTCGACACTACAATGGCGGCAGTTTGGTTGACATGCCATGGTAATGTTTTTCATATTGAGAGTCATTTAGAGTCGATAGGTCAATAGCGACGATCGAGGAATTCCCGCTAGGCAGGCAGGCGCAAGGGTTGTCAGGCACCAGGTTGATTTTGAACGGTTGAAATTGAACAGAGCAATCAAAGATTGCAGTCTTTTAATAAAGGCAGTGTGGCGATGGAGGTTTGCCGAAGTGCCTAGAACTCTCGGGGTCATCACTAGCCAAAGGTCACAACTCTGTAACCGAGCTAAATGCGTAGTTTGATGATGAGTAGAAGCGTGATGCGCTATGAGTCTTACGAAATGGTCCACTCGACAAGTGTTGGAAACTCTTTATGCATTGCTTGGAATCATGCCAAGCATATGAAAAGTAATGAGCTTGTGATCGGAGACTGAAAAAGAGGACAACGCAGAACAACTCAGCGATGATCAAGTGGCCAAGTGTGGCGTAAAACACTTTCAAGGAAGAACGATGATACAAGAAAATGGAAAGGAAGAAGAACACGGGTATATGATAATTATGATTACGGACTTTTTGTGAAGCATTCCAGAAGCAGAGATCAGTCTACGTGATGAGGCGAGACAGAACAAACAAGAATCAAATCAGGGGACGGACTGTTTCTGGAGAGGATGGCCTTGATTGGGTCGACCTAGAAAATGTAGAGCCTAGCAAAACGAGATGCTCACAAGTCTGGACAGCTGCAGCCTGACAAGGCCATAAAATCCTTCGCAAGTCCATAGATAGGCAATATTTTTACCAGACATTGCCGTGAACCTGTTTGATCTTCTTGAGGTTAATGTCCTTGATCACAAACGTCCAGATGAGTCCGAGACCCATGACACCCAGTCCAGCAGCAAGCATTCTGACCTGAGCGTAGGAGTAAGCCTTTTGGATGGCGATTCTCGCAGCAGATCCGACGGGGTAGCTGAGCTGGACGGTGATATCTTCGTAGATGCTGTCAATGTTGGACAAGGCCTCCTCGGGAAGGTAGCGTTGCAGAGCAGGCTCAAAAGTGTTGGTCCAGATCGCGGTAGAAATAGTAATACCGGCAGAGTCACCAATCGTGCCCACAACATTCAGCATTGCAAGTGCAGTAGCAACGTATTGGTGGTCGACGGCAGCCAAGATAGCGAGTTGCTCAACAATGATGAACACCGCACCGCCAATGGAAATGAAGATCTGACACATGACCTGATAGCCCACGCTCTGATCAGGACGGCGGAAGTAGATCATCAAACCTTGGGCAAAGATGTAAAGAGGCACAGCAATGTACAAGAGCCATCTGAAGTAGCCAGTGCGGCGGATAACCCAGCCGACGCCAAGGAGAAGAAGACCGGAAACGACGTCGAAGACGTTGACAACGTATCCGGACGTGGTAATGCTCAAGTCGTTGACGACCTGCAGGAAGTTCTGGAAGTACATGCTCCAGCAGTAGTTAGAGAGTTGGTAGGTGGCATCCAGAAGACAGGCACCGACGACCGTCCGGTCAGTAAGGAAGGTGAAGTCCATCATAGGCTTCGGCGCAAGGTACTTCTCCCAGATACCAAAGAAGAAAAGCATGGAGAATCCGACCACAATCATAGCGATAATATAACCAGTTCCCCAGCCGTTAGGAGCTTCACTTGCGATGTCGAAGGGCAATTCGAATAGGACGAGACCGGCAGTGAACACCAAGACACCGATGACTAAAGGATGGAAAGGTCGAAATTAGTTATGCCGGATCAGACAATGGATGACGCGGGTAGACTCACAATCAAACTCGATAAACCAATGCCAAATGCTCTGAGGTAGCGTTCGGCCACTTTCCTCTCGGACAATCTTGCCTTGCTTCTTCGCCTGGTCAAGGTTCCACTTCAGGGTGAAGAACAAAGGAGCAGCGAAGCACGGGAAGATAATTGCCCAGCAACCGTAGCCCCATCGCCAGCTGACTTGGGTGTAGAACTCGTCCGCGACCTTGGGCCCGGCGAAAGCAGTAATGATGTAGGGCGAGGAGGTGAAGGCGTAGGCCAATCCTCGGTTCTTCAGCTGGGACAAGTCGGCCGTAATAACATCGACGCAGTATTCCATACCGCCAAAGCCCATGTAGAAGAAGATATTTCCAGCACAGTATGCCGCAAAGCTGTTGCAGGCGGCCATGAGGATGATACCAATTGTGGCACAGCAGGACATCAGGGCGAAACCCTGAGGACGACCCCAAGTATCAAGGACCTTGGCCACGGGGATGTAACAGGCAGCCGAGAAAGCATCGGAGAGTTGAGTGGGAAGGTTGGACAGCGAGTGTTGCTCGAATGAACTTGCGACATAACTGTACAAGCTGCCGTTGACCGAGGAGACAAAAGCATAGACAAAGTAAAGGAACCAGATGCTATCGGGGTGTGTTAGTGGACTTGATAGAATGAATCGTTCTCTATGAATTGACGAACTTGATGAAGACAGCAATCAAGGCTCCCTTGGACCAAGTCTCCGCAAGGGCTTCGACATCCTTGACACCAGTTTGGAGCTCATCATAGGGAACGGGCTCCACTCCTTTACCGTTGGTGGCAACGACTGACTCTGAATCAGAGGAAGGAGCCTGTGCTTCTCTATCAAGGTTCTTCTCTGGCTCAGCGGCCGTTCTGGAAATGTCCACATCGACAGAACTGCTGGTGGCCGCCTCATCCTGGTCAAGCTTGACACGACGGAAGACCGCCCGGCCTCTTCGAATTAAAGGACGAAAACCCATGATGATTTGACTATGGTTGAGTCAGAGTTGAAATCAAATAGAGCGAAGCTAAACAGGTAAGCCTTTGCCCTTATAGAACGCAAAGACCGAGATCGGCTGTTTTGGACCGATAGTTCAGAAACAAGAGAAAACAAGCATACGCAGCCCAAATACGCGGACGAGAACGGGGGGTTCTTGGGCCTGGCTTGGCTAACGATTTGCTAATTTCACCATAATGAAAATCTTTTCCCTCGTAAGATGCTCCGGCCATACTCGGCGAACCCACAGAGGGTTCCACTGGCGGCACAAGTAGATTGGGAGAAAACCGGGCTAGGCTGCCAGTGCGATCTAATCAGATGTCCGTATGATCTTATCTAGCGAGAACCGAGTCCAGTCTACACCTGAATCGGTAAAGTGCGTTGGTGCTTCATCCACATCAAGCTTCGGATTCGCTCACATCAAGCTTCGCTTGGCCACGACCGGGAAATACCCAGTGGAGCTTGTCCGCCACAAGCACTGGAATTTTCTCGGCTCTCGCGCAAAATGGCAGGAAACCGCGCTGATTTCAGAATAATATCACAAGATTATACCAGAAATTATCAGATCTTTCTTAGCCCCCGCGGCCAACATCGGGTCAGAGCAACCGACTTTGATCAGCCCAGATCAACCCCCAGGGATCCGTTCGGAATCATCCGATGCTGTTACCTAACTAGTTGTGATCGCGGTCGTTGACCATGAAAGACTAGGGCTAGGGCTACGTACTCTCCTGATTTGTACTTGATGCCCAGACTTTTTAGGGCTTCGTCAACGGAACGCTGAGCGATGTCTGAGGTATTCCCGGATAACCACGTTACCGCGTATTTGATACGATACATACCGCCTGTACTTTACCGCACCTCGTTATACAGATCCGGTTTGGAACTTGGTCGTGTTGGTGGAGGTCTGCTATTATCAGATCCTATTACTTATGGAGTCCTTGCTAGATCCATTATGAACCTTGGAACGTTCGACATCAGATCAATTTTCCCTTCCTATGAAAACTCTCATGCGGCCTTCGGTGAATCAAGAACCAAACGGGGAGCACGCGGGACAGCGCCCAGCAGAGCCCGAACAATTGGGTATCTTCTCTTGCATTTGGGGCCCATAGGAAGGTTGCAATCACCAGCGACCGCGCATTAGTGGAGATAATGGGGTATGTCATTCATTCGGACCTGGTAACCCAGAATGGTAGGTACCCGCCCCGCTTACGATGACACGCCAAGGACGACATCTGATAACTGAGACCTTTCCACAGGAAAGAGCCCGACCATATCCTGGCGACAAATTTACCTAGAGACGCCACAAGCGGGGCATTCAGTCAGATTTGATGCGCATTTTCCTTCGATTATGCCGAACCTTCGTGCGCAAATTTCCGTTCACAGCTTGGAATTGGTCCAGACCGGTGCTCGCTTCTCCACGAACGCTTGAATACCCTCGGCGAAGTTGCGACCAGCGACCAATTGAGGATACCAGTCGTTCGCTAACGCGGTGACGGCATCTTCCACGCTTCCAGCTTCCCAACTGAGTCGGATTCCTTCGCGGCCGACTATCAGAGCGTCGGGGCTGTTCTTGCACATTTCCTGGGCCACCTGTAAAGCGGCCTTGGCAACATCCCCGGGCGAATCAACCACTTGCGAGACAAGACCCCATTCGTAGAGTGTTTGAGCGCTCACGTTCCTTCCTGTCAACACGAGATCTGTGGTACGTTGCAATCCAATCGACCGAGTCAGCCGCGGAAGGCATCCCGCTACCGGCACGATCCCACGCTTGATTTCCGGAAGAGAGAAGATAGCGGTCGAGGCTGCGATTACCAGATCGCAGTTTGCCACCATCTCGAAGCCTCCGCCCATGCAAATGCCATTGACGGCTGCGATAATCGGTTTCTTGCCACTTCGACGAGGAAGTCCGGCGAGACCTGGAGCGTCCATCTTATTGACGACGCCGGCTTTGTTCATAGCATTCCACTCTGTAAAAACTCGTCAATTATTACCTGAGAGAGAACGAGCTCGATGTGGCACAAACCGTGAAGATCAGCCCCGGTACAAAAAGCTCTGCCGGTGCCAGTGATGATCCCAACCCAGAGGCTTTCATCCTGGTCAAAGAGTTCCCAGATCTCCTGGATCTGTCGACTGGTAGCTTTGTTGATTGAATTGAGTTTGTCAGTTCGGGTCAAAGTGACCTGGACCACCCGATCGTAGGGGAAAGAGACACTAAAATGCTCGTAGCTCAATGGTCTTGACCGTAGAGACATGGTACAATCGGCCCGCAAGTCGAATGCGAAGGGGACAAGACAAGCAGATAGATACCGTGCCTTATATCCTGTGGGCCATTGAATGATTCAAAGTATCGGATCTGCATTCCGTCACCTCAGACATTTGTAGCCTAGCGCCGGTAATTTGGTATGACGGGGTCGGTTCCTCACCCTTGGCTGGAAGGCCCCAGTGGTAAAAGGAAGACCCTGACCCACCCCAGCTTTCTAAGTTTCTGTGTTTGCCGAGAAAATTTTTCTCATATCGGTCCTTGATTTCTGAATCTGACAAGAGACGGCTCGGAAATAATATTGCTCACCCCGCTGGTGGTCACACTAGGCAGCAGGTACCGAGGCAGGTAATTCCACCCACCATGTACTCTGAGACACGGAAGCTATATAGCTTCGGGCTCATTCCCTTCGACATAATCACCGTTCTACCGCCACCCCCATTTCCCCGCCTCTTGTGGCTCCAAAAATAAACTACGTCTGTGGCTGCAAAATCCCCTTGTCGACTCTATCCTCAGATAAAGAGCAGCTCTTACCGGATCACACTTCACAATGCCTTCCACACCTGCGCAGAAGTACCCTCCGGTCAAGCTACCGCACCCTTATTTGACGGCCTATCAAGTGCAAACTGCCATTGAGACGAATCCTTCCAAGCTAGTCTTGAAATTGGAGAACCTGCCCTCGGATGGAAGGCCCCTACCGCAGCCGCTTCACTCCGATTCTTTGTCGTGGCTCGATTTGTCTCTTCCGTCCAAAGAGACTTGCCCACCGGACAATGACAATACCCCCTGGGCACGTGCTTGCCGAAGTCCCTCGACTGTCTTTGACTGGGTTAATGGCACTACCCCCTCCCTGGGCCAGATTTGGAATGTGGTCCATGCTATTTACCTTGCTCATCCGACGTATGAGTACTTCAGACTAACCCTGACCGGCGATGAGAAGGAGATCATCCGAAATGAGCTTCTCGTCACCGGTCTCGGAATTGAGCCTCCTAAGCCATGGGATGCAAAGAAGAGGGCGACATGGGAGTCCGAGGAAATCTTGATTCTTCGCAATGCCTTCTGGCAGGGTGCGGCCTCCCCAACCGGTCCTCGCCCAATCTGGGTTGTTGGAGATGGCACAGACGGCCCTCTGCGGCAAACCTTGGCACAATACCCAATAATGCCGGAGATATATCAGATCACAAACAAATTTCCCGAGGAGCGCGTGTATACCCGACACCCTACCCGTCGGCCTAAGCCTCATGGTGGATCGATTGCATACAGCCGTTATATTCCCGAGATCAATCAGCACTTCTCCCTCGAAGTTGTGGACTGGCAGAATGAGGAACACTTGAAGCTCTTCAACACATGGCAAAACGACCCTCGTGTTGCCCAAGGGTGGAACGAGACCGGCACCCTGGATGAGCACCGAGCGTACCTGCGAAAACTACATTTCGATCCCCACGTGCTTTGCTTGTTCGGCCGCTTCGACAATACCCGTTTCTCTTACTACGAGCTTTATTGGGCAAAGGTAAATCTCCACTGTGGTTGTTTAATTCTCGCATTCATATATGCTAACCACTCGATTTCAGGAGGATCACTACGGCGCCCATTATGATGCCCACGACTACGATCGTGGCCGTCACTCGCTTGTTGGGGACGCGTCATTCCGGGGAGCGCACCGGGTCAATGCATGGTATTCAAGCTGCATCCACTATTGTTTCCTGGATGACCCGCGGACAATCAACGTGGTCGGCGAGCCCAAAGCCACCGGCGCCACCATTCTTTCCTATGAAAATTCCCAAGGTCTCACCATCGGCAAATACGTCGACCTAGGACATAAGCGATCAGTTCACTCAATCTGCAGCCGAGAGAAATGGTTCCAGCTCTGTCCAATCTTCTGGGACGGACGAGAACGACCCTTGGAATCCGCGGATCGCGCAGCTTGGAATGCCAAGCTCTGAAGCTCGGCGATAGCTTCGGCTTGTACTAAGAAACGACCAAAATGTATATACCTAGATGACCGCGTGCATTCAACACAGACCATGACCTCATTTGTCCAGATGTGGTCCCTCGATAGTCCCTCAGTAAATCAACCGAATGGCCACCGGAAGGAGCGGGAGGAGAATGAGCAAAACTCTTGCCTCGCCAACGGCCAAGGCCGTCGGTCTTGGCCCACGAGGATATCTAGGGCATAGTTCCTCTGTTGCATCCTAGGTATCTCGCTCGATTCCGAATTGACGCGAATACAGAGTGGGACCTCAGAAGTCTCCCCTTGGCAGCTTCTTCCGGGCACGGGAAACTTATTATGCGGACGGGCCTTTGCGGAATCTTTGTAACATTGTGTGGAGATTAGGCTATGAAATAAAAGCGAATGGACGAGTGGGTCCCACACAAACAACGGTTCCCCTCTTCAGGTTTATCTGATCCGTCCTTTGTCGCCACCAAGGCGCCGGGTTCCATTCAGAAAGCCACGCAACGCCGCCTTTAGCGGACGGGGCAATTTTTAAACGAGCTTCAAAGGTCATACAAGGCCAAGTAAGTGAGCAAATAATGCCAAGGCTGGTTCGTACCCACAGTAGGACGCGCTGCAACCCCATCAGTGATATTCTCCGCCGTCAGTCGTCATAATGGCTCCATTCCATGCATCCTAGCCGAATTAATTTGGAGTCAGGCAGAGTCATTGCTGCGATGCTCGAGGAAATTACCCGATTCGCAATAGCCGTGTTGATGGTACTTCGTATTGTCACTTTACGGAGGTATCTCATGTCAGTACGATACACCGTAAAACCATGGTGTATTTGAAACGGTCCCGCAGTTGGAAATCAGATAAAAGTTCGGTCTCCTGGATGATTCATTGTTCTTCAAGCGAGTGGGTTCTCATGTTATCTGATTCGGGATCCCAAGTTTCCGGTTAGAAGCGAAGTCGGCAGATCCCTAGACTGTTCTTGGCTGTTTCCCAGGGGTCTCAATTTTTCTTTCATGCAGACTGCACATGTTCACCTTGTCAGTTTCAATCCTACGGCTCCCATAGCCGACTTCCCTGAAGCTTTCTGGCAGTGTAGGGACGCATTGATCGAGGCAATACGGCCTCTGAGTCCTGGCGCAGTGCCATCTAGGAGTTAGTGCCCGACGGGCAAACACATCCGGGGCTGTTCGCAACTTTAAACTCTGAGGTTCTCAAGGTTCTGACACCTTCGTCACAATGGCCATGATCAAGAAGCTCGCGGCTTATCCCCGCTTGCTTTTGGCTGCCAACCCCAAGAAAGCCGACTATCTCATGCTAATATGCGGTATCGCCAGCTCCATTGCGTCTGGTGTTCCGTTCCCAATCATTGCAATCATTTTCGGTCAACTCATCAACAACTTCAACGCCGTGTCTTGCAATGAGTCGAGTGAAGACTCTTCAAGCTCTGATGCCAGCTATCAGAACAGTATCAATCACGAAATTCTTTTGATCTTCTATCTCGCCATTGCCCAATTCGTGTTGTTTTACATTCATTTGACATGCTGGACCATGTTCGGTGCTCGTCTCTCCCAGAGACTGCGTGAGAAGTATCTTTCAAATCTGCTTCGACAGGAACCCTCGCACTTTGACGAGCTCCCTCCTGGTGAGGTCGCTTCGCGACTCAGCAGTGACATACAGACTATTCGATCCGGCACCTCTGAGAAGGCGGGCATCGTTCTATCCAGTTTCTCTTTCTTCGTCACAGCGTATATTGTGGCTTTCATCAAAAACTGGGAGCTCGCGGCTATTCTTCTTTCACTGATCCCGGCCTACTTCATAATGTCCTTTGTTGGAAGTCATTACATTGAGAAGTATACTGGGCTCATGTCCGATTATGCTGCTTCCGCTGCTTCAATAGCTTCCGAGGGTCTCTCCAACATTATCGTTGTGCAAGCCTTTGGAGCGAACAAGCGCTTGGAGGAGAAGTTCTCTAACGCCCTTAAGTCGTCTGAGCACCAAGGCTTGAAGAAGGCTACCGCTATTGGCATCCAATCGGGTGTCCTTTACTTCATTGCCTATGGCGCCAACGGTCTTGCATTTTGGCAGGGAAGTCAGAAAGTCGCCGACGCCGTCCAAAATGGCACGTCTGGTACCACCGTCGGTGCGGTGTTCACCGTGATCTTCGTTCTGATAGAAGGTATGTCTGACTGCGCGACCTGTGCCCCCAACTTCCAATAACACAATGACAGCCACCTTGACCTTAAGTCAAGTCGCGCCCTTCATCCATCTTTTTATGGCCGCTACCGGTTCCTACGAAAAGCTGCGCGAGGATCTTTATCGCAAGTCTCTGATCGATGGCACTGGTGATTCCGGCCTTCGCCTCACTGAAGCCCAGGGCGGCTTCGACTTTCAGAATGTTTCGTTCATCTATCCTTCTCGGCCGGAAATTACCGTCCTGGACAAGATTAGTCTGAGTCTACCTGCCAAGAAACATACCGCTCTTGTTGGCCTTTCTGGAAGCGGCAAGTCAACTATTGCGAGCTTGGTCACCAGACTGTACGATCCGACTGAGGGTCAAATTACCTTTGATGGCCAGGATATTCGCGATGTCAACGTGCGTGATCTGAGAGGATTTCTCAGTCTTGTTCAGCAGGAGCCTTCTTTGCTTGATCGCTCACTATTGGAGAACATCGCTCATGGTTTGCTCAACTCAAGCAAGCCTGATCACGCACACCTGAAGGAGATTCTGCTTGGCACTGAGCTGGAAGACCTGGCAGCTGAGTTAAGGGAAGGCAGAGACATCACGGCTGCAGCTGAAGCACGTGGCCCCATCATCGTCGAAATTGTCAACTTGGTACAGCATGCTGCTAAACTTGCAGATGCCGACGGCTTCATTGCGAACTTGCAGCATGGATACGGTACAAGCGTTGGATCAAGTGGCCGTCTGATCAGCGGTGGCCAGAAACAGCGTGTTTCTCTCGCTCGTGCTCTTGTGAAGGACCCCGCAGTCCTCATTTTGGATGAAGCCACTGCCTCTTTGGATTCTCGAAGCGAACAGCGCATCCAAAAAGCCATCAACAACATCACAGCCGGACGTACTGTTATCACGATCGCTCATCGCCTATCCACTATTACAAGCGCAGATAACATTATCGTCATGCACAAGGGCAAAATAATCGAGCAGGGAGACCACGCAACATTGATGGCAAAAGATGGCTCATATGCTGATCTGGTCAAGCTGCAAACCCTTGGAACTGCACCTGGGAGACTCAACATGGCATCCGGCACAGACAGCATTACCAAGTCTGACCAGGCTTCTCTGACCGACACCGATGGGGAAAAGGCCAGTCTTTCTACAGAAAACGACCTTGGAAAAGCTGAGGCCCAGATCTCAACAACCGAGCAACCTGCTGGTGACTCTGACGAGCCTGCCGCAGATGAGGAGGAACCTGAGACCCCCAAGAAGTCTTTATGGGCACTCGCAAAGGGATACGCGCCAGCCCTACGGCCGCACCTGGTGATGATTTTGATCGCAATTTTAGGCGCTGTGGTCGTTGGAGGTGCATTCTCTGGCGAAGCTGTGATTTTCGGAAACACTGTCGGAAGTTTGAACCCTTGCAAAGGCGCCGCCAGTATTCGCAACCGTGGTGACTTCTTTGGTTTGATGTTCTTTGTTCTCGCAATCATCGAATTCTTCGCAAACCTCGCCAGTTGGGCTGGATTTGGCTGGGTCTCTGAGAAGGTCGTGTACACCGCTCGAGTCTTGTCATTCCGTTCGCTCTTTGAACAGGATCTTCAATGGCATCAATCGAAGAACCGAACCCCAGCTCTTCTTCTTTCTTATATCACTCGTGACGGGAATGCTCTTGCTGGACTCAGCGGATCTGTGATTGGCTCGCTGTTCGCTATTAGCGTTAACCTTGTTGCGGCGATTATCTTGACTCATATTATTGCTTGGAGAATTGCCCTAGTTTGCTTGGCTTTGGTCCCGCTTCTTCTTGGAGCTGGTATGATGGAGCTTATTATTCTTGGAAAGTTTGAAGAGAAGCACGAAAACGCATATACCTACTCAGTGGATATTGGCACTGAGGCGATCAAGTCTATTAAGACCGTCGCATCGCTGTCTCTGGAAGAGTCAACCCTTACCACCTACCGCCGATCCTTGAAGGGTCCTAATCAGGAGACTCTGAAGGTCACTCTGCAGGCAAGTCTGTTTCAGGCGCTGACCTATTTCCTCGGTAACTGTGTGAACGCTTTGGCATATTGGTGGGGCGCTAAGCAGATCATCAACGGCAACTACACTCAGACTCAATTCTTGATTGTGGTGTTCTCACTCCTCGTCAGCGCCCTTCTGTGGAGTCAAATGTTTGCTCTTGCGCCTGAGCTTTCTAGTGCCAGAAACGCAATGGCCAGAATCTTGGGCTTAATCGAAATTGGATCTGACGGAATGCGCGGTCATGTTGACAAGCGCTCATTCAAGAATTCCTCCGCACAGGAAGACGTTGAGGCCGTGACGGAACCAAAGATTGTACCGTCCAGTGGTCCTGCATCCAGTGTCCAGTTCCGCGATGTGCAATTTGCGTACCCTGCTCGCCCTGATGTCAAGGTATTGACTGGTTTGAGCGTTGATATCAAACCAGGCAAGTTCTGTGCCCTAGTTGGTCCCAGTGGCGCCGGTAAATCAACCATCATATCTCTTGTTGAGCGCTTGTACACTCCGGAATCCGGCTCGATTCTCATTGATGGTGTCGATGTAACCAAGCACCGTGATGTGGCCTTCCGTGAATCCATTGCCTTGGTGCCCCAAGAGAGTGTACTCTTCGAGGGCTCCGTCAAGTTCAATATCGGTCTCGGTGCTAGGCCTGACCATGAAGCGAGCCAAGAGGAAATCGAAGAGGCCTGCAAGCTTGCCAATATTCACGATGTCATTGCGGGATTGCCAGAAGGTTACGATACCATGTGTGGTCCCAATGGCAGCCAATTCTCTGGTGGTCAAAAGCAGCGTCTGTCAATCGCTCGCGCGCTTGTTCGTAAGCCTAAGCTTTTGATTCTTGATGAATCTACTAGTGCCCTGGATGCCGAATCCGAGAAGTTGCTGCAGGATGGTCTTGAGAAGGCTGCTCGTGGCATAACTGTCATCGCCATTGCCCATCGCCTGCATACCATCCGGAAGGCGGATACAATCTTCTTGATCGAGGCTGGCAAATGTATTGACTCTGGCACACATGAAGAGTTGCTCGATAGGTCTGACAGTTATCGGGCCAATGTTATGCACCAGACCGTGGCTACCTGATGAAAGCTTGTTGCAGATTTGGCTTATTGTTTTTCGTAATTAATCTAGAACTTGATTCCCAACATGCCATTTTGATCTTTCACCATACATTATCATAACTGTAAAACAAAAACTTCTTCCGTCGTCTAGCCCGTGTAGAATGGATGCATGTCTGGACACATTTCCAACGTTCGAATGACTAACGTCAATCCCAGTAAGACCCCCATCCCGGCAAGCCCGCCACCCCCAAAACACCATAGTAACTACAATAAGTTCTAACTCTGTATCTTAACAACACTTTCAGATGTAAAATTCAAATTTTGCCTATAGCTACTGGTCTAGGCTTTAGGCAAGCTCATCTGATATCGTAGGAATTGCTTTATTCCTACATCACTTTTACGGAAAAATACACTCGAGATGTCGAAACATATTTGGATATGATGGTCTATCTCAGCGCGTAAGGCAATTGACTTCATAATATCAAGTACTAGACAGTAAGTAAGACATAGTATACTATTATATGAAGGCACCTAAATTTGCTTAGTAGTGGTGAAATACAGAGCTAGAAATCATTGCATTTACTATGTTTTGGGGTGGCGGGCTTGCCGGGAAATACATTATTCAAACTGGCGTATCATATCTAAGCACAGTCTCTTCGCCAAATGAACCTGACTTAAGGGAGAATTGAATGACTGGAACATCAATAGATATCAAACCAACTGTGGTGAAAAAGTAAAGTAGAACTTGAAATTTGCCACAATGGCCAAATATAATCACGATCTCCTTTCCCACTAATTCTTGATCAACTGATTCAAAGCGTAGACCACGCAGCCGATCATCTAGGAAGACTAGGCGTCGAGCAAAGTAACTTCACGATGAGTACAAATTTCTTCAACAATAGCAGCCAGCTCCTCGAGGACTGAGCCTGCGAAAGTTGAATCTCTTTCACTTCCAACAACACCAACATGCAGTTTTTCCTCTTTCATGAAAGAAACAACCTTGAAGGGGCGAGGAGAGTCTCCATGTGGACTGGAGATATCAACCTTGCAGCTGCCACCAGCAAATGGCATGCTATCGAAATCATCCCAGTCTTGGTGGTGAACGAGGGAGTCAAAGCCGGCAGCCTCTGGCGACCACTGTGCACATTCCTTCGAGATCTTCTTGTAACCGAGGAAGTCATAAGCAGCAGAGTGTGCACTCTGCTTCTGGACAAATTTCAAGAGGTCAATAGCTGTCCAGTTGTTCTGGAAAGGGACCCGAATCGGGGTCAGCTGGTAGCATGGCCCTTGGATGTTCTCTGCATTGGGCAGATCAATCATGCGGCCAGATGTGACGCTGCCAAACGTGACGTCCATCGTCTGGAGACGGCGAGCCAACAGAAGGGCCCATGCCGCTGTAAGAATATTTGCAGTGGTGATTTCTTCGACGGACTTGAAGTTTTCGACAGCTTTTGTCTGAAATTCACCCTTGTCTTCGGGTTGCGTTGTCGTGCCGGGGAGAACTGATAAGGCTGAGCCATTCAGAAGGTCGCGCCAGTAGGCGATTGCCTTCGTCTGGACGCTTTCAGTAGCAGTCCAAGCCACGTAAGAGGAGAAAGGCTCGAAGTCAGCAACTTTTCCTCCGGTGTACAAGGTCTCAAGGTCCTGCAGTAGTCTGGGAAGAGAAATTCCATCGTATTGGGCGTGAGATAGTCCCAGAACTAGACACTCCCGGCCATCTTTGCCCTCGACATGGTGCATCTTGAAGAAAGGTGATCCAAGGTGGAACCCTGAGTCCGTTTGTTCGGCGCAGAGCTCAGCGACGAAGTGTTCGGGATCTGCATCAGTTTTGTGCATGGCAATAGGGATATCAGGATCGCTCAAGACAACTTGGTAGAAGATCGAGTTATCCTCAATAAAGACAGTGCGCAGGATGTCGTGAGTCTTGACGAGATCACCACATGCACGAAGCAGTTGCTTGCGATAGATCCCGCCGTCGAAGTACAACAGTGTGTATTGAACAGCTGTACGAGGTGCCTCGAAGGTTGCCTTGATATCAATGACCTGGGAATCTGTCACGGGAAGCACATCTTGAACAGACCAGGACGATACTTGAAGCTTGGGTAGAACAACCTCGGACAAGAATTGATCCTTGTTGATTGAATTCAGGGTGGAAAATGGTTTGTAGGACTCAACTTTGGCTGCAGCCGCCTGGCCAACCTTCAATATCTTCGCTGCATTGCGAAGGCGCATATGCTGGAAAATGTCGGCAACAGACAAAATGTGCCCTTGAGAACGGAGACTGGACACAAGTTTCATTGCAAGAACGGAGTCACCACCCAGACGGAAGAAGTTGTCATCCACGTCAATCTGGTCCTGATTGAGCCCAAGAATTTTAGCCCAGGCAGCCCGGAGAATGCTTTCCGACGCTGATAGACTTTTCAGAGCAGAGACTTTCTTCCATGAGTCCTTGAAGCCTTGTTGAAGCTCAAAGAGGACATTCCGGGGGATTTTTGAGGCAATCTGGCTCAAGACACTCTGATCAATCTGTCCTTTCGAAGTTGGCATTTCTGCAATCACAATATATGCAGAGGGAATCATGTGTGACGGAAGATCGTCCCGAATGTACTTGTCAAGCTTCTTGATTGCTGCTGCAAGACTAATGGGGATAGTGGAGCAGATGACTGCTTGGATTTGCTGCGATTCTGAGCCATGGACGAGTTCTTGGCTCGTCGACATGACATTGACCGTCTCTTCTTGGGAATTTTGCTTCTCAATAAAGATGATCAGCTCCGACTCGAGCGACGACTTGGAAACGACAGCAGCAGCACGCGTTGATTCCGGGAGGTGTTGTGCAAATTGGGACTCAAACTCCGCCATGTTCACTGCATGCCCATGAACAGGCACAATCTCTTCTTTGCGGCCAACGAATGTTAGACTGCCGTCTTCTTGCAACTGAACGATGTCTCCTGTCCTTTGTATTCTTCCAGAGCGGCCCGCGACCTCAGAGCTTCCAGAAGAAAGCCAAAGAGGTGACTCGGTCGTCTGACCCAAGAAAGAGCATTCGAGCAAGAGCTCGCCGGCACAGCCAATGGGCAATAGAAGGTCTAGATTTCGGGGGTCGCATACCCAGGGCACTGCTGCTCTAGGATAGACTGATCCTTGTTTGATGGTAGGATCGGCACGGAGCTTTCCAGATTCTTCATTGAAAGACAAGGGTGGGAGTTCATTGAATCGCCAAATTTGGTTCAACTCGGCTTCTGGCAAACATGAGATCTGGTCGATTTTTCTGGAAAGATCTTTGTTTAACTGGGAGCACGCCGTCTCCAACTGAACTAGAATGCGCTGCATTTGGGACTCTTTAATCAGACCTGGATCAAAGCTTGCGCAGACTCTAAAGCCACCCTTCCGAATACCAAATGCCAGCATGAGTGGGTAGGGGTTGAAGTGGAGAGCCTCGCGTGCAGGATCTCCCTGCTGGAAGCCAAGCTCGCTGACCTCATACTCAGGATCAGGTTGAATGACCAGGCCGGTACCGGCCTCGCATGCATGTTGGGCATCTCTGCTGACCTTGCGAATGAACTGCATACCCATGTGTTGGTAAGGCGTTCGAGCCAAGATGGCTTGCTGGATACTCTGAAGATATGACTCAACGGATTTCTTCCGATTGACATGAACACGAATAGGAATGGTCGCATTGAGTGGACCCAGCACATTCTCGACACCAGGTAGCTGAATGTCCCGACCTGTTAGCGTTTCACCGAAGACCACATCGTCGCTTCCAGTGTACTGCGACGCCACTAGTGCCCATGCACCTCTTATCAGCGTGGCCAGAGTGAAGGGAGATCCAGCGGTTGTTTTCAAAGGAATCTGGTGCTCAGCGTATCCCGTTGGGGTTGGCAAGTAGTCACGGAAGGGAAGGCGAGGGAACTGCGGACCGACAGCACCCTTCAATTCGCGACGCCAGAATTCTTGCATGGCAATTTCATCCGTGTCACGGAACCACTTGACGAAGTCTTTCATATGTGTCTCTATTTCAGCAGGTAGGTTCCTGAGAGCTTTCTTGACCTTTTCGAGAATCACAGGTTCTGACCACCCATCATATACAACATGGTGAATGGTCCATACCATATATTGCTTGCCATCTTTTGAATCATTAACGATGGCATAGCGAGCGAGGCTCTCCCCGAAATGCATCCTCTCGTTCCGATCATCTGACAGATATTGCTCCAGATCAGTAGAATTCCTCCACGAGATGGACTCCTTCAGAACGACCTGCTGGAGTCCTGGATCTTGAAGCTGAGCCACGCGGGTGCGCAAGATCGGGCTTGTGGCAACCACATCCTCCCATGCCTTCTTCCAGTCCTCTATGCTGATATGCGATGGAATGATAGAGACTCTTTGAGCAACATAGGGCTCGATAGACTTAAGAGAAAAGGTAAATAAGGACTCCTGTGTGGGTGTGCATGGATAGATGTCTTCGACAGCTGACCGGTCTGTTCCACAAATCTGCCCCGCTTCAAGACAGGCGCTCTCAAGAGGCTGAGAAGTCATGCAGAACGCTGGTGTGTCTGTCTGCACTTCCGAATCAATGGAGTTCACAACTTCAGCCATTGAAGAAAGTGTAGGATGGTTAAATGTGCCAATGACGGATAGATCAAGCCTTAGGCCTCTGCAGACAGACACCAGTTTCATTGCTCCTAGGGAATCACCTCCCAGAGCGAAGAAATTGTCCTCAAGGCGGATTGACTCGGTGTCTATCTTCAAAATCTCACTCCAAGCCTGTCGCAATCGCAGCTCGAGGTCATTCAGTGGCCTGGATGCAGCACTTGTGGAACCTTGGTCTAGTTGCCGTAGATCAACCGTAGCTCCAAAGGCTCGAAGGCGCTTGCGATCCGTCTTCCCTGAGATGAGAGTGGGTATGTAGTTCACCGGGATATAAGCAGTGGGAACCATGTATCGTGGCAACACCTTGGTGACTTCTGTGTCGGCCTTGGAGAGTGCGGTGCGCAGGTCATCCATCGAAACAAAGGCAAGTTCCTTGTTTGTATCTCCCTTTGCGGACTGAGATGCAACGAATGCCACCAGTGTAGCCTGACCGCCGGACCCTTGAGGCGTAATGACCTCCGCAATCATGGTGGTGCCTGAAGGGAGACGGGACTGAAGCTGGCTCTCGATTTCCCCCAGCTCAACACGTTGTCCACGAAGCTTGACCTGGGTGTCTTTCCTCCCAGCGAAGATGATCCCTGCTGAGCCATCAGGGTCATATCTGCCCAGATCACCTGTCTTGTAGAGACGGCCTCGACGCCCAGCAAAGCCCTTATGACCTGCAACAAGCCATGATGGGTTCTGGATGAAAACACTGGCAGTCTTCTCATCATCATTCAGGTATCCCTGACCGACAATTGGACCCTCGACAAGAAGCTCTCCAACTGCACCAACAGGCATAAGTCGCTCATGATCATCAGGGTCGACAATCCAGATGGAAGCTCCATTACCAGGGCCAACGGAGACGTAGTCTCTTCCAGTGGCAGCACTGCTGTTGATATTGCAACCAATAGTGCACTCGCAAGGTCCATATCCAATGATGATTCTGGTATCCTTGCCCCAAAGCGTGACATCTCTAGCCGAGGCAGCCTCTCCTCCAAGACCAAGACCTTCGAGGGACGAAATGACATCCGGCTCGAGGATACGAGCAACCGAGGGAGTTATACCTGCGTAGTTGATTTTCATATTCCGAATCACTTCGTTTATGTCGTTGAGTCGGTCTTCATCGGAAGGAATACATAGGCAACCACCGTTGGCCAAAGTCAAGAGCATGCTGTCAATGCTGACGTCGAAGGCATAGGACGCAAAATCAAGAACACGTGAAGTCTCAGTATATCCAACTGCTTTCGCTCTGGCGAAAGCACTACTTGTATAGGTTCCGTGGGAGATCTTGACGCCCTTGGGAGTACCTGTGCTGCCAGATGTGAATATGAGGTACATCAAAGCAGTGGACGGGACTGTTGGAAGCTCTGGCAGAGGCTCTGAAGAAGAAATTTTCGCCTGCTCCTCTTCCTCCACCACGAAATGCTTTCCGTCCGGCAAAATCTCCACTGAAAGGTCATATTGCTTGCGAGATGACACCATAGTCGTTGAACCGGTTTGCTTTGCCATATTCTGGAGACGCGCCAGCGGGAGTGTCGGGTCCATCATGACAAGGGTTCCTCCTGCCTTCATCACGGCAAGCACCGCAACTATTGTCCAGCGTGACTTCTCGAAGCACACAGAAATAAAATCGTGGAGCTTGACACCCGAATCTTGGAGCTCTTTAGCCAAGAATGCCGAATAGCGGTCGATTTGGCCATAAGTCAAGCTGCCATCCCAAGATGAAATGGCCTCTTTATCGGCAAATTTCCGAGCCACTCCGGAGAAAACATCGTGCATACAAAAGTCATAGTATGGCGGCAGGTCATAGTTCAAGCCCCAAAGATGGTCCAAATCATGTTCACTCGGACGAATACTGTCTTCGACGGAGGCATCGGAATTCGAAATGAATGCCTTGACAGTATCGACCAGTGTTTCAATGTGGCGAGTTACTGTATAAGGCAGGAAACTGTTACTCTGCCATACTGGTCGGATCTTGAGGTGATTTCGATTGAAGCGAACCTCAAGATGCAGAGCGTCCTGTCAATTCGCTGTCAGCTACCGATTGGTTCTGGGGAGCGCTGGGATGTGTACTAACTTGATCCGTCCCCTCTGTTGTTTGCGAAAAAGAGCTGGTGCTCAGTACAAGTGAAGAAGAAGCTCGCGGGCTCGATGCGACCCTCTCAATTTGATTGGAAATTGCCGCGGCGACTTGCCCAATGTTACTTTGTAGACTTGGCATCACTTGATCTGAGGAAACACTGTGCACCGGCTCCATTTCGCCTCCATCCTCTTCGCCCTTATATGTCCATTCGAAAGAGGCGCGACCGTCTTCTTGAGTGCGCAAAAGGACTAGCAGCCAGGATGCCAACACAATCTTCTCATCCATGCCCGTGCATGTTGGTGTCTCCGACGTGAGCCCTACGACTTTGAAAGACCGTAGACCATCGCGATTCGTCTCCACGGGCTTAGTCAAATGTCCAGTTCTTGACTCATTGAGGCTTTGTGTGCTCTCAGGAGATATGAATCCCATCGTGACCACAACCCGGGTTGGGATAGATACTGGCGCAACTCGTTATCGTGGAGATGGTTGGAGAACTGTAGGATTAGATGTGCCCAGTACGAGCTAGAGCTACCCTAGCTTACGAGGTAGGGTTTACGTTATATAGTCTCAATCAAGTCCCCACAGGCGAACTTGCCGCGAAGCAACAATCACAAAGGCCAAGCCCAAGGTATAGTTAAACCGAGATCGGCGGTTGTGGGCTCTGTTCGGGTGTTACGTGTACGGTAATTACGACAATACGATAACGGTGAAATGCACGTTTCGGGTACCTTTGAAGAAGTCCCACCTAATGTCTCGGATTCAGCTGCGAATTGCGCTAGACTTCTGAAAGATTTCCATCTCTGCGACCCAATGCATCCACAATGAGAATGAGGAATAGATCATCACCCCCACTAGGCAGCAAGTACCGACCATGAGAGTGGGCTTTGCCCAATCAGTATTCCTGCCTAAGGGGTTCCCGTGATAGGGAGATTGCGTGCGGATGAAAGACGAGTCTAAGCGATGTGTTGCGATATGTACCGAATCCGCCTGTAACGGCCAAGGTTGTGCCGGATAAGGTCGGAACAGAAAGCAGGTTGTCATTGCTTTTCACCGCTATGAATCGTTGGAGTGCACATGGAGGGGACATTGACAGGGGACGATGGATGCCGAGCTGAGCCTGAAATACCGAGGAAATTTTTATAAAGGCTTCTCTCTGTTCGAAATCAAGTGAAATGCATCAGATGCTCGTAGGTTTTACCCGAAAAGGTAGCTTCTCTACTGAAACGCGCCGGGTAATCTAATCAGATTTTTCACGGGTGGCTCATCTAATCAGATTCCAATACCGGAACATTTCACAGCCACCTACAGTGGGGTTTCATAAGTTTGAAACCCTCTTTTTACCGCCTACACCTCACCGCCCTTGCCACCACCTCACCGCCTATACCACCCCCTACGCCTTCCAATGCGCACCAGACCAAATATCCTACTTTCCAACGCATTTAATCATTTAATGCCTCCAATTCGGTCAGCAAGGGCACCAGTAGCACCTCTGCGCCGCCCTAAGTGCTAGCTAGACGCATATATGCGTACAAAGCTCGTTGAATTGAAGACTGTCGCCGGCTGGACCTACAAGCAAATACACGAGGAATATACGTCTATTCCAATTAACACAATTAAGACAACGGTTAGCCGTGCGAACCAGAGGATCAATAATGAAACCTCACCTCGATCTGGGCGTCCGCGGAAGCTAGATAAGGACGATAAATCAAAGCTTCTGAATATAATCGATACTAATCCACGGCTACGATGACCTTCTCGTAATAGTCGATAATAAGGTTAAACGAACCTCTATCTAGCGGCTTTTACACGAAGAAGGCCGTCGGAAGTGGCTTGTCCTCAACCGGCCTAGTTTAACGCCTAGCTATACCGCCGCACGACTTTAATAGGCACGGGAATATAAATACTTTATACCTAAAGAATAGGCACGGGTCTTCTGGTCAGATAAATACTTAATTAAGCGTAGGATTAGCGAACGTCAGGCGTATATATTTACTCCACGAAGAAAGTAAATCCTTACGCGTGATATAAGACCTTTATTAATAATAGGAAATTAGGTTAAACAGATATTTTAGGCTGCCTTTTCTGGATTAACGCGACGCACTAGCCTAATTCCTTTATATATTAACCCTAAATTAGCTCGCAGAGGCATCGATTTAACTGTTATTCGAGACTTATATACCCGCGTTTTGCCTATATTAATCGAATACCGCGATAGGATCTTTTAGCAGGATAATATACCGACATATACTATATATACTGTACGTGATCTTCTATCCTCGATGTATTTCAAATATATAAGGTGGCTAGCTAAATCCCCTGATCTAAATCCTATTAAGAACCTTTGGTCACTTCTAAAAGCCAAGATCTATAAGCTATTCCCTGAGCTTAAAGATATGCCGAATAATGATACTACGCATACCTTTCTAGTCGATACTGCACAGTAAGCCTAGCAGGCATTAGATCTATATATTATGCAAAGACTCTCTGAGACAATGCCTCATCGCGTGTAGGCTATTATAGAGGCTAAGGGATGGTATACGAAATATTAAATAGCCTAGAGAGGGCAATAATGAGGTTTTAGGACGGCAGAAATAAACTGGCAAAATAAAGGCGGTAAATTAAGGGTTTCAAACTTATGAACAACCACTGTACATCTAATCAGATCCGTCAACAGAGGCAATGTCGGCTACCTGGTGAATTTTCGGCGGAAAGTTGCCAAGCTAACCATCCTCAAGGTGGATCATGTCGAGCCCAATACATCCATACTAGGCAAAAACAATGTGGACAGTTTGAACGTTGGCGTCATTTCCCATTCCACGGTTTATCGATGGGTCGTGTCAGTTCGGTTTGGACACACCCGGATCACCCCCTCGTGGCCCGCGTCTGACGTAACCCTCACCGATGAGCTCTACCATGCAAAATGGGAATGTAGGGCCCTCGACCCGAACATGGCTTTAATTGGTTGATACGCTTGGTCCTACCTGAGACACTCTGTACATAAGCTGCTGTCTGATCACAAACGCCCCTCGTTCCCCCAATTGAATTCTCACGACAACCCAATCACCGCGAAATGTACTCCAAATTCTGGCCTAAGGGAGGCCTCCCTGGTATCTTGCATCACTACGTATGTCTGACTTATTCTTTTTTTATTGGTACGGGGTAGATAACAAGTGACGCAATTAGACTGAAACCCTTGTCACATTCGAATACACCTCCAGCGCCGTGCGTCAACCTCACAGTCTTGTCTTCGTTGGCGGCTTAGGCGATGGCCTTGCGACTACCTCCTACATGGCAGACCTTGCCCGCGCATTGCAGTCAACAGAATGGTCCCTCTTCACCTTGAACCTCACATCCTCTTACCAATCCTGGGGTCTCGGACACCTCGACCGCGACACCGACGAGATCGCTCAGTGCATTCGATATATCAAGGATTACAAGGGAGATAAGTTCGGGAATGGAAACGGCAAGGTCGTCCTCATGGGTCACTCGACCGGCAGCCAGTGTGTGGTGCACTACCTCTCACGACCCAACCCCCACACAGCCACCGCGTCCTTTGATTCCGCGCTCGAGCACGTCGATCGATTGGCACTTGATGGCGCGATTATGCAGGCCCCGGTCTCAGACAGGGAAGCGATCCAATGGGTCTTGAAATGGGGTTGGGCAGGCAAATCACCCGAAGAGATCCGGCCGATTTATGACCAGGCGATGGCCTTGGCCCGGGAGGCCGTTCAGAAGGAGTCAAAGTATGATACTCTGTTGCCTTTGTGGATGACTTCTACAATCTGCTATCCGTCCAATACCCCGATTAGTGCGCGGAGATTCTTGAGTCTTGTCAGTCCCGAGAGTCCGCAATCGCCTGGAGAGGATGACTTGTTTAGCCACGACTTGGGCGATGAGCAGCTAAGTAAGACCTTCGGGCTGATTAAAAAAGGAGGCCTGTTAAGACACAAGTTGATGGTGTTGTTCTCGGGCGCAGACCAAGCAGTTCCCGACTGGGTTGATAAGGAAGCACTGTTGGCTAAGTGGAAGAAGGCCACAAACCAGGATGGGTCTGAGATCTGGGATGACGCCCACAGTGCCGTCATTCCTAATGCTTCTCATGCTTTGAGTAACGATGATCAGGCTGAGCCTCGGAAGTTTCTGGTTGGCAAGGTTTTGGGATACCTGCAGGCTACAGAGAGAGTGTAAAATCCACTGCGAAGACCCAATATAAGATAGAGGGTTAATAGAGATACTTTTGCATTTGTTGAATACGCAGGTAGCTCCGTCTATTGTCGAACTAGGTAACCCACAAATGGACCCTAGGAACCTTACAAAGGCACCGCAGAAGGGTCCGGGTCGTACATACACGAAATAATTCTAAAAGAACGGGACCAACAATCCCCAAAACGCCAGATCTATATCCAAAATCGGTATCACAGGAAGTCTGATGTCCATGGCTCACAGCTCGGTGCCATTGAATAAGAAAAACCGCTCGATGGAAACGATAGCCTTGAGAAGCAATGCAAGGGCAGAAATCAGCTGAAATGCAGTGAGAGCAGATGTTTCATCTGCGTTTCAAAGCTTGTCGCGAAGTGAATCGGGCAAGAACCGGTCCTCTACTCGGCGCATCAGCTTGTTAGTCTGTTCAGCAAGGCTGAGAGTCAAGATCTACATAATAATTAGCATATTTGTTAGTGGTGACAGATCAGAAACAAACTCACGGTATGAGGCAAGATTCTTGCGAGGTGGGCGAAGAAGCCCTTGTAGATGGCCAGGAAACCTTCCGTCCGAATGGTCTTAAACAAGCAGTCAAACACTCCCTGGTAGAGATTACCAGTCTGGTTGTACATGCGAGCCATGATAGTGTCTAGAAACAGAGTTAGCATCTCAACTAGTACTGTTCACTCTGTGCATGAGATCATACCAGGAGGGTGCATGAAACAGCAGACAACAAAGCCAGAGCATGCACTACTGGCAAGATGCAAAGCAGGTCCCTCTTCCATGCCAAGGTGCTTGGTCAAGCGGCGCTTGGCAAAGAAGTATGTGGGAAGCTGGACAGCACTCCCAAAACTCGTGCGAATCATGGCTGCGCCAACACCACGGTAGATTCCCTTGACGCCCTCACTCTTGTAAATCTTGCTGAGGCCGTCGATTGAGTTCTTGTAATTGTGCTGGGTACCGACGGGGAGGAAAGGCGAGTAGGATTGCAGGCGCGTCTTTACTAGAAAGAAGGGCGAGCCTGCTGCGGCACCGATCACACCGGATGCAGCACCAGCAAAGACATTGACAGCAAGGGACTGAACCTTAGGGTCGCTATATACGGCATTGGTGACGGTGGCTCGAATTGGTTCGTAGAATCCCAAACGGCAACCATTGAGCAGGACCTGGTAGAAGTACTAAATGCGACTGAGCTTAGTACAGTTTCAGGTAATAACTTCCAGATGGTATTGAGCACTTACCGCAGATCCAATGCCTCGGAACAAGCCGCGCGGGCCTTCATTCTGCAGAATGACCTTGACGCCGTGCAAGACACCGCGATACTTCTTCACACCATCATTCTTCGCTTGCAATTCACCTTGCAATTGTAGGCTGAGTACAAGTCAGCGCAACTATTGATGGCTGACCGCCTCGGATGTCGATCTCACCGAATCTTAACTGTCTCAAAGCTGTGGGTGACGGTAACGGCACCGCATGCCGCGATACCTCCAGCAAGGAATGCACTGTTTCACAGATCGGGTTAGCGCAAGACCATGTTGTAGAAGTGCAGACCCTATGTAAACCGTACCCTGTTGTTGTAGACATAATGACTGATCTGAGAGCAGGCTATGCAGGATTTGGAAGAATTGATCGAGTTTCTCGGGGATCGGAGGTAGATCGGAGTGGCGGCAAAGGTGACGGAAAAGGACAGGCCTCTATCAGACGGGTTTTGAGGATCGCTATGCTCTGCTGGGCAGGAACAGGCTTATGAAAGTAGTCGACAGAGCAAGTCAACTCCTCAATTTAGGCGTCCAGAGTGAGATGGTCAGCGCTGGGATGCACATCAAAGCTTAGGCGCGGTTATCGATGGCCAAAACACGGGGGCGTCCATTGGTCAATGCAATCTGACGTTCTCCGAGGTTCGGGGGCGGTGAGGCGGACTATCATTCTGCCGACGCGAAAAAAGAAGGCGCGTGGGGAGCTCCGAATTGGGAAGGCACGCAGCTCACCTGTAAGCACGGGCGTGTCTAGCCTTCTCTCTCCTTCACTCCCCTCTCGACCTAAGCTCCCCTCCACTCGATCATTCTTTCCATCATGGCAGAGGGCCAGTCATCGACGCCGGCCACTCAGCCATCTGGTCAAGCCCCCCAGGTACCGCAGAAGCTGTCGGACGTTATCCGCAGTTATCGTCCTTGCAAGGTACTTTCAGATTCCGCCAGATACAAAGCGAGATGATGCTAATTTTAAGATGGTAGTTGTTTCGCGCATCAAAGGCAGACAATGGCAATTTTGTGACTTCGCTGGACTTCGATGACCAGGGCGATTACCTTGTCGCGGCCGGCGACGATGAGACTATCCAGGTCTTCGATATCAAGGAAGGCAAGCTCACAAAAACCGTGCCCAGCAAGAAGTATGGTGTGCATCTGGCTAGATTCACTCATCACTCTCGTCAGGTCCTTCACGCCAGTACCAAGATGGACCGTACGTGCCAGTCAATGATCAATTCATGGTGCGCGACTGACGATTACAGATTCTTTGCGCTTGCTTGACCTCCACAATGAAGGATACGTGCGATATTTCACAGGTCATACAGACAAGGTCACATGTCTGGCGGTCTCTCCGGGCAGCGATTCGTTCATCTCATGCTCCAAGGACGACACCGTCACGCTCTGGGATCTCGGCTCCCGCAACCCCCAAGGCAAGCTGAAGCTTGCGACTCCGTACCTCGTGGCGTATGATCCTTCGGCTTCAGTCATTGCCATTGCATCACAGTCTACCTCCTCTGTTCTCCTTTACGATGTCCGCAACTACGACAAGCCCCCATTCTCGACATTTGATCTTGCGCCCATTGAAGAATTGTATACGCCGTCCACTCGAGGACGCGCCTGGACTAAACTTGAGTTCTCTAATGATGGAAAATATTTGATGATTGGTACAGATTACCATGGACACTTCATTCTGGATGCCTTTGAAGGTACCGTGAAGGCTTTCTTGACTGGTAAGGGTGGTTCGGCCGGTCGCGCTGCCCCAGTATCCTCAACAAGCAAGCCAATGGGACAAGGTGACGCATCTTTCACGCCGGACGGACGATACGTAATTGGGGGGAACGGAGATCAGCCTGACGTTCTGGTGTGGGACTTGCAACAGGAAAGGGAAGCAAATAACATGTTGCCGCCCATGTGCAGATTGCCATACCGAGGGCGCACTGCGCTTCTTGAATACAACCCTCGGTACAACATGATTGCCAGTGCCGACAAGGAGACAGTCTTCTGGCAACCCGAAGAGCCACCCCGACCTTCTGATAAATAGGGAATGGTCCCATCGGCGGCCTTCACATTATTGATGGTTTCTATGACGAGCATCTATAACACGAAACATCTAGCTTTATGCAATGCCAAGCCTGGCATCTTTATTCTTTACGGTCCTTGTCTTTGCCCACCAAGCTTCGCGCTGTGTCGCAAATCCAGACAAAGGGACCTTCACTGTCGTCTTCGCCTCGGCGACTATTCTCAATTGTCGCCTCGATCTGTTTATCGATGGTTCGATTGCTGGATATGGTTGTCATCCCAGTGACCCATCCATACATGAAGACGCTGTAATTGATATCCGACAAGCCTTTTGCGACCTTGTCTGCCACGGAAGGGAGTTTTCCTTCTGCTTTCCCAGTGTCTATCACCGATTGTGCCTCGACTACCTTCAGCGGGAGCCTCCAATTCTTGGGTACTTCATAATCGGACAGTTCCGCAAATTTTTGGATGAGAGATTCGCGGTCCAATTGGTCATATGGGGCATTGCCCATCATGATCCTCATTCGAGTTTGCTCAGTCTCCGTCCCAATGGTGTCGACTATCTCGCGCATGCGTTTGGAAGCCTCTTCGGTACTCACCAGCTCGTGATCTCCCATGGCAGGCCAGAGCTCGGTAGGAAGCAGAGGTTTTTCCTTTTCGACCTCTATCTGGCGGACGATAGCTCGATGGAAACTTGGCGATGGGGCCATATTCTTAATGTGTGATAGATCAGAGACCATGGCGAGGAGCAGGGTGCAATCGACATTCAGGGTGGGAGTGAAATTCTTGAAATGCTGGGGCAGCAGGTGTGCCAGATTTGAGGCGCCCAAATCAACCAGGCTGCTCTGGCACTCTACCTTGATACCATAGCTGCGCATCTCCTTGATGATATCATCAACTTCAAGAATCTCTCCTTCCGTGATCTTGGGTAGAACAATTCGTATTCGAGGATGTTTATACCGCACCCGCGTAGCATCAGCCGCCTTTCTCAAATCCCTTGCCAATTTGATAAGCTCAAGCTCATCCTCATCATCATCCTCATCATCAGAGCCGTCGAAATTTTTCAAGATAGTGCGTTTTCCCGATCCTTCACCTTCGGAGTACTCATCCTCACTGTCTCGCTCCCATCCCTTTTTGGCCATGTCAAACAACAGCCTGCTCTCCGAGATCGTGGACACCTTCACCCACTCCTCCCCATCACCCGCAACAATGTCCACAAACACGCTCTTGCGCTTGTCCTTGTTAGGCTGCTTCTCCCCAGCATCATCCTTCCTCTTACCCTTTCCCTTTTCCTTTCCTTTCTCAGGCCCCTCTTGTCTCTCAAGCACCTTGTTCTCCCTATCCCAATAGAATCGTTTCCCTAGCGCTACCAAGCCCGAGCACGACATCTTAGCAATGTCCCAAACAGCCTGATAAAAGGGCAAATTAGACGACCTCATGGCGTGTAACAGTCGCTTTTCGAGCTCCGGATCCGCATGCTCGGCTCCAAGTGCGTTGTTCTGCATACGCTGCTCTAGCTTCTGCAGCATCTTCAATTCTGCATTGACGTTCGAACGGAACTGTCGCACTTCCACTAGCTGTGGATTGCGTAGCGTGCTCTTGAGGAGCGACTGAAGCTCGTCGAGCTCTGCGAGGAGGGTATTGCATTGCTGTAGGAGTCCTGTTGAGACTTGTGCGCTTGGCTCTGGGGGTGTGGACTCCGCATCGTGGTGGGATGCACTTGCGGGGTTGTGTGCCATTGTGGTATGCCGAGTCGAGAGGGAGATGGAGGAGCGTATCAAGGTTTTTTGTGCTGGACATTCAAGGAGAAGACACCTCTAGGCGTGAGCCAGTTCGCTCAATTGTATGGCTGCTTGATATTCTCGTAACCGTGTCGGTTCCTGGATCCTGCGGTGCCTGCCGAGAAAACATTTATTCTGCCACGTTGGTCAGAGTGGGGATGATTCAGGCCGAAAAACTTGAGAATACAATTGAGCTCAGGATTACATATGGATTAGATAGCATTCAATTTATAGACATGAGAAACTGATGCGAGAGCGGTATAATGGAAGACGGGACGAGACAGATGAGGCTCTGTGTGAGTCAAGGCCGCGCTCGAGCAGCTTCTGTGGGGCTCGGCCGAACCCATGTCTCAGTTGCAGAAAAGTTGATGTTCATCAATTGAACCGACATTCTAAGTCAGTATTTTGTGTAGAGTACATTGCAATTTGCAGATGTAGCTAGAAAGCCTCGCAGTCATTGCGCGGCAAGCAATTCAGAAGATACATCGGGGTGAAGATACAAGCCAGAATGCCGATCACTTAGACAAGAATAGAAAACCAACGCCATGACATGCTTGTAATCCTCGAGAAGAGCTTCGGACAGACACGAGGTTATGTTAAATCCACGTAAATAGCTTGGTTTTTCACTGTTGAGATAATTCATATAACCGTGTGAACAGGATCATGTGTTCCGAATATGGCCTTCAACGAGGCTTCAGTGGGTAAGTCTTTGTCTCTCGCTAGAGTTGCGAGGGGATTCATCGTCATCGGACCACTTGTCTCCATCCTCGCCCACGGCGAAAATAGTCTCCTCGTCCAAAGACGTGCGCTCTCGCTGTCCTGAGTTCACAGGCTTAGGAGGAACGGGCGACAGATCGCGGCGGTTCGAGCTACCAGGGTACTCCGGGGGAGCCTCCAAAGGATCTTCCTCATCCAGACCGCTGCCGAAGGAGCGGATCTCAAAGCCGTCGTCATCTTGAGCAAGCTATAGGTGATATTAGCAACTTTCACGCAGGTAATGCCATGGGTTACGCCTCTTACCTCATCACTCATAGCGAAGCGTCGGTTGTTCGCGGTCGGGCGCCACAGATAAGCCACAAAGACAATATCAAACATGTAAACCAAGTTCAGCCAGCCGTCAAGCACGAACCACCGCGCCTTCCAGTGCTCAGGCACAAAGCTGGCGTCACTGCGGCCAGCGAAGGCGAAGGAGTTGATAAAGAAGAAGCCAAAGATGACGATGATGCTACCAAGAATGCACCACCAGAGCTTCTTGTACATGAGCGCCTTGGTCTTCTGCTTGCGATCGATCAGATCCTTCATGGTAGCGTTGAGCGAGTTCAAGGTCCACACGTAGAACGCCGTCAGGGTTCCAGCCAGAGGGAGTACAATCAAGAGCACTAAGGGACCGGCGCTGTCCGGGGTGATCGACAGACTGGCAATGGAGTAGACGACTGCAAAAATGAAGTGTGCAATGGCCAGGATGCGGACGTAGACCATCGTCCGGCCCAGGGAGGGCTTGACAACACCATAGCCCATGCACACAATGAGCAGAAGGAAAAAGGAAAAAGCATTGCGGCCTGCATTGAGAATTGCGACAATGACCATTAATGCCTTGCCCATGCCATTCAATCCATGACGGTTTTGATAATCTGTGAAAAGATTAGATTGGGTGAAATAGGTAGTAAGAGGCATGCGCGGGCGTACCATAGAATCCCCATGTCATCAGCTGCTCGATGACCAGGAAAACAACAATGGCGGTGATATAGTTTTGGACAGGCACTACTCATTGTTAGCATTCGGCTTTGTAACGAAAAGTTGCTGCCTTACGGATGTCAAAGCGGTTTTGGAAGTAAAGGAATCCCCAGAAACTGTGTCAAAGTTAGCGTCTCTTCTTCAAAGTATTGAAACAATGCTTGCGCTTAAGGAGCACATACCATCCAATGACAGCGTAAACAATGGTCAGACCTCCGTAGAACGGCAGCTTCGCAATCTGAGCGGCGGGAAGCTCGCCGTACGAGTTGCGGAAAGTCACCACTGCGCCATAATCTTCCCCAGAGTATGCGTAGGTGCTAACACAGTAGAAACCGGTCTTTCGAACGGAATACTTAACGGCACTCGGGTCGTTGAGGTGGACAGCGGTGGAGAGGATGGCGTTCTTGGAGACGTCGGTCGCGTTCTTCGTAAGGAGGAAAGAGCCAATCTGGTCTTCCGTACAAAGCTTTGCATCAACATTGGTTGCATCGCAGATAGTTTCCTTGATCTGAAGTTCTTGAGTTAGTCGCGATAGTTTTGAAGGCTGCGACTCGGGCGAAAGCGTACCTCATCGCCATCATTCCGGTATTCGCCAATCAAATCCTCATCATTCCATTCAAAGATAACCAAGCTGGCAAGAGGGTCGCCCTCTGGTACGTTCGATTTGGTAAACTTGACCAGGATAAAGGGGTCGACACTCCCTCCCCATGCTTTGCGGCTGTACATCCCTGAACATCGCTGACGGTGCGCTTCATCGGATTTCTAGGACAAGTCAAGGTCAGTAAATTGCAATGGACATAAAGAATGCAGGCTCCGCAAGGTAAAGGCAAATGGGTCATACTAATTCAACTTCGTTAGCAAGCACATGGCCGGCTAGCAGAGCCGTGAGGCCTATCGTCCGGAGCCAGCTCTTCATCGTGTCGACGCAGAAGCACAAGAGGCTCCAATTCTTTCAAAGACAATTTGATTCAGAGGTATGCCGCATCCAAGGGCGATAGAGAAGCGAGAATGAAGAGAGCCGTCGAAGCTCCGGAACCGTCGTAGCTCAAGGCGTGGCCTCGAGAACCGGGGAAGCCGCGCGTAGATCATTATCTAAGCCGTCCTCGCCACTTTTTTTATGTACCTGATCGGCCACCAACACTTCATTCTTCCACCGCAAATATGCCGGCTAAAGAGATGACTCGTCCTTGCATGGACTGCAAAGATGCCGAAGCAATTCTAACAACTCGAAAGAGGTCACTTTGCAGGTATGGGCGCTCCAATTTTAGTCTCAAGTGCTTCTGCTAATACCCCTCCAGTCACTGTTTCAAACTGTTTATTCAATACAAGATTCTCCGGCGCATGGATGGCCATAAAGCGCCGCCGAAAAATCACAAGGAATATTCGCCATCAAAGCTACTCCTACCCTTGTCCCTTGGCGTCTCTTCCTCGGTCCTATTGCATATCCTGAGACTGGCAACTCGAGCGCCAACGTACCAACCCACACGGCCGAGTAGCCTACCAGCTTCATGTCCTTGTGATCGAACCTTCAACTATCTCACCAAGCAACTCTTCATTCGACTCGAATTTTGAGGAACTTCAAAAAACTTTCCCGCGACACCATTTCACTCGATTGCCATTCCACAGCGTCTTCGAATACGTCCCAGAAATGAAGGACCTCATACATGAATACGCCGGATCACACTTCGCCGATGATAGCTCCCTATCGGACGAGGCTCGTCTGGCTACTTTCAGAGGCTGTGTTTCATCGGCGACGTCCAGGGACGATCTGGACAAGGTCCTGCTAACTAGGCTGCTGGTCGCATTTGCCAAGCGGAATGGCTGCGAAACTATTCTTTGGGGTGACTCAGACACCCGCCTCTCAGCGAAGACCCTCGCGGGTGCTGCAAAGGGTCGTGGAGCGTCGCTCACATGGCAGGTCTCCGATGGCATGTCCCCATGGGGCGTGCGATTTGAGTTCCCGCTCCGTGATATCAACAAGCCGGAACTTCAGCAATACAAAAGTGTCTGCCCGGAGCTCTCTGCTATTGTCATTCCTGATCAAGCAATTCCAGACAATGTTCTTACGAAGAATTTGTCCATTGATGAGCTGATGATGCGCTACGTAGAGACCCAGGGTGCGAAATACCCCGGTGTCATGGCGAACGTGTCGAGAACTGCAAACAAGCTTCAGGCTGCTGGATCTGACGATTCCGGCTCCTGCGCATTGTGTGGAAGCCTCGTGGGCAACGTCAAGGGAAATCCTGGAATCACGGTCGCCAGTCAATTCGGTGATAGTGAAGGCTCTCAATTCTGCTACGGATGCTCAAGGTCTCGTCCTGAAACCAGATCTTAAATTAAAAAGGCTATGAAAAAGTGTTACCAATCATGTCGGACCTAAAGAAATAGGGACATCAAATGCGCGTCAAATAACCGTTGCCGACAAACCAAATGGGGTATCTGGAATCATAACCTCGTCTTCACATCTCATCTGCCTTGCTCCAGGTCTCCCTGTGGACGATCGGCACCGCCGAACCACTTGGAAAAGCCACGGTTGGGTCGCGGCTGTTGCTGGGTCTGCCGAGTCTCATGACCCTCTCCTCGTCGACCGCCTGATGCTCTATGCTCCTGATATTCGGGAGGCGAACTGTTCACGACACCGCTTTCTTGCTTGTCCCACTCGGCCGGAAGGCTGTGATCGACTGTGTCCTCTTGAATCTCCTCCACACGACCATGCGTTGGCGGTTGCCTATGCTGTTTCTTGACCTCCTTCGCACCCTTCTCACGCAAATGCTTCTCGAGAAGAATCGCGTTTCTGGTGTTGCATTTGAACACAGCATCTGCAAGATCACCGATGAAAGGAACCAGCCCGATAACAAAGTCGATAATAACATTTATGACCATCATCATGCGCAAAGACGAAGGTAGGCCACCTTCGATTTCTTGACAATTTCTCACGACCATCATGGCAAGTGCTGCGTCGCCTGCGTCACCGATACTAAAGTCGAACCCGTTAGCGTGGGGATCAGCGGATAATGGGGAGAGTTGTACGCACAATGGGATGATACCGATCACACTGCCCCAACCGAAGCGGATACCGCAGAGGTTAAAAAGGGCGTAGTCTAGCTGGTAGGCCCGGCGCTTAACTCGTGTAAGGATTTTGGCATCGTGCTCAGATATTCCGGGGGAATGGCCTTGCGACGCTTGGTGGTTTTCTTGCCAAAGGCACGGCCGATGCGCGACGCAGGTACTTCTTCGAAATAGGGGTCCTAGGTATCAATCTCTCAATTAGCTACAGGTCAATGCCCAGTGTTTGTGAGACCACTAACCTCCGTTCCAAACTTGTTCTTGACATTTTCAGCCAGCATGCGCTTGCCGATTAAGGAGACGAGTGCTTGCGACATTGTGAGTGTGGCGAGCTGTAGTATTCAGATGAAGTCTCCGAGCTGTGAAGGAATAACAGGAGGTTCCCCCTAGGAAAGAAGGGCTGAAAGATATACCTTGGGCACCGTTGCAAGGGAACAAAAATAGAACCGTAGCAAAGCGAGCCTAGATAAAAGATGGCGTCAAGTGTTTCATGAACCGCTGAATCGACGGCAGCAAAGAAAGAACGGGAGATCAGGGGTGGATATACGAAACAAAGTGAGGGTCCCACGTCATAACTCTGGCGCGGGCTTTATTTACACGCCAAAATCCTGGAAAGCGCCTGCAGATCGTGGCGGTGCACTGCCACTTATGCTCGATCTCACGAGCCATGCGCCACACCTGACTCAGCCGATCGTCAGTTCATCTTGGGCAACTCGGTCCAACTGGTCTCAGAGCTCCCCGATCAGGTGTTTTCTTCCCCCTCTTCGTCTCCCTGAATATTATCCCTCACATACTGCGCCTGTACTTATCACCCTGACCAAGCTTTCCTTTTCCCACCACGACACCTTCTCTCTTGTCAACCCACTTCCACTCCAGCTCGGAGTCCTGTCGCTTCTGCGACTTCAGCAAGCACCTGATTTAGGCAGTCCGTGCTGAGATGCTAAGCTTCGTTGCCCAACATGACAGAATCAAAGATGCAACTAGAAGACTGTGAGTGTCGATGAGCGAGGGCGACTGGCGAAGTTCCATTATTGACCGAGGTCGTTGGGCCGCAACAGGGCTGGATGATTTATGCGTTCGTTTCATCATTAATCTACCTCGCGAAGAGCTTGAATCAGTGGAACGAATTTGTTTCCAAGTAGAGGAGGCACAATGGTTCTACGAAGACTTCATTCGCCCGCTCGACCCCGCCTTGCCTTCTCTAACGCTTAAGTCCTTCGCCATGAAAATCTTCCGGCATTGCCCTCTGATGTCGAATTGGTCCGAATATCACCACAATGCTGCATTTGCGGAATTTCTGGCTTATAAAACGCGAGTTCCTGTCCGTGGCGCCATCATGTTGAACAAAGAGATGGACGAGGTGGTCCTGGTGAAAGGTTGGAAGAAAGGTGCCAACTGGAGCTTTCCCCGAGGCAAAATCAACAAAGGCGAACCCGATCTAGATTGCGCGATCCGCGAGGTCTACGAGGAAACCGGGTTCGATGTTCGTCAGGCAGGTTTAGTGCCGGATGACGAAAAGGTCAAATACATCGAAATTGCGATGCGAGAGCAGCATATGCGACTCTACGTATTCCCAGGTGTGCCCAAGGACACTCATTTTGAACCTCGTACCCGCAAAGAAATCAGCAAAATCGATTGGTACAAGCTCTCGGAACTTCCTACATTCAAGAAGAGCAAGCAGCACGATGAGGGACTAGCGGCAAATGCCAATAGATTCTACATGGTTGCTCCTTTCCTGACCCCTCTCAAGAAATGGATCTCGCAACAGAAGAAAAACGCCTCTAAGACCCAGGTGGGCTATGCTTCGATGGATGAGAATGGACAGCAAGCTGGTAACACCCCGACCTTGTATGCGGCTACCACAAGTGATCTTCCTGAAGTGACCTCGACTCAAGATGCTTCTTCTCACCTGAAGCAGCTGTTGAACATTGGTGGCATGCCTAGCATGCCAACCTCGCAGCCCCTGCAATCATCGGCTGTTGACAAGTCCAAGTCCGATGCACTACTTGGCTTACTGAGAGGTGGCTCGCAGGAGACGGTTCCCGCGGTACACCATCCGGCTATGGCTTTCTCTAATACCACAAATCCCAGCATGCCACCCGTAGCGCAATCAGCTCCTTTTGCGCCGAACTTCTTCCCTGGATTTCCTCAACAACGGCCCCAAATGGCTACTTCGAGTTTCATGCAGCACACAATAGCACAAGGACAACCGCACTCGGATAGACGGCCTGTCAACGACCCTGCCCAGAATATCTCCAGCCAGGGCTTCCATTCTACCGCTCAGCACGAGCTTTCTGGATCCTCTGTTCCTCAATTTACCCATCCACCTGGGTCCCATTTCTACAATCACCCGCATCAGTCGCCATTTTTAACTTCGGCGCCGCCAAAGCAAACTGCTCCCTTTCAATCTACGGGAGATCCTCTGTTCTCTCGTTCAACGGAGCCCTCTCAGGTTCTCGGGGCCAGGGTGCCCCCAGCGAGCAAATTGCCACCGCCCAAGCTCACGAGCCAGTCTCGGGCGCTTCTTGACGTCTTCAAAGGCAATGTCCTTGGAGCCGCGAAAAGCCCCCAAGCTGCGCCACTGAGTGTTCCAGGACAAGGCCAGCCTCTGGCTCGCAAGACATCCCAGCACCAAGAAGGTCTTCTAGATCTATTCAAAGGCCTGCGTGCTGTGCCGGCAGAGTTGGGAGGTCATCCTGTACCGCCTGTTGCGCCAGCTGAGAAACAAATTCTTCAACGACCGTCGCCAAAACAAAATCGCAATATGCAGCGTGCAAACGCCACCGTTGGAACTGCTCAGACACCGGACACGGTCCCTAGTCATATGGGGATGCAACATCTCAATACAGGGCCCAGACAGTCACCCAAACAGAGACCAAATGGGTCAAGCCGGGGAATACATACAGGTCGGCGAGAGCCTTCCCAGCCACAGCAGCTATCATCGCCTATTACCATTCTGCCGAGGCCACAGTCAGCAAAGCGAGAGACATCTACTTCAATGATCCAACCACCTGTACCAAAAGCACCGTCTCAGCCTCAACCTCAAATGCCTCGAGCTGAGACCCCCGATCTCGTTAAACCTTTTCATCCACAGATTCTCCGGCGCTCCGAGAAGGTCGACTACGAGGAGTTCTTGAAGAATTCGTCCAAGATGGAAAGCGTGGACCGGAAAACTAGCCTGGCTGGCTTGCAGAAAAACGCATCAGATCTGGCGCCTCAGTCCAACTTAGATCGTCGCCCCAGTCAGAATGCGGCTCAGAAGGGTGCGCTTCTTGCTCTGTTTGGCAAGGCTGCCTCACCATCCCCCACCATGCCCGTTCAGCTTGATTCTCGGCCTGCAAACCAGCACTCTTCCACTATTTCCGGTGTGGTCAGCCCTCTTTCATCCTTCCACTTACCTGGTAGTGGAGGCTCTCTTCTCGCCATGGTACACCTGTGGCTATTGAGGGGGATGTGAATCCCCCTAGTTCGAACGGCATTGCCTCGCCGAGCAACAAGGAGTTTCTGCTTGAGTACTTGCAAGGAATTGCCAAAGGCAGCAAGTAAACATTTTGCCCGTGATGTACTTCAGCCTGATCTCATTTCTTTCAACTGAAAGGTTAGCGTGTTATTCTAGAGCATAGTCGGAATCAAGCATTGATCCACTGTAGATTTTGAATATACTATGTTCGTTTGAACTAGACATGGAACTGGGATCTCTTTTTTTATAGCAGCTCCTTGACAACGACTACTAGCCTCAGGTATCCACGACGGCACAACACAGCTTCAATTTTGCCATCAAGTACCGCCCAACGTCATCGTCGGCGAAATAAAACAACTCAACTCAGATTGGTCGTTCCTCTGGCCGCCCTCAACCATGATGCGCCCACGTCTTTCAGTCTGCGGCCGCTGCTTAGCGCACGGCAACTTTTCGACAGCAGGAGCACAGGCTGAACCTCGACAAAATGCAACCGTCCCGCCTCAAACCGGCTACGCCCGCCTCACGAATCGCGGTCTTATCTCCATAACCGGCACGGATAGCGCAACTTTTCTCCAAGGCCTCATTACCCAGAACATGCTAGTCGCCAATGACCCTAGCAAAAGTATTCGGCGAACAGGCACATACACGGCTTTCCTCAATTCTCAGGGCCGCGTATTGAACGACGCCTTCATCTACCCGCTCCCTCACCCCGATGGAAATGATCTTGAGCGAGAATGGCTGGTGGAGGTGGACAGGAATGAGGTGCCGACCTTATTGAAACATCTCAAGAAACACAAACTGCGCGCGAAGCTGAAGCTCCGGGCTCTCGAAGATGGTGAGCGCACCATCTGGTCTTCATGGAAGAACCACACCGAACCCCGCTGGGCTGCATACAATCTGGAAACCGATACAGCGTCCCCATTTTCCACTTCGTCGAATATTGTTGGGTGTGCTGATTCCCGAGCCCCGGGCTTCGGATCTCGCATTATTACACCCGGCGCGGAGGGCTTGCGCAATCATCTACCCGATGAATCTCAAGTGGCCGGATCAGAGGTTGAATTAGACTCATACACCGTGCGGAGATTCCTCCATGGTGTAGCAGAGGGTCAAATAGAGATCATCCGTGAGTCTGCGCTGCCAATGGAGTGCAACATGGATATGGCGCGGGGCATCGATTTCCGCAAGGGTTGCTACGTCGGCCAAGAGCTGACAATCCGCACGCACCATACCGGCGTAGTCCGGAAGCGAATCTTGCCTGTACAGCTCTACAGTGATGTGCCAAGTACTGAGAGCAATCCTGTATATGACCCTTCAGCCAAGCTGCCTTTACCACTCAGCGGGTCAAACATCAACAAAGCTGGAGGTCGTCGTGGTCGTAGTGCCGGCAAATTCCTCAATGGTATTGGGAACATTGGTCTGGCACAATGCCGCTTGGAAATGATGACCGATATTGCGCTCACCGGCGAAGGCACTCAGTTCTCACCCGAAACCGAATTCAAGGTCTCATGGACGACGGAGGGCGAACAGCCGGCGGAAGTCAAGTTGCAGGCTTTCCTTCCGTCTTGGATGAGAGAGTTCATTGCCACTGGTGGAGCTCGCAAGCCTACTCCGCAGGCCACTGATGGTGTGCGGGCGCGCGGGTTTGTTGAGCAATTAGAAGAAGAAGAAGAGGCGCATCGACGAGAGTAGACTTCGTCGGCAGTTTGCCCTCATACCCAGTTGTACCGAAACGGCTTCATTGTAAATAAGATATGTATCTCTATTCATCCACCATTGTACATTTATCAAATCCCACAGGGTTGATCATTATAGACTCAGTAGATTTGGTGTCAAATAGTTGCTCATACAGGTTTTTGATGATAGTACATAAGTTTATGGAGCAAGATCCCTTAAGGTCCTTATATTCATGCTAAGCAATGCCCAATGGGCTGGGGTATCTTCAATATATGGAAATGTCAAAAATGAAACTCAGGCTGTGTTTGAGGAGCCTTTAGCTTTGGCCTCTGCAGCATCGGCCTCTGCATCTTCCCTCGCAAGTTGCTCTTCGAGGGCCTTCCGCTCTTCCTTTTCTCGCTGTACAGCTCTTAAACGCATGAGCGTCGCTTCCTCAAAGCTAGGCACAATACCAGGAGATGGTTTGAAAGATGATGCATTGGGAGCATTCATGGATGCGGCCGCAGAGGCGAACGAGCCGAAAGTAGGGGCTTTGCCATCTTTCGGAGCCGGTTTCGACGCGGGAAATGTGAAAGATGGAGTGGAAGTGGACGGTATTGAGTTCTTCGTAGATGATGGCTCTTCGAACGTTGTCGTTCTATCGTTGTTGGCGCTGGACTTCAGATCGGGCCCGCTACCAAAGGCCCACGACACAGATTCAACGAGAGCCCAGTCACCATCGGCCTGGCGAATCTTCAGCTTGCTATCCAGCACCGCGGCATGGGCATGAACGATAGACGCGAAGACAGCGAGACCAGTGCCGAGGGTAACCTTGCCCTTCTTGCCCTCGACGCGCACTCGTTTATCTTTAAGCATCACAGTGTTCTCGACCTTTCCAAATGGCGCAAGCAGTGACTTCAGCCATTGTGCATCAAGATCAATTCCCCGCCCTTCACGAGCCCAGCGTACCTTGACCGATCGATCTTCCTCCGAAACACTGCCTTCGTGAGGCCGACCAGTCCGCTGCGCAGGCTGCTGGGCCAATGGTTCCTCCTCTTCCACCTTCTGCGCTTGCTTATTCTCCTCCTCTATCTCCCGTTGCCTCTTCTCCTGCATCGCCACTCGTCGGCGACGCACATCTTCCTGGATCTGTTCGATTTTTCGCTGGAGCTCTAGCTCCGTCGCATCGTCCGCAGCGCTCGACCACGGTCTCTTAACGCCCTGCGGACCACTCCTCGAAGCCGCAGCAGCTGCCCGCTCACCAGCTTCTAGATCCTCGCGCATCTTGCGCTCCGCGGCATCCATCATGTCCCGCTCGCGCTGCTTGCGCATGCGCGCCTCGCGCGCATTGTTATAGAGCTGCCGCACCGACGGGTCGGAGAGAACATCGTTGGCGATTTGGAGGAGGTGGAACTTTTCGAAATCTGACTGGGATGGATTGGAGATTTTATCGGGGTGGTATTTCAATGCGGTTCGTCGGTAGGCGCGACGGATTTCGGACTCGCTGGCGGCTGGCGAGAGGTCTAGTAGGGCGTAGAAGTCTTGGCTGGAGGCGGCGTGCGCCTTGAGGTCCTCGGACATCTTGAAAAGAGCGCAATTTGCACGCTGAACCGAGACGATGAATGTTCACTGATTTTGGAGAATGGATGCTCGGGAGAATCGTGAGTTGGAGAAAGTCCTGAGGTTACGGCCCCACCGCCCCCGAGCTTAGCCCTACATGTCATCTCCTGGGGCTTCAGTAATCATACTGGTTGAGAAGTACTTACTCGCATTTCCTACTCTTATCTACGTTTTGATTCAATCTTATTGATGGCCAGAAACACTGCAATATGAGAGAACTTGCACTTCTTGCGGTGAAGTACCACAGAATGATGATGTATATTTCACAACATAAACAATTGAGTTTGAGGAATATATCTCCTGGGGGAAGATTTTGCTTGCAGCATACTTGATAGATCGATAGACTACGTGCAACTTATGTTAAGACATCGACTTTGAGTACATTGGAGGTATTTAGGAAGAGCAAATTTAATGGCAAGGTAGGCCTCAGGAATCGAGGCAGGTGCACATTAGGACAGCTCGGTCAACCACTCACCCGGCCATTCCTCCTCTTCACCCCAATGACATCGACGATAAGAAGAGCGGAGGTCACTCAGCCAAGCAGGCCACAATTGGCTCTTGCTTTGGCAATCGTGAAGCAAAAGCCTGTAACCGAAGGCATTCGAGGTAAGCATCAATGCAAATTCCACATCCCCCGCTGGCCTTTTTGACCGTCAACTCAGAGTACCTGCTGAAGATTCGACATTTTCTCAAAAGAAAGAAGGATGTGGAGGTTGTTGCAGATGGGAAGTTCTTCGACAGCGTCGCCTTCTGGCAGAGGGCGTACGAAGAGTCGCAAGCGGAGCTAACGAAACTCCTCAACAACATCTACGAGTTGGAGCAAAGCAACCGGTGTCTACTTGCCGAATCGAAAGCAAAGGCCCAGGAAGGCGACGGCATCAATGGAATCTCAACGAAGCGCAAGGTTGGCAGTACGACCTGCATCATGGAGAGCTCTGCAACAACGAGGAAAAAATCTCGACGAGCTAAGCATGGAGCAGGAGACACTGAAGATGATATTGAATGTAAGTGAGACTGTTGATATAGAGAGGAAGATCCTTTTGACAATTGAGTCTCAGCACCTTCACTCATGAGGCCCATGTACGCGCTCCAGCGCGCCCTGCAGAGAAGACGCGGCGCCAGTTCTCTCGCCATTGATGCGGTGATTTTGTGCAAAACAGCCGAGCACGAACTATTGAGCGCCATCCAACGGGAATTACACATAACAAAGCAGACAGGTCAGATCAAGAGTCAGAATGGGAGAAACCCCAGTCTGCTTGCCGTCATTCGAGGCGTGGAGGTATCTTTCCATCTTGTGCACAGATCACTCAGAAGCATCGCCGGTGCAAAGGATAGGAGTCAGGGCCAAATCATCTACTACCTTGTATGCCTGTTCGAGTCCACCATGACTGCCCTTACCCAGCGCAGCACCGCTCTGCGTGGACGAATGTCCCAGAATCAGGATCTAGCCGTCTTCCTCAAAGCTGACGCTACCGCATACCAGGGCCTGAGCGATCTCCTCTCTGAAATGATGCTTTCACTTGATGTGAGCCGTCAAGAAGAGCAGAAGGTCATGGAAGGGTTCTTTTTTGTTGTCCTTGACCGTATTGGAAAGATGCTTGCTCTTTTCACGTTCAAGAATTTGCACTTGGCGACCGATGTTTGCTCAAAACTAAGACCCCCGGATGGATTGGCCGCACTGAGCCGGGAGAATCGAACACCTCAAGACATCCAAATTGAAGCAAAGTACCTGATGGTATTTTTGGAAAATGTGTTGGGCTCCAAATCCCCTCTGAAAGCTCATCAATCGCCCATGCAGTCTCGTTTTGTCCAGAAGATGAGAAATCGCCTTCAAAAGACTTTGTTGCAGACGGTGTTCGGCGCTGAGGACCCTTTGTTCCAAGATGCTTTGGTGCGCCCGACCACTCCACCTCCCCAGAGTCGTGATGTCCATCATTTGGAAGATTCAGAGTTTCCAGAGTGGTTCACGGAGGAACTATGGAGATTAGTTGGATGGGACCTGTTAAACTCAACGGTCTGTTCTCGCTGAGAAAGCTTATATTATTTCTTGCTATTTTTATACTCATGTGAGATTTATCTTCTGAGGGTGGGGGGGCCTGAACTCTTGATACTGGATTACGACTCTATGTGAAATGGCCGCATATATTATGATGTTCTTTAGGCCAATGCAGCCCTGGAGCCAGCAGGAAGGTCATCATTTCCTAGATCAGATTCAGTACACGGGCGGCATTTCCACCCAGGACTGCAGCCACTGAACCCTTATTATCACCAAATGAATCCTGGATGGCCTTGTAGTTTGTCGTGACGCTGGCCCATTTCTCATCCTCCTCATTCAGCGGTGGGAAGAAGGGATGGTCAGTGCCTATCCATGAAGAAAGCTTAGTATGCTACATCTCGAGAGCTTGAATGTAGTCTTGATCTTACCAAACATGAGACGATCTGCACTCCCTCCAGCTGCTGCGACAGCCGCTTTCAGTCCAGCAGTGCCGTAAACTACCGCATCGAGGTAGATATTGGTCTGCAAAGTATCCCAAACACTTCGCACAGGACCAGGCGTGGAGCCACCATTTGCGACAAAATGCCGTTCATGCATGATGCAGCTCTCGATCCGTCCCGCCAAGAATGGAAGAGTCCCACCAGAATGAGCCAACAGGATATTTAGCTTAGGGAACCGGTCGAAGACACCAGAAAGCAGCATTCGGGTCACTGCGATCGTCGTCTCCAGGGGGAATCCCAGCGCCAAAGGAAGAACGTGACCGTACCGATTTGTCGTCTCGGGTCCTCCAAAGGCCTCGTCAGGCAGACCATAATGCGGGTGCAGGAACATCATCTGCTGGGTTTCCTCAAGCACAGCCCATACTGGATCCAGAAGAGGATCGTCAAGGCCATTTCCTAGTCCAGAGGTACCCATGATCACGCCACGGATCTGAGACAAGCTCTTGAGCCGTTTGATCTCGTTGGTGATCACCTCGGGATTAGACGCGCTCAGTGGCAATGTGCCGAAAGCGAAGAGTTTCTTTTGCGACGACGACGAGTCGCCGTTCACCTGTGAACATGTAGAATCTAGATCATCATTGATCCGCTTCGCCCATTCTTCAGCCTCGTCTGGAGCCAAGAAGTCTCAGCCATGGATTGGCGAGAGAGATTACGCTGCAATCGATACCATGCTGCTCCATGAATGCAAGCTTGACATTGATATCATAGTAGGAAGAGTCCACAGGACGGCCTCGCTCCTCAATTGGAATGGAAGAGTCGTCGTCCGATGACAGAATGATTAGACGAGGTGTTGCGCTGTTGGCGGGATCATGGACGTAGGGTACCTTTTTGCGAGCGCGAAGCATCGCCATGTACGCCGGAGGGTAGACATGGGTATGAACATCAACAACGGTAGGATTCGGCATGGTCAGAGGGTGGATGAGTGATGAGGAAAGGAAAGCTACGAGGGTCAGGGTTACAAAGCTAGGGAGATAAGACCTACAGATGCGGGGATCTCCAGGTACCCGCCTCGAGCATTACACCCTTATGTAAGATAATGGCTGGTCTGCCCTTGTCTCGAAGCTATCTGTATACAGTGGTTGATAAGGGGGCTCAGTCATTGATATTCATTGAGTCATAGGGTGCTATCAACTGGTTTCTCCAACTGCAGCATCTGCAGTATGTGGAAGTATCTACTCACAACCATCAGTACCCCGCATTTCGAGCCAACACATCAGATCGGTATCTATACATACAAATTGAGCCCTTCACAGTCAGATTCAGATTCAAAGTCCAACACCGGCCATAGTGATGGGCTGCACGTTGGTGAAGTTGGCGATATCGGCAAAGACCTTGGCGGTCTCGGAATCCTGCAGCGCATTTTGCAGACTCTCCTCGCTCTCCCATTCGAGCGTAGCAGCAATTAAGTACTTGGCGGGAGAGCCGTCGAGGGACTTGGTGTATTCGATGACTTGCCAGCTGGTCAATCCGTGCTTCTTCCAGATGCTCTCGACGAGGGGCATGTGTTTTTTGATGTAATAGTCGCGGTCGAAGTGGATATCGGCCTCGTTGGGGTACATAACAGCAGCGTGATAAACCATGGTGGCGGTAGGTATGAGTATCTGAGAATATGTAAGGGAAGAAGAGGGGCCTGCTCGAGTAGCTGGGACATGGCGTTGGCGGTTTCAACAGCTTATTAATTGCTTCCGAGGTCCGCGTCTCGATGTGGGGCAACGTTGATCAATGTCTCCGGCAAAGGCAGGGCCCAGGGAAACACCGTGGAATAGTGGTACTATCTTGGGACACTTCCACAGTAAACTTGCTATTTCGACTTAAAAGCTTATGCTTGATTATTCCTCATACGAAATTGAAACATAAAATGATGGATTTGCTCATTCTGTCGTGGTCAAATTATGCCATTAGGGAGCCAAGTTCTAAGTAATCATCAGGCGCACCGCTGAAAGAGGATATGAGCGCGAGCGTGTATCACAAATGGAACTTCTTCCCACTCTATCTCCCTCCATGCTGTTAGACAGCAATGGTTGGCGCAAAGTTGCTTGTTAGACTGTCTGTCATATCGTTCTTCTCTGCACTGCAGACGTCCATGCCTGTGCGGAAAGCGATGGTGTCTTCATCGACGGCAGTATTCCTGGGAATACGTTCTTGAGCGGGCCAAATCTGATGACCGCAGTCTTCCTCCTTCTTGTGGTGCTCCATGACGACCTCGCGCACGGTCTTTTGGAAGTGGAGAGGACCCTTCTCCAACTCAGGGTGGAGCTGTCCGTTGACGAAAACGCCGGCATTAAGATTCTTTTGGGAAAGAATGCAAAGGTACTTGTCCTCGGACATGATTCGCTTGTACATATCGCTGATGAGATTGAAGTCCGCGTCGCTGGCATCCTTGTGCCGGTAGACCTCGTAGCGCATCACACATTTCTTCGGTCCAAGGGGAGTGAATCGCTGCATGAAGAAGAAGTGAGGGCTGAAAGAAGATTAACGATGCTGCCAAAATTGATAGCTTGATCACAGGGTCAACCTACGAGATATTGAACGAGGCATTAGGCCAGAAGTAGGTGGTGGCAATTCGGAAGCCCTTATCGATCTGGTCCTGTCGCTGGGCACCATAATGTTGAATGTGACCGGCCTTGGTCTTCACGTAGTAGGAGTTCAGATCAGCGATCTTAGGAATATCGGGATGAGCAACTTGGCAGTGATAGCATTCGTTGTAGTTGTCGGCCAGAATTTTCCAGTTGAACTCGCCCTCCATGTCCCACGTGTGGTCGAAGCTGTATTCCTCGAAGTTGTAGTGACTGAATCGGGGCTGCTCATCAACACCCTCGAAGTCGTCCTTCCAGGCAACTTCGGGAATCTCACTGGTGTCCAAGTTGACCCACACGAAGCCGTTACGGTCGAGGTGGATATGGATGGGGTAGAAGTCGTCATTGTGGAAACCAGTGATGTTTCCTTCCTGATCCTTCATGACAACGAACTCGTAACCAGCAGCGTCATAGTGAACCCAGTCGCCAGGGTTGGCAATGCGGTGCTTATGTGTTGTAAGGAGCCACTTGCGGGAGAAGATCGATCGTTGTTCAAGCTCGTACATGCTCTGGGAAGTATACCATGAAGCAGGCAAGGCACGAACCGGCTTCAGCTCGTCCTTTGCCTCAACGGCGGCGGCGGCAGTGGCAGAGGTGCCGAAGAAATTCCTCAAGAATGACATCGCAAATGTTAATCCAAGAGCTGAAGGTCTTTGTGATAATTAAAGGCTTGATAGTCTAAAGACTGATTGCTTTGGAGTCGTTATCTATTTTGGCTCAAAGACACCCATTCTTTTTAATAGCCTTTGCGGTGACCACCGACACGGGGCGTCCCACGCCCCATCCGGACCAACCTTCGGTAATTTACCTTTCACACCCGATATCGATGACAATCTGGGATATCATCGCAATCAGGTGGCCAATTTCGACGGGCGATGATATTTGGGGACCGATCACCTGACCGGTAGGTACACAACCGGCCCGAATGGCTTAAAGATAGTTGACCATCCCCGTAAAGCGCAATTAACTCCTGCCCAGGTTTTGTCGTGGCAAGACGGGCAGCTATCAGCTCCTGCATCATCGAGTCCCCAAAGTTTGGGATGCATCTCGAGTCCCAAGATAGATCTGCACCCGGTTCGGGTTAAAACTGTTTCCACCCCCGGCTTTTAGGTTCACCATAAATGGAAACAATAATCCTAAGTGATGCATCTGCTGAGACCCAATCGGATATACGGGCAATGAACCGGATGATGCTTTGATAAGCATCTTGGGTTGGGTGATAGAGCATTCATCTGATGGCAAGGACCATGTGAGACTCATATCCGAGAGTGCCCGGTTATAATAATGAGCGAGAAAGAAAATAACGTGGTCCCACAGTCTTTTTTTGGTTCTCGTAATTAGCGAATAATCTCTCTGTTGGCCAGCCGCTACCGCTTAGCAGTCCTCTGACCAAACAAATAGGATGCCAGGGATCGATATGCAACAGAGCATTCACTATAAATTTTGATGTGTTTGAGCGCTGAAATTTCAAGCGGATAGGCCAATCTATACGAAGTAAACAACGCGGCAACAGTAGGAGTACTCTTAAAGTGCTGTAGAACCGACATCAAGATAGGTAGTCTAATTCAGAGAGTCACTCGAGACAAGCACAACTTTTGAATAGCTTCATGTAAGCCAATCAGGTAGTCATCTAAGCTTTCGGCCCGATTCCTCAACATCACATGCCGAAAGCTGATGAGCTCAGACTGAGATATCCGGATAAGATTATGATAGGGCGGTAATGACACTCGACAATCTTCCAGAAAGGTTACAAGATTTGGTAGTCTTTATAGATGTTCGTTCTTGGGCGAAATTACTTTCGTGTAGGAAAGTTCACTTTGTCTCGATTTTTCTTGAAACTGCGTCGAGTCGGAGATGCAGCTTATGACATACAAATTACCCCTTGTATGGAATATTTTACTCGATCGGTACTAGACTGATTCTTGTTGAAGGGGCCCGAACTGGTAGCGCCGGGAGTCTTATTGCGGGACAAACAGGCTGGTTTCTATGTATGACACGGTCTGTCGGTAATAGCGACCGTCCACGGTGCTAGCAAGGCATACAAATCCCGGCTTGCAGCTCATGGGTGGATGTTTTCTTACCCTTATCGTACTGGCATTGAATGTTTAGACATCACTTTCATCGCAATTTCGGCATGTAATTGCACGTTATTATCACAAGAGACAGAAAGAAGGAGAAGTGAAGAAGAGCAGCGCGGAAGAGTCGCTCAACATAATCAATAACACCTTACAAGTTTGAAAAGTGAATCGTTGTTCCACAATATTCCATCGGGGGAATTTAGCTCATCAGTACATGCACTCAGGATAGCCCCGAAAGAGCTCAAAGCATTTCCCATCTATCATTTAAAGAACCTGTACGCAAGTTTGAGGGAAATTACGGATCCACACTCCACCAAGTCAGATAACTTCGAAAGATCTGAAAAAGAGTAATTGAAAGAAAGGAAAAGCATATGCTAACTCCATAGAAGCCTGAATGCTAAAAGCACGCACAATACCCCAAAAGCGGGAGCCAGAGCCTTCAAACCACCTGCGCGGAGGCTTATCCAATGCAACCTCCGCAATTCATCCCTAAAGACCCGCGATTCATTCAAGCGCGGGAAAGGAACGTCTGGGATACTCTTACCCAGGAAGTTGCACAGGGGTTCCCATCCTAGATCCCCGAGATCGATTTCCAAAAGGCGATCTGAAGTCACCAGGCTTCGAACTTGATCATAATGACGCTGATACGCAGCCCGCATGATTTTACGGTCCTTGGTTTTCTCCATGCTGCACACTCCCAAAAGACCCATGTACATCTTCCAGGCGGTCTGGCTGATTTGAATTCCAATGAACGGTTCCATGATGTTGCCACTCAGCCAAGCTAAGAAGGTTTGCGAAGAAGGAAGAATGAGTGTTTGTTCGAAGCTTCGTGCCCACGAGTCGAAGTCTCGTTGCACAAGGATTACTTTGGCTTCTGGAAATTCACGAAGTAAGGGGTAGGCAAAGGGTGCGATGTCTGTCAGGGCTTCACAGGGTCCCACATAGGCGTTCCAGTCTTTTCTTGTCCAGGTACGCCCGGTATACGTCGGCAGACATGGAATGTTGTCATCTGCTGCAGCACCAAGGCCTACCCATCTATCGGTATCCTTTGCCATAGCAGAGGAGTGGAAAACATCTTGGTAGCCAAGTATTGTCAGGGCGTGTCTGAGTGAATGAGAGCCCGTACGATAGAATCCGAGCGATATGACCTGCTTCGGACGATCTGGTCCTTCTGCGAACGGTTTGAAGGACATAGGGGATGAGATTATGTTTTCCTTAAAGATACGAGATCAGGGAGCATTGTAGATGGAATAATGCTTCCCTTTTCTAAAGCTGGTTGTTCTATGATTCCCAAGGGGCTCGTGCATTTCCGGAGGGATCTTAGATCTGATACCCAATTGGGTTCGGTGGTCCGCTTCTTTTAGCAAAAATCGTTTCTTAGCGCTTTCTTAAACTGCGTCATCCAATTTTCTGAAATACAGGGATATTGGCCAGCACATAAAGGAACGCATTCAGGCATATGGCCGAGGTCCCGGTGATACTGGCCTACGGGACAATCACGGTCTGTAGCCAAGGACCACTCATATCAGCGCCCGCAGAAAATGCATCGGCAAACTATTCTAAAGCAAATTCGCCCACCGTTGGAATTCCCCGGTCTCCCCGAGCTTGACAAAGCCACTCTCAACTAGTCCAATCACAAAGCAGATATCATCAGGGGTATAGATAACCCTTGAAGGTAATATCATTGAACATCAGATCGAGACCGACAGAGAAAGCTCTTTAAGAGCTCCCATCATACTATATTGACCCCCCTCCCCCGCCCCCCCTCCCCGACGCAGGGATTGAATGCAACTCTTGCAGGCGTGCTGTCTGATGCACTTTCTGGGGAGATGTCGAGGACAACGTCCTCCGGACCGTATCTGGTCAATTTTGGATATCTTTCTCATCATCACCGCTGTTGCAGAGGGTCCGAGTTCGGCCGTTCGAGCCAAGCGCTTCCACTTCTTTCCAGACCTCCTGGTTTGGCCCCATTGCGATGACCTGTGCGCCCATTGCCAGGGCCGCAAGCACAGGTGCGCCACCAAACACCCCTGTCCTTGGCACAATCACGACTGTCTCACCAGCTCTGACATCGACATCCCTGAGCCCTCCGAATTTCACCGCTGGTAACCAAGACCTCCCTCGGCTAGACTCACCAGCAACAGCCTTTCAATTTAGGAAGCAATTCTCCAACAGAACCTTGGCGTTCTCGGCATCTGTACTGTCGTGCCAATTGCGGCCATCAGCTTCTTCCTTGCAGCATCTAGACTGTGGAAAACGCCAGAGAGGATGCATAACTCCGAATTGTCCCGACCACGGATAAAAAGGTCAAAGAAAACTAGCTGGCCTGGCTGAAGTGTCGCTGCATCCGGCCCAACGCTGAGATCGCGACCAACAGCAGAGCAACCTCGTGTAAAGGGTGTCGGGTAAGGGTAAGGTCGACTACCCATGTTGATTTGGCCGCTATACGTTAAAACATTCGCTGCGAGGACACGGATCACAGCACTGCCCGGTCCGGTTTGCAGCATGGGCTTGGTCATCACCTCGATATCATAAAAATATCCCCGAGATTTCAGAAAGAGTGCCCGGTATGTTCGAAGAAGCTAAGAGATCATTTGCGTAGACATGGCGCGGAAGGTGACAAGGTATTTTCATTTCAACACTACGTACAGGCATGGAAGATATCTTCCCCGTATTGTTTGTGTACTAAACATAGTGGTAGAATGCTCAGATATCCCGCTTATTTTCCGAGATAAAATCCGAATTGGGAGTTGAGCCTGGTCTGGGTATGATGCAAGTACAGAGGTGGTCAGCCATAGATGAAGACAGTCTCCTTTATTTCCGGGTGTGGGTGAAGTAGGCAAATCAGTCTCCCGTGTCTGGCCCTGAAATTCTTCATTGAGATGACTTGGAAAGTAATAATTCTTTGTCATCAGAGCTTAGACAGCAGATCTGGCAAAGGAGTCCAAGGTTCCAACCAAACGATTGGTCTGGATGCTTAGAAGAGTAAAAACCGCGCCAGCAAGCGCCACAATGGGCTCCCTGTGCAGCTTCAGAAATTGGGCGTGAGATACAGAACATCATCGAGAATAGATTCTGTCATTTCCAGCACCCAGACGCAGTGGAAAGCGAGTTTGCAATATTTATCGTATACATTGGCGACAGCATAAGCCCTCCGGTAGCTCAGCCTTGTAGATCTTTCGAGGCTGGAAGACCTTGGCGCTGGTTTGAAAAGGTTCAAACGTGCTAGAATGTCCAAGTCCCCATTTGACTGTTGTGGCTGCTATTGCTGCTTCTGCAAAGTGTTATCAACAATAATCAATTCCATTGGATTGAGAATTTTAGATCAGTAAGTACTGGATAGAACAGTGGGGAGTGTTTACAATTTATGGCTAGGAGAAAGCTCACAAGGGCTAAGGTCGGCCACAGTCCACGCTATTGTTCTTTTGGGAGAAGCTGATCTCTGTGGCGTTCGTATAGTTTGATGTATGCGAATCGGGCTGACTGGTAGTGCTTGGTTCTGCTTACGGACCAACCCTCGCGCACGCAGTCTCCATTTTCTATTGAACGGTATTGTCCCACCTAGTAGCGTCCATTTGGACCAGTGCCTCTGTAAGAACATAAAACGGAACCTGTCTTGCCAAGTTGTTTTCCAGGAATTTCGAGGACCTAGAGTTCATTAAGGGGAAAGTCCGATCGCCATTGGCGTCGACGACTTCTGAGGTCGCTTAGATCCGCCCCTTTCGCATCTATGCGTCTCCAAGGCGCCAAGGCTCTGCGTGGATAGCTTCGATAGTCCCTTCAAGGGTCTCGTTTGTAATATGAACAATACGGGTGTTATATCAGATCGCGAACAAATAGCAATCTTCGAAATCCGGGGCTCGCCGCCACACTGGATTCCATGCGTACTCCTCCAATTCTGAGGTGGTCCTGCAAAAGAAGAGAGCTACTATTTGAACAAAGAGAAAAGCGAAGCGACTTTGTCATTATGGATTCCTAGATGATTGTGACTGTCAGCATGACATATAAGGTGCGTGCTAGGGTATGTTTCGATACAGGCCGTGAAATTTGGACGCGTACATTGTTCATGTGCATGAACATATAGTATACGGCGGTTGCATAGCACCCTTCCCACACATGAATCTTCTGTCATATCAGGGCATCAAGTCAAGCCTAAAGATAAAGGAGTCTCTGACTGTCTCATGAGGCACGAGGCCTGAGCTTGAGCTTATCTCCCACGCTTATCTATATGCTTTGCTTCCCCTCTTCTTCCCCAGCCTTTCAACTCTTCATCTTTCATTTGACTCTGTGATCAACCCTCTACTGCTTCAGATTCACCTTGAGTAACACTTGAAAGTGCTACCATCATAATCAGTAAGCTCGAGCTGGATTCGGTTCAAGATGGCAAACAAAGCTCAAGAGCTCCACCCATCCGCCACCGCTGTGGAGAAGGACGACTTGGTGATACCCGTGAGTTCCACTTCTGCTTTCTCGTCCTGGATAGTCTTATCGATCGGAACTGACAGGAAGAGTGTCTAGATTATCGATTTTGGCCCATTTTTCCTCCGGAACGCCCTCCGATAAACATGCTGTCGCTCTTGCCATCACCGACGCATTCAAGACCTCTGGGTTTCTATTCCTCAAGGCACATGGCATCCCGCCCTCCGTAGTGTCTCGAGTCTTCGCCTCATCAAGTCGCTTCTTCGCCCGACCCCAAAGTCAAAAGGACGGCTTAGGCTGGACGACTCCACAGTCGAACCGTGGTTATGTTGCCATCGGCCGGGAGAAGCTGGCTACCCTGAACGAGACACAAGAGATCGACACTCGTCGGGAATCTATACCCGACCTGAAAGAGACCATGGAAATTGGTCGCGAAGGCGTCGACGGCTTGGCAAATCAATGGCCAGATCATCTTGATGACGAAGGAAAAGACTTTAAAGAAACTATGATTTCCTTCTTCGAGATGTGCAAGGATTTGCACAAGCAGATCATGCGTGCGATCGCATTGGGCATGAATTTGCCCGAGCACTTTTTCGATGAGTTTGTCAATGAAGGGGATAATAATCTTCGTTTGCTACACTATCCCGCTGTGCGCAAACAGACCTTCCAGAATAATCCGAATCAGGTTCGGGCTGGGGAACATAGTGACTATGGCTCCGTCACGTTGCTGTTCCAAGATCAGCATGGTGGTCTGCAGGTGCGCAGCCCTAAAGGAACCTTTGTGGATGCGACGCCTATCGCAGATTCGATTGTTGTGAATGCTGGGGACCTTCTGGCGCGTTGGTCAAACGACACCATTAAAAGCACCCGTCACCGAGTTGTTGAGCCCCCCCCGACCGACAGACCACGAAACTGAGGGTGATTCACCAGACATATATCCTGCCAGGTACAGCATCGCTTACTTCTGCAACCCTAATACCAACAAGGTCATCGAAGCACTGCCCGGGACCTGGGGAAACGATATCCAGGTGACCAAGAAATACTCCGAAATCACCGCTGGAGACTATCTAGTTCAACGATTGACTGCGACGATGTAAATTGTAAGCTGTCATTATCTATAGTGGACTTGAGCAAGTTTTGAGTTATACCCACTTTGTCACCGCCACTTGGTTTGCATTTTGAGTCGCGTTTCTTTAATGCTTGGCTGTATTCGAGGGATATGTGCTCACCGATCACCAGTCATCTTTGTGTATCTATCCTATCTTATCTAGCAGTAATCCCCCCCCAAGCCCGTTGAAAGTCACTCCGTGATGGCTCAGTAAGTAGATGGTGCCGCGGCAACGCGGCCACCATCAGTCAGCATCATGGCACCGTTGACATAGCCACCAGAGGCACTCGACATCCAAATCACCAGACCAGCAAAATCCTCTTCACTTCCACTGCGAGTCAGAGGGATCAAGGAAGCAGGGTGCGAGCCCTCCGAGATACCACCACCCGAGACATCGCGGTCATCAAAAATCTGGCTTGCCATTTCAGAAAAATACAACCCAGGGGCAATACCATTGACTCGAATATGATAAGGCAAGAGACTAGTTGATAGTGTCTTGACGACGTGCGTTACTGCAGCCTTAGAGGCGTTGTATGCATAGCTAAACGGCACCTTGCGGTTGAAACCCGCAATGGAGCTGGTGAAGATCACTTGGGCAGTCGGGGGAGTCGTGACACCAACCTGCGGAGCGGGGCGTCTCTTGTTGGCAGCCTCAAGAAGGGGCAGGAATGCCAGAGCAGTGTAATAGGCCCCAGTCACATTGACATCCAGCACCTTGGTGAACTCCTCCATCGGGATGGAAAATAACTCATCACGGACTTCCGACAGGGTCGGAAGAGATCCGTCTGGCTTCGAAGTGTGACGCATCATCGGACCCATGATGCCGCTGTTGGCGAACAGGACATCCACATGGCTTGTTTGTGCTGTGACCGCGGAGTATGCTGCCTCCAGCGACTCTTTCGAAGTGACATCGCATTGAATGGGAATGACGATACCGGACGGGGCCTGGGCGACAGTCTCGCGAAGAGCGTCTTCACGTCGGCCGAGGACAAAGACCTTCGAGGCACCATTGATTGCCAAGGCGCGGGCGATGATGCGACCCAGTCCTGAGTTTCACGATCAGCTGCAGTTCACGCGAAGTTGGAGTCTTTTTACTTACCGCTCCCTCCACCAGTGATTACCGCCACGCGATCCTGAACAGAGAACAGATTTGAAGCTTGCAGATTCGACATGATGCGCTAGATGAGGTTGAGTGTTGAATTGAGTGTTGAATCTCAAGTTTGAACGAAGAAGGCGCGAAAGCTGACTCTTCCCCGCACCTTGACTCAATCTCCCCATTAAGGGCGTATTGCCTACTGTGGATACATCATATTTCCGATCATTATCTCCGTGAGCTCGAGCAAGTTGGATATTCCTTGTAGACAGCCGATTGAAAAACCAATTGAAATAATATGTTCGAATGTTCAATCACGCCTGGTCAAAATGATCTACCCACGTACAAGAGGATGTGTGTATCCCACATCGGCGAAAAGGCCGAGCCGGCGACCGTGAAGCTTAGAAAATGCAGCAGGATGGACGGATATAGCATCTCCAACAACAAAATCCAGTTTGCTGCAGCCAAGATCATCGTCAGGGTTGCCCACTTATTCCGCTCACTGGTTGCTCATGGGTAAATCGGGAAAAACCTCCGGTACATCCGATGGCGGAGTTGATTCCCTGTCTACGAAACATGGATGATGTTCGACGTCATTCTTGCAACAATCCGCTTTTGAGGTACGCGAGAAAACAGGCATTGTGACAAGTAAACAAGAGTGGACATCCATCCACATTCCAGGTCAATATTAGCGGGAGAAAGCAACGATCTCGGTACTTGTTCCGCGAGTCTATCGACCTTGATGCATACAAGATTATCAATCAGCGACTCCAAGCTAGATGATCAGTTGGCTCGGGTCACCCATATCCGAGGCAGAGAAACAAGCTTCATCGACAGAAATCCCCCAGGCCCCGCAGGCACCCGTTGTGATTCGCCTAGCGCCATGGTACGGCCGACTTGCTGGGCAGATCCTGTCCATGACAGCATCGTTTCTCCCCGATCTCCATTGACCAATAGCGCAGCTGGACTTCATCGGTCATCGTTGAAGAGCGATGCGATCGCTCGACAGTAACAGCACAACGGAACTGAAGGACGCGGCCTTTGGGACCGAATCGGAATATCGTCCGCTCGCGCGTCATGGAATGACCGGAGGCTGACCTCATCCATCACTGTCGCTCGCCTTCTCGATGGGGAAGCTGCAGCATGTACCTGAGATTCTGATCATCTGTCATAGTGATCGTCTCAAATCGTGTATCTGACTAATTGAGCCCGTTTACTGCCGTAGCATTCTTGAATGGGATCGCAGTGTATTGATGCCGTCAGAGCACCTTCGATGCCAGGTTTCCAAAGGGCTCCGAAACCTGATAGATTGGGTCAATGATGACTTCCATAGACCGGCGAATTGGTCCAGGATGACAAACCCTGATGTGTGGGAAATATATATTGACGAGAGGTAACCATTACTTCCATTTGGGTTTTTGAGTCTCATAGCGATTTCCTTCATTTCCCCGGCACTTATAGAGCGAGAGTAGTTCCAGAAAGAAGAGCACTGTGCTATCCTCGTGGATATGATGTGGAACAGTGTGTGGATGCTGAGCATGCTGGGCTCGATGCCCTTAGCCTCTGCAAACCCGGTGGTCGCTCGTCAGGGCCCTCCCCTGTCGATGTCGGTCTCGACTATTGTGGGACCACCCACTCATACCTTTCCTACTTCCCAGCCACATACCCCGTTCTCCGGAACTCCATCGACTACTGGAGCTTTAACTGCCACCTCGATTGGAACAGGCATCGTTGCGTCATCCACGATCGCCGCGGCGGAAACTACCTACCGCTCTAATGGTCAACTTCAAAACGCTGAACCTGCTCCGTATGTCCCAGCCGGAGGGGTTGGCACCAATGGCTCCATTCCTGTTTATAACGCCAAGAGTGACTTTGATTATGAGTCTTTGGTACATGATCCCTGACTTTCTGATGCAATTTCCAATCAGTGCTAACTCGAACCGATAGGCACTTGCTCTTTATCAAGAATGGATTGAGCTGGACCTGTTCAATGATGGACTGAGACGCTTTTCCGCTCAAGATTTCAAGGATGCTGGTCTCAACCAAGCCGACCGTGATCTCATTGCTTTCATGGCCGAGCAAGAGGTTGGACATGCGACCCTGATTAGCAACATGCTCGGTGCCCAAGCTCCTCAACAGTGCCAGTACAACTACCCGTACACCAACGTGAGGGAGTATCTCGATTTCTGCCAGAAGTTAACTCGCTTCGGCGAATCCGGTGTCTATGGATTCTTGGCCCACCTCGATTCGAGAGAGGCTGCTACTCTTCTCACCCAATCCATCACGACCGAGGCACGGCAGCAAATGATCTTCCGCCAGTTCCAGGGTCTCTTCCCTATGCCAGTGTGGTTTGAGGTCGGTGTGCCGCAGTCCTGGGCCTGGACTCTACTGGCTCCGTTCATCAGTTCTTGTCCTGCCAATCAGACTCGCCTGGCGTGGGCTAATTTCCCGGGCCTGACCATTCTTAACCAGCCCAGTCTTTCTGGGGTTGGTGGGACCACCAAGAGTAACGCAACCGGACTCAACTCTACTACCGGACAGGGCAATACTTTGGGACCTGGCGTGAATGTTGCCAATTCCAGTTCAGCCACCAATTCTACTAACTGGAATAGTGATGCTGGAGCACTTGTTACTCCTAACAAGTATACTCCTCTCTCGTTCCCCGGTCGCACGGTCTCTTTGAAGTGGGAGACACCCGGCAAGTCGGTTGGTCCGAACAATAGCTATGTGACCTCTACCCAGGCTGGCAGTCCCAAGTACGTTGCTTGGGTGTCGCAGCTGAACGTGACCTACACGCCTTTGAATGTTTCCGGTAATACTGGCTTTACCACTCAGCCCGACCTGGAGACCTACCAAGGTGACCCTGCTATCAACGGCACCATGTTCATCGCTATCACTGATTCCGACCCCTTCTTGACCCCATTCAACTTGAGCATGATCAACTCACATGTCGTTGCTGGACCTGCTTTGTACCAGGCTGGATAAAACAGTTGTCGAATTATCATAAAAAGATGAGAACAACCAAGTAAAGTGGCTATGTGAAAACATCATTTTCGAAGATGTGACTGGACGTTTTAAGTGGTATAAATTGGTTTAGAAATTGATGTCATTGATAGTAAAATACACATGTCTGGGGAGATTTCCATGTTCCCGTAGCGGGTGATCCCCTGAACCTTAACCCCGATTTATCGCCGAAATCCACATCCGCAGCTTTTTGCTATCCGCCAGCTATTCCACATCTCCAACCTTGTGAACCACCTGGAGAAAGCTACCCATGGACGTTCCCAGGAATCGAAAGCAGCGTCGTGCTGCAGCTGCAACTTCCTCATCTCCTGAACCTTCAATTCCCCTCGCAATCCCGCCCCGCAACCAGTCCGCAAAAAAAAGCGAACGAACATTGTACGACATCATCGCAGAGCGCCAAAATGAGCTCTTGGGACAACAGGCCGTCTCACAGGCTGCGCTAGACGCAGAACTTGCCAAAGGGCATAAATCAAAGTCAAAGGGGCCACGATATGTGACCGTCGACGCGTCTGGGAATGTCGTTGACGCCAACGCCAGCGACCAAGTACCGATGAATAACGGCGCAAGAAAGATCTCGACCGAAGACACAGGGTCAGCTCCAGACGAACCAGATAAGCCCTTGCCTCCATTTATCGACACAGTCCTACTCTCCGTGCCCCTCACAACTCTCCACCTCACCCTGGCTTACGTCGCCGCCCACCAATACGCTGAACGGATCGACCTCCCACGCCTCCTTAAAGAATCATTCACAATCACGCTTCCATTCCTGACATTCTTCATCCACTTCGCCCACGGTCATATCATTCGCTTCAGATTAAGTAAACGTCTAAGCTTCCTCGCCCCGCAGCCCATATCTATCCTCCCACTCACGCCCGACAAATTCACATTCTCGTTTCTGCGCCGTTTGATCTTTCCGCCAAGTTTACGAACAATTGTGTTCCTTCCAGCGGCGCTCTTGCTGGGTGCGCACCTCATAAGTGTGACGAATGGGGAGCCGTACTACGGCGTCATGAAGAAAGCGCCCGCATTTGGGACAATCTGGATTTGGTGCATATTGGAAATGTCTTTTGGCGCGGCTCTCATCGGGGCTTTGGCACCACTGGCTTGGGGTGTGTGGTGGATGGGCTATGGGATTGTTTGAGTATCATGTCTGCAACAATAATGGCTCTTCTGCTGCAGCTCTATAGCTGTGAAGATAGAATACCACCAAACTCTTTTCCTCTTTTATAGCGCCACAATGTCACAAAAGCTGAAATCGCACGAAGATTCATTTCTTAGCCAAGATCCAATGAAACGCAACACTGTGCGAAACCCCATTTTTTTCTTCCGAATCCACGACAACCTCATCAATCTCCACCTCAAAGCCAATAACTTTAAGAAGTCTTCTCATCTCTTCTCGACCCCACCCACTTCAATGCATTGCCCCCTTAGTACCGCCTAACCATGACCGATCAGAAGAACTCTCAAATCCAGTCTCAGGGAAATTCGCGAGGAGCCGTCCCCCAGGCCTCAACCAAGTAAAAATGCGACGAAGAATCACACTTTGTTCATCGCGTGGCAGATGGAAAATAGAGTACATGGCCGTGACTGCATCGAAATGCTCCGGAGTGAAGTCCAATTCCATCATGTCCCCCTGTATCAGGTTGACAGACTCAGGCAGTGACTCTTTTGCCAGGGCGATTTGTGCGTTGGATATGTCATTTGCGGTGACGCTAATAGATTCATGGGATGCCAAATGTTGAGTACACGGCACTCCGGCGCCACAGCCTAGCTCGAGGATGTTCATTCTCCTCTTTGCCTTTGCGGGATCGAGGGATCGAAGCATCTTTTCCAGATAGGAAAGACGTACTGCGTGAGAAGGTTGTGTCCAGCTCAAGTAAACGTCGGCAATGTCATCATAAGCTTTTTGTATATCGTCCTTGATTTGATGGCTTTCAACAGGCTCGGACATTTTGACGAGGTTGAATTTGATTTTTGATTGGGGATGCTGAAATCTCAAGTCTGGTTGGAAACAAGACGTCTGCGTGTGAATGCGAGGGAAAATTTCCATCAGGGAATGTTGATGGGTTAGCTTGAGATGCGCTCGGAAATTGACAATGACTCATTGCACGCTCAATTCTCATACGAACATAGCATATGAGGGGTTATATCCAATGGTAACCTATTACGGGTTAGTGTGGTTGAAAGTACAACTTGACGTTCACTAGGCAGTCTTTTTCAAGTTTCCGGTTACTTCATGAACAGGTATGCATCCCTTATCCTTTGGCTGCGATCCCTGAACGTAATATTCGTCTTTATACTTCTGTCATGCTCTTCATCTTCACGTGGCTTAGAGGACCTGGTTGCTTCATGCACGTTCGCGTAATTTGAAATGAAGAGTAAGCAATAAGTTTCCATCTCTGAATTCATGAAATTTGTACAAAACTCCCACGGCAACTATGTCTCAAAGTCCGAGGTCCAACATTCCGAGATAATATCACCGTGCTTTCGCATGAGCGATTGAAAAGCGACACCGGCGGTCTGAGATCCACCGACGGTTACATCCAGAGAAAGAAGTCCTTTCATTAGGCAGTCAATGTGCCGCGTCCATGTCTCATCACGAAAGTCCCATAAAATTTCAAATGGCATCTCCTTTTCATTATGAGAAGTTTGCATATCAATAATATGCTCTACGGTCTTCTCCAACGCAGTAACCATCAAGCTCGGTGTGACGTGGTATGCGATGAGGGGAACATCGGCACCCAATCCATTTTGCAGGTTGAAAGCTTCTTCGACTGGTAGCTGTAAGACGCATTCGATGAACTCTGCCATGGAATATGTCGCAACTTGTCGATAGCTTTGCATAGTTGGGAGAAGGTCTGGGATCGCGGTATTCTCAAGCGGCTGTAATATTTCAGCAAACGTGAGGACTCCGAGGTTCCAGAACGCCATGAGAGATACTGGTAGACATTGTCAGTGAACTAAAATCGCTGGCCATGAGATATTTATAGTCTTACCTGAAGCAATTCTCGATGGAATGGAGAAATCATGAAATGTCTCTCTGCATTTGTTAAGAAAATGTCTGAAACTCTTCTCAAACCTTTCAATGGCGAGCATTGTATCGGCGATTGACTCAGATAGTTTCGGACTAGGACGGAGGCAAGAATCCGTGGCTTTGGGCAGAGCTTCTTTCACAGCTATCATCTTTGCCCAAATGTAGAATGCTTCCGCTGATGCTTTTCGACATATAGCTGGAATCTTCATATCTAGATCTTCCATAGTGCAATAGTTTGAGTAATGTGGAGTCGAATTATCGCCTGTAATTGCTACGACAGATCAGGTTCCGTAGTTTCAAGCCGCCATGAAGATCAAAGAGGCAACTTACTATCCAAATCAACAAGAGGGTAGGGTGTCTTGCACTGATAGTCGCCAAAGAGAGCTGCCCCAGTTTCGCGTAGGTACCCACACCAACGGATAAGACTCAAGCTGGCCTCTATTAGGGCTGCATATCTTGATAAAGGTCCCAAAGTCGTACAATATTGCTTGACAAGCCCTTCGAGATCACCAAGCTTTTGTAAGCCCGAATCCAGATACTCATGGGCTTTAAAGTGTGGCTGTGCTGATATCGGCGTGGCAATGCCATTGAACATGAAGGAAGCAAAAACAACCCGGAATGAGCGAACCGAGTGTGCGTCATTGAGTGACGATCGTGCTCGATGCCACGCATCAGTATAGATATCCAAGGAAGCATTCCGTGCCGTCTGCCCCATCCGATCTTCTCTTTTGATAACCATTGGAACGAGAATGCGCGCAACGCTGATGTTAAGGCTATATCTGATTTCTTCCGATCAGATCGGCTCAGCTGATTGCCATATAAGCACCCAAAATGATCCAAGAATCTGGCGCAACCGAGTAAGGTCATCTTCAAATTGTCCTCTTCTTGCGGCACCCGAGTACGCGTCATTGCTTCTGTCGAGTCTTGTTGAGGAATGATCGAAAGTTCTGCGGATTTTGGTGATGTGATCGCAGATACCGTTGCTAGTCCGTCATTTATGGCTTCCCAATTTGCAGGTGAAGTTCCTTGAGAGTTTTCTGAGCTGCTGTTCTCGATCTGATAACGAGCCCCAGCTGCATATAGATTGCACTCATAGTCGAGGAATCTATTCGCTGATCCAGTCACAATAGTGTCAAATATTCGGATAGAACTTTCATCAAGCATCCTAGCATCCATTTTGGAGTTCAGGAGATGGACTGGACTTCTTATGGTGCTCCCAAGAATGGCATCTGCTCTACACTGGAATGACCGCATCCCAAACAAGCGGTTAGGCAGAAGAGCTATTTGGCGTTCATTCCCACATCCAGACATTCCTGTTGGTTCTAAACACGATGTGGTAGGTTCTCTTACACTGAGATCACCATTCAAGGGGGATGCGGCAGCTTGGCTGAAGGACTGCTCGTTATCAAAGTTGAACCAAGCAGCAAAGTCATCTTGTGCGTCCAAGAAGCCAGTTCGAGATATCTGTTCGGTAGAGTACACGGGCAGATTGAATGATTCGTTATGGTCCCCATTGCGATCAGATCTCGGTGAATTGCGCCGCTGTCTCTTCTGTGGCCTCAGAGTCTGTTGAGACGCAGCAAATTCGAACGTGCACGCATGGCCCAGGCGTCTGCAATGTGCACAAGTGTCATTCAAGTCTTCCAGCCCATCTAAAGAGAAGAAGCACCGTCGCTTGGACCGTCGGCAAGGATCGCAACTGGTGTTCTGTCGCCGCCGCGGCTGGGAAGAGGATCTGAAAGCCACCTCGGTGGTCAATTGACCAGACATCCTATCGCCATGAAATCACACCAAAGAAAAGCAATCTTCCGATAAATTATTTAGATGCGGAATGCGTGTGGATGTGCATCAATATCGAATGGAACTACTTGGACTGTCTCGAGGATCGTCTCGGGTAGGTGAGTGCCTTGTTGCCTGATGATTTCAAATACTGCCACGCTCATTTCTCAGGCCGCCATTAGACGCAATCATCCACTCGATTTCAATCATTCTATTTCTACCGACTAGGAGACTCTCATGAATTGTGAATGAGATTCTTTGAGTGGAATACTTTATCAAAATCACGACCCTAACTTTTCAAACGAGAAAAGTTTGATGATCCTGAACAGGCCATCTATACCTTGTATTCTTCCCCCATGGACTTTCCATCTACCTTTCTGATGTTCAATCTATCAATGTCAAAGTCTCGCAGCATCCGCACCTAAAGAGTCCAAGAAAAATTCAATATCTGCAAATCAAACGGGAGTACATCGCTTACATTGACGACGGTAATCGGTGGATGGCCCTCCTCCGGAAGACGAATGAAGCAACTGCTTCCACACTCCCCACAGAACTGGTGCGTTGATATGCGCCGAGCAAATTGATATTCTTTCAGTTTATCTTCGCCCGTCTCAATCGTGAAGTTCTCGGTCAACGGGTAGACAAGCAAATAGCCGTTCTTCGTGCAGATGGAGCAGTTGCACTGGGTGGTGGGGTACTCATGCAGGGGTGGGGAAATAGTGAACTTGAATCGTACGGCTCCGCAATGGCAGTTGCCCGAGTGTGAGCTACTCTCACCGGTCGGAGTGGGGAAAAAAGGACATATTGACTCGAGATAGTAGTGGTCTTGCAAGGTACTCAACGGACGGGACTGGCCTTTTAAGTGACTTGCTTACGCCAAGCTCCTGTTGCCTGATTCTCTTGATAATGCGGGGTGTCAGATATTGAATATGATCAAAAGAAAAACCAACAGATTGAAACCAAGTAATTTTTAATTAACGTCATCTAGCTAGTCCCTGAGAACCTTTTTCATGTGATACACAAATGCAGATGATGCAAATATCAGGGAAACCTCACTCTTTCGTGGTCTCCTATGGCGATTCTTTAGCTTGATCTATATGTTTTTCTATATGCTGACGAACGAGGATTCCTGTAGATGAAATGATAAGATGAGAAACTTGATGCTGTTGAGGCTGACAGATCACATATGGCATCTGGGGAATTATGGAACGGACGCCGAGAATGACAATCTTTAGCGCCAGAGATGGCTGCGGCATCTACATCCTTACACCTGACTCATGCTAATGACCACTAGAACTAGGCCAGTTCTATTCTTGACGAGGAGTGTTGAGCGAGACTAGAACAAGTCTACCGTTCGAAATGGCTCCCTCTGGAATCCAAGCTTACGACGCTGCTAGGTATACCAGTCACTAAATGGTACTAGCGGAAGGAAGTGAAGATTCGTTCTGGAAAGCTATAGGGCAAGGGAATGACGAGAGAGAATAGAAATTGCATGTAATTGAGCGGGGACGATTTGGGCTATCCTCTTTTCAAATAATAAAGCGATCTAAACAAGGTTGAGAGCACCTACATGACGCGCTGTTGGGCCATCCAAGATAGCAAGTTGTGTATATCTTGCGAGACGTCTCTCATCATGTTAACAGTTGCTTTTCATCATAATTGAGACCTCCGGAAACTTGCTCAACTCCTGTCCTTCAAGCACCGCCCCGCCTTCCTTGCCCACAAACGCCCCGTTCCTCCACGCGGTCGTATACGTTGCCAGGATCTGCACCATCTGGACCGGCGCAATTGTGCCCAAAAGATCCGCGAATGGCGCCGTGCTCAACCCAGCCGCCTGGAATAGAGTGGCCACGTCTGTGAAGGTCTGGTGGGTCGAGTTCGCGACATGGACGACTAGCTTCGGGCCCTTCAGTTGCGGCCACGCCGCCAACCAAGTGGGATCAATAGTATTCTGATGGTTCATGAAAAGCACTGGCTGAAACAATGATAGAGGTGGCGATACGAAAATGGTACCGTCCCAATTGATGGCCCCACGAATGCGGTGATCACGGCTGGCGGCCACGATGGCGGAGGCGCCGCCTACCGAGTGTCCTAGCATGGCGACGCGGTCGGTTCGGAATGGTCGGGGTCCACGTTGGGGAAGTAGCTTCGCCATGGCAGTTTCGTTGCTCAGCTGGTCGATAATGGAGGATGCGTCGGCGGCACGAGGGTACTCGTCCCAGGTAGGGCTGTTCAGTATGGAGGCATTTGTGTAGACCGCGTGGCCATCTGGATAGACAATAATGTTCGCGTCCTCTTGGTGATCAATGGTGATGACTATGAAGCCCTCGCTGGCGATAGCTGAGGCGAGGACATTGTAATAGACTCGAGGGATGCCGTAGCCCGGGGCGAAGAGCAGGATAGGGTGGTCATGTGTGAGTGAGCGGCTTTCGGGATGATCCGAACACACTGGCAGACGAGCTTCCAGGAAGAGGGGTGAGAGATTGACGGAGATATTGAAGGTCGTTTTGAGCAATGGCCCTTGGTACTCAGCGGTCTCCGTGGGCATGTCACGGACCGGCACAGTAGATACGCATGTCGCAGGTTGAAACACTGACAGCATCAGTGCCCGAGGCGTTGGTTCTGCGGCATAAGGGTCATCACGGGTGTAGTCGACAAGGGTCCCAGTCGTCAATGTGACATTGTATTTACCAGGCGGTTCTGGGACGAGGTACCCTGTAGTCGTGATGGCGAGCCAGAGGAGAAGAATTGAAAGTATGGATTGCATATCTACACGCCTCGTTGTGCAGACTCAGGCGTCAGACTCGACAGTGGATTGGAGCAGTGGAGCCAAACGACTGCCGTGCGTTGTTTCCTGTCCACGCAGAAAGAGCCTCAATATGATAGAACAAGTTCGGACCAAGGCGAGTCAATGTACGTGAGATAATAGTCGTACTGGTAGAATCTTTACAGAAGAGCAAAATAGGCTATCTGGCAGCAGATCAGGGACTATATACTGGGCGACTCGTACGTGATGCTCCATCGTATATACACGCAACGGGGCACTATGGATGAGTGATTTATTTACAAACCAACCGAGCTGAGCCCCAGCGCGAATCGTAGTTCCGCGCTGAACGGCCCTCACCTCAAGTGCAGCCCAGAAGCCTGTTAATATGAGGCCCGAGCAACCCGCCGTGAACCGGCGATCTTGGGATTTCAGGCGGCTCGGTCTCTCTGATGTCAAAAAAAATATACCAAGGACAAGCGACGGCCAGTGAGAGCTTCACTAATGTGCCCGACTCATTACATACCATGCCCCGTAGCCCGACTGGGCAGGAGCTTACGAAGATAGCATCTCTAGCTCTTCAAAAAATGATTGCGAGTCATTCCTCTAGATATACTTTCCGCCTCGCTTCATGATCCGTGGTAATGTGCAAACCCTTGTGAGTTACGCAGAGCTACGCCCAGCATGCCATAAGAGACCAAGAGACAGATATTCCCGTGTGATCTGCCTTGGAATGTCGCAATAGGCGCATTCGATGTGACTTACCCGGCGAAGTTGAGATCTCAAACCCGGGAGAGCTTCGGACGGCTCAGACGCCCTGTTATCGATGCAAAAGATTGGGCGTCTCCTGTGTAATGCGGCAGACTATCTTAGGCCGACCAGACCGTAAGGGTAGATTGACGACTGCAGTAGATGTTCGGACCACAAGGACCGAGGACATCGTCTCGCGCGTCATCATTGAGCTTCCTTCAAAACGGCTCTCACGCACTCAGCCAGCTACTGTACAGGACGCAATACAACCGGGTAATAGCTCTATCATTCTACGGACCAGGCTGTACTTTTCGATCGATCTGCCGCTGCAGGGAGATCCCTCGCACTGGAATGAGAATGTACTGAGGAGCTGAAGGCCTATTTGACCACTACACTTTGATCCAAAAAACATCTCGAGACTGGCTGTCAAAGTCAAGGTGACTGAAAATGTAGGTGCAGGACAGCATGTGGGAGTTCAGCCGGAAGCGACAAAATTGGTAAATATAGTAATTAATTGATCCGCCATTTACAAAGTTAATGGTCAATAAGTCTCTAGGTTGAGGTTTCTCCGGAACATAGTATTGATGTACGTAAAGGTCTACCAGAATGCTGCAGAGCTCATTTCTCTATACAATTTCTCCAGCTGCCCGGCGAATGTAATGAACCATCAAGTCTGGGTTGCTTAGGAATGGCGAATGTCCCTCATCGCATCGTTCAACAGTAAAAGCACCCTCTGCTTGGGCAATCATTCTTTCTTGGAAAGATGCCGGCAAAGCGAGATCGTTTCGTGTCACGATATAAGTGCTTGGAATATCACAAAAGGCCGAGTACGTGGCAGGAACCGCCAGAGGGCCCGTAGGGAATGAACCAAGCAGTTCGACTGCCTCATCCACGTCTCCAGGATCACACCGATTGTAGAAGATATCACGGATGCCCACTTTGTCCAGCAGCATTGCTCCCTCCTAGAGACAGTCAGCCCCACTAAGTTCTACTTACGGTGACATGACGCCAACGGGTATTCATCTGATAGAAATACCTCCGTGAACCTCATAGCTCTTTGATTTTCAATTAATTCCTGGCGGCGTCGCTCAATTTCCTCTTCTTCGGGGGTGACTGGCACGATCTGCGCGGCGTAATTCTGCCCTGCTGGAATCGCCATCGCACACATATAGACCAGTCGCACAACGCCGGACTTTAACCCTTGATTGTTTCGGGCCTCTTTTCCTAGTCCTTTGACAGCCTCAGACATAGGAATCCCGCCGAAGGAGTGAGCGAGGGCAATGATATCTTTGCCGGCATCAAGGTGTTCCAGGATCACTTGGCGAACTGCTTGCGCATCTTGCTCCCATGTCTTATGTGGTGGACTGGAGTCGACAGATGGAAGCGTCACACCCACAGCTTCATAGCCGACTTTGTTCAGTCGTTCAATGAGATGCTTGAAATGCTGAGGCCGGTGCCAGGCGCCGGGCACGATAACAATCACTGGTTTGGCCATTATGATCACCCTGTCGGAATGATGCTTGCGAACAAAGACAAGAAAAAAGCAGGAACGCAGCTCGTTTAAATAGGAGATTTGGCCTCCTGTTCTTAAAGGCGGACGTAGATCCGCGGTGCCATCTGCTCTCATTGGTCAACATGCGGGGATCGGCTCCGACGCTCGTCGGTTCCGCGTCAAGGTCTACTGTCAACGGGGTTTGACACTTACGCCGCGAGCATAGGGGGTAAGACTACGAAATAACGACGAAGAGTCAAGTTATGCATATCTACATGCATGCATAGTTGTCGCAGGTACATGATTCCGTCCTCATACAATCCACTACTGGCTTGGCTTCTATTACAAGGCGAAATCGTATGATAGCCATTCGTAGGCATTTTCAGGCTTTGGGTTAGATTCCTCGAAACAAGGTCATGATGCAATTTGTTCTTCTTTCATAATAAGTATCGTCGTCTTGACACAACAGACCTCTTTCATTTTCCACTTTCAAAGGAAAACTTGGAAACGTTGGAAAGACTCATGTGCTAGAAGGTTATTGTAAATGTTCAGATGAAGTCGGAAGTGAAATGTAAAAATGCCAGAGAAAAGAAGATCATAAAAATGGAGGGAAGAAGACGGGAAACACCTGGAGAAGAAAAAAGGCCCCGTTATCACCTTGTTGTCGTTTACATAGACTATTCAGTGAATGAACTGGTGAAAGATCTGAAACTTGCAGCAATTATCTGCTTCCTACCGCCATATTGTAAGTGATTCAAATAACATTCGTATTGAATTGATTCTATATGCAGCACTTGGAAGCTATCCTGTTTCGCTCAAAAAGGCGGGGGGGTTCAGATCCAGCCCTGCGACGGTCAACTTGAAGGAGTCGTCTCTTGAATAGTGTCCCGTGACATCCATATCAAGTTTGGCACGTTGACAATCTTCCACGTCAATCTCGTGGATCAACAAGCCATCCTTCTCAGAGTCCTCACTGATACCTGATCCGTTGAGCGCATCATCGAGAGATGTCTCCCAGATAGGGCCTGCGAGGACCTCGCCTAGGGGACCAACAATGCAAGATCCTCCACGGGAAATGTATCTCTTCGCTTCTTCTGTAAATGTGTCAGTCATCGCGCCAAGCGGTGGTAATTCAGAGGACGACAGATGTCTTGAGCGTCGTACCTTCCGAGGCATCTTCGGCTTGATCGGTGATCCAAGAAGGCAATTCATTATACCGTACGCACTGGTTGCATGACAATACAAACGTGCGGCCTTCGCCACCGATAGTCCGCATGAGGGGCAGCCAGGTATCTCGACTGTCAGCCGTGGGTGCAAGATAAATGTTCACGTTCTGCGAGTACAGACTGTGACGGAGAAGAGGCATGAAATTCTCCCAGCAAATAGCTGCCGCAATGGTGAGCCTCACACCATCAATCTCCGTGGTGACAGCCTTGAGACTTGCCGGCGAACCCTGGGCCCAAATAAGACGCTCGGAGGCAGTCTGTGCCGAGTTCAAAGTCGAGTTAGTCTTGTTTAACAACAACCGGTCTCGATACTAGGGCTTGACCTACGGGCATGACTTTGCGTCTTTTCCCCAGAACCCCAGATGACGGGTCCACGTAAAGGGCGGAGCAATATAGGCTGCCCCCGCCTTCTCAATCAACCCGGTGACGAGAAAGACACCCGTTTCCTTCGACAGCTGTTCGAGGAACTCCCTTGTACCATCCCCACGACGATCAGAGCCCTTCGCTGTTGGGAGCTTGCGATCAACCCAGTCATCACCGGCCCCAGCAGGCGTATCACCGAGATCCACTGCATCCTTGAAGTACTGGAGGAATTGTTCACGACCATAGGGAGCGCGAGCCCCAACAGCAGTTCCAAAATCACAAGTGCGAGGATACCCGCCCAGGTAGGCTTCGGGGAAAAGTAAAAGCTTCACACCTTGAGAAGATGCGTGTTGGGTGATTTGCTTTAGGGCGGCAAGGGTCGACTCCAGAGAGGAGCGAGTCCGCGCTTGCGCCACGGCAACCTTTAGCTTCTGAGCCATTTCCCGGGAAAATTCGAACTTTTGAAAAAGATGATTGAGAGGCAGCAATGATTTTGATCTTGAAAGGTTTGAAGAATAAATTCGAAATGAGTCAGGTACAGGTCCTAGCGATCATTCATCGGAGTTTGCTGTTCCGATAACTTTGATTTTCGGGGGCGAAATTCCGAAACAACCATTCTGGCTTTTCCCAAAGTTGTCCTAAATTATTCAAAACATTAAACATTACACTGATTGTACGTATATAATGTCTATTTAAAATTCAGCTGAGCCAAAGAAAGCTGGGAACATTACTGAATCCTCAAAGTCACCGTACGGTTCATTCGAGCCCCCGTCCGTCATCGAATCCGGCTCGATAATATGAGTGGGATCAAAGAATGTCGTGGAGTCAAACAATGCACAGTGCTCAGAGCAGAGGTGGCTGCTATGAGCTCCGCCACTCTCAAGATCCGCAGTGGGAGCTGTCTGGATTCTCCCCACTGGACTCACGGGGAAATTCTCCGAGATCATTTCCTGCACCATTCGCAAAACTCCTCGGTTGCGGACAACATCACGCATGAATTGCATTTGCGATTGAATAAGGGAAACCGATTGAGTAGAAATGCATCGTGGTGAATGTCCAATTCCTGACGTTTCATAAATCGGAATTTCTTTTGCCAGTATATCGAACACGTCCCTAAGAGGTTCAGCCTGTACCCACCGTTCAGATAGTATTGCCAGAGCTATTGAGCACGCTCGTAGAGCTTCTACTACCTCTGGCGACCGGTAGGCGGGTGTACGATATGAAGGTGGGGTTGCCCAGAAGCAGTAGAGAAGGGTGACACCTACGGCAAACTGACTCAGTAGCTAGTCGCAGCAATTCGTTAGTCATGTACAGCTCGCATCGATGAAGAAAAGCGACTTACTCCAGGCCATAATTGAGCTGTTTGCCGATCTTTTTGAAAGGCTCTGAAAGTCAACGCAAGTTGGGCGCAGGCTTGCACTGATCGGTCGCCGAACCCAGCGAGCACATTTATTTTATTTGGTTGGAATAGAATGAGTACCGTATAGTTGTAGGCCATCCCTACCCATCGGTCGCTGAGGTAGCCTCGGTTCGTATTATGGCTCAATCGCTCGATCTGGGTTCGCCAGGACTCAAGCTCCTCCAGCATGTGTTCTCTCCATGCCGAGGTGGCGTTGATCTTATGAAAATCCGATCGCATCATCGTGTTCAAAATGCGAGACTGGATTCTTCTGCATCGTATGAGATGTAGCGTCGGAGAAAGCCGTGTTCTTTGAGGCAAGTCCGGTGGAGGCTGGCTAATGTCCGCAGTGTCATAATAGAGACTTGCATCCTCGACAGTTGAAAACATCTTTATTGTCAATACCCAGACGACTTCTAGATGAGGAGCAAACGCCTACTTCAACGGTGACATGCTCATCAGGTAGATTATTAGGGATATGATAGATCCAACTGATCAACCGGTCCAAAGCGTACGCGGACCAGAACACCCTTCGGCGGATCTGGAGTGTTCGTGAGAATGCAGGAAATCGCTCTTGTCTTTCGCATTCGGCGAGATGTAAATTATGAATTGCACAGTGGCGCATTGTGATAGATGCCATATGAATGATCATCTGCGATGATGGCGAATGAAGTGCATGTAGCGTGAGCAGAAGATAAGCCTGCGCGTGCAATATTGGATCGGGCCGGGCAAAGACAAAGGGCGCGTATTTCATCGCATCATTATACAGAGCCTATACAATCAGAAAGCATTTCTTGTGGAGCTTTGGATCTTCAAACTCACCTGAGAGGTGACAATATCGTTCTGTGACACTTGAGGCGTCAGAAGTATACTCACTGCATGTACCTAAAGCAACAAACGATTAACAAATTTCTCAACGCAAGCCAACATCTTCATCTACGCACCATCGTGACGATAAAGTCCGCCCATCGGTCCTTGGGGTCAGTAATGAGCCCTGAATGACTACGTGATTTCCAGGACTCATACCAGCCCGAAAACGTTTCAACATGTAGAAATGGATACCGCGGATTGACCCTCTCCAAGTAGACTTGCACAAGCGTATCCTGAGCATTAGATGAAAGTTTAGTCCGGGAGCTTGGCTTGAGAGCTCCTTCTACGATCGACGCAGATAAGTTGATTCCATGCCACGCATCACTTCGCCGAGAAGCAATGCCACAAGGATTTCCACTAGTAAGCGTGGCCAAGATACCGATTAGAAGACTCGAATGGCCGCATTGATCTTCAACAATTGGAGACACGTTTGCGATGGCGGGATAAGATGACGAGGAAAAACTGACGGCCGGCGTCTCACTTGCAGGAATCACGAGAGACTGTGTATCTCGATCCTCTGGTTCTCTTCGGTCCACGTAAGACGTGACTTCGTGCTCAGAGCGAGCATATTCATTTGCGTCGTCATGGGCCGAATTTGTCACGCCCTCCACAGAGGAGTTTCTCGTCTCACTTGAGACTCTAGATTCGAGGGCAGCAATCTTCGCCTCTAGAGATCGAGTATACCTGCGAACACAAATGAGCCACAAATCATACAAGAGGAGTCAAATACCCACTCATCATGTGCGTATGATTTGCGTGGGACACGCTCACTCATGCAACATTCTATTAAACTAGTAAGTTGATGTATTAGATGCAAGCAAGAACGATCGATGTACTCCATACCTTTACCCGCACTAGTACAATTCTCGCAGGGCCTCTGATCACTGCACTGAAGAGATCTGAGCACTGTGGACTTAATCTCCAGAGACGTGAGATGGACTTACTCTCTGCTTTCGTGAGCGACATCTCTGGCATGCCAATAATTTTTGTCTCTTTGCCGAGGAAGCCGCGATGGTGTCTGTCTCCATAGTGCTTGCCTCATTCTTCGGACTTTTTTGATCCGACGTCGGAATACAAATGTGCGAATTTTGCCCAGTACAGCACGTGATCTTTAATCCATCGTCTATTTACCCATAGCAAGTCACTTTTTTAATTTTCTATAATATTGCGATTGAGTAAATGGATCTTGTGCAATTTCTCTTCTTTCTTTCTAACAATGCTTGTACGATGGATTCCGTCACTCAATGGCTTCCAATGCGCTCATATCGGCGATCGGTCTCAAAAAGGCCTCCGTCCGAGACCAGCCGAGCTTCATCTAGGCCCTTATCATCGCCATTTACACGGGCTATAGCGTCCGTCTGGGATCCAACGGAACGTTCTGGGCTCACGTCCATTGCTATATTGCACTTTCAAATGAAGGCGCGGATTAAATTAAGCCCAAATTGAAAGGCGTCTACCAAACCACTCCCAGGCGCAGGATGAATAGCACCAACCGAGGGGCGTTGTTGATACCACCTCTCTAACGCAACCAGGCCAAGGATTCCCCTCAATTGACATCTCTAGATTAAAAGCTAGTCTCAGAATTAGGGCAAGTGCTCCGAGCTATTGAAAGACAAAATTAAGTACCAGCAAAGAGAAGAAAAAAGTTCAAAAAAAAAAAAAAGTTCAAAATGTGGGGATCACAACAAATGCCTTGATTAGAGTGCTTCTGGTCGAGAACTAGACTTTGTGCGAGTATCGGTGAGACTGCGGTGAGCAACAATCGTAGGTTGGAAACCCCGCTCCCTGGCCCGCAAGGTTTGAACTGCGATCGGCCCACAGGTTCTCGCTATTCTCTCTCCGAAACGCCTCTTCCATCGTCAAGAGCCTCAGACCATGGAACCACGGGGCGAGGGAAACCCCGCTCATAGACGACTAAAAAGGCATTCTCATGCAGGCCCGGCCCATTAGTTCACGAATGGGCGCGAGGATCGATTTGAACACGGCAGGGTCGGCAGACCTCGGGGGGTGGGGAGGTTGGAATGCTGTAGAAGCACGGCACCCAGCCATCAAACGCTGAGATCACTGGTAGGCCGATTCTTGACAGCTGTCAACATCAAAGTGTTTTTTGCCGACTGGCACTCTGGCGCTTACGCTAGATTTGTTTGATTACTATCACGCCCTGGAGAGTGCATAAGCGAGGTCCAAAGTAGACACGGGCCGAGCCAGGGAATTGAACAGGGGGTTTATGGCAGGGGTTGCTGCACCTTGAGTTGCACAAAAGCGCCCCAGTTTTGGCGGGTCAAGAACCAAAGTCTTGGGCCGCGTGGGAAGGCGTGAGGGGGCTGCAGGTCCAAGCACGTGTGTTAGTGTATACTGTGGATAGTCGGTGTGCATGAAGATCCGTTCTTTTTCTTTTTTTTTTTTCTGATCTTTTTTTTTGTCGAGCTTATGGAGTTCAGATGGGAATCAGAACCGGTTTTACAATTTGTTGGTGACACCTGACAAAAGCCAGGACGTGAGAAGATCTACTAGTCTGAAGTGATTCAGACTTGCTTTTGCGAGTAGAAAAAAAATTATGGGTCATATATTCGTAAAATCCGAGACGTGACTCCGATGTGAAGTCCTTGTGTGCATAAATTGGGTATGTGACCACATCGAACGGAAGAGAGTCGTTAAGTGAAAAATCCACAAAGCAGTCAATCTCAAAAGTCAAAAATCCGTAATATCGCCACTCATGCCGGTTGTCGAAGTAGAGGGAAAGCCAGTGATGGAAGGATGCCTGCCGAGACCAAATTGAACGAATCGTATGCGTACCGCGCGAATGCACCCAGGCATACCACGACCCCAAAACGCCATGTATACCTAAAGAGAACGCCGAAACCATTCTACCCAGAATATCCTGATAAGCCTCCCGAAAATCATAATGCAAAAAAAAAAAGAAAAGAAAAGAAAAACGCCTGAGGGTGCAGCTCATACTGTGACTCGGCCTTCCGGCGCAACTCCCAAGGGGACGTCGGCGCTGGACGGTAGGGCTCGTCCCGGGTGACTCTTTCCTTCAAATCCAGACAATAACGATGCGACCATTTCTCTGTAAGAATTCATCTGTGAGAGTTTGAAGCGTTGGATCTTGCCGCTGGCGGTGCGTGGGATTTCTTCGACGAATAGGATGCCGCCGTCGATGGCTTTGTAACTAGCCAGGCGTTGGCGCGCGTATTTGTAAACTTCGTCGGCCGTCACTCGGGGAACTGTGGAGTCGCGGGTGCGCACAATGAATGCGCGCGGAACTTCGCCAGTGCCGTCCTTCAGGTTCATGCCGGTCACCGCAGCATCGCTGATTCCGGGGTGTTGAAGCAATACGGCCTCGATTTCAGCCGGAGCAACCTGCCAGCTGTCCAGCGATATGAGGGGTTAGTGAGGTATTAAGAGGAGCATACTGGGTCCGATATACATACCCCCGCACTTTGATGAGTTCCTTGGTCCGTCCGACAATGAAGTAAAAGCCATTCTTCACATAAGCCACATCCCCAGTTCGGAACCATCCTTGCGCATCCTTGGCATCCTCACGGCCCTTATAGGATAGGAGGAGACCGGGTCCCCGAACATAGAGCTCTCCAGCCCGCTCATCATTTTGGACAATCTTGCCCTCGTGGTCAATGAGGCGTACTTCATAGCCCTTCAATCGAGTCCCAATGCTACCGGGGTCCCCACGCTGACCGTATCGCGTCTGGAAAATAACGCCCACCTCGGTCATACCCCACAATTGACAAGCGTATGCCAAGGGCGATAGGCACTCTCGAAATTGCGTCATGGTCATAGCATCAACTGGGGCACCAGCTACACCGACATAACGCAGTGAGGTGAGGTACTCCGCCACGGGCAGAGTGGAGCGATTAATGGAGTGAATAATGGCAGGAACCAGGTACGTCTCCGAAATCTGGAACTGGTGGACCGTAGCCAAGAATTGGGTGATCTCAAATCGTTGCAGCACAAATAATGGGTGGCCGTACCGGACCGGGAACAAATGGGTCCACAATGCACCGAATAAATGGAACATGGGCAGCGACATCAACCGGCTCGTAGGATATGGCACCTCGTAATGAATGGCGCGATGATGCGACACAATCGCATGGTGAGACAGCACTGCGGCTTTGGGGAGGCCTCCAGTACCACTGGTCGAAAACATGGCCGCGGGTGTATTCTGGGCCATGACGGGGTCGGTGAAGAGGAGCCAGTCACTTTCACCGTAGCAGAGCAGGTGGGCCAGATTGAGCTGAGAATTGTCCATAGTGAGGAACTCCGCTCCGGCCGGGAACCCTAGTTCGTACCACAGGAACAGCTGAGCACAATGGTCGACGGCCTGCTCATCAACCAAACACACCTGGCCCGGGTGGATCCCCCGCGCCGTGGCCACTTCCATCACCATGGGCAGCGCATCGCGAGTCGTCAGGATCATCTTGGGTTCGGCAAGGGAAATGATATGGTCTAGTTCGGCCGGCTGGCTCTTGGGATTAGATCCCATGTAGACGCCGCCGGCCCCAATAATACCGAAGAAGAGGGCAGGGTATAGGATCTATAAGAAACCAGTCCGAGTCAGTACTAGAATGAAACCAAAAAAAAAAAATTTCAACCCAGGCCAACTCCAGGAAAGCGAACTGACGCTGTTCCCCAAATGTAATAGTACACAATCTCCCTGCTGGATGTTATTTGCTTTGAAACCTGCGATCAGAGTCCGGACTAGCTGGCGGAACTGGGCGGCGGTAAACGACCGCGAGGGATCCTCGGCATCAATAAACAGCGGCTGAAATTGATCGTACGGGGTCGGACCACAAAAGGTAAAGGTCAACAGGTCGGTATATAGATCTTCATGAAGAAGAGGATCCATCGTGCCGGGCACCACCATCAAGGGATTCCAAGACCCCATGGTTGGGGAGATGATTGGGGATAGAAGGCGTAGGGATAAAAGGGTCAGGCAAATATAGATTGGAGGGGAAAGAAGAGATCAAGTTAGAGAGAAGGGGGACCCCGGCGTTGGGGGAGTTATATAAGGAAAATTAATAGAGAGAATTCTCCATATTCCTACGTGCTAAGTACACTGCGAGATGATTTGATTTGATTTGCATTGATTTGAATTCCTGAAGCAAGCTTAGGAGCTGATTTGGAATACATGCTGAGCTAATCACAGGAAGGACTCCACTACCACGCGGCTGATTGGCTTGATGAGAGGTTGATAACACCGCATCGAGCCGGTATCTGATCCATCAGCCATCATGCATCCTAGAACTTGACAAAAGTACCCGGTGGTTCAATTTTCGCACGCCTGATCCGCAAGCAGAGATCCTACCCAAAATGCAAGTGTCATGGACGCTATGATGTGATGATGGACAACCTGTTCGCACCGTCTCCACCGAACAGGTTCAAAAAGCACAGCAGCGCTAAACTAGTTTCGCGCCAATGCGGGAACCACTAGCGGTACTCCCTCCAATGGATTGATCACAGCTCAGCCACAAGCTCGGATCCCGTCTTCTTACATCTCTTTGTGCGGGCCATCTATCAAGGTGAATCGGATCGACACTTGATCGTCTACAGCTCGTCTCCATAACTTAAACCCCATTTTTGTGGCGAATCAGTACCGCCAGTCTGTCATTTGCAAAATCGAAACCTCGATCCTGATATGTCGCTGCGGAACCCCATTGGTCCCAACACTTTTGTTGATCCCCACGAGCTGAGGATGATTTCTCGCACTCGCACCGAACAGGGATGTTCAGACCGGCGCACCCCCGGGCCTGGTTGATGATGTAGCCAGGGAGTCGAGGAGCCACGGCTGACGCTCGTCCCTCACCTGCCAATCGTATGTCAAGCGCATGGCAATCTCTCCCCCCCAGAACGCTTGACACCCTCATTCTCCACTCATGTCAGGCCGGCCTGACATCCCATCGGGACTGTTTGTGCCCCTCTTTCCCTTAGCCCTGTCCGATCTCCGACGGTCAATTCTGATTCCCTCCAACTGAGCGAGGTGCATATCCCAGTCCTTCTGTCCCGCAATGAGTGGAGCTCCGATAAATCATTCCTCCACTCCCTCTGCCCGGTGCCAAAACGCAAAAATCCTGTCTGCGCGCGGGGCCAGCCCTAGATCTCGATTGACTAGTGAATAGACGGCCACGTACAGGCGGTACAGTACACTTCCCTCTGTTCTGGACGGCCCAAGTCTCTGAGGTCTGGATCCACTCCGGTCCCCTCGGGGTTCGCGCACCTGTCTCCATAGAGTAAAATACGCCTGGTGGAGACGCTCCGTACCCCGCTGCGAGTAATGATCGGCTGCACGGGGTTCGAAAAGACAATAAAGATTAATAATGAATAAAAAAGCTGCTAAGCATTCCCCCCCAAAGCACGGGTGCAGGGTTCCTTAGCTGCAAGACAAAGCCAACGGCCACTTTCAGGAACAGCCTTTATTGTTCTCCGTAGGTGGCGTTCTCATCAGCTGCTGGCTGGTTATTGTTCTGTTTTTCCGCTTGTATTGTCGGTCTTATCACTTCGCTCCGATGGCCCGGTAGCGGGAAGTGTCTATTTCGTTAGTGTGCATTTATTGGGTCTCCATGCAACCTTGGCTGATCCTTCCAGGCCCTCGCTTGGATGCTCAGAATGGCTCCATAGGAACCTCATTCTAGTGGCGAGTCAGTGGCATGGTCGAAAGAAATCACCTGTTTAGCTTCTTGACCTCGGCCGATCCTTTGGAGCTGGCCCAGTGATTGGGTTACATCTCGATGAACACCAGACCGTTCGTTGCCATGCTTCCTCTTCCGGTCTATCCCGTCTCCATGAATGGGTGTGCCCACCACCCAGCTCATGCACTATCTTAGAACACGGCTTCACAGCCCCATCAAGTCTCCATCCGAACGCCATGTCCCTTTGTGGGCGGTCATCCGGAGCTGAGCGAGGGAGTGGAGGAGGTCGAGTCCGTGACTCCATTGGCAACCAATGCGTCTCACTAGACTTTCGGAATTTTAGGCCCCGGATGGTAGTGTCATACACTCCTTCGAACCTTGCGTTGAGAAAAATGGATCCTCGGGGCGGTCCCCTGAAATGGGGAACCGCCAAGCTGTGACCGGCCAAAAGGTTTCCGGTTTGGGTTTTGTGATATTAGTCGTAGTGCGCGATTTTGGAAGGAGGGCCTGTGGTAGAATCAAGCAAGTGGCATCGAAGTCCACAACAAGTCAGATCATTGTCAGATCCGCGGTGGGGACACGACAGACCGAACAGGTAGCCCGTGCTTGGTAGTTGGATGCCCTCAGCCCTTATCACCTCAAAACCACATGCCTGGCCCCAAGAGGCACGCTATCCTCGTCAATTTTCCAACCTGCTTCGCCCGTTCGGTCCCCTTCTAAACTCTTTCTCCTGCAAGTCCATCAACCATGTCGGACTCGGAGAAAAACCCTATAGCCAAGCCGTCGTCCGTGGCCCCTACCAAGATGGCCTCTCATTCTCACAAGCCTAGTGAGGCTACACTCGTCGATAACGAGGTTTTCCTTGAAAAGAAAGGCCATGCTCACAAGCCCAGCGAGGCTACCCTCATCGATGAACAAATAGCTCGGCCAGCTGCTGTCGCAAGAGTGATCAATCACTCTTCCCGGCCCAGCGAAGTAACTTTGATCAATGGCGAGTCTCCATTGGTGCTCGAGAAGTCCTCGAAGGCGATGTTGTCGTCTGACCTCGAGTCTCCGGACGACCTCGAGGCCCAGACACCTTTACCAAAGCCCAAGCGCTTGGCGTGGTTGCGGTATGCCATCATGACAATCTATAGACGACTTTTCAGCTTGGTTTTCTTGGCCAACATTGGTGTGTTCGTGTATGTGATGATTTCTAACCGCAAACTTACTGCCTTGGTGAATGCAGCTGCGGCCAATTTGCTAGCCTGCGGTCTGGCCCGCCAGCCACTGGTGGTGAACACGATCTTCAAAGTTGTGCTCTCGGTGCCAAGATCGGCACCATACGCTCTGCGCAAATGGCTGTCCAAGGTCTATCACTATGGTGGGGTGCATAGCGGCTGTGGTATTACGGCGTTGGTGTGGTACATCGGTTTTGTCGGTCTGATGTCGCATCAGTACTGGTCACCATCAGCAGCCATTAAATTCTCAGCCGCACCTGTTGCAGTCGCCTACATCATCCTTGTTCTGTTGACGACGATAGCCGTTGTGGCCCACCCCAAGTTCCGCATGAAGCTTCATGACTATTTCGAACTCACCCACCGTTTCCTCGGGTGGCTCGTTATTGCGTTGTTTGTAGTCCTTTTGATGCTCTTCGCTCACGAGATCAGCCGAGCCCAGGGCCAATCAATGGGTCGCTTTGTTGTCGAGCTCCCGGCCTTTTGGTTCTTGATGGTCGTCGTTGCCGCCATCATTCATCCATGGTTGCTGTTGCGGAAAGTCACGGTGCGGGCCGAGCCCCTCTCCACCCATGCGGTGCGTCTGCACTTCGACCACACCACCACCACCTTTGGCAAGGGCACTTCCCTGTCCAAGCATCCGCTGCGCGACTGGCATGGGTTTGCAACGTTCCCGGACCCTGCCCCGGCCGGTGCAAATGGAAAGCCATCGTTCTCCGTCTTGGTATCCAAGGCCGGAGATTGGACCTCTGACACAATCAATAACCCTCCCAGCCGTCTGTATAAGCGCGGAGTACTGATTTATGGTTTTGCGTATGCCATGCGAGTCTTCAAGCGAGTGATCGTGGTGACAACAGGGTCTGGCATCGGTCCCTGTCTTTCGTTCTTGGGTGACGACAACCGACCAGCTCTGCGTGTCCTCTGGCAGACGCGGGCGCCGCTGAAGACGTACGGTCAAGGGGTGCTGGATCTGGTCCACAAGATGGATGCCAATCCAATCATCATGGACACTAATGTCACAGGCCGCGTGAACATGGTGCCTATCGTGCAGCGACAGATCCAAGAGTTTGAGGCCGAAGCGGTGTGCGTGATCAGTAACCCTGTGCTGACCGCGAAGATTGTGTATGAACTCGAGTCGCGAGGGATCCCGGCGTTTGGTCCGATTTTTGATTCCTGATTTCTTTGTTCCCGCTATTCGTTGTGCATTTTGTTTGGGCCCTGGATCCTGGCCGGGCGTTTGGTTGTTGCTTCTGTATATAGCTCGATACCACCTTTCAGCGTTGTCTGCCCTTATTGAGTTATTTGAGCATCTAAGATCATTCAGGTCAAAAAGTCATCTCAGGGGCTTGTCCTCCTTTTTCCATCCAGGGGTTCCGGAGAGGGTCGTTGCTGCCGCATAAAGTTTAGGAAGATCAATACCCCACTAGGACAGCGTGTAGGACGCGGATGCACTAAAAAGGGTTCTATAAGCTATACGCGATGACTCCGTCCATAGAATTCCAAATAGGTCGAATCCACCTGGTGGGGTCTCATCATTCGCAGCGGGGCATGCCTAGAATGTCGAACAGGCGTCAGAGTATGAAAATGGCCTAGAACTGGACATTTTCATGGATACCTTTCTTTTCCGAATCTGGGAATTTTCCAAGAGATATGGTATGAGGGAAAAGATGCTCCTGCTAGGTCGGCCGCGAGAGATCGCCCCCGAGGGCCGAGCTTTGATTCATACGACCGAGTCGCTAACTGTTAGTTCCGCAAATTTTTCCGCGTTCTTAGATGCAGAAAACTGTCCGAACGGACCAGACAAATTCTTGGTTTCTGGATTAGTCCGTGGGTCGCTCGTTTGAGTAGTAGCCTCGTGGTAGCCTTCTGGCAGCCTCGTCCATGACAAAAACCATCCAGAAGAGAGGATTTTTGTTTGCAACTAGAGTGGTGGGATGGTGGGGTCGAGTGCGAACAGACCGGCTCGTGTTGCACCTGACTTTGATTTATCGAAACTTGATTGATTTCATGGCTTGGGGTAGCGGAACTATACCTGCCGACGGTTGCCAGTCCTGAGCAATCGTATTATCTGCACCAACTTCAAGCAATTCGTTTCCAGCATCTAAGAAATTTTAAGTGGCTGCCTGAATCCTGGTCGGTCGCATGCAGGCCACCGGCTGTAGATAGCTGATCTACCGGAAGCCATTGTTTCAAGGATGATTGAACTACAGACAAATTGTATTTGCAATACAGGCACATACAGTTGTTGTTCATAAGTCAGAAATACTGATTTTGCCGCCTCAAATTCTGCCATATTTTCTGCCGTATAGAAATTTCTGAATTCTTCGTGCTTATAGGTCCCCCTAACCATTGAATTTTCTACAGATACGGAAGCGCTGTTGGAGCCCTTGCTGATCGAATAAGAGACATTGTAGCGTTGAAAATGGGGATTCAAACTTACGAAGCCCCACTGTACGCCCCGCGTGAAATCCAATTCAGTGAATATGCCTAACTATAAGAAAAAGCTCACGCGATCTTTCGCATAAATATTGCGCTGAAGGCAGGTAACGATACTCTTTCGTCATGCCGCGGTTCCTTCACACGGGTACGCCAGACTAAACTTATATATACCATATACATAACCGTCAAGTTCAAAATCGCTCAGAATCATTACCAACCAACTATGTCCTTCGTGAGCAAACCTTGGACATCGCTCTCGCGGATGCTAGTTAACCTATGATCTAATCAAGACCATAACGGGATCACGACATGGAAGAGCGCAATAACACAAGCTAGTACCGTAAGGTTGGCTCAATGAAGAGGTCAAGGACCAACATATCAGGCGGGGTCGCAACTGCCAAGCAGCGGCAGCCGCAGTAGCAGCAGCGTGAAAAGTGCCGGATCGGTGCCATTCAGGCTTTTCTCTTCAGGGCGACAAAAGAAGGCCAGACTGAGTCTTCTCGTCTGAACTGACGAATTGGGTCTTTGTACTCTGTGTACAGAAGCACGAGCACGGGCTGGACCAAATTTCTGTTCTGACTTACTACCGATCAATAAAATGGCCTCTCCCTCCTCTAAGGTGACTTTTTGAAATATATCATTTTCTGCCCCGATTGCCTCGCTGCCAACCTTGTTTGTGGACTCGAGATTTGCGATCTCGAGGAGATCGCTCTTGTCCCCAGGCGCATGAAATAAGAGCGTAAAAAGCCACTATCGATATGTGGGGGGTTAAAATATTTATCGTGATCACGAAGCCGCTGCGATCCGTAGAGATGGATACCTAAGGTATCGCGAGTGTCATTCGGCTGTTGGTTCACACTCGGAATCTTGGCCCTGTATGATGGAGAAATAAACGCGAAGTAAATCCTTCCGGAATAGCGTCCAAGCCTTCAGGCATGCATCAGATTTGCGTCTTGTGACCGACAGAGCAGTCTTACCTGATGCAAAAGTCCTATAGACTCGTGAAGTTTTTCTGGTGGGCTCCTTGACCCGTTGAGATTTTCCTCCAAAAACAATGGATAATAGAAGCTTTGCTTGGGAATATCTTCTTTGTTCCGGACACGCTCAGATAGGAACGGCGAGAACCCTGTAGTTAAGTTCTTGGTGTTATTACTTTCTTGGAAGAAGGCTTCCGCCTAGAGCTATGTCAGGAGATTAGGGTCGAAGCTGCAACTGGAGTCATATCACTGACCTCTGAGAATACGTTCTTGCAATCAAACTTGTCCGCTGATACCCGAACGGCACCATATTTCACAAATGACTTCCGTATCTGCAGGATCGCGCTTTCGCTCGGTTGTTAGAAGGGATTAAGGTGCGGTAAAGAAAGCGCACGCGCTGCAGACGTCGTGTGCGTAGTTCGGAGACGAAGGTAACAGCGTCTGAGTACAGTAATATCGTCGCCAGGGGTTGCTGCATTGTGTGAGATTAAGAGCGCCGCCACCCCGCATCCACGCAATAATCACGTTTTTGTCTATCAGCAGGGCTGGACCCTCAGGACCACTTGACCATGCATTGAACATTACGATTTTTCGTTGTTTACTTCACGGAATGGCAACAGAGGCTACTTGCAGTTAGAAGTCGACATCATCATTGGTCGCAACCGAATACTCACACTTTCCCGGAGATCGCCGAGCTGCGGCCGGTTTCCTCTACTCTCTATTGGGCAGCAGGAAGAATTTTATACTTGGCTTCAATCTATCATACCTCATGTACTCGACTACGGGCAACGATTACTAACGGGCCGAATCGTACTAGCCAGACCCTCGTCGCCGGATGCGTTTGGCCACTTCACTCCTTCTTCGGACGACGATGCGACACGAGTAATATTGCCTCCTCCACTCGCACAGCTTCCGCGATAGAATCAGCAACAGATTTTTGACAATATTTCATATGGCTATAGCAGCTGCTTGCAGCAAGCGACGGGTATAAAGTGTGCTCGAATCTCACTTGGCTAACCCCTCTTGCTAACACGGACGTTCTCAAGATCCGGGTCACTCTTGAGAAGAAGCCCTTCTCATGGTGATCATGTATAAAAACATAAAATTTGAGACATGGGTGCCATGTCTCAAATCAAATCCGATAGAAGTATGTTCTGGCTGATCATCAGATCAGTCATGGGTTTCTGGCTTTGCCTCATTCTGGATATCTGATTCATTTCGCTCGTTCCAACGGGATCAATTTTCCGGTTGTCAAACGGTAAAGGATTGTTGCGATAAATCATACATGTACTGTATGGATACAGACAGTGGACTGTCTGTATCCATCCGACCCGCTAACACGATGTATCGATCAATACCGATCTTGTGTATCGTAACCATTGTACGCCAGGAATATGACAACCTTGGAATTTCCTAAGTCTGTCCGTTTCACCTTCACCTTCATAGGAATGCAGCATCCTTCAGACCCTCGGCTTAAAAAGCCGTCGACATACAGTCGTGAGGCGGCCATCTCCGCTATAACGGATCTTTACGAATCTCTTACCACTCTGCTGTACGTGGAGCCAACCGACATTCTCTATCCTCCACCCGGAGGATGGCCGCACATCACCCAGGAAAATGAGGCATTTGCCTCTCTCAATAAAACAGAGGAAGTTATCAAACTGCTTCGCCACTTGCCATACCTAGACTCCAGGCGCAGCCAGTGGTATATCAGACCATGGAGCACTGTATGTGATTATGGGAACAAAGATCCTCGCAAGTATCTGCCTGTCGTGCCCGATGAATTTGAGTTCCCACTATGGGTGATTAATCTCACGGATTCGGGGAGATACGGCCAATCACTTATATTTGACACATCAGATGGTACGCGAACTCACTCCCGGCCCCGAAGCATCTTCGATATCCGGTTTTTAATCTATGTTCCAGGTACCGCAACAGAATATGCACCCGATAGGTTAATATATAAGCCAGATTACGCTGAGGAGGATCCGCGATATTGGCGCGTTAAATGTGAACCAGAGACTGAGCCACTGGTTGATCGCTTGGAATTTTTTAAACAGAGATTTCAAAATCTCAATTGGATCCCGCACGTCCAGAAGGTTGGATCCTGGCCAAGAGTCTACGAATGGTACGAGGAGCCAACTCGTTCATATGGCGATGATAAGGGAAAGGTAGGTCACTTGTCGCATTGTTTTTTTTTTGCAAAAGACCCGGCGTTCGCATTAATTTAACACAATCTGCAGGTGATGCGCGATATTTATCTCGAGCATGGGTGGCCGGATTCCTTCGATCGAGAGGCGTGCCAGCAGGCACTGGAGAAATCCTACTACGATCACTTGAAAAATAGACGAAAAAGTAGATTACAGGGAGCTCAATCGATTATAGATTGATAATATGTCAAATACTCCGCAAATTACATATTGAAATAGGAACGGCTCGACGGCTGTCTGGCGATGCAGACTGGACAACACACATATATACACTGCCTGTCTAGTGTAGAGGACGCTGGACGGGCCGTACTGATACCCTGTTACGGCCGTACGGGATAACCTTAATACTATATTATAAATAGAAGAAATAGGGTGAACCTAAATGAATTAGGTAGTGTAGTGGGAGAATTGGTGACATAATGAGCCTATGTGTGGCCTCAGGCATGATTTAATGTCTGCAGTGCATAGTACATCTCCAGACACACTTAGAGGGAGAGAAGTCATCTACCCAATTCATTCAGGATTCACCCAATTTCTTCTATCCATAATGC